TGGAAACTCTAACTACAGCGTGCGGCAGAATTATGGAGTCACCTGAATGCAACACTAGTTTGATCTAATTTACTACATGAGATTTACAGCGAAACCGAATTTTCTTTTTTAATACGCAATATCGTTAGTAATATTAAACAATGAGATTTAAGGCTCGTTAATGAATTTTCTATAGAAAAATTTCGGTAATGTTTTCATTGATTTATCTGTTAGATTTATGAAAATGGCAAAAAACGGTGTCCTGTTTTTCAAAAACTAAGAACTCTGAAAATAGTTTGAATCCTTTTTATTAAAGTCTACTTAGAATGAAGCAAGTAGAAAATAAGAAAAAGGTTCGTTCTTTGAGAAATTACATATTCAATATTGAGAAAAAATGGCATCGGCCCAAAGGGGAGCCGAAGTAAGTAAGAATAGTAAGTAAGAATCCCATTCTGGTTGCTAACGAAAGCTTCTCACCAAAATCTTAACGATACATTATTTTAGAGAAGACTTCAAGCTTTTAAATAATATATAACACTTAGTGCTTTCCGATGAAATTTGTATAGTATTTGGTTGAAATGCATTCCGGCGCCGTACCCTGTAGACTAGACTATTCTATTGCAATCTTACCCTATTGCACTCATTATTGCATTATATATCCTATTCAATCCTATCTTTTTCTTTCAAATTCTTTTGCACTTAAGAAGCCATGACTTCATCTTTTTTCAAATTTTCACTTTAATCCCCTTATCATCCCTGACTTAGCCACTGAAAAAGTGCGGAAAGGAATTTCTTTGATCAGCACGCAGTCTGCAAGGAAAATCAGATTGGAGAAGTTATAGTTAGTGAATAGAATATGGAAATTCATTATACAACGTAATCATAACAACACTATTATCGGGTAGGAAATAGAAAACTGCATTGTAAAAATTTTGACTCCAATCGTTCAATTACCCCATACTTTTATGCGTGTAATTTCATTTTCCACAACCACCGCTTCTCTCAAAAACCAAATTACCCACCAGTTTTGAAGTTCTCCTTTTTGTTACATTTCTCATGTGTCTAGATGACTTTTAAAAGTTACACGATGCCTCAGAAAGCCTCGAAAAAATAGCCCTATCAACGCTAAAATGCTAATCGGCTTTGTCTGGCCTCTTTCCATGCTCAGATTTTTGAACCTTTCCTGAACTTGCTCTATTGTGAAATCGGTGTGCTTTAGTAAAATGAGGTTAGTCAGAAAAATAATAGGGGGTTAAAATACGAGTATGAAAGGCTTAGAAAACAGTACAGAGAATCTCCGGGTATTTGTTTGGAAATCGAGTGTTTGCCAGCTTTTTTCATTTGGTCTCCCAATCGCTTCCTGGTAGATTTCAGGAAAAGTGCGGTCATTTTACCAGTAAATTACCTGCAAGAAGAAACTGATGCGATTGCCGGAGATTGTAATAAAATAGAGCAGTATGCTAGAGCTGAAAACATTTCGGCTGGTCAGAATATGCGGCTTGTTCCAATCTTTGTACTTCTTCATCCCCTGCTCCCTTTCATCATATGCTTTTACCATTCTGATCTCCGATTCTCCTAACCGTAGCTCATAAAATGCATTTTTGCTGATATTTCCCGTCAGTTATCCATCGGAATTTGTGATTTCGGTCTCGAGTGTTGTGAAATCCATTTCTAAATTGATATTGTGATGAGATAATTCACATGATATTTCCTCCAAAACAGGACTTCTCTTTGGGTTTTCCTCTTAAGAGTCCACGTGTTCACATTCCATTCTCTTTTTTCCTTTAAGGCAAAAAACTGATGTAAAAGGAGTAGATAAAGGGGCTCGAGACTTCTGAAGGAGTTCGACAGTTTTCAGGAAAAGACTACGCTCTGATATCAGTTTTCTCAGAAAATCTTTTTATGATCCAGTCATTACAGGTTTATTGGTTTAGCTTCTAAAAATTGCCACTTGTACAAAAAAAACGATTTAAAGAACTAGGATATATTTTGTAGAGTTGAGATAAAAGCGTTTTGTCGTTTTAAACAGTTTTTTGTTTATATAAAACAACTAGTTAACGAGTTAACATTAACGAGCCTTAAATCTTGTTAAAGCTGTTTAATCTTACTAACGATATTGCGTATTAAAAAAGAAAATTCGGTTTTGCTGTAAGTCTCATGTAGTAAATTAAAAACAGGCAAGGTTTTAACAGACTTTTAAGGTATACAAAAGTTGCTGTACTTATCACTTTTTTTGAAAGTTCATTCACATTTCATATCTATTCTCGTACCGTTAATTCTTTTGAACACATATTTACCCTTCAATTTTCTTTTTTCTTTTATGTTTACTTCTGAGGGTGTTTTTCCCTTTTGACATCACTTAGAATTGTGGGCGAGAAACTCTTTGAAAAGCATGACTCAAACGTTTACTTATTTTAAACAAGATCTTTGAAAGTTAGAGGAAAATGGGTAAAGAGAATCGGAATGAAATGCTGAAAATATTTTTGTTGTACCTGAGCACTTTTTGAGCTAAAGGATAGAGATCATTGAAAAACCCATTCGATGAGTTTGTTGATGTTTTTTAATGATCTATTTACTTTTGATCTTACGTTATCAAGTAAAGAAAAGGCATTTGTGTTTATTTTTTAGGACTTAATTGAAGGAGATGTAGAGGCCATACAGAAATCAACTTGCAGCTTTTGAAAAAACAATAAGCAAACATTTGATCACTTCTAGCACTGGCTATGAATAGTGAGTTTGGTAATCTTTAAAATCACTTGTACCGTCGCGAATTTCAATTTCTTATTATTTGCTTGCTTTTCCAGCTTATCGTTAGTTCTTTCTAATGGGCTTACACCAATCGAATTAGTTCTTTTCACTCAATGTGCTCTTGAACAGCGGCTTTGAGCTCTCAATGAAAGTACTCTGGAAGAACTGTTTCCAAGGAGTACCAGTTTCCAAGGAGTACCTAATGTAGAAATTTGTATTCACTTTTGGTTGTAACCAAAAGTTATTTATAAGATCTTGGAACAAATAATCTTCATTCTCTGGTTTAGAGCTTCTGTCTGAAAACAGTGAAAAACTTCTTATTTACTTCTTTCAACCACCCAAATGATTATTGTATTTGCGCGTTGATTTGGCCTTTTTCCCATCCAATGCTTTCTTTCTTTTCTCTAGTTTCTATGTAAAACAAATGAGCGCACTCAGAGTAAATAATCTGAACATCGAATGGAAGAATTGAGTGATTAAAATGTGCCCAATCAAATGATATTTCAAGAGATTTTGTGCTTCAATTGATCTTCCTGTTTTCCCGATTCAAAGGTTTTTCTCGAGTTCATTAGCACTCCAGAAAAAAGTGAACTAACAAACCTAACATCTTGATTTTCTAAAATATCAGCCCTTTACCAATAACTTTTTAAAACCTAAACATCCAAAAATAAAGTTTACCCAAGAAACACATGACAGATTAAATTTTCCGAGAAAACAAGTTGATCTTGTTTGATAAATCTACAGTTTACTTTGTGCATGGTATTATGCCTGTAACTATTTACTGAAACTTTTCAATCTTTAGCAAATAAACAATCTTTACTCTTGCTCTTGCAGTTGTCCTTTTTCCCAATTCAGGAATTTCTTTCCTGTCCTTTTCTTATCTCAGATCAATCCACCCTATATCTCTTTCATTTCTTTCTTTGAACTTTCGGTTTCCTGAAAAAATTTAGTGCGATGTTTCGCTACTGAAAATGCTTGCGTTTGATGGATTATGTAAATATTTTGATGGATTATCAGCAACGTTGGATGTTGAAATTTGCTCTGCCTATTGCAGAGATCAGTCAAGTTTCAGGGAAAAGTTGACCGACAATGTAAAGTTACCCAGTTCTTACTGGGTAACTTTACATTGTCGGGATGGTTACCCAGTTCTTACTGTGAACCATCCCAGCCTTTGTCTTTCACAACTCCAAAAATATCTTTCATCTTTTGATCACCGTCAAACTTTCCCCAATTTGCATATGAATGATTTTGCAACTTTGATTTTGTCAAAAGTCGCGGTGCGACTAATTTTTTAAGAGGATAGGTGCGAGAAAAATGGCATTTTGATCGAATAGCACGATGAACTTGAAAAGAGAAAATGGAGAAACAAAAAAAGAGATCTCTTTTCAACTCTCTTTTCTCCGATCTCTCACAACATTTTATTGTCTTCTTTTTTTGTCTTTACTTTCTTGTTTTCTCAAATTTCCTCCATTTCTCTGGGTTGATTTTTTCGACGGATTCCCCAAACTTTCTCGAGCCCGAAATGGTCGAGACAAAAACCCTTCCCCTCCCTGTCCATCCATTTTCCGGCCACTTAGTGTCGATAGTTTTTATTGGCCTTTATTTCTTCATATAGGAAAGCTGTTTAGAAAAGTTTTATCATTTGTTTCAAATAGTTAGAAATAACTACTAGTTTCAAGGTCAACTAGATACCTTGAACTAGAGTTTCCTGGCAATTGTTAGATTCAAGAAGGGCTTGAGAATCTCTCTGATGTTCAGATGTATGAAGCTGCAGTCTCCAAATTGAAGTCTGAATTATTTTGTTTCTTTTCCCTAGCAAAATCGCTACACGCGTCTGTCGTTGGCTGCTCCCGAAGAGCTACAGGTGTGTGGCTACTTGATAAGCCCTTCCCCTCACCCATCAGTTCCCCAGAATCCACAGCCTCCATAAAAAAACCATATTGCGTATGAATTTCTCTGCAGCTCCCGTTCTCTCCGAACCCCTTTTCTCCATCATTTTTTCGACTATCAGTTATCAGAAATTTTCCACGACTTTCTAGACACACAGTGAAAAGAAGTCAAGAGACCCAGTCTCGATACATTTTTTACAACGTTTTTTGAAGACTTTTTTTGAAAACATATAATCTTTTTCTGTGAATTTTATGGTTCTACAAGAAGTTAAAAGTTGAATTATTTGATTTCAGATTATACATCCGATTCGTCTCACAACTTGGTCTGTTATTGAACTGCTAGTATTTTCTGAGTGAATAGTAATAAAAAGGGAACAATCGCTCATGTACACTTACACGGTTGGTTTCTTTTTTTCAGTTTTTCAAAGTCTTAAAGCATAAAAAAAGCTATTAGACATTTGAGCAATACTTGATAATCGAAAAGAATCAATCAATAATAACTTTTGCACTAAAGTGAACTCCTGTCCGCTCATTCAAATCAAAATTTCCATAAGTTCATTTGCATTGAATACGTCTATGTCGCTTTTTACCGCAAGAATTGAGTGAGAGAGATGGAAAGTTGCAAGATTTGAAAAGAATATCAATCAATCAATTTGTTTAGGTTCGTTCATCAGCAGAAATGGACTATGATTATTGGGATGGACGAGATGATGAATGTGAAGAAGTGCTCGAGGCAAAATATCAAATACAACAAAAGACATTACAAAGACAAAATAGGTGAGTGAATGGGGAAAGGGAAAGCTTTAGAAGTGGAGGAATAAATAACAATTAAAGAAAACTAAATAAGGATTTTTGGATCTAAAGAGCTAAATTTCGAACACCTTCTTTTTCCTGAAAACCAAATTGATAAGAAAACTATCGTTTAAAATAATCAATCTTTTGCCATCTCATTTCTCTCATTTATCCCCAAAAGTTTCCATTTCAATAATTTACGATAAATGAGCAGAAAATGAACGGGTATCTTGTCAATTTTTGCGAAATATCGACCCATTTTCCCGTGTGTGGGAAAAAAATTGTTAAACTCATTCATTTCTTTGATAAGAGAAGGGAAAAAGGGGAATAGAGAGGTGAACAGTGGCTCTGACATAACCATCTTTGGGTTCTTGAAAATCACTTTTGTTTATTTTTTTTATTCAGATTAAAATTGGGAATTCGTTTCAAAGTGCTTATCAAATTGTAGAAATTTAATGGATTTTTCAAGGTTTCGAAAGCTTTTGGCCAACCTTTTTCTTTCAAATGACGTAGTGTGACGCATCAGTCTATGTTGTTATTTCAAAATTCTGATACTTAACTTTTAGCCCTAAATTTGTTTCTTTAATCTAAAGTTTTATGTCCTCAATTTCACTGAGCTTCAGCATATTATTCTTTAGATATTTCGAAATCACTAAAACTCCGAACTTCCTCATTGTTTGTGGGAATTTCCCCAACAATCCGATCAGCTCAAGAATCCCCTTTATCTCTTTTGTGCTCATGACGTTTTCCTTCTTTGATTTCCCCCAACTTTTATGTAAAAAGCCCGAGAAAAGTCCTCGAATAGAAAAGGTTTTCTGTTACTTTCCACCCTTTTTCCCTTTCTCTTTTCTTTTTTCCCCGACAAGTTTATGTCTTTTGATTTCTGCACTTGGCATGTAAATTGATGAGAATGATGAGTTTTCTTTTAAGTAATGGAATTTCTTGGGGATGAAAATTTGAAAATATAAAATATAAAATATTGAGGGTTCTGGGGTTGCAATCTGAAAAGAGTTAGTCTATTGTCCGGGTAAAAGACCATGATAAGTCACTGAATTTTCTCGAAAGTTTACACATTTAGAAAGATATAGCAAAAGCGCCAGCTATAATGGAAGTTGATGAATAAGTCTTTTCGTTCCTTTTCATATTTCTGTCGAAAAATAACAAATTCGCCAATTAACCTATGGTTTGCTCTGAATAAAGAGAGTGAAAACATGTTTTTCGTAAAAATTTATACAAAACCTTTACGAAGAAATTGGTTGAATGAATTTTTTTTGAAAATGTGGCTATAGACTTAGCTCTTTAAACCTATTTTAATGTTGTTTTGCAGAAAAATAATTTACTTTTCTAATGAAACAAACCGTAGTTCAATTAGTGCATTTGTTGGTTTCAAACGGAAGTACGAAAAGGAACGAAAAAACTTATTCACCAGCCTAATAGGACAAAGATCCAGAAAAAGGTGTCAAAGCGAGCCCTCAACTAGGTATTCTCATTCTCCTATCAAATGACTCCACTTGAATCCAATCATTAAGAATTAGGTAGGAAAAGGAACGAAAAGACATTCACCAACCTAATACGAAGTCAAAATTCAAATGACTTTCCTGTTTCCCAAACGCTGATCACTCTTTTCATTTCTTCGTCTTTTTCCCCCTTATTTTCATTGAGCTACCTCTAGATTTTATCTTTCCATGAGGACGATCTCGGGAAGAAATTGCCAAGAAAAATTTTAGCCCCTCGATTTCACACCGATTCAAAAAAGAAAATTTGGAAAAAAAACTACAATATATTAATTGCCAAAGATATTCTAGTGTAATAAGTGCAAAACCACTTTGAGAAAATAGAAAGATAAGGTTTTGTGCCCTGATTGAATAACTGCTTTCAAAATTGGTACCACCCAATCGCCTTTTTATTCCAAAGCCCCATTAGTTGCTTTAAATTCAAAGCAAACAAGCGAGATTTGTCTCATTCATAAATATGATTGATCAATTCCTTTTCTTTTTTTTCTTTTCACTTTTTCCATTTTCAGATCATTTCACCAACAAAAAGAGAAAAGGGGAAAAAGAATGAGAAAAAGAGAGAATTTCTCTCAATCGACACCCGGGTTTCACCATCCCCAAACACTGCAAACATCCCATCAATAGCCTCGAAATATTTCATTGTTATTTTGTAATTTTGGCCATTTTATAGTTCAAGTAGTTACAAAGTTTTTTTAGTAGACACCTCACATTCCCAAGGGATCATTTCATAAACACAAGCTACCTGGCTATCAATCTAATCCTACAGATTTCTTTACCCGACCCAAAACTTTCATTTCTTCAAATTGCTTTTGAAGAATTGCTTCATTCAACTTCAATTTCAAACTCCATTATTGCTACTTTTTTTTACTTTTTATTTAAACCTTTGAAATCCTTGAAATCCTTGAGAAAAACTTTCTTTTCCTTTAAAATTTCCTCATTTTTTGTTTGGATGCTCGTCAGAAAATCCCATTAAAAATTATCTGAAACGCTAATTTTTCTATTTTTTTAACTGTCACGTAAATGGTTGATCCGATTTTGAGTTGGCTTTTCAAATTGCCAATGATTACAAGTTGCCAAATTTTGGGGAAACTCCAAGCCGAGAGGAATGATAGAGTAAGATAAATTATTCAAAATATCTTTTTTTATATAGTTTACTCTTTTTCAATGAACACTCGATTGCTATAATCAGTAGGTGAAAAAGAGAAAAAAGGTTGAATAGCCATTTCAGAAAAAAGACCGGTAATGCTCGGTGAACCGATCCATTTCAACCACGTGAAAGGCTGAAAAAAGTTAGACTGAAGAATGAAATTGTCAGAGATTTCCCGTTTTCGTTTTTTGACTCAATTGGATTTGCAAACAAGACAGTTTTTGTTCGCCGGATATTAGTGAAACTCTCGAATGGCCAAGAGATTTCTCACAATCCATCGCATTTCCCCTTTTTGAAAGCTCAAGGATACTTACCTATTCCCAATCAGCACTATCATCAGTCATTCTTTTTCTTTCCATTCTTTTCTTATTCTCCTTTTCAACCAATTTCCCCTCGATTTGTATTTTCTTTCCTTTGATCTTTCGATTTCCAATTACCACGCGAACTTTTTTTTTTGAGAAAATATGTCAACTCGAATTATCAATAAACAAATGAACCTTGAAAATATTAAATCAAAAAATTCCTTGATTAACTTGAAGATCAATTTGTTAACTGAATATCTTTTCATTGATAGGCTCTATTTGTGTTCGATTTGACGAGACGGCTAATTCGATGAGTCAATAAAGCAGAAAAGTCGAACAAATCAAAACAAATAATTTGGCTTTTTTAGAATTTTATCATGGTTGAATAACAAATATTATAATTTAATTGTATTGAAATATTGAATATTGAATATTGAAATATTGAATATTGAATACAATACAAATATTGAAATCCTGTCATTTTCAGTGCACTCCGAATGCCGTTGATGTTAGCGTCAACGGCGACTCCCTCATATAATATCAGAGATGCAAGGGTGAGTTCAAGATTTGTAAAGGCTTAGCATCTGATAAAAGCTTAGAATTGCATATTTTTGATATTACTAGTATAGGTATGTCTAATCTGTATCCATTTTAGCCTCTTCAAAGCACCTCTGTGTCCCCGGGAGGCGATGTGACTTGTGCTGTTTGTGGGGATGGACAAGCAAAGCTACATTATGGAGTACTGGCTTGTTATGGATGTAAGTAACTATTTAAATTTATCATATTAATTAATTATTAAGTATATCATAATTTTCAGGCAAAGGTTTCTTCCGACGAACTCTCACTGGAAAGTATCGTTACGTTTGTCGCTTTGGGAATAACTGTGTCGTTGATAAATGTGGGTTTCTATACAAGCAATTAGAAAACAAAACGAAGCTTTTAGTCCAAAGAAACAGTTGTCGTTATTGCCGTTTCAATCGATGTCTCGAAGTTGGAATGGATCCGAAAGCCGTGAGACCCGATAGAGATTTGACTGGGAAACAAAAAGTGCCGAGAATCCGAAAGAAGCACATTGATGAAGAACTCTTAAATCATATGGTGAGTGTTACTAAAAGAAATTTTAATTGATATTATTGCAGATGCGGTTACAAGGTGACGATTGGACGAGAAAGCTCCAAGTCGATGTGAGAGTGCTGCTCATGCAACTGATGAATATTGAATCGAAGGTAGACACTCATTAGACTTCGCATATAATAACATTTTACAGGTTGTGAAGGGTGAGCTGAATATGACACAGCCAAATCGAGATCCCCTCAATATTCCTCCACCAAGGGATTCGAAATCGATCTCTTTGCGGGAAATGTTTGAATCAAAACCTCAAATGGAGAGCAGAAGGATGGAGGTTGGTTATTGCAGAGGAATGAAAAGTTAATGATAAGCTTCTAAGAACTTTATCAGACTATAACTAATGCATAGATGAACTTCTCCATTTCCAGATCAGATACGAGCCTCTTCGACAAGCCCGTGTAGAAGAGTTGCCGGCAATCGCCCATCGACGAGCAATCGCTGCTGTTGATTGGGTGGACTGTATCTCGGAAATTGCTGAGATATCTGAAACTGAAGACAAGGTAATATTAAATTGGCTTTTTTTCCGTTTTTGAGATGTTAGTTTTGAAATTTTTAGGTTTGACATGTTAGGTTAGTCTTTTCGTTCCTTTTCGTGCTTAATAACAGAAAAATAACAAATTCACCAATTGAAATAAGGTTTGTTTAAAGGAACGAAAAGACTTATTCATCAAATTAATTGCTAGTTTTACTCCTGCATTTGATAAAACGTGTACTGTTGTCAATTCGTTACAATTAAAATAAAAATTCTTGGCGCTTGGCTTAAAGTATGGAAAAAGAGTTGTAACTATCGCGGAGAAGACTTTCTTGGAGAAGATCTAATACATCAAAGGAGATTCACAAATTGATTGTATGTTTAGGTGGCCTTGGTGAAGAACTGTTATGCTCCGTTGACAATCTTCAACTTCTCTGCGAGAACCGCTCAAAATACAAAGAATCCAGATATCTTATGCCTCTGCTCTCACTCATTTGTGCCAAGACGGCTTCCACCGGAGTTCAACGAGCAAAAGTTCGTTTGAGCATTCACCAACCAATTCACAAAAGCCATATCTGTTTTTACCACATGGGAAAGTTATGAATCATTTTATTTCCCATTCAAAATATGGGAAAATCAGTGATTCAACAAATCAATTCAATTTTGGGTGACGACACTAGAACATAGATCTCAGCAAAAAAAAATACTAAATTTGGCTCGACGAGAAGAAAAAGTGCATCAAAGGGGAAACCCATAAAATCTTGTCTTTCCTCCTTGTTGCTCAATTTTCTCTGAAATACAACCGAGTGGTTGTAAATTCCTGCCGAGTGATCTTTTCTGGGTGAATTCAGAGTTATCAGCTTTTTGCCTCCATGTGTCTCAAAAATTTCTCTTGATCTGTGCTAAAGTCATTCAGTCAAAAAATCAAGGCAAAATTCTCCCTTTTTTCGGGGATTCGGGAAAACCCATTTCTCTTTTTGAAAGGGAGAATGGCCGATAGAAAGAAAAGTGATGTCATTGATTTGTTGAACTTTCACCCGATCAAGAAATGATGCGTGAATTATTGTGTTTGATCTTTTGGATTTAAAATCTCCCAAAACGTAGCCTTGGAAACTGACTGCAAAAGCTGAGCGAAAACTAAGGGAGACAGTTTTAAGGATGAATCAGATTGTTAAATCTAATAAAACACAAAGCCTAATTATCAATTTTAGTCAACTCTCGAATAATCTCATCGATCGAACACTCAACGAACTGGTGGGACCGTTGAGAAAAATGAATCTGAAAGAAGAAGAGATCGTTCCACTCAAAGCAATTCTTGTCTTGAATCCAAGTAAGCAAATTTTACTAGAAATAAAGTCTTTTAGTCTATGGCTTATTAATAGTGATATTGACCAGTCGAAACCATACATGAAAATACCTTTTCAGACACAAAAGGACTCTCTGAAAACGCCCGAGCAGCGATCACCGAATTGAGAGATAAAGTGCAGGATGTGCTCTTTCAAATTGTCAAGGAACTCCATCCATCATACAATGCGAGCTCACGATTCGGGAATCTTCTTCTCTTGTTGCCAACAATTGCGGTGAGTTAGGGGAAGTTAACAGAAACAGTTAGGGGAAGTTAACAGAAAGTTAGCAAAGAGATAATGATTAGTTTATCGCCAAAATAACAGTACAATGCTTTTAGACTCTGTCGAGTGTGATGTGTGAGAATATGCAATTCTGCCAAGCTTTTGGCGGTCGCGCGAGTGGAGATCCGCTGCTTTCGGAAATGTTCGGAGATTTCAAGGTTTGGACTTTTCAAAATATATCTGTTACGTCCGATTTTAAAACATTTTATCTTCAAAACCTTTTTTTACCCAGAAAAGTGATTTCACAAAGAATTTTATTAAATTTTTCGACATTTCAAACAATAGTTTGATAAAATATCAAAAACATTATAAAAGAAATGCATTTTTTTTCATTTTTAAAGGTTCCTTTGTGCAAAAACTATCATTTGCTCAGTAATTTAGTGATTTTAATGCAAAAAATATTATTCTGTTATCAAAATCGGATGTCCGATTTGAATATTTTCAATTCCGATTTTCAAAAACGGATGTAACATATGAATATTTCTTGCTTGAAAACTTGATTATTCATTTGATTATCCTTTTCAGCTTGAAGAGCCTCCACAGATCTCATCCTCATCCGGCTCTCCTCCCCTTTTTGAGAATCCAGCGGATATCTCGCTTGGATCGATCAGTCCACCCTCATTGTCGGGAGAATCGATTCATACCATTCACTCGCCTGTTAGGTGAGCACATTCAATAGTCACATAAAGCTAATAACTTAGATATCTAATATATAACATTTCTTTTCAGAGCTTGGTTTCAAAAGAGAGTGGATGTGTCAACACAGACCGAGACGGGTCCTCCGCCAAATCCAGCTCATTCTTTGATCTCCGGTGGATATGGAAGTCCGGTAAGTAGCTAATTTTAAACTAAAGAAGCTAACAATAAGGTAAATCATTAACGATACCGAATTGAGTTGATAAGGGTTCTCTAATTTCAGCTAGCCGGTCTCCCGTCTCCATTTTCGAGTCTTTTGGATGAAGATATCGTTGATTCGACATTCTCTCCAGGCGATGACTTCGAAATGTTAACAGATACTCATCAATTTGATGACCTCATGCAGTATATCAAATAATTTTCTTTCATAAAAATATCTAGAAAGCGAACAGATTCTATTACCGTTTACAATCCGCCGGTCGAGATTTTTGTGTCAAAAATTTATCCCCGAGAAACAGTAGGTCCTTGATTCAACAGTCCATCTGACATTGATCTTGAAAATAGATCAAAGAAAGGAATTGGTAAAATCAAGCTCTACTGTACAAAAACCTAAATGCTCAGAAAGTTTTCGAATTATTCCATTCAATAAACTCACTCACTTTTCTCTACTCATTTCAGGCTGTGTTTTTTCGAAAAATTTATGATGAATTTCCAATTTTGATTATCTATTTCCCCACAAATTGCTCCAAATTCACTGTTCCCTTCAAAAGTCGTTCTGACTGCCACAAACTCGCAGACCCAATTCTCTTTTTCTTTTCTTTGTCTCGTTTCCTTGAAATTCACTTATCACCAATCGCATCATCAGGTTGTTGTTTTTGTCAAAATTTAAAATTTTCTATTTTATTCTTAATTGTGCACTATAGTAGTGTAGCTTTCCTTTTAAATCTTTTCTTTAGGGATTTTTTTCTGATGTTTGGACCGAGTGCTTAGGATGGCTTGCCTTGTCAAAAATTTTGGTTATTTTTTGGGATTTCTTTTGAATGAATGTTTGTGAGATCCGTAGATTCGGTAGTGAGAAATAAGAGGATTTGTTTTTCTGTTTTTCTTTGTTTTCATTGGAATTTATAAAAGTCTATTTTGATTTTCACGCTTTTCTTGAATTGTAAAGAGGTTCTTTGAATAAAGGAGTTTAAGAAAAATGGATGGCAATGAATGAATGGCAATGAATAAGTGAGTAAGTGAACTATTGGATCGGATCAGGATCCAATAGTGAACTATTGGATCGGAAACTTTGTGGTAGATGTGTTGAAAAGACGAAATCGGACTAAATTATGATACAAGTGTTATACCCTTTGCGAAACGATAAACTACTATGTTGACAACTTGTAGATTAGTCACAAAGTAAACTGTAACCTGTAAAACATGTAACCTCTGTAGTCTCGTTTAAGTAAAGACACTATTTTTCTCATTTTCTATCAAGATCGATCATTTGGGCCTCCAAAATACAGACTTCTAAAGGGGAAAAGGGAGAAAAGGAAGAAAAGGATTGTGCAAATAGAGATCTACCGAATGGACGACCAAAGAGAAAAAGAAAAGAAAATTCTCTTCTTGACCCACAGATTCACTAGTTTTCCTCTAAATTCTACTCATTTTTCATTTCCATCGACTTTCGATCTTTTAAACACATTCACGATAAAATCATTTTTGGCTTGGCTTCCATTTGTTAGCTGTAGACCTAAACATTTGTAACCGGAACATTCTGGGAATCTGAATCTGATGGAGAATCTGAATCCGTTATTATTTTTTGAGCAACTTTAATTCCCGAGCCAATACGGTTATCACAAAACTCTCTAAAACTTGAGTAATTAAAAGAAATTGGAGAAAAAAGAGCAAAACCAAGCTTAGGTTTTGTTCTATGATGCTAGAGGCCGTGTGCCAGAAGCCGCGAGTATGTAAGCATGAAAATTTTCACGTTTTTGTGCCTCCTGGCACACAGCCCTGGATGTGGGGTTACACTTGGGTAATTAAGCTGAATCAAAATCGAGCAGTTTTTTTTCAAAAACTAAGAACGGACTCGAATTCCTCATCACCCTCCAAATCTCCGATTGCAAATTTTCAGCTCAATCGGCCACAAAAAAAGTACTAAATTTTCGTATGACCGTATATTTCGTATTTTCGTATGGCCATATTGTCGCGAATGTGTTAAGGCGTAGCAAAGTTTAGCACAAAAATTGAACATCGTCACCATTTTGCATGAATGTTCTGCGCGACTTTTTGATCACAAACTCCGAATGAATCATCAAAAGGGAAATTTTGAATAGAGGACACAGCGATTAACGTCCTCTTTTTTTTCTATCAATCCCCTTCATTTTTCCAACTCGTAACCCTTTCAACATCACGAGGTCAAAACTTTTTTGAACAAACAAAGTTTTACAGCACGGAACAATAGGTTTACGTCAGTTATACTTGGTTTTGGTTCTAGAGTCTTTTTTTTGTAAATTGTCACACTTTTGTTGGTAAATGTTCCAAGCGAGTTTTCTAAACAGCTTTCGATTTCTAAATGGAAAGCAATAGTTGAATATTCTGTGTGCTCCTTGTTCAAAATGGGACAATTTTACATCATTTGACGTGTCAACTCGATAAACAACAATGACAGTATATTTTTTTACTTATTGGGTGCAGCAATTCTCATACCCCCCCCCCCCCCCCCCAAAAAACCCCTCTTCCCCCCCCCCCCACAACATTATTTCCCCCCAAAAAACACCTTAAATCCTAAATTAACACGAAAAATAAGCATACCTAAAAATTAAATTTTCAAAATAGAAACAATCAACCCCCAAAACACGAAAATATTTATTTATCCCACATAAAAAGGTCAAAAAAAACAATAATCTGTACCCCCCAACGTTAAAAACCCCCACCCCCCCCCCCCCCCCCCTCCTCAATCCCCCCCCTTTCCAGAAATAATCGTCCTGGTGCGTGTACGATATTGTTTTTTTTAAAGTTTTTTCTTTTTTTTTTTTTTTTGGTTTTCCCCCCCCAAAAAAATATTATTTGTGGGGGGAGGACCAAAACCAAAACCCCCAAATTAGGGGGTGCGTTTAAGAATTTGAAACGCACTGTAGTTAACCATTTGACAAAGTCGTTAATAACTAGTATATTTCGAATTCAATCTAAACGTACCATTGGGTCGTTTCATTCTGAGATTTTATGATTTATTCAAGCAGCTTGCCTTGTATTCCTTGTTTTAACGACTTGTTTTAATTTGCTGATCAATTTTTACTGTATTTTGCTGAGCCATCCTTTCCTTACAGTCTTTGAATCCTCCCCAGACAAGTGTTCTCTCCGTCCGTTTCATCACAGTCAACTCTGTCGCATCCGTTGTAGATCTTGTATTATCCCTAAATGTATTTTCATCTCATGATCAATCACAACTGTCTCTCTTTCTCCATTTCAACAATTTGTACCGATGAGGATCGATACAGGCAAACACTCCCCTTTTTCCCCTTTACCCATAATCCGTTGAGGGCTTTGAATTGTCAAAAATTTCCCTCTCCCCTTTTTCGCTAACAGAAAAACCGTTATGTGGCCTCATTTTTGTCCGTTTTACCTGCACACAAACAAACTTTTGTCGATAATAACGTTTGTTTTGATTCTCGAATTGAATTGAAAAGATTCTCATTATTTTTCTAAAAATTTATGATCAATTGTAGGAGTGTAGAAGTTGTCAGTTGTCTTTGTAGTTGGCAATGATGTTTTCTTATGTAGTCAGTATTGAGGCTAACCTCTTAAAGGGGTAGCCGACTAGAAGCACGTCTTCTTGTAAATTCATTTCTCTTCTATTTTTGCACTTAAACAAAGTAGACAATAAATCAAATTCAGAATCTCAAAATGGACCATCCATCCCCAGAGACATCGGCTGGAAGAATTTGTGCTGTTTGTGGAGACAGTCCGGCAAAAGTTCACTATGGAGTACTTGCATGTTTTGGATGTGAGAAAGTATTTACATTTAATCGAATCAAAACATTCAGGCAAGGGTTTCTTTCGTCGAGCGGTGAAAGATGGGCGAAATAAATACATCTGTAGATATGATCGACAATGTGCCGTCAACAAGTGTGAGTACAGTATTTTGGTCCAGCAAAGTCTTTGTTTGGGAAAAAAAGATATATCGATTTAGTTTCGATTTCAAAATATCTAAATCGATATCTCTTTGGTGTCTAAATTTAAACAAAAGAACGATCCAAATTAGCATAAGCTTTTCACGAGGATGAGCTTTTCTTTCCTAAACTAGCCGTTTATTTTCGTGTTCTCGTAGAGTTCAACAAGGAGTGGGTGAATGGGCCTTCTCTTCTACTTCCACTCCTCTTCCTTTCCCCCTTCTTCTTTCTCAACTCTTTTCTTCTGCTGAACCGTCGAGTAGATGGTCTCTCGTTGATCTCATTTCCACAAACACAATACACAAATAAACTATTCTTTCATCTGTTTCAAAAGGAGAGATTTTTAAAAAACTGTAGAAAGAATTTCAAGAATGAAAGGTATGTTTAGATGAACGAAACAGTTGTCGATATTGCCGATTCAGGAAATGCCTTCAAGTGGGAATGAATCCGGATGGTGGGTAAAATTGAGAAAGAAAGAAATATAAAGAAGCTAAGGACAAAAATTACAAGTCTGATTGATATTGCCGTATGTATGAACTAGCATAAATTTTTCAGCCGTTCGCCCAGATCGAGAAGAATTAAAAGAAAAGGGAAAAATGAAACCACTGCTTACAAAGAAGAAAAGTGTTGGAAGAACTCTATCTGGGAGAGCGACAGATGAAGAAGAATGGACAAGATTCATGACACCTGAACAACGGTTTGAGTGAAAGCAGCAATAAAGCCTAGTTCTGACATTTCAGAGTTCTCCTTTTTCAACTCATCAAACTTGAGGCTGAAGTGCAAAATGCAAATGAATACAACTATGAGGTAAAAATCATGAAAAACTTCATTTCTTCCTGCAGTTTTGATCTTTTTTCAAAAGTCTCATGATCAGCTTTAGACTGTAGCTGATTTCAATCTGAAAAGTTTGGTGGCTGATAGAATGCTGGCTGAAAAGGTAACAAAAACAATAAAACAACAATGAATATAACTAATCACTTAAAGAATCCATCAACACGTCTCTCAGCTTCTTCAGTCTTATCCGGAGATATAAATCTGACAGCAATCTGGCGTGTGGTGGCTGTAGTTGAATGGGTTGAAGGAGTTGTGAGAAAAATGGAAGAAGGAAGACATGTTGTCACAGTTGAGGACAAGGTAATAAGACCAACTCTTAAATAGAGCATAATTAAATTCTACTTTAGACAGCCCTTGTTGAAGACACTTTTGCCCAGCTGACTTTGTTCACATTAGCTGCTCGTGCGGCTCTGACTCCCCATGCTGAACCGGCTGCTCTTCACCATTCACTACACCCATGTTCTAGGTACTCCTAATCCGAAAATAAAAAGTCAATTTATTTTAGAGTTTTTGCAACAGAAGTTGTTAGAAGATTAATCTCCGAAGTTGTCGCACCGTTGAGAAGACTTGAACCATCCGATGCTGAATTTGTTCTTCTCAAGGCCATTATTGCTTTAAATCCAGGTACTACAATTGTGAAATCTTTTGAAATGATCTCGTTCTAGATGCTACTGGAATTTGCAATGCGGCTTCGTCGAGTCTCCGTGAAAAACGCGATGATTTGCAGAATCTTCTCCTCAAGACAATCAAGAAAAGTCGTCCGAAGAACAACACTCAACCTGGAAGTCACTTTGGAAATCTTCTGCTTCTCATTCCTCCACTGAGAGTAAGTGATTGTAAAGAGCAAATCTCTGCAGTTAAGAAGTTTCTGGGAGTTCAACAAATCTTTAGCAACTTGGTTTCGAGCTGATCTCGCATTTGCGAACGAAATTCCCGCGAGATGGAAGTCAAGCACCATTTCGCCGTATTCTTTGCGATGTTTTCAACCCGGTATGATTATGATTTTCAATAAAATTTCATCAATTTCACAGGTCTACGATGATCTTCTTATGCAAAGAGAACAAGAGCGATCGGATGCTGAACAAAGTGAAACGATTCGACCGCAACAAGGGTAAAACTTGATTTTCTTGTTGTGACTTGCTTTTTATCCAGGCATGAAAAGGATTCTGTCTTACTTTGACTATAATCTTTTTAGTTTAAATTTTACAAACCAAAAGTTAAAGAATTATTTGGCATTCATTAGTCTTCCTTTTACAAATGCAAGGATTCATAAACCCCTTTTCGAGTCCCCCTTTTATGGCTCCTTGGCGCAATGGTAGCGCGTTCGACTCCAGATCGAAAGGTTGGGTGTTCGAGTCACTCAGGGGTCAAAAATTTTGCTTTTTTTTTTACAAATTTTTTTTCAAAAGCTTTAGTAATCCGAACCAACTACAAATTGAATGCATTAACATACAAACATTCAAAGAGGAACCTCAATCAATTTTCTGTGCACCTCAGGTAAAGTCAAGGGATTTCTTAATAATGAAAGCTTTAAACTGTAATGATGAGTCGAAATTTCAGCCTCCAATCATCCGTGCCCCTCCTCGATTTTATTCTCCGTCAACACTTGTGATGGGTCCTCCATCATTTCCATCGGGTCTTCATCACGGTTTTCCCACTCCTACCTCAACTCCATCTTCCCTAAATGCTTCTTGCTTCCATACTCCTCCACCCCTTTACCGTCCTTCACCCCTTTCACCCTGTGTCACTCCACTTTCAATCCAGTGAGTTTATAATATTCAGCTGATAATCGAATCAATTCAGTAATGATTTTCCAATGTCTGATCGTCCAACAAGTCTTTCTTTACCGAAAATTCCCCTGCAACTAACGAGATCAATTGAGGAAATGCTGAAACCAAATGGAGGTAATGGCTGAAAATAATGTGATTGGTTATTGCCGCTAAGAAAAGCCAATGCAGTTACACAAAAAAGTTTGAGGTGGTGCTTCAGAGGAACTCAATCGACCTTTAGCCTCGGATTGGGCCGACACTGTTGGCTACAGGTAAAAGTCAACTTATCTTTTGAAACACATAAATACATTTATCCTCCTCTTCTTTACAGTACTCCTATCTTCAATCGAGATGTCGTTTCTCAATTTTTCCCCGAGATCAACACAAGCAATACAAATCTTTGATGTTCAAATACTCTTTGTGCAATAAATCTTTGAGATGAAAATATTTATTATTAGAATAAATAAATGTAGAGAAGTCGTTGTTTTTTGGGAGATCCCATTGAGGAAAATGAGGTAAGATTCCTTTAGAAACGCTTGGTTTCTGGAGCAGAGGTAGTCGAAGAGGTGTCGATCTGAAATGAACAGAGAATTGAAATCAAAACTCAAGCTAGAATGGCTTTGATACATTAGATTCATTATCATTATTCATTATTCTTTACCTTGATCTCTTCCTTTTTCTCTTCGACAATCTTGGCATTGGTGTCTTCGCGTTTGCGAATGAAACGACGGAAACCACAACATGACGGGACTGAAAGTTTTGCTTTTTAATGTTTCTAGTTGCAACATTTGCTTGGAAATAATTAAGGCACTAATTGTAAGAAATAAACATGCTAAACTTTTTGTTTGATTCTTTCAAGAACTCACAAGCTGGTCCACAGCATGGTGCTGATTGCAAGAAGAATGGAGCTGGGATGAAAGCCTGAAATAGCTTTTAAAGATAAAATCTGTAAAAAAAAGGGCTTTCTCTTATTGCTTTCAATAAGGAACAGTCCAGTTTATAGGTCACCGGTGGGGGTGGTGGAGCAAAAGAGATGCGGAGTGGGGGTGGACCGCATGGAGGAGAAAGACAAAAAACTGGTGGTGGAGGTGGAGGAGGCGCCAGGACAAAGGTCTAAAGGTATTTGATTAGTGAAACTTAGAGTTAAGCAAAAATAGAGCTAGTAAGCACAAAAAGAATTTACAGGTCGAGGTGGAGGACATGGAGGCTGAAGGCAGATAACCGGTGGGGGTGGTGGTGGAGGAGCAATAAGGAACTAAAAATGATTACAAGGTACATTGTAATGAGATAATGTCCCAGTAATAACTTTTAAGAGCAAACCGCTGGAGGAGGTGGAGGGCATGGTGGTTGGAGGCAAATGACTGGTGGAGGGCATGGAGGTTGAAGACAGAACACTGGGGGAGGTGGGGGTGGTGGAGGGGCGAAAAGAATCTAAAGCGTTGTTGCAAAGTGTAAGATTTACTTTGCTTATTATAAATTAATGTAAGATCTATTGCAAATATAAAGACAATTAACTTACTGGTGGTGGACAAGGAGGTGTCAAACAACATGGTGGAGCGAGGCATGGAGGAGGAAATGGAGGCTGAAATATATATTTTTGGTTTTATGCTACAAGTTAAGCCATAACATTTCAGCAATATTAGATTTCTTACCAAGAATGGAAGTGGAGGAGCACAAGCTGGACCAAAGCATGGTGGTGGAAGTGGAGGATATGGTGGGAGAAATGGAAGAGGGCCGAATGGGAGAGGAACTGGGAATGGGGATGGGCTAAGGAATGGACCCGCTGGCTGAAAACAAGTATTTAAGTGAAATCGCTAGATTTTCTAAATTCGACATTCTAAATTTCTGTACAAAAGGACTGACTTACCACCGGACATGGTGGGAAAAGGCATGGAGCAACAATTGGAACCTGTTGAGCTGTGATTGAGGCCACGAGACCCAAGAACAACAACTCCCGCATTCTTGACTAAAATTGAGCAAAACTGTTAGACCGAATCGAGAAATCTGTAGATTCTTAGACACTCTGATTCATTAAACAAAAAACGGGAAATGAGAACGGGCTAAAAAGTGTCTTCAACATTTATAGGACACTGGCAGGCATGGACTTGAGATGTCCAATCTTCGGTCTTCATTCTTCATTTTCTTTTCCACTTTCATTCACACTTCTTGTTTCTTTTAAGCACTTTTTCAGGGAATGGATGTCCCTCTTCACAAATCTCTTCAATTGATTATCTTCCGACAAGAATCCGCAAATATTGACCGACAACGACGTCGACAAAAGACAATCACAAATAATGTCTATCACTTTTTGCTGTACGTGAATTTTGATTTGAGAGCAATCAAAAGGGAGAACTGTGTGATGGACAAGATCAGACTAGACTGTTTTAGACAGATTTAATAGTATTGTTGGGATACCAAACCAACCCTGAAAGGTAGCATTTGAATTTTAATGGTTAGATTCTGATTCTTCCCATCATGCATTATTCTTGTTTACAATTTGGTTACACTTTTCTATTGCTAAACCAGACTTCCACCACTTTGGGTGCAACAACAACAGGTTCTGTCTTTTATTGTTTCGATTAAATTGTTGTTTCATGACGCTCTCAAAACGTCATTAATACAAAAGACAGTGCATGAGCACTCATTGGTCACAGCTCTCATAATCATTCATTTACACGTGATGATTGTTATGAGTGCCTCGATAGGTGAAGATGAGTGCGGGACATCTCTCTTGACATTCTCAGTTCACCCACGATTGTGTATTGTGTTGTCATGGAAGAGTTATACGGAAAATTGTGTTTGGTGTATCAACTACAATCTCATTAAGTCAATCTATTAAGTTGAGGAAAAAATTATGCGCCTTTTGAATTTCGCATTAGGGAATTGAAATTGACTTCAACTCAACACTCGCGGGCTGACAGAAATCTTTGATGTTGATCAGAAGACAATCGACAACCATTTGCACCAACTCGGGGAAAAAATTGCTATGAAAAATGGGTTCCGCACGAGCTGACTCAACACAACAAAACAATTCGTGAACTTTTTTGCTCCATAAATGCAAAGCTGGTGCTTTTTGGGATTCGATTTTGACATTTGATGAAACTTGAATTAATTACGAGAATGTCAGAAGGAAGAACCAATGACTACCTACCGGACAAACCCCTCAAACCATTCCCAAAACTTGGGAGTGGTTTGAATTCATGGAAAGGAAATATTTTTCTGGTACTCAAAAGGTTTGGTGCACTATGAGGCAGCTAATCCAAGAGGAAACATTAATGTTGATCTCTATTCAAAACAATTGACTAAAATTAACAATGCTTTAAAGAAATTGGGGCTCAATCCATCAAAGATTCGATTTTTGCACGACAACGCAAAAGCCCACACTGTAAAAGTCACTGACAAAAAAAATTGGCGAACTGGGCTGGAAGTTGGTTCCTGATGCGCCTCTCTACTGACTTAGCCCTGTTAGATTACTTTTTGTTTCAGTGCTTGGAACAACAGTTTATCATGGGAGAAAAGTTCGACAATCATGCTCAAGTCAAAAAAGCGGTCGGCAACTGTTTTGGCTCCAAAAATCCCCAATTTTTTTACAAATGAAATCAAGGACTTGCGTCGAAGATGGGAAGAAGTCATCAATAAAAGTAGAGAATATCTTACTGATTGATACTTCTTGTAGAATGCAATAAATTGTTACACCCAAGAAACGCAAATTATTTTTTTCCTCAACCTAATAGGCATTTTCCTACTACAGTATGCAACAAAGATTCGGTAAAACGGTGAAAAACTATTTTAAGCATGCTGCCTTTACAGTAGCTTTGCGGCTGCACCGATCTCAAAGAAAGAATCTTTCTTTTTGAGGTAATAAATCCGTTCTCTTCATACGGTTTCTCTCTAGGATTTATGATCCTTGCAGAATGTCTGCCATGATATCATGGAAATCTCACAGAAAGACGTCATTGAACTCACAACAGTTCGTTTCTCATTAATTTCATTTCAAACTTTAACTCGGAGTTTGATGTGCATTTTTAGCAGAGGAATCTCTTTCGGTTCAAGAATAGACTTTTTGCATTTTATGAAGGACATTCATAAATGATGTCATTTTGGGGAAAATCGTTGATGGGAATTGGCTGAATACACAAACGCCCCCATGAACGAACAATTTTAGCTCGAAAATTCCTGTAGACGATTGCACGAATATTTTGAACAAGAGTGAGATTGATGTTGGTTTGGAGAATGTACACGGAGACTCGAGATTCTTGTAGATTCTTGTCAGTTAGTGGATTTGAAAAAATACCATAGTACCGCTTGTCTTACTAGTGATTAGTGTCACACCCCTTATTCTACAGAGTGCGCCATAATTGTCGCAACAGGATAAAATTCTGATTTTAAGGCAGACAAGAGGAAAAAAAAGACAAATTTTTAACTCAATAACATTTATTGTACATTAGCAATTATAAATGAACTATCAAATTCGAATCGGCCACCATTAGCATTTGAGCAGGCTCGCAGGTGCTTCGGGAAGGCGTCAAATAGGCGTCAAATAGGCGACCAAATAGGCTGGATCAAGCTCTTCCCACGCTTTCAACAGTGATTTCTTCAAGCTTTCGATGCTTTTGTGGGACTTTGAACAAGATTTGGCTTCTAGAACCGACCAGACTGAAAAATCCATTGGGTTGAGATCTGGAGAGCTAGGTGGCCACTCAGAAAAAGAAATGATGTCCGGGAAGTTGTTTTGGCAGATCTCTTGGACTTTCTTGGATTTGTGGACCGGTACGCCATCTTGCTGATAAGTCCAAATGCGATTTCCAAAATGTTTATGAGCCCAGGGCAAGAGTTGAGTTCATCAAGAGAAAGGCAAGAGTTCATCCTTGAGGAGAGCCAGGTAGTTATCGGAATTGACTTTGCGACACCTTGTTGCGACAATTATGGCGCACCCTGTACTTTCAAAAACCGGGACGAGCTATACGATAACCGAATCTCGTTAAGAATATCATTAGCGTAATTTTTTATTCATTTGAACTCAAGACTCACTCAAGACAGCATTTGTTATGAAATCTGGGCTATGATTAAGTCTTTTGGTATTCAGTAATGTGACGAGGAAAACATTGATTTCCTTTCTTCTTCACCCAACTCTCGCTGCAGCACAAAAGGAGTCAAAGTTCTCGATCGAAATGACACTATTGTTTGAGGAATTCATTGATGAGACTACAAAAATGGATGAGAGATCGAAAAAAACTGAAATCTCAACTTTCTCTCGATTCAGTTTTCGTTATTTACACAGCTGGTTGTCCCTATCGGATTTTTGTTCGAAATTTTGCATTTTTTTGTACAAATGAAGGCTTAAATTTAGTTTGGGGTATATAAGCAAATTTTTTTGCTTTAAATTGTTTCTTTCTGTCACAATCGTTGCGGATTTGTGATCTGATTCATCTTTGATAGATTTTATCGAGTCATTAAAGGTCTTGGTTACACCAAGAGTTGCACTTTCCCGTTCCTCTTACGCAGTTTTATTTTCAATGCTCATTTAATTGTTTGAAATCTAATATCTTTAATCTCTTAGAAGTTTATCTGTTGAGATCAGGTGCTGTTTTTATTGAAAATTATGTCTGAATTGTACTTTTTCTCATCTTTCACCGCACTCTCTTTCTTTTGGCCATACGCTCAAAAAATCAAAGAGTATCACCGGAAAATGAAAAAATTAAATTCTCTTTGCAAACCCAGAAGCATTTTTTTCCTCTTATCACGAGGTTTCGATTTTAGTGTCTAGACTAGGAGCTTTTTTTTCTAAACGTTTTTTCACAGTTTTCTAAACGTCACTTTTTTTGCAAAGAACTTGAACTTAAGCTCTCTAAGAATAGAATCTTTGTCAACTCTAGTCGTTTTTAAGCTGATCATTTATCAAATTTAAAACAGTAACCAAACAAGCGATTTTATATTGTTTTTAATTTGATTGCTCTATATTTTTCAATTTTGATCCGGTGACTTGGGTAGATCAAAAATAACTCTCAAGGTTTATTGTGACATTTCCGGAGATACAAAATGGAGAAAGGCTTTAAGAGAACGGAAAGATGAAAGGGGTAAAAGAAAAGAAAAAAGATTGGAGAACATGGGGTCATGACGCAGACCTGCAATGGACGGGAAATTGTTTGGTTTAAAAGTACGGTAATCCAATATTTAGACTCAAACCTTTTTCTAAAAGATGCCGTAACTCTTGTCTTTTCTATATTAGAAAAGCTACCGTAATCCGTTCTAACAAATTTTTACTAGTCAAAGTAAAAGGAAGGAGGGGAAGGGAGGGAGGGAGGGACAACAACAGCCTCAAGTCAGTGAAAGTCTTTGATCTAATGTGAATATAAACTTCACGAGAATGAGCTGTTTGCTTTGTTTTGAGTGTAGACATATAAATATTAAGCGGCCGGTAAACTCTCGACCAATCACAAGTTTGTCCCCGTTCAGTTTGAGTCTCCGGCACTGCCCAAAGTACACATCTTATTTATCTCGCCTACACCAAAAATATCCGTGAAAAATCCAAACATATTTTGTGTATTTTTCTTGTCTAGCCTGTTCACGAGTCCAGAAAGTGGCTGTTGACTGATCGAGGAAAGAGAAAAGAGCGGCAAGTGGGCGCGCGCGAAGATCAAGAAATCAAAGGCGCCTCCGAACAAAACCCCAAGCATCACTTTTCGACCCTGAAAATTGAGAGATTTCACAAAATTGAGATGCCTAGACAAAACGGAAAAAGAGAGAAAATAAGAGAAAACTTTGTTGAGATTAGACCTATCTTTCTCCTCTTTTCCCCTTTTTCTCATCACTTCCCTTTGAGCCTAGTCATCACATTTTGATCCCCTTGTGACCGATTCGGGGAAGTGTATGCTGTGCTATTTTTGTACCCTTTGACCTCGGCATTGTTTGGGTTACTTTGAGTTTTTTTATAAAGTTTTGTGGTAAACTTTTGAAAGTTTTCAAGGCTTTTTGAAATCCTCTTTCTAATTGTGAAGTGAATTTGAACGAAACCTTCTCTCTCTCTCCCAACCTTTGCCCTTATTTATCGTAATCTTTATCTTAAACCTTGTTAAAACATTTTAGCCACAAACTTTCAAACTTCAAACAATTATTGTTTATTCTAAAAATTTCATTTGATTACAAATCCTGTTTTCTGCAATTTTAATCACAAACAAATATTTCGCTAAGGCGAAAAAAGGAAGGGATTTACAGCTCACCTCTGACAGAGGGCAAAATTTGGTCAACTTTTTGGAAAAGGAAAATGGGTGGGGGGAAAAGAAAGGAAAAGAGAGCGATTTGAATGTTTGAACTCATGGCACGTTGGTCTGTCTCTTTTTGATCGCAGAGAAATTTCGAGGTGAAAAATAAAAGAAGAGAGACAGAAAAAGAAGAGATACACCCACTAAAAGAGGAGAAGTTTGGGGAAACACTAGTGAGAAAACGAATGAAGAAACGAATGAAGACAACATCTCATGGTGGTGGTTGAGCTCTTTTCTCTCTTCATTCACATCACAGACCAATAATTTTACCCACTTCACCCAACCCATCACTATCAATGACTACCGTATCGGGGAATCATTCAGGAATGGAGTTCGCCTTTTGGCTCAGTCTCTCGGTGGCTTACTATTGCACAAATCTGAACTTCAATCAAACTCGAATCTAAATTTCTTTATTTCAAAATCTGTTCACAACAATATTCTCTTGTTTTTTGAAGTCTATATCACTCTGTTGCACCAGCAAACGTGTTGTACCTGACACTGCGTTTGTCTGGATAAAGTTTTTTTCTGAAAAGAGTAGACTTAAGTGCTTGAGATTTGCCTACTCATCGGCCAAGTCTTAAATTGTTATGCTATTTTGGAAGATTTGGATTTATTTTTACACTTGAACTATCCATAGCCTCACTATCAGTTTATCAACCACTATCATCACTCAAATTCATTGCAGACTAGATATTTTTTGCTCATTTCCTCAAACTTTGCTTGTCATTTTTACTTTTTTTTCCTACAGTAGTCAATTTTTCAATTGAAAGCCTAATGATGTGTTTAATTCTCGAAATTCAGTGAGTACCTTTGCTGTATCCTATAAATTTTCGAAATTGGTAAGCGAAATTCCCTAAACGATCAAGAGTTCAAAGAATGTTGAACATTTAGCCTGCAAAATTTTCCCATTTCTCAATTTCTGGCATTGTATTATTTTGCAAATTTTCGCATTTATTACTGGCTTTCAAAAAGCTCAAATAGTTCAAAAAGAGTGCTTTTTTCGGTTTTTTTCCTCTTTTTTGACCGCTCATTTTCTCAAAAACGACGGCTGTGTGACTTTTTGGTTTTTGGATCGTTGAACTAGAGATTGGAGTCGTTTTATGGAGAGGAGAGAGAAAAATACGGGAAAAAACTGATAGAGATTCTTTATAAAAAAGAAAGAACAAGATCACTCGCTGTTTATCACAATTTCTTCAGCAAATTTTTGCGAAATTTTTTGAAAAGTCTTTTAGGGATTTTGTTTTGTGGATGTTTGTGTCTGGTTCCAAAATCAGACACAAGGAGAACATGAAAAACTAAAGCACACTGACTATGAGGGTGTCAAAGATTTGGGTTACGGTAGCTGAGATAGGTGAAATAAGTCAGGCTTGTCTATGCTACTGTATCAAGGTAGAAAGTTTTGTATCTTACCAAACCCAACTATACGTTTCCCAATCTTTGAATTTCTCCGAGTTTCACTTTTTGTATCATTTATCATTTTTTGACTCTTTCTTGCAAGACACATTTTCTCTGCTTTTCCCTCTAATTTTGCTATCAAAGTTTTTTTGCAGAAACGACGCTTTTTATTGAAATCTTCTTTGAAATTCTTTCTCTTTGCAAAAACGAAAAAGCATTTCGTCATCCTTTTTTGAGTGTAACCTTCCTTCCTTCATCTGTGCTTTTTCAGAAAACAAATTACTCAAAAAAAAATTGTGCAAGAAATGGAGGATATCGAAGAGAAATGTTTGCTGAAGAGTGGTGATGAAAATGGTGGAGATGGAGGGAAAGGACGAATGTTATACTGCAGAAAGTGAGTTGGATTCGAATTTGAAGGGGAAACATTGAATCATGATGCGTTCAAGAAGCTAAACTGTACATAGTCTTGGTATTTTGTGCTGAATTCTTGGCATCTTGGTACTTTGTAACAATTATGCTTTCAAACATTTTGTTCTATTTCCTTTAAACTCTGAGATCAACAAAACAACCTTGGGAATTTGTGATCACGGGGTCGAAAAGAGAGATTTTCAACGGTCAACTCTTTATCCCTCAGGCGTTTTTTTTGACTCACTTCACACGGCTGTCACGTTTTTCACTGAAAAGCGACCAAAACAAAAAACTGTTTTGTAAAGATTCAAGGAGATCAAAAATAGAAGAAGATTTATAGAAATTTAAATAAATTGAACAATTCAGATGTGAGGGTCATGGTGAACAAATCATTCTGAAAGGTCATGCACCCATTTGTCCCTACATTCTCTGTCAATGTCTTTCGGTAAATTTGAATTTAATTTGGATATTTGATTGCATTCCTAAGACAAGAATTTTCTAAATATAGCACTTCTTACAAACAAAGATAGGAAAATTTAAAGTGTTGAGCTTCATTCTTGTCATTACTAATAGTAAGCAGCTGGCTGAGCTGCTTACTATTAGTAATGGCTAACCAATAAGCCAGTTTCAGTGCGAAAAACTGATGAACAAACGCTTGAAGTCATTCAACAAACGAAATCGGGAGAAGATCCAATTGGCGACAACGAGAAAAATCTCGGAAACGAATAGACGAATCGAGCTGTTTGATGGAGGAGGTTTGTTGGAACGTTCAAAATTTCTATTTAAAACATTTGCGAAAAGTTATCGTAATCAAAACGTTCATTTTTCATTCCCAAAAGAATCCTATGTAAGTCTTCGTCACTTTCATTCACTTTCGCAAAACTATTCTGCTACAATTCCTATAATACATTTCCCCTTCGAGATCTTCTCTTTCCATTTCCCTTTAAACTCATTTTTCCCAGAATTTTGACACCATAATAAGTAAAAAAATCAAATTTTTCAGCGTGTTTCTTAAGAACAAAAAGTTCGAGGTTTCCCCACTTAGTAACCCATCAATTTGCCGCTATTTTTTGAAGAAAAATCCCTTGAAAAATGATTTCCGAGTACACTGAGCCCTGAGAATTGCAATTTTCCCAAATGCCCTCAATTTTCCAAAAATTTTAAGTATAAAAGCAATTTCTTGTGTTCACCTTTCTTTCGTTTTTTTTCCGACTAATCTCCCCAGAACGATTAATTATTCATTCTACGCAAATGAGGGATTAGAATTTCTCATTTTTATTAGAATAGGTCATTGAATTGGCATCTGGGAGCATTTTTTGAGGATTTTGTTAACATTTTCCCAAAATCACATGATTTGTGTCGGATTTGTGCAAAAGTTGGTACTGTAATTGGGAAATAGACTTTATGACTGGCTTGCAGATAACTTTTGACTTTAGTCTTTATTTTAAAGATTACTAGGCCAGTAAGATTAACTAATGAAGCTTTTCACAGTACTATAATTCCTGTAAGCCTGTAGGCCAAGGTCAGGCCTGGCTTCTGTTTTCTGGCCTACCTGGTCCGGGAAATTGCCTTTGAAGGAATCCGGTTTCCTTATCTTTTTGATAAATTTCAATTTGATCCTTTTTACAACTTCCATACTTGTGCCAAGCTGTAGTCTCTGATTGTATTAGTCTTTTCTTTCGTCTTTACGTTCCTTTTCATACTTCCAGAGCACAAAAAGTTAGGTATATAGCCAAATTTTCAGAGAAATTCACCCAGCTAATTTCTTCGTAGAGATTATTATAGATTTGTACGAAAAATACGTTTTCCTCTCGAATTTGCTTGAAAGTGAACCGAAATTAACTTAAAAAGATGGAAAATTGAAAAATAAACGCTTTTTATTTAGATCAAACCATAGATTAATTGGAGAATTTGTTATTTTATTTGTTATTAGTGCGAAAAGATCGAGAAAACTTATTCACCAACCTGTTCTTGTAATTTTTGCTCCCTCCTTTGCAAATTTTCTCACCTCCAAATCTCTCCTATAGTCTAGAGATCACTACAGTCTACTTGCAAAAATTTGGGCACTCTGTGAACCTTTGGCTCTTTCCAATTCAAAAAGTCTCCTCCTCTTCAATGTGTCCTTTTTGGTCAAGTCGTCTTGGTGATTTCCATTTCCTTGAACTTCAAAACCTATTTTGTGCACTCATTTCTGAAAATGAATAGAAAAACACAAGAATTTTTAGTTTTTCTGCACTTATTTCCGAGTTTTTCCCACCCACGTCTTTTCAAATTTTTCCCAAAGATTAACAGACCAAATTCAATCATTTTGAGTCTTCTTTTAATTGCCAAAACAATTAAACTTTCTATTTTTACTGTAGATTTTTGAAATGACAAGGATCACATCCAAATTCTGTAGTCGAAATGAACAACAATTTTCTTGCCGAATATTTTATTATTTTTTGTTTGGCTCAACACAAAATGGTTGAGCTCAAACTCCACAATAGCCACGTTTCTTTTTTTATTCATTTAAACTTATTGTGTGCGCTCTGGGGAACATTATACTCAATTTTTCAGACACCCAAAAACACAATTTTCTAAGACAACAAATCTTTTAATTATCGGCCACGTCTAGCTTCAATTTGAGATCTCAATTCAAGACACCAAAAAGTCTAATGATCCTAAATCTCTTTTAAACAGTAAGTGCTTCTAGTTTTTTCCTTTATTATACTTGGCTTTGCAAGCTTTGCAATTCCTACTAATCCAAGCAGATATACAGCTGAAAACCTACTTGCAAAACCAGCGCTCGTAGCTAATTTCTAAAGCCTAACATTCACAACTCTATGCAAGTCTAGACAACGTCATATTCTTTATTTAGATCTTATTTAGATGTGATATCTTTTAAAATCTCTCATATTTATTTGTTTCTCATTCAGTTAAACTCAATTTGATCTGAAATGATCAATACGTGCTCATTCGAATGTTTTCCCCTTTGACAGAAACTCGATCCAATCACTCTCTCCTTCCCCTTTTCCCTTCTGTTTCCCTCTTTTTCTTATGGTGAAATCAACATGAATCACATTGTTATTCATTTACTATTTTCGATTGGTTTGGCCTCTATTTTTGTCAAGAAAAGTGAGCCGAGCAAACAGCGATAAGTGGACATTGAAAAAATCGAGAGAAAAAGGGCAATCTGTGCAAAACGCGAAGAAAAACAGAGCTTGTTGTTTCTTTTGGAGCCAAAAGTCCTGAAAGCAATCCGAGTCCAATAGGATCATTTGAAAGTTTTGCTGTTTTTCGTTTGGATCTTGTTGATCTGTCATGTTAAAGTGCGAACGATTTTGATCATCATTTGTGCAAAATAACACTAAAGTTCTCTATAAACAACCACTTTTGGCCAAACAATAAGAGAGCTCACTACATGATTGAATTTCGTGAGGAATTTTTGAGGGAAAGCACGTTCACACAAATCGCGTTCAAGTGTTGCCTGTTTTTGTGTTCGGAATGATCAAAATATTGTTGATTGCATCCAAATTTTTCAACTATTCTTTCATTGCAAGGAGTTTTTCTGTATCACATACTCTCTAGTGGACTCTTTTAGAGCTTCAAAGACTTTCTTCTACCTTCTAAGCTCTTTCATTCCATAGTTTTGAGAGAAATATTTTCTTCACTTTTCTCCTAAAATCTCTATTTGTATTCTCAACAGCAAAAGTTCATGGGGATTCGATTAATCTCTCAATGGGAAGGGGTTGTTGTGATTTCGCCAAACGAAGAGATCAAAGAGGAGGGGTTGACTCCTTCTCTAAGACTAAAATCACTTGTGATTCTTTGAAAACATTCCCTCCATTCACTTTGAATTATATAAAGTTTTGAAATTTCTTTTACCTTTACATTTCTTGCCGTAGCCATATTTTTAACTTTACAATCGCTTTGTTTTAAGCTTTAATGGCTCTTATTTGAGTTGGTAACTCTCCTTTTGCATTTCTAATTTACTACATTTAACCATTTAGCAATTTTTTTGGTTTTTAAATTTAATATAGACTTGGTAGATTTTCGTCTTTAATATTCTCATTCACCAAACGATACTCGCGAAAACATTTTGAAACCTGATCTCATTCCCAAATGGAACTCTCTTTATCAGTTTAAAAGCAAAAACTACAGAACTTTGATGATTCAATTTTTGAGGGAAAAGAAAGAAAGAGAAGGGAAAGAGAGTGCAAAAATATTTTTGGTCAATGAAAGGAAAGAGAAGTTCATTGTGTGTACCTCAAGAGATCCAAGGGGATTTCTTTCTTTCTCTTTTCTTTTCTGTCTGGGAATAAAGTTCCAAAAGGATATTAGACATTCTTTAATTTTACCGTGAATGCAATGAGGAATTTGGTTTTTGATTTTTTTTGTTGTTGTGGCTCTAATGTAAGGATAGCTAAACAGGGATTGTACTTAAAGGGTCAAGTGCAGTTACAGTTTACCATACCTCTATGTTTGTAGTCTCAATTCTTATCTTGACCCATTCAACTCATTGTTTTTGATTTGCTCATTTGCCACACTTTCCCGTTCTCAAGCCACCTCTCCATCTCATTTCACAATTCTGCTCTCTGATCGCACTTTCCCCGTTCTCAACATTGAGTCAGCCTTCCACAACACACCAAAGCTCTCTTCTTCTCTTTTTTTCCATCAGACTTGTCCTTTGTTGATCGCTTTGATTGACCAAAACTCTTCCAGACATACACGTGTATATTTGTATCCGATCATTTTGATCTTGTTTATAGTACAATTGGGGACTCCCTCCCAATCCCAATCCACTCGCTGATCTTTCCCAGATTGGCTCCATTCCATTGAGAATAAGCTAAATCAATTTTGATATTAAACTTTATATGCTTTTGAATTTATATACTTTTTACTCAATCTACTGAATTCCAGATTCCGGTCGTGGATCTTCTTCAACTCCTTCAAGTGGAACGTGTACTCCTGATACAGTCATGTCTGTGTGCAGCTCACAACAACCGGTAAATTATCTAAATTTTTGATAATGCAACTATTACACAGCCACTAATAGTATACCTCGTTCCTAAATTCAGAAAACTTCTTGTCTAAACTGATCTAATTCTTTTGCAGAGTTCATCGAAAAGCTCATCCACCGGACTCGAAGGTCGATCGATGTCAATGGGAACAATGACTGTCATGTCTTATGATATTTGGAAAGCAAAATGTGCAGCTGAAAGAAAAGAAAAAGAAGAAAAGGATAAAGAAAGGAAAGCTTCACTTCCTGCAAGAACAGCTACACCTGAAGTGATGCCGAGGAAGAGAGCTCACACATTCGTCTCTGTTGTAAGTTTTTCAATCCCTCTAAGTATCTAACTCTATTCCAAAAGAATTATAAATTAGTTCAGTGATGCTTGAGTAAAATACAAATGTGATCAAAAAAGCAATTCGATTTTCAGAAAGACGCTCAACTGCCAAGAATTCGCCTGAATGGGCAAAAAGATGAAAAGAAGGGAAGATATATCACTTTACCCACAATTCCTCCACTTTCTGTTTTGATTCCCGATGATGAAGCAACGGATTTCACACCAAACGAGGTGAGGAATTCTTTTGATACTTTATTATTTAAAATAATTCGTCTTTCTAATGAAATAAATCGTAGCTCAATTGGTGCATTTGTTGGTTTTAAACGAAAGTACGAAAAGGAACGAAAAGACTTATTCACCAACCTAATAGATAACAAATTTTCCTAAAAAATCTATCAACAACCAAAATTCAAAAACAAAATGAATAATTTCAGGTGCAAGCCAAGAAGAGCCGTGACGAGATCAAGTCCAAGATCGACACCCCCACCGTTCTCCCAGCTCCAGTTCCTCGCAAGATCGGTACAAATCTGCCCCCACCGACTTTCTTCATCAATCCATCATCTACTCCAATCACAACTGTATCTCAATCCACTCCGATTCAATCAACTCCTGTCTCTCAAGTGCCATTCTCCTGTCCAATCTCTTATCCAAGTCCTCTTCCGACTCCAAAGCTTTCCACTGATCAATTCTTGGCTTCAATGTTCGCTCAGACTCCACTCCCAACATCTTTCTATCAGAATTCTTTCTTGAATACAATGCCTCCAATCCAATCTCCTCCCCAACCCCAACCAAATCTTTTCTCCCTTCTTGGTGGTGATCTTTCAACTCTTTTATCGACTCTTTCTCAACCTGCAACTACCATCCCCCAAGCAAATCCTTTTTTGGAAGTTCTTCAACGAAGCATTCAATTGCAACAGTTAACCGCTTCATTGTCAGCTTTGAGCCCCCCTGGTGGTTCTCCAATTGACACAGCTTCTCTCAATCAGTTGATCAATCGTCAACCATTATTCTCTTCCACTATATAATTGAATTGTTTTCCAAATTTCCCCTAGTCATTCCTAGTTTATATTTTTGTTTTTGTGTAGATTCGCACATTTCTACGCACTTCTCGTTTTTGAGATCTCTTTCTTTTCTTGTCGACCCTCAACAATGAAATCCCTTCTGTATTTTGGTCCTGACAAAAATTTGTTTTAAATGCTTGTAACTGAATGTTAAAACTGTGATCGAATAAATGTTTTCGGAAAAGTTCAAAGCAATAATCAAGTAAAAAGAAAGCAGTTGATAGATTCCTAAATTCGTCACAAAAACATGATTTCTAAAAGCGAACAGTTTTTGAAGTTTACCACAAATATGTCTAAAGACCTTTATAAGTTTTTGATTCTAATTTTTCAAACGAAAAAACCATTCAAACTGCATCACAAGGTATTTCGAAGAGCTTCGTGTATCCAAGCATTCCTTTGATTGTTTTTCTCATTGAATGCTCACCTTGTTCTCCCATCAAAAAGCCGCCATTCACCAAGTTTAATAGTCCAAATCGGACTTTCACTGCTTTATTGTATCCTTCGAAAAGCTCGGCGAAGTTTAGAGAAAGAGCTACTTTTTTGATGAATTCTCGGATCGAAGGGAGACATCTGAAAAAGAAGACAAAAAAAATGAAGATCCCATCTCATCTCACTTTTCACTTTTCGTTGCACTCTCAATGGAACTTAAATCAAAATTTCCCTTAAAAAAAATGGCAATCTATTCATAGGAAAGACGTAGAAACTGTAAAAAACTTTAAAAGCCTCATCTCATTCACAAAAATCTGAACTTGTTAAAGTTTTTAATTTTACTTGTTACGAGGGTGTGTTGTGTCATTAAATGTATTGTAGAAATCATTAAAGTTCTCAAAAATACTCTCAATTTGCTAAATATTAGATTTTCCATTGGATAATAGAGGATTTCCTCGAAAGCGTGGGTGCCATTGTGCTTTTATAAAAAAAGGAAAAGAAATGAGTAGAGTGAGAAGAAAAGAAAAAAAGATGAGAAGAAGACAGGGAAATCCGTTTTCCGGTTTCCCCCTTCATCCAAATCATCGGAAAAAATACTCACTCCGAGTCATCGAAAGAAGCAAAAATAAGGGCTATCGGCTAAAAGAAATCACCGATTAGAGCTCGTTTTTCAATTACTGAAACAAGGCGAAAATCGAAAATTTTTGCGCACTGATTGGCGATGAAAATCAGTTCAAGACAAAAAAAGATGGTTCTCGACTGGAAAAACCCTCAAAGTTTTTCTGGAAGAGCTGAAGAAGTGAACAAAAAAACAGTTCAAAAACAGATTAGATTGGATAATTCAATGGTGAAATCTAATAGAGCTTAAGCCCTTGAAAGTATCGAATCTTGCCTTTATCGTCTTTTGCCCCAACTATTAACAGAAAGATTGATTCTTAAAGATCCACCAAATACTTCAACTACATTTTCAAAGTTTTCATCTGTAAAACGACTAGACCAAGCCTCAAAACTTTACTTTTGTACGAGTTTTTTGTACCAATTCAAAACGCGTCCAGAGGTGTCAAGTGGGCAATTCGATTTCACAGATTGTTTCCCGCAAAACCTGATCGCTGATGGGTAAGCCTGATTATTGAAGAAAGGGAAAAGAATGGTACTCTTTTCCCTTTAATGCCATCGGCTAGTTATGCCTTAACAACAAGACATAAAGATATTGCTCATCGAAGGGATTTATTCCCTCATGGAAATTCTCTTCTTATTAAAGACACAAGGAATTTTCACCGGTTATCTCGGTTTGCCATCGTCTCTTCCACGGAAAAGAAAAGCTTGAGTGTGGATGAATGGATGGGTGGATCTCCGCTTCCCATCCTCCCCATCCTGCCCTTCTTCTTGCCTCAATTCCTCCTAGCAATCAGTCGATCTCCTTCTCCTTTTCGGCAACTTCTTTTCCCTTCCCTTCTCTTCAAATCTTGACCACCGATCTGACCAATCCTTCAGCCATTCTTGCAAACTAGCCCCGAATTATTTATTCGATTTTTGTTCGAATAATATTTTCATTGGTGTAAATGACGCGGATAGTGGTAAGTTCTTTTCAAGAGACTGAAAGTTTCGCTTTTTAGATTTCAAATCATTTCATTTACTATACCAGTTTTTAAACTTTAGTTTTTGGTTATCTTGATATCCTCCCCTGTTTGGGGTTGCCTCGGAGGCGGTGGTGGATGTTGCTCAACACCTGAATGCGGAAATCCCTGTGGAGGGTTAGTTTTTGAACAACAACAATAACAAATTCTCAACCTATCAAGCCAAGTTTAACTAGCTAGCCTAAAAATTACAACTTTTTCAAACTTCCAAACGTTCTTCTTTTGTATTTTCCAGAATCGAAAGGACATTATTGTTGTAGAGTGTTATTTAAGACACAATTTGTTTGCTAAAAAATGATCAACACTTTTAGTGGGGTTGGCGGATATCCGAGCGGCCCAGTTAGTGGTGGAGGAGGATATGTGGGAACAGGTGGATATGGAGGAGTTGGAGGAGCACCCATTGGATATGGATCCGCTCCTTCATATGGCGGACCTCAAGCTGTTCCAGTTCCAGCCTCAAATGTTGGGTACTCAAATGGATTCACTGGTATACTACATACTAATCTATACAACCTGATACCTATTTCAGGTGGAGTCCAAAACCCGGCCGTCGGAGAAGTGAATCCAGGAATCGGAGGTCAAGTTGATGCTGGACCCAGTTCTGGTCAAGCCAGCTATAACCGTATGTTAAACTGATATAGACTAGTATTTTTCATTCTATGATAATTTTAGAAGAAACCAGTGCTCAAGTGGCTTCAAATAGCGAATCTAACACAAGAACTGAAATCTCTGAACCGACTGGAGGGGCTCCGGGAACAGATTACGAGATTGAATATACAGGTGACAATCGGTTGAGTTAACTAAACTAAAGAAATATAGATGAAGCAAAAGACCTTCCAACACCAAGCGCTCTTACACCAAATGCTCAACCAGCCGCATCTTCATATTCTGAACCAACTGCAGTGACAAGTGACACAGATATTGCAGCCTCGATTTCAACTCGTCCATCCACTCCCATTTCAAGCGAAGTTCAACCAGTAGAGACTCCAGCTGCTTATCAACCACCCGCTCAATTGACCCCGAGTGGCAGTCAGCAAATTGAAGATGAAAATGAGGAACCTCGATTGAACTATCAAGTTTGTTGTAGAGGAATCCATATTTGGGCATTGTTGTCAAACACTAAGCGAAAGAAAGTTAAACGAACGCAAATTTTCAGGCATCAAACAGTGAGGACACCGCCCAATATGTGGCTCCATCAACAAATGAGCAAGTCAACGCTCCAGCACCATCAGAAGACTATAATGAAGAGGGAAATCAACAACAACAGGTGGGAAGAGAGACTAAACAAAAAAGCATCGATTTGAATGTTTTTAGGAATCAGCGACTCCCGAAAGAATATTCCCAAGCTCACCAGTTCCACACGCCGAAGTACCTGCTAGTGATGAGAATGTGAGTACCTATCTTATGATTGTAAACATGGATTTAAATGCACAATGACACAATAAAAAATACTAGGAAATATCATTGCAGGAGCCCGCCGGTTTTGTTTCGAATCTCGGTGATCAAATCGAAGCCGCTGAATTTGGACAAACAGGAGCTACCCCAGCTGGTAGACTATACAATTTTAGATTATTGTCTAAGAACTTTTGGTTTAAAACAAAAAAAGAACAAAAACAATTTAGCCGGAAGCTATCCAACAGAAGTTCAACAAGAACAGCAAGTTGCTGCTGATCCAAATGAATCGGAGACCCCAGTTGGAAATGAAGTCAATGGAGATCATGATGCTTCGATGGAAGCTAAACCAGGTAGTTTATATTAAAATAAGTTATTATCAAAAAAAGCATTTACTTTTAAAAGGTTTTCCTCTTTAGTTGCCGAAAGTGAACCCGTTGAGGCTCCAGCTGCACAGGTTCGAAAACGATCAGTTCTTCATTTAACTGAGTTCAAAATCTAATCAAGTTTTGAGAGTGTCTCACAGTTAACAGTACTCATTACGTATTTTCATTTTGTTTATAGGTGGTAGTGGGAGTCCGTCCTTCATCAACTTACAATCAGGACACTTTTGAGAATTCGCAAAATCAAATCGCCACAGAAGAAAACAATCAAACACACGATGAAGAACAAGAATTCTTTGGAAATGAACCAACTGAATCAATGCCTGTAACACCGATTGAACAAGAGCAAAGTACTAATCAAGCTGAGCAATCTAGCACTACTCAAAGCCCTTATCCACAACTCATCCCACAACCGATATCCGTTGAACAAATGGGTACTGTTGATAATGAACTTTTTGATAAAGAACATCAAGTACCTTCTGAATCTACAAGATTGGATCAATCTGGTCCAATTGGACCTGAGACCACTTATCAAACTCAAGAACCACAACTAGCCCAAACTCAATCTCTCGCTTCGACTATTCACGAACAAGTTGAACCATCACTTGACATCGAAACCTCGATAGACACAAAACTGTCTGAACCAGAACCACCACATCGTGTTGAATCAGCATATTCAACACAAATACCACAATCTATTCAACCTCCATCGGCACTACCGATTCTTGAACAAGTTGATCCATCATTAGACTCAGAAGCATCGATTGATTTGAAACTTTCTGAACCGAAACCGGCTCAACGATTTGGGCAGCCAGCAGAGAATGTTCCCAGTAGCTCATCACAAGACCCAGTTAAAGGCGAAATTCATTCATTGCCAACAACAGCAGCTGATGGTTCAATTACTGCGGGAGCAATGGAGACAACAGAACGATACACAGGGGACAACACTAACAATGGGTTCGTTCGATTTTATGCAAAAGATATAACTTGACTAAATAAGATTGTTCGTTTTCTTTTTGATAATAGGTGTACAAATTATTCGATTTTTGAAGTGTCCTTTGGTGGATGCGGTGTTTATTTCTCACTTTTCCAGTGAAGATCAAGCAGATCATGAGGCCGATTTGCCTCTCCAATCACCCACACAAGCACAAATCTATCCAACCACTTCATCTCCAAATACAGCCAATCAAACACCGCAAATTGAGCAGGTACTAATCATTTCAAGAAATCGGTTTGTTTATATGTTTCAACAAACCTCAATCAATGTTAAATCAGTTTTCAATTGTTTAATTAATTGTTTAAATGTTTCCAAATGGGAATTGACTAATTTGGGCGTTTTTGAGGTGATTTTTTAAAGAAAACTTTTTAATTGACATAATTGCATAATATCAGTGTTGATCAACACAAACTTAATATCTTTTTAGAATACCGTTCCTCCACTAGAACCATACAAGAATGAAAACATTGGAGAAATCATCACCGCTCATGAACAACAGGTTTGAGAAAATGGGCAAGAGGGATCAATTCAGAATACAACTTTTCAGATTGTTCCCGCAAATGGATTCCGACCACAGCCAAATGTTCAACCGACCGTTGTTGATAATGTAAGTTTTGATTGCTAAAGATCCAAAGCACGGCATATCTAACAAACCGCTATTACTAGTAAATTGAAAATTTAAAGGTCTTATCATACTTTTTAAATTGCAGACTGGAGGCTACAACAAGATTATTCGAGCAGGAAAGGTTTCTTTTGATTTTATTTCTGAAAGATGAGCACTCTTTAAGATCAAAGTATCCTAAAATTAAGCATTCATTTAGGTTAACGAATATTCCTCAAAATATTCAAAACAATTTCCAGGCTCGAACATTTGGAGTGCGAACGAAACCCGAATACAACGGAGAACCATATTTCTTTATTATTAGGAAATAAGGATTTATTTTATTAAATGAACTTTAAAATATGCTTAACGTTCTAGAGAATAGTTTTACCATCCTCCTTTTCAAGTTGTTTTTGTAATTCAAAAAAGTGCAATTTTCGATCTACACATACACACTGGACAATGAAATATCATATTTGAAAAAAGATCGTCACTTTCGCGCTTCTGTAACTCCCTTGTCTTTGAGTTTAAACTATTAGTGTTATATATTTTCTGAAAGCTCTTTTCAAGGGCTGCACAATGGTAATATTAATATTTAGAAATACGGTAAAGACAAGGGAGTTACAGACGCGCGAAAGTGACGATCGTTTTTCAAATATCATATTTCATTGTCTGTACCATCTTTATTGTCTGTACCATCTTTATTGTCCTTTTAACATTCTCTCGTACATGATAACCGCTATATCAAATTATTCAGGGGTATTTATTTTTGATGTCTTCTCATTTTTGTCTGCATTTTTTCAGTTTTAATAAGCTCGATAATAAATTGAAGCCATAATGAATTTGGAGACAGAAAAGATTGAACTGTTTTCTGTTTTCATACTATATTGAACACAATGCTTGGTATAAACCTCATATTTTTGAAATATAATAAGTAAATTTTTAAATCTTGCTGATTGAAATTCTCTTCTATTCTATCATCCCACAATCAATGCCATTTCCTTGATTGACTTTCCGTTTTAAAATGAAGCCATTCCCCGTAATGTTTAAATCATAATCGGTGTCAAGGATATTTGCGAGAAAAAAAAGGAGCGAAAGTTGAGGTGGCAGATTTCCCTTTCAACGGAAGAAAGTGGGCGCGATGAAAACTGTGAACCGTTAGATAGGCACAAAAGATAGACTTCAATTTTATGTCTAATGAGTGAAAGAGAATGAATGAATGAAATGAAAGGAGACGAGTCGATGGCAAAACGATTTAAATGTATGAAGAGGGAGAAGTCAAGAGGGAAAGACTAGATGGGTGTGCAGAAGAGAGAAATTCGAAGGGAAACGGTGGAATGAACCTTGACACCGAACTTGAATCGTCTCTTTCAACACCTTTACACACCTTTACACACCTTTCACCCCCACAGTACCTCGTTATGTCGAAAATTTATGATAGCCTTGATGAGGAGTGATTATGAGGATGACTTTTTGCAGAGATTATACGTCTAGAGTTTGCTTAGAGAGTTCAATCTTCTCACGAAGAAAACTATTGATAAAATCAAGTATTTTAGAGTTTTCAGTGCTAATTGTAAAGACAGTAGCTGCCAGTTATCAAAGAACAAAAGTTGGTAATGCTTGTTTCATTTCAGAGTATCGGAGTAGCTTTTCGAGAGTTACTTTTGCAGAGACATTGAAGTATCCTTGAATTCTAATTTTCAGAAGGTTAGAATTTCAATTAAAACCCAATCATTCAATTTGAAAGTTTCGATTGCCATTGTCCGTCAAATGGCTGACCGTTTTGTTGATTGAATTAAGAATTTAGTGGGTGAATCGTGGAAAAAGTGAGCGTATTGAGTTCTGATGGAATGGATGGACTTGAAATGTTCTTTTCAACCCTTACATTCTCTTTTTCTTTCCCACTTGCCAGCCTCAACTTTTGCTTTTCGTTTTTTTGCTTTCAACCGCTGGAAAAACATTGCATCAACTAAAGACTTTCCTTTTCTTTTCTTTCTTTCTTTCTTTCCTTCTTTCATTTCATAGATAGACCCCCATCGTCACATTGACACAATAAAAAGAAGTTCAGCAGCTCCATTCAAAAACCGAGACCAAGTTTTTTAACTTCATTAAGTTTTGCGTAAAGTAGTTCTTGCAGAATATCTATTTGAAGGTTGTCTCGAATCTGTTCAATGCTACAAGAGATCAGAATTGAGATAGAAAATGTGAAACATGGGTCAACAAGATCGGAATGTTGAGATGAGAAACGAAGGATGGATACGCTCCAAAGTGTCGCAATGAGTAACCTTGGACTTGATTTAACTTGGAATGATATTCTCAGCTATTATTAACACAGGACTATGGAAAAATTCTATTAACGGTTGTGAAACAAACTAGAAAAAAAACCACATACCTAACAAAAAACTTTATGCTGTTCAGTGAAATGATATTGACATAGGTTTTGGGAAAAGAGCTGCTCATTTATCGTCCTGCTTGGACGACAAATTTTTAGTCATTGTTTAGACATTTACAAACAATACCGGAATTTCAAGAGAAAGCTAGAAACTTTTGAGAAGACTACAGTCGACCAATTACATGTCCTCTGTAACAATGACTAAGACTTTGGATGGTCAATGGCAGCGAATTTCCCAAAACTCGCTGATTTGGATGGAAAGCCGTTGCTCCAAGATCTAACAAAGCGAAAAAGTCATAAACTTTTTCGGATCACCCATAAAAAAAGTGGATATCGAAGGAGACTCCAGAGGATATTTCTCGATGCAAATCAGTCTCTCTTTTCTTTTGGAAAGAGAGAGATAAAGAGAACAGACAAACAACCGTTAGTACTCACCATGTCTTTTCCTTTCTTTTCTTTCTACAGCTTCTCCTCTTTTAGTCTTTTCTCATCTAAAAGAAGGCATGGCATTGCCATCTGCAGTCACCCAGTCAGCCTCACCTCTCCCCCTTCCCCTCCCCTTCCCCTCCCCTTGACTGCCCTCCCCCAAAAGGAGAATCAACCATTCCCCCTTCCTCCCCACTTCTCATTCCCTCAATTCAGACCCCTTCAAGGAGATCCCAATGAAAACGGTTGGTTTCAATTTCTATTAGATTTACTTGGTAATAAGTTCCAGGTAATTAGAAGAAAGTAGTGGAAGCTCTAGTTTCAGGAGATTGAAGTCTTTAATGTTGATCTCATTAATAACCGCTTTCATAAAACTGAGATTCTGGCTTGAGACTAGGGAATGTATCAAAGATTTAAGTGAGTCTAATAGAAATAACTATAGAAATAGCTAGACTAATATCTATAGAAATAACTAGACTTACTTCAACAATTGAACAAATGTTACAGATAGTTCTTGTTGCGTTGTTCGCCTCGCCGGCTTTGGCTTGCTTCGGTGGAGGAGGTGGTGGATGTTGCGCATCTCCGGCGCCTGTTGGTGGATGTGGAGGAGCACCACCATGTGGAGGAGGAGCCCCAATTGGAGGAGGGTATGTATATAGAGAAAATAAAAGGAAAATCGAGCATCAAAGCCGAGGAAATGAATTGAGAATGACATTGTACTCACAAATGTTTCTTAGACTTACTATAGATTAGTAGAGAACTTCGATAAATCAAATTACTGCAATTAATTTTCTATTAGACAAAGTTTCTCTTACTTTCAAACTTTCTAAATCTTTGCCATGATGAATGTTTGCCAGAAATCGGATAGATTCCTTTTAAGTTTTTTCTCCATCCGAACCCCCACGCACAATCAAAATCCCATAACAATAAATTTGCGAGAAGAGAATTCTTTTAATGCTTCTAAAGCTTTTCAGGGTTTTCAGTCCAGGGTTACATTCAACTTTAAAATTAAAGGAAATAATGAAAAAGCTCTAAAGTACAGTTTTTTGTTCATTTAAAGATTTTGGTTGGCGATTTAGTTTTCATTTAGGATATAAGACCAAATCATGCTCTAAACAACAAAGTGTGCCTGATAGTATAGATCTGATCTTGAGGTTTGAGTCTTGAGGCTTTCCTTGATCCAATTCTTTGATATCCAATATAGATATACAAGAGCTGTCAACAGTGTTCCTCTCCTTTCATATTTGGCAAGAGTATTCATCCCCTTACCCCTTTGCCCCTTTTCCCTTGAATTCATCCATTCCCCTCTTCACTTCATGACTTCTTCGAGGTTCAATCTTCATCCACTTGTCAACTCTTTCAAAAGCTTTCCCCTTTCTTTTCCAATACTTTCCTTTTTTCTCTTCTTTTCTCGAGTGACATTGAAAAGTCGTCTAAGCAGACGCTGCTAATAACCAGAAAAATGATTGCCATTTTATGATGATAACTATGAACGAATTAGGGAAAAGTGGCATTTAATCAACCAAATAATTTCATTTAATTTAAATCTTTTGGACAAATTTCAGTTATTGACATGAAATCTGTATAAAAGATTCCAAATTCCTAACGTTGCCACCGACAAAGAAACTTGTTTCATTTCTTTGATAGAGCCGTTCCTATTCATTTTAAATTTGCATAACAAGTTGAAAGGAAGGGTCTATGGTTTCCTGACGTGAAAATTGGATAACCCTGTACATTAGAAAAAAGCAATTTCATCACCCGTTCAACTTTTTCCCTGATGATATGAAAGGCTCAGATTTGAATTCAATTTTTAACAGCCAAGGTTAACGATTGGTTTTGCATAGGCTTACTGTTAGACCTAAAAGTTAATCCATTTCTTTATTGAACTGAAAATGAAAAGCTAATACATCAAAAAATGAATTTCAATGACAAGCAAACATCTGTGATTTTTTTTTGATCGAAATCACGTAGATCCACTATGATCTTCACAATTCTTTTTGCCATCTGTGTTACCGAATCACTTTTTGTAAACTGAACACTCACCAAATCGAAAAGAAAGACATAACTAAATGAAAGAAAACTGATATCGAGTATCATTGTGGAAAAAGGAGGGTAGGCTGCCTCGTTGTATCTGAAAAAACGCCTTGAAGCGATTTGTCAACGCAAAAAAAGTCTTCTCCTTTTCTTTCCTTCTGTGTCACTATCTCGACTCAATGACATCGAAGAGAATCTCCCAAAAAACTGCTAAATTTTTGCCACAACGAATGGCAAAAGTTTCAATCAAATCTCATTCAAGGACATTAGACTGACATGAAGTAAAACATGAAAGATATGTGAATTGAGTGATGATGTCATGACATTTTAGATACGCCGCACCACCACCATCAGGAGGATATGCTACGGCACCTGGAGGTGGGAATCGGTTCTTAGAAAAAAACAAAGCTTTATGGATCACGGAAATCAAATAATAACATTACAAAAGCAATGACTTAAGTTGTAAAATTGATTAATGTTGGAGCTTTAGGCGGTGGAGGATATGCAGGAGCCCCCCCACCCTCACTCTCATCTGGATACGCTGGAGCTGCTGCCCCGATCGGTTTGTAATCTGAAATGAACAACTAATCACTTCTTGTTTAGGTGGTGGTTATGGAGGACCACCTCCAGCCCTTCCAACTGGTAATTTCTGGGAAATATGTGATTTATATCAAAGTGATTTATTTAGGCCCCGTCGGAGCCGGAGGAACCTACGGAACTGGAGGAGGAGCAGCAATTCAAGGAGGATTCCAACAAGGATACCAAGGAGGACCACAAACCGCCCAGATCCCACAACAAGGTAAACATTTGAAATAACGAGAAAGCCAGAACATTACATAGTGTAAATTATTGTATTTTGCTTCAGGAGGATACCAAGGAGGACCCCAGCAACTTCCAATTGCTCCTCAAGCTCCACAACAACCACAAATCCCTCAAGTTCTCCCTCAACAACCCCAGATTCCCCAAGTTCCCCAACAGCCACAAGAGATCCCTCAGGTCCCTCAGACTCCACAAATCTCCACTGGAGGCGGTGAGTTCTTGGGTGTTAAATTTATAACGCATAGATTATCAATCTATAGCAGCAATCACTCGCAGTAACTTTTAAAGCAAAGGTATAATATTGCTGGCACTTGTAATAACTTCACCATTTGAGCATTATCTTTCAAATTCTTTCTCTTAAAAGCTAAAGACAAAAGTAAGCACACTGATAATGCCAGTAAAGTCTTTTCAATCACATATTGAAACTCTTTGAAAAAGTCTTTCAAAGTTCACTTTGTGAATCACGCGCTTTTCAGAGCAACAAATCCCCGTTGCGCCACAAATTGAGACCGGAAACCAACAAACTGGCGGTGAACAAGGAGGATATGATGATCAAGAACAAGGGCAACAGACAGATCAAGGAGGATATGAAGAAGAAGAGGAACAAAAGACAGGAGGAGATTATGAAGAAGAGAAACAACCCGAACAACCACAACAGCCAGCGCCACAAGAACCACAAACACAGCCAGAACCCGCGCAGGAAGGTTTGCACTAAATGGAATCACTTTTTTTCTAGAAATTTACTAATCCAATTTTGCAAGTTGCTGGAAGGGTTCTGAAGTTTGACTGTAGTTTTCAAAAGATTAGCCTGCTTTTAGAGCATGTATTGGGCATGTTTAGTGGCAGTACTAACACATTGCAACAACTGATCATCAAATAAGACTAGTACTCTAATTTTATACTCATGCAAACATTAGAACCCTTCATAAAGCTTCAAACGTTTTTTCACTTCTTTTTCACTTTTCAGATTAACAATTTTGCCTCATTTCCCCTCTATCAGTCTAGCTACACTTTGAAATGAATGGCCAAAAATTGCTTGATCAACACTTTTTTTGCATTTATAGGCTACGGAGACACTCATATTTCTATTGCACCCGGTAGCGAGACTGATGATAACAAAGGTAGTGGAGGATTGGTCTATCTTTGGTTTTCTTTAGTTTTATTTTTTATTTTTTATTTTGCTTAACTTTGATTTCATTATTTTTCTTCAAAATCTTATTAGGATACAATCAACAAGAGACCCAACAACCAGAACAAGGACAAGAAGAGTATCAAGAAGAGGAACCAGCACAGACAAATAATGCACAAGATCAAGATTATCAAGAGGAGACCAACCAGGTATACTTCAAGGAGATAAGTTTAACGGAAGCAAACATTTTGTTAGATATTTTGGACCAGCAAACTAGACCAGCAAACTACAATTTTGCAATTCAGGGCAACCAACCAGCTGGAGGAGAGCAGGAGTATGAGGAGGAGCAACCCAGCCAACCCGAGGCACCCGCCGAGCAGTCTTATCCTGCCCCAGCCCCCGCTCCACAAGAGACAGCCTATCCAGCTCCAGCTCCCGCTGAGCCTGAGGCACCAGCTGAGCAATCCTACCCAGCTCCAGCTCCAGCCCAAGAGAGCTATCCAGCTCCCGCACCAGCCGAACCCGAACCAGCCGACCAAAGCTACCCAGCTCCCGCTCCTGCTGCCCCAGAGGTTTGTTTGACGAGTCAAATGAATCAGATCATTAATAAACAAAGGTCATGGTTACCTAGGGGATTCTAGTAATAGCTGAGAGCTTTGGACCGGGTCCAGGGAAGCATTAAGGAAAAGAAGATCATAACAACCCTAACCGACTTTCTAAAGCACATCACTTTATTGTTCAAAGAGTTCAAAACATTAACATCTTTCTGTATAACCATTTTTTGTGTAACAACTTCGCTGACAAGGAGTAACTATATAATATTTTCAGTACATTGATGAGAAATTTAACCAAACATGTTTCGTGTTGTGAAAAGCACCGTTTTGAAACTATGAATAAAAGGATAATCGATAGTTCGTTGTCTGTTCTTAAAAAGTAAGAAATTTCACATGGAGTGTCGTGTTTTTTTCAGACGGACTATCCAGCTCCAGCTCCCGCTCCAGAAGTCCCAGCTTCTCCTTCGTATGAAGCAGAAACAGAAGCACCTGAAGCACCTCCACCACCTCCAGGACCTGCCCCACCAACAGGGGAATACAATGATCAAACGCCTGCTGAAGGCCCAGCCCCAACAGGAGACACTGATTATAATGATGAGGTAAGAAAAGATTGGAGTGAAAAGGAAATAACTGGGTGTTTTGGTGTGGTGGACAAACTTTCATTTAAATCAGAAAAGTTATTCTTTACAGTCACTTTCCATTTTTCACTCATCCGAATCTCTAATTTGAAATTAACCGTTTTCCGTAAATTCACGTGTGTTCATTCTAATCATTCTATGTACTTTAATAGTCTTTCGATAGTCGGTGATTGGGTAAAGGAACATTTGGGGTTTGTCAAAAAACGACAATGTCTTGACATGTCTAGAAAGGTCTTGGTGACGACGATTACAAGAATGAGGTAAGAACTAACATGCATGTAGAGATAAAGAAAACTAAATGAATGAGTCGAATGTTTCCATTTTGGAATGTTTTATCAGAAAAACTCAGTTGGAGTTCTAGTGCTTCACCTTCCTTTGCTTGAAAGGAGCCTTGAACAAAATGAGATGCCCGATCAATTAACATCTTGAAAAATTATTGATTCAATCTTTCCGAAGCATTCATTCATTTTTAGGTGAACGAGCCAGCCCCTCCACCCGCCCCAGCCGCCACCTATCAGGCCCCAGCTCCAGCTGAGCAAAGCCCATACAAGAGAGACACGAGACTCGGAAGAAACCCACACAGAAGATACCTTGCCGCCAGAGCCTAAAAGAAACAAAAAGATAATTAACATGGCTAAGGCTAAATTTCGCATTTGACTGATTCAACCTCAGAAACCTCAACGCAAAGCATCTAGTGCAGTGAATTCTCTTTTCTAAAGAGGATTTACTGTTCTAGATGTTCTGCGATTGGTTGATATTTTTATTTTTTTCTTTTCAAGTTCAAGAGATTCCAATTTTAGGCCATATCAATTAGTTTTCTAAGAAGATTTTCGAAAAAATCTGACTCTTTGGAAGCAAATGTTTGGGTGTTATTTAAATTAAGCCACTTGGTGTTATTTAAATTAAGAATCACTCAAAATATCCCCATTTTCCTCGTTGTTTCCTCGTGTTTTTACATCCTGTTTTTTTTCTTGAGCGACACTTATTTATTTTCAATTATTTATTTCTTTTCTCCAGGGAGCGCTAGAATGGCCTTGTACAAATTGAATAAATATATTTCATTTGCAAAAATAACTTATGAATAGCCGTCAATTGAAAAGGCAAGTCAGATAATTGCAGATCGAGTTCATCGGAGTTTAAGCGCATCATTGTGATTCAAACACTGTTTTTTTTTTCCTGCAAACATTCAATGACCGATGCGCTTCTGCATTCAGATGTTAAGTCATGTACAATTACAGGGTGCGGCCGAATTACGGAGGCACTTGAATGCATCTGAAGCAAATACTAGAATAGTCTAGTCTACAGGGTGCGGCGCAGGAATGCATCTCATCCAAATACTAGACAAATTTCATCTAAAAGCACTAAGTGTTATATAGCCCTTAAAACCTTCAAGTCTTCTCTAAATAGTTTATATTTGAGATTTTGATGAGAATCGTTCGTTACCAAGTGGGATTCTTGCTTACTAGCTTCGAAACCCCTTTGAGCCACTGCCATTTTTTCTCAATATTGAAATACATAAATTTTTTGTGCACTCAAAGAACGAACCTTTTTGTTATTGTCTACTTGCTTCATTCTAAGTAGACTTTATTAAAAAGTATTCAAACTATTCTCAGACTTCTTAGTTTTTGAAAAATAGGACACCGTTTTTTGCCATTTTCGTAAAGCTAACAGACAGGTCAGTGAAAACATTACCGAAATTTTTCTATATAGAAAATTTATTAACGAACCTTAAATCTCATTGTTTAATATTACTAACGATATTGCGTATTAAAAATGAAAATTCGGTTTTGCTGTCCCATGTAGGAAATTAGATCAAACTAGCAGCGGCACAAAGAGGTGCTGAAATTATTGGCTCAGGCTCCGGCTCAGGTTTTCCAGTTGATGTTCAGTTGATGGAAAAGTTCACAGTCATTTCATGTCTTTCCCTAGTCAATGACACTCAGACGGACAGTAAACTAATAATAGAAATTTCTGGTTCAGAAATATTCTGGAAACGAGTAACAGTACTTATTGCAACACTTATTTCTCAGAGATCTGAAAATCAGCAAAATATTTTGAGATATCTGAAAACAATTCAAGCTTGTACTATGCTGAAAAAAGCAAATAAAACTTTTTAAAATGCTTACGCAATTGGAAATATTTGCTTAATATTTCAATCAAATATAATGCCAACTCTCAAAGATCTATTGAGAATTAACTTAATATTGGGTTGATGGAAAAGTCCTTTCCGATTTTTTGGGAGAGTACCTTAAATTTGTCCAATTTTGACGTTTTATAGCTCATCCTAAAGCTGAATTCAGAAAAGAGATATCTCAAAACGGTTTTTACCAATCGATCCGTCTTGAATTCAGCTTTAGGATGAGCTATAAAACGTCAAAATTCGACAAATTTAAGTTACTCTCCCAAAAAATCGGAAAAGACTTTTCCATCAACCCAATAGTGGGCGAGAGTTGGTTCGAACCAACCCACTCTGGTTGGTTACGAAAGATTCTCATCAAAATCTCAAATATTGACAAATATTGACTTGGAGGAGACTTCAAGCTTTTAAATGAGATCTAAAACTTAGTGCTTTTAGATGAAATTTGTATAGTATTTGCTTGGGATGCATTCAGGTGCTTTCTTAATTCTGCCGCACTCTGTAGACAATTTTTTTTACAGTATTTAATAGTATTTTTCCTTGTAAGGGTTTAGATAAATGAGCAACCGTACTGTCCCATTCACCCTTTTCCCCATGCCTACCGCCGACATTTTGCAATTTTTCTTTCCCGTTCGCCCACTAACATTTGACTGTTCATTTTAGTCTTCATGGGGGTCCATGAGCCAGAAATGAGAGCAACTCATTTGTCACATTTTGCCCGAATCTCTGTTGGAGACAAAATTTAGAAAGAAAGCAGAGTCTTTTTTGCTTTCTTGCAGAGCTACCGTTCTACTACAAAGAGGTCTATGGAAGGCTTGAGAAAGAAAGGAAAAGAATGAAGGGAAGGCTAAGATGGGATCAGCAGCGGCAGGCCTTTTCTCTTGCTTCCCCCTTCTCCATCTCCACCATCGCCGTCCCTTCTCACTCATCAATCTTCACATCGACGACAAATTGGCACCTTTTCCTAAAGAACTCTGTAGCCCATTCCAAATCTCAACACCATTTAAGCGAAATATGGCTCTACTTGGGTGGATTTATGGGGATAACATTGGTTGTTTGATCAAAATTAAGGTCTTCGCACAGTTGAAATAAATAAGCTTCGGTAAGAATGTTGCAAACCCATTCTTACCAATCTATTATAGTTAGTGCTTAACCAATAGCTTTGCGATTGAGAATTTGCTCACTTTGTTAGATATTTTTGCTCGTTTCAAATATTGTGTGCTGACAGTGACTGAGAGTTGCACTGCTTATCCAGTAGTATTCAAAAGACTCAACTATTACTTTCCACGAATAGAGCAATAAACTTTTAAATTTAAGTTTTTACTTATGGAAGAAACAGATTTTACAAGCCGTATTTTCTTTTCTGTCAACTTTTATAACAAATTGGTGCTAACCGATAAGAGATGGGACGATGAGTTTGGAGGAAAAAGACGAGGAGAAGAGGCAGGGAGAAGAAAGATTTCATCTCGAGGAAAAGAGATACGATCAAGTCGTATCGAGATCTATAAACCAAAAAAAGGGAAGAAAAAGGAAAGAAAAAGGCCACAACATTCCCCTTTAGTAAATCTACCAATGACATAACAAATTACCCCTAGAAATGGGCTCAAAATTGTTTGGTATCCATGTCTTGTTTGGCAAGGATCATCTGCTTGTGATCGTTCCTGATTAACATATTGCTTCTTCTGCTTTGACTTGAGAAAAGCAAATATATTGGTATAAGCAAAAGCCTACACTTGTTTTTTGAAGTTTAGGTATTAGGACTTTGAGCAATATTCGTTGCCGCCGCCATGGCCGACTGTCTAAGAGCTCTGTATCTTAGTCGGGAGGCCAAGGGTTCGATCCCACCGGCTAGATTATTGGCTGTTTTTTTCCATATATATGGGGTTTTTTCTTCCTTGCATTTAGGGCTTAGGGGTTGTATTTGTATATTGTTTGTACCACATTATTCGTGTGAATAAGTGTATTTAAAATATTTCCATTCCATTCCTCATTGATTTCCATTCCAACTCTCCATTCTTTGAATTCTACAAATCCATCAAGAATTTTGACATGTCTATGACTAAGATTTCCTTTGTTTATCTATTAGTTTCAAAGTTCAGAACAAACTACTTTGTTTTTAAATTGAGCACAACTCACTTTCGTGTACGGTAGGGCTGAGACTCCGCCCACGAAAAGAAAGGAGAGAACTGGCTCAAGCTAAAAATATTCGGAAATGAACTAATTTCTCCGTTTATCATTTGCTTTTACTTGCAAAAGTACAGTGATTTTGCAAAATTGATAAGTTTGAATCTCCGAAACTTGCAGCGTTCCAAAAAAATGTCCCTTGCGTTTGGAGAAAGTTAAAAAGTTTGCAATCATGAGAGTTTGTGATTTGAAGAGAAACAACTTGCCCTTCTGGCCTTTCACTCTTTTCATCTATTTCTCCGAACCTTTTGATCGTCACGTTTAAATTTGCTGTTTCCTTATCACCACTTCTCCATTCAAACTCTCATCCAACCTCAGTTAATGCTGAACTTTTTACACCGCTTTTCTTGTCCACCAGAGGCGACCCACCCTTTTCCCTTGAGTCCATTTATTTGCTAAACTCTTTTGAATTTCCTTTTTTCCCGGAGTTCTCCCGAATTTCTCGAGGTGACCCGACAGTACACATACGTCAAAAACGGCATCTCCTTTCCTTCTTCCTTTCCTCACTTCCATCATTTCCATTGCCACACGCCTTTTCAGATCCCAAAAAAGCGATGGAGTAAACAGAATGGGGCCACTGGGTGAAAGGGGGAATTCGGGGTGACCCTTCCCTTTTCTTTTACAAAAGACTTTACCTTTCTTTCTGTACAGTGCAACCCTCAGACCCTTTGCTTGAGTGAAACGGGTAAGTTAAGTAAAAGATTAGTCAGGATTTTAAAGCTCTCGTACAAGTATCAAGCAGGCATCCTGAATAAGTTGGCATTAGGATGTTGGTTTTTTGGAATATCTTTGAGTATGAAGAAAAAAGAAACTGTCAGCAATTGAATTGAATTCCTTCTGAGAGTTCTTTATTCACAAATCGGATAAAAAAGCTGAAAACGAGGATTTCTTTCAGATAACCTTTCATCTTTTCTCTAAAATCTTTCCATCTGCCATCCACCCTCTCCTATTCTTCTCAATTGAGTCAGACCGTTCGGCTCCTCCCATTCTCTCATTCCTTCAGTTGTCCCGTTGAAATGCAATTGGGGTTGGCCGGCAAACAGACCGAATTCTTTTCTCTTTGACCCAAACTTCTCCGAAATGATTCCTGTGGTCGGTGGCCAGACGATCCCCTCTCGTCCACTCACCTCCATCCTCCCATATTACCTCTTGATCTTTTTTGAGGCCAATGCGTGGTTTTTCAGAAATAACTTTAAGCAAAAACTGTTCACTTATTTTTTTACTGTTTTTTGTACATTTGAACTGTAATTTTGTTTCTCAAACTGTCAATAGATCATGTTTGGTTTCAATCTGTTTTTAGTCGTAAATAAGCCAAGTCTGAGTTGTTTAAAAATTTTATATGCAAACATGAGGCTATTCAATTCAACAACCATTCACTATGAGTCTAACGTGTTTCCATCTCGTGGCTGCAAATCGGAGTGGGTGTGGTGGGTGGGGATGCGGTGAAAGATCAGAGAAAAAGAAGAAAAAAAAAGACATATGGGGACAAATCTTGTATTCTTTTTTCCTTTCTTCACTCCCCGATTTTCCAAATCTGTTTTCGCTCAGAAAAACTCCAGAAAAATGAGCGTTTCCGTCTCAATTCGATCATCAGTCGGCCACATCAAATTGATAAGCAATTAAAAAAAAAGAAACAGAAAGATGGGCAAAAGTGAGCTCCCGATTTGATTGGAGAGTTTTCATTCTTTTACTCTTTTTTGATGACCGATCACCTCTGTTTGTGAGAGAGAAATGGGCGTGAATTTGGCGAGAACGAGAAGAGAACGAAAAGAGAAAGGAAAGAGAATGGAAAGAGAACGAAAAGAGAATGAGAGGAGAACGCGTGCCCACTCATTTCCCTTCTCATCGTCTTACGATTAGTTTTGAACTACCGTTTAGATTTTAGTCTAATCACATAGTACTACTTTTGACTCATAGGTATCTATGTGTTCTGGGACTCTCATAAACCTTTTAGTTAAACATCATCTCTCCAAGTATGTACAGTAAGACAAAGCCTGCAATAATCGTAAGTACTTGTGAATTATTGTAGCCAATTTTTCTTTCTTATTGTTGGTTTTTGTATAGTGTTCATTATTTTTCACTGAAACCCCTTAGCCCAAAACTCTTCCCAGATCATTGGTTACCCTTTGTCCCTTCATTGAAATACCGTATCAATTCTTCTTATCCAAAAAAGTCTCGTGAGGCTTGTTCCTCATTTTTTTGCTTGCTCAACATTTCCAAGGTGCTTTAAAGCCTTTCTGCAGCTGATCGAATTCACTCAAAAATAAAGGGTGAGTGGTAGAGCCAGGAGGGAGTGAAGACTCCTGCCTGATAACCCGATCTATCGTTTACCCATTTGAATAAAGTCTTTGACATAACACCCGCCCCACAAAGAGTTTAAAGATACGAGTTCAGCTTGTTTATTTACCCAACATCACTTAGTGATAAAGGTCAATCAAAATGGTTATTTCACTGTACGTTTTCTTGGTACTGTTAAGTTTTCTATTTTGTTGTAAATTGTAGTTGTAAATTGAAACGTCCATGGCCTATAGAAACATTTTCTAAATATTCCTGAAACGAACTACTTTTGACTAAACTTAATCCATATGTTTATTCCACTTCTCGGATAGGTCAACGAATTTCCATTTTATCCAAAATAAATGAATCTTTGTTAAGTAAAAGCTTGGATTAGCCATAGATTTTTGCCTAAATAAGAGAGTAAATGGAGGGTGGTGTGAAGCTTAAGATTTGGATAGATTTGGATGGATTTGGATGGATTTGGATAGAATCAGATCATCTCAGTGAAAAGTGAAAGGGAAGGATGGAAAACCTTTCCATTTCCATCAAGAGAAATCACCAAATCTCAGCTCATCCACATCGAAAAAACCTCCCAAATCTTCCCAAATCCGCGCTCAATTTGCCTGAAAGTCCCAAAATTTTAAAGATAATTTGGTGATCGACAGATTTTGCTAAAGGATTTTCGTTGTTTACAATTATTCTGATGAACTTGTGGCGAGGTATATAACTGGTAAATTTGGGAGAATTTCTCTCCGAGAAATCGCTTCTCAAATCAAATATTGTTTGGTTTATTCACCATTTCATTTGTTTTCCCGTTTTCTTGTGTCCAACCATTGGACAACTTTCCACACAAAAAACTTCGTTGCTCTCTTATCAGAGAATTTCTTTGAAACAAAACGTTCTCCATTTTGCCCTCATCTTCGCCCCCACTCTTCGCAAAAATAGATAGCCACGATTTGTGGAGGGAAAAACCGAATGAAAAAAAAACTCGTGTTGGGCAGACATTTGGACTCGGTTCGTTCCATATTGAATGACCCCTTTCTCAACTAGTTCAGCCATTTTTCTTTTAGAAAATCAAAGATAAGACCTGGAGACTCCTCCTTGAAGACACACAACTCACCCCAATAAACAGACCATTTATTTAAAAGATTTGAAAGATTCTTAGAATGGATAATACTTAAATAATGCACGAAATTCACCTTTTTTTTTGCATATCTCACTTTTCAATTTATTCAATTCAATCGTTCTCACGATGAGACAATATACTGGCTAGTGAAAAACTTGCAGTATCTTTCAGTGGACATTTTAGAAAACTCTTTAAAGATTCTATGCTGTTCTATTGTAAGATAAACTTTGATTAGGTTTCTATCCACCTACCGTATTACTTGGATTGTGATTTTTTTTCCTAATTTCTTTCATTTCTTTTAAAATATTCTGTTTGACTGAATTGAGTGGGTTGTGTGAAAGGCGTGTGGCCTTTCATTCCTTATCTTTTTAAGCATTTCGGTGAAATCGCAATCGGCGTGTGTTTTTCGCTGTTTTTTCTGTTCTCTCCTTTCCTTGTAGAAAGGTGAAATCGCATCTAAAAATTTGCCCTCTTTTTTTATGCTGCTAGCGTCGAAATGCAAAAATTGGGATGAAAATCGGGGTGAAGAGTCCACTCTTTTCTATGCACCTCTTTCGCCTTTTGTGTGCCTCTTCTGATAGCCTTTATAGCTTTCACCGACCCATGCCTGTTTGTTAAAGGAAACTCTCTTGTTTATTCAACTTTTTTTCACCTCATTCTACTCAATTATGTAATAATATTTCTTTTTAGCGATGGAAAATTCTCTTCCTTATCCCCAAACAATGCAAACACAAACCCGACAACGGATTCGAAGGGTAGGTTTTTAAAGAAATTTACAAAGTGTTAAGAATATCAAATTCTAAGATGATCTTAATTGATAATAAGATACAAAACATTTTTTATATCGAGAACTTTCAGACTAACAAGCCGATGATGGAGAAGAAGCGGCGAGCGAGAATCAACCGATCACTTGCTGAATTAAAACAGATTCTATTGGATGCTGCACATACGGTAAATTGCATAAAACATACGCTAGTTCGATACTCCAGTGAAATAATTGAAATTATTACCAAAATTTCAATTCTTTTAGTCTCCATCTCACGGCAAATGGGAGAAAGCGGATATTCTCGAGATGACAGTCAGTTATGTGAGATCGTTGTTGACAAGAAATGAAAGTGAGTGCGCTTTCAAGATGTGCTTATCATTTTAAAATATGTCACCAATATTCATTTTGCAGCTATTTTTTGGACTCTATTCATGAATAAATTTAGCTGGTCGTCCTCCAGTTGTGATCTCTTCGAGAAGCGCTTCTGACAGTGAAAATGGAGAGTGTGAACAGGCACAGGTTTGTGTTCACACAAAATATTTACCCAACAAATGGTTTTAATCTTATCCACAACGTTTCCAGAACAGCATGAGCTCTGATGGACCTTGTTCTCCATCAACCACACATTCTTCGGGTACAAGTGCTCCACCGTCTCCACCAACTACACAGGTAAAAACGAGCTTTCTGAAAGAGACAGTCACTGTCATCGCAGGTTTTAGACTAAAAATAAGTTTAAATTTCAGGTGTTACTTGGCTCAAAAAGACGTCGAGATGCAATTGTTTCCCAACAACCGCTCATTGAAAGAGAAGAAAAGATTCAAAAGATGAGACCTTCAATCATCAATCCATCTTTCTCCAATCATTCATCAGTCACACCATCAATGCCTTCACCTGTACCCATTTATGCAAATCCGTTGATCAATCAACTTGCAATTCAACAGGTATACAAAAATGACTTTAAAGTTAAAGCAATTCATTAAAAGGAAAGCTTGTGTAAAAGTTAGATTTCCCATACTGTTCGCAAAAGTTAATTTCCAGCACTATGAGATGTTGTTGAAGGCAGCCTATTCGTTTCGATCCACCACCACTCTACCCTATTCACAATCATCAATTCATCAACAAATCCCATCACAAGTCCCCTCATCAAATCTTTTCAATCCAATCAATCTTCTTCCTCCATATTCCCAAATGCCCGCTTTTCTCAACAATCTTCCACCAAGAAGTGCTTGATTTTGTTCATAGCTTCAAACAATAAGATTAATCTATCAATAGACTCCCAAGCCTTTTTATTTGATATAGTATTCAGATTTCGCTTTATCTCATCAGTCTTGTATAATCTTTTTCCCGAGCTCATCTTTTCCACGAGTCGTCTTTAACAGAGTGCATTTACCCTAGTCAAATCAAATTTGAACCCTTTTTTGATTGTTCTGGATTTTGTAAACTGGTTTTCTTTACGGTTAGTCTTTTGCTTTGTATTCGCTTGTTTTTTTTCTGCAATACACGGTAGCAATTGATTTGTACGAGTTTGCTTTCCAAGAATTGAATAAATTTAGATTTCTTACAAGGATGATATGTCGAAAAAGCAAAAGTTATGCTTTATGCCATAAAATAGTTGTTATACTGTGCCCTTCTAATTCAGCAGTCAATATTCTTTCGGGCATCAAAGCGTCTTCGATTGCGATCGATTTTGGAGCGTCACCTGAAATAAGGCTTTGGAGAGTTCAACAATTGAACACCTTGAACAATTGAACACCTTGAACAATTGAACACTGACCTCTATTCAAGATCACAAGTGTCCTCCTTGAGCGATGAGTGAAAGCTGAGAACTTCAATGATCCATCATTTCCATAAGATGTCGATTTGATTCGATCAGAACCAACCGGGATCCAGGCACTAAAAATACACGTATTATTGTTTTTCTTCTCTTATTTTTTCTACCTGAAATGCCCCATTGCATAATAGATTGGTTGTTTATAGAACACATCTGCACTCGCGTTGACGAGAATCGGCGAATCAGCGAAATTTCCCACAAAAGTCGGTCCTCCATTCGTATCAAGACAAAGATTCCAATCGACCCAACCAACAACAAAGTTGTTTAAATCCTAAAATCAGACATGAAACTGTACTGTCAAAACTGCTTGACTTACATCAATGATATCGGCTGCATAGCTTTCGGCTCTTCCCCAATCACCGAGAATCGGACCATGAATGCCCAAAAAGCCGGAACAAGCCTGAATACTTTCAGAGAACAATAATCTACTTCTTAAAAGCCACTTCTGTTGCCAAGATAAATTTATTTGGGTGACGTATCGCCGTCTCGGTAAGTAGCTCAGCTCTTGCAAACGTATCCATGTACCAGTGGATGCCTGCAAAGTTTTTTAAAAAAAAGTGAAATGAAACACACCAATTCCATGAGCAAATTGATCAGCTAGTGGATCTGACCAAATCTGAAAAAAATGATGCAGTTAGAAATGAGCACAATTGAATGAAATCTTTCCGTCAAACCTCATCAGCCCATGAAGGCAATTGTGGTCTATCATCATCCAAAACCATCACTTTTAATCCTTTCGTTAATGGATTTTTCTGAAGAGCTGGGCCAAGATGATTCACAAGGAATTCTCTGGAATTTGGTAAGATTCAGGGCTGTTCAGAAAGTCTTTTTCCTTTCTTTTCATAAAATCCGTTTTAATGTTATTTTGCAGAAAAATAATTGGCCTTTCTAATGAAACAAACCGTAGTTCATTTGTTAGTTTTAAACGGAAATACGAAAAGGAACGAAAAGACTTTCTGGATAGCTTAATAAGTCACAATAAGACAAAAGTGACATGGACCTTTGCATGAATGCATTGAAATACATAGTCTGCCATGTGTAATCAGGATTTATCCCCGATGTCGGTTCATTCTGCATTGTCAAACCCCAATAGTGGACACCTTGATCCGCATACTTTTCAAAAAATCTAGAAGTTGACTTTAACATTTAGAAATTTAGTTCTTACTTCACAAAATAGTTTGCCCACGAAACATAGTACGTACTATTGAGGTCTCCCTTTAATGGAGCTCCACCAATCATTCGATTATTTGTCTTCATCCAACCTGAAAACCTTTTATTTCTAAAATTAGGCAAGCTTTACCTGGAGCTGACCATGGAGAAGAGAACAATCTCAATGTTCCTCCGGTTATATTCTGGGCTTGTAAAATGAAAGGAATCTGAACAAATGTTTATCATTTTGTACACCATATCATTTCTCACTTTATATTTAATATCTTCATCTTGCAGAGCGAATGTTTTCAATTCAAAATCATCTTTTTGATCAACATAAGAGTATTCACGAGTCCCAAAGTCAGTACTTGCCATTGGCACTCTTCCAAAAGTGTAACCAATTCCTGAAGTTTTATCTTTAGTGATCTGCAAAACGTTACAAGTTTAAAAATATTTGATCAAATCCGTTTGATACCATTTTCTTTTGAGAAGAATGCTTCCAATAGTTTTCCTCTCGATTCCACAGAAAGTGAAGCCAAATTGATCCCGGCAGCATCAGTGAACGCGCCTCCGAATCCATAAATCTCTTGATAGAATGTACGGGGATCAACTCGGATTCTAATAACATCATTCCTTTTTGCCGATTTTCCTGTAAGATTTTTGTTCAATTTAAAAAGCTCGTTAAAAGAAAACTTTTTGGCTCGAATGTGTTCTTTTTCGTTGCAAAACGGTGCCCAGTAAGACTCGAAGTGATAATTGCGGCGGTGAATCGATCGAGTTTTGGTATTTTCTAAAATTAATTTATTGCCCTAAATACTGTAATTGGACCCCATAGGGTTCTATTTTCTCCTTCGTCCTTTAGGCTGAGGCTCTATTAGAGGGTAGGGTTCAATTACAGTATTTGCGGTAACCATCAAGAGATCAGACAAATTTTTGAGCAACTCACTGGTACATCATCACAATATGTTGCATTGCATGTACACACCATATTGTCTCCTTGAAAACGCTTCTCCGAACATTGTCTTTGAGATGAGACTAAAGATAGCTTGAAACTTTTTGTGTTAAAATTAGACTTGCATTTAAACAATGAAATAAGTATTCTAGATGTCGAATAATGACGCTTCACTTACCTAGATTTACATAAAGAAATAGCAAAACAGAGAATAAATAGATTAATCTCATCTGTTGATCTTTCGTATAGTTGTAAGTGTTCTTCTCCTTTCTGGTAGTGCGTTTTCTGTTTTTCTGAGAGTGTCTGCCTTTTTTTTGTCTGCCAATAAACAATGCTTGTGGCATAAAAGAAAAGAGAGAAATTGAAGTGAAAATTGACGAGAATCGAGAGTCATTCTCAACAAGGAATTGAAAAAGAAAAAAGAGAAAATATTTTGAATGAAAAGCACTCTCAAACAAACAATTAAGAAACCCTCTGCCAGTCACAAGAGATTCCATTCACTAAAATGGTTGCAATGAACTCTGGAATGGCAGTCAGTTGGACCTAATGCATGCTTTATGAAACAGCAAATTTAAACTTTAAACTTGCACCGGAAGCTTTAAAATCTAGACTAAATGTACTTCGAAAGTACCAAAAATACCAAAAATGTAGTGTGTTTGCTGAAGAACGAAATCACATCTTTATTGCAGTACAACTAAGTTCTACAGGTTTCCACCTCGAGAAAAACCCTAAATGAAATGAAAACCTGTTTCATTTGTCTCATCTACGAACAAAAAGAAATACATCATTTTTTTCTCGCCGAGAGCGATCTATGCACTCGTTTATGAGGAAATAAGACAACGGCTATATAATATTTATCTATCTACTTGTAAATAATAAGTTAGCATATTCGGACTACAAGAGATTTAAATCATAGTTAATAATCAGTGTGTTTATGGTGATTCTCGAGATCTTGCATGATCCGTAGAACGACTTCTTCGCGGAATGGAGGAGCTGCCACCTGAACACCGACCGACAAACCGATTGCACCCTGAAAAAGTTTGAGAATATATAGAACATCCGATTAGCACATATCATTAAATCAATCTGTTGCTCGTTTTAGTCCAAGAAATAACCTTTGTTGTCTCTTTTGCAAGTCGATACCATGGATCGATTGTCGGATAGCCAGCCAAAGCGTCATCGTCAGCCTAAATAGAGATTCAGATAGATCTTAAGTCTAGTAATACAGTAATTTTGTTAAAAATAATAACTTGCCTTTGTAACTTGAGTGACAGGCACCGTTCCGGCGGCAAAATCGAGAAGATTGAAGACTCCAGTGTATGAAACAACAGCAAAGAGCTTCACTGGCACTTCGTGATGAGGAGCTGGGGTCACCTGCAAATATTATGCTTTTCCTAGTTCCTTGAGGCGTTTGCTGAATATTTATACTTTTTATTCAGACAAGACCTACCGTAACGGGACAAAGAATTGCGTCAAGTCCCAGTTTCTGCATTTCTTCAATGTACTCATAACGATATTGTTCGATTGCTTCATATTTCTTTCTCAACTCTGAACAGAGTAAATTTCACAATAAAATTTTTTTTACCTGATGTATTTCTTGGCATTGCTGTAAGTGCATGAGCCAAACGAGGATAAATTGGTTGAACGAGGAAACGAAGGATATCTTGAATAAAGAAGGGGAGCTTGTAGAGTCCGAGTAGGCTCTTGTAGCGAGGATCCATCAAGTCCTAGAAATTCTTAGTCCTAGAAATATTAATAGCTTAGATATTTATTTAAAACCAGCTACGTGACCGTTTTGCGAATTTGCATTAACATTTGGAAATTTGCATACAAAACTCTCCTTCCCTCATTCTTACCAAATTTCCGGTTCATTCATTTTTAGAAATTTGCATATTCGATATCAAAAAAGCAAGAATTCTGATGACTCTCTCGTCTTCCTCACCCCCGATTACCCCTAGTTAGATGCTTTTCTTTCTCCAAAACGCAACTGGTGAAGCGAAAACCTGATAACAGACACACAAACTGACAGACAATTTTTCAAAATTATAATATAGTAGATTAACCTACATTTCCAATATGTTCCAAAAGATAGCGTCCTCCGTCCACTGAAACGGCTCCGATGAACATTGCAATGGCTTCTTTGATTCTCGGTGGCTTGAACGGGACCAAAACATGCCCTAAAAAGTTTTTAAGTGCTAGAATTGGCTAATATTTTAAATAACCCTGTGATTCGAGAATCTTTTTCGATTCAAGAACGGCCCTTTGCAAAGCGGGAGTTGGAGTGAACCATCCATCGTCCAAATAATAGCCTAGAATCATTCAATGAGGATCTAATTATTAAATGATGCTTGTTGTTGACAAGTCTATTATCACTTTGTAAAATCAACCAATCGTGAAGTGATTTCCTTTGGTGAAATGTTTGTCATTCCAAGTTACAGGAGCGGTGTAGGGATCTCGTTCATGGATGAAATGGCTCGACCAAGTCTAAATTTTCAATGCTTTATTTAAAGTAAAGTAAAGTAAACTAAATTTTCAATGATTTCTTTCATTTTCACTACCGCTTTCAAGAACTCGACACAAGTGTGAACATCAGGTGCCATCGGTCCATCACTTGCATTGATTAATGGACGACCGGGAACTGAACCCTGCACTCCACGATGTGAGAAACGAATGTGAGATGGCTGAAAATGGCACAACTATACTATATTTTAAGAAAAACTCGCCGTTAGCCTGGTTAATCAATATGAAAACACTGAAAGTTCCACCTTAATTCCAGCGATTCCACAAAAATGACATGGGAAGCGAATACTTCCTCCGACATCCCCGCCAATTCCCAAAAGAGAACCACCAGCTCCAATCAACGCCGATTCTCCGCCTAATTCAATTGTTTAATCATTCACTAATTTTGATTAACAATCTTTCAAAAGCATACCTGATGAACCGCCAGATGTTCGATCTTTATGATCTTGATGATTGGTGGTTCCATAAATCGGATTGTAGCATGAATAGGCAAGAAGACATTGGGGAACATTTGTCTGAACAAATGGAATCCCGCCTGAAAGGTAAAATATGTGGTAAAAACGTGAAATCCATTACCCAAGGCTTTGATTTGCTCAACCATGACGCAATCTCTTTCGCTTGGCATAAAACACTCATTCACATAGCCTCTAGTCACATCGTATCCTTTGACCTGAAGAAATAATGATCATAAGTACTCTTATACAGAGAAAATCAAGCAGTTTCAATCAACGAAGCGCTATACCTTAATAATAATAAGTAAAAATTCCTACCGGTACGCATTCCTTCAAAGACATCGGCATTCCATAAAGTGGGGGACGGGGCTCTGGCGGGGATTTTTCAAGTTGCAATGCCCAATCATCAGCTTCCTAAATGAAAATGCCTTCATTTTATTTGCTTGTGAGTAGCTCCAACTTTTACTTACCTTAATAAAAAGCGTAATGCAATTTGTTCTTTTGTGTGCTTGTAATGCTTTCCATTGGTATGTGTGCAGAGCCTCTGTTGGCTTCACTTCTCCGCTCTTTAAGGCCGCTGAAAGTCTTTTGGTTTTGGTTAAATTTTAAATCCAACCCAGCAATGTATCAAAATCCATATTTGAGATTTGATTTCTTCTCGCTTCCGTGATTTTTCTCGAAAATTCGTCTGCACGCCTGAGGCTTTCATTTCGTTCAGTTTGTCGTTTTTCAACGATTTCATGAAGGCGTTGTTTGTGCTAAAAATGCCAAAATTTTCATTTTCCTATTTTTTGAACCTTTCTTTGCTTACCAAATAGTCTTTGACACAATGAGTGGCAAAATAGGCGGTGACAAGGCCCGCCGAAGTGATCACGAATTTCTGTGTGTTTGGTGAGAGAGAATGGAAATGAGAAGAAAGACAATCAAAGGATTCATTCAATCCATCCCATAGCTTACTCAATGACATATTTACCTAAAAAATTAAAAGAATAGAAAAGATTGATTCAAGCTAATGGCAAAATTTTCTCGAAAATTGATTTTTTTTCTGAAACTATTTGAGGTTTTCGCTTCTCGGCTTATCTCTATCATTCGTGGAAAAGCTTTAAAAGAGAAAAAAAGATGGAAATTTTGTTTTTTTCGTTTTACATCACTGTATAAACTGGTTAATTCAATTAAACAAATCAAATCAAATAAGTCGCTTTGTGTTTTTCAAGTTTTTCGACAAAAGTTCTTCATTTCAACATTTCAACATATTTCAAAATTCTTTCAGAAAGTATTTTGAGAAATCACAGATGTGTTTTCATTTTCTGGAAGGAAATCTTATGAAATGAATTGGCTGGGGAAAAAGAAAAGAGAATATACAAGCAGCACCGGATAAAAAAAAGGAATCGAAGCCTAGAAAAAGGGAAATGAACGGAGGAAGTAGGCAAAGAATCGTCGATTTGTGCGAAGTTGCAATTATAGGGTAACTCAAAAATGTAAACCAGAAAAGACTCTTTCGGATCAACGATAGGCAAGTGAATAAAATGGTTCGTCAAAAAGTTAAATTGGGTACATTTATTTGAATGAAGACTATACAGGAATTGACTCAAGCTGCCGAGATAAAAGGGGAGTGGGACAAATGCGATTTTTTTTTTGCGCACCTGGACATTTGCGCACTTTTTTTCCGCACCTTGCCCATTAGCGCACCTTTAGAGCTTTTTAAAACGTGAAAAAGGTGCGCTAATGGGCAAGGTGCGGAAAAAAAGGTGCGCAAATGGTCGGGTGCGCAAAAAAAAGGTAGCATTTGTCCCACTCCCGATAAAAGCAAATGAACCATTCCGGAATACTAAAATAAAGCAATTAACAATTTTTCTAAAAACAAATTTCCATTTTGGGATTATAACGGGAGTATTATTTGATAAAGGACAATTTTTCTTACGACAATTGCATTCATTTATTTGAGATGAATGGCGGCAATTTTTCAGGGATTTGGCATCTTTTTGCATAGTGAATGTTCATATCAAAGAAATTCATGACAAAAAGAAAAAGGATAGGCATTTTTGGGATAATTGAGAACGAGCTGTTAAGATTTTCTCATCAAATATCAATAGCACTACATTTTCCGAATTTTGTTGCTGATATTTGAAAAACAAAGCAATTTTGACAATAAAAGGAACAACTTTACAAAGGCTACGTTGGTGTATATCAAAATATTGTCAATATTTTGGCTTAATAAAGTTAGTGCCAAGCATAAAATGACTTCAAATTTCTATGTAGCACTAACTTTACGGCAAAAAAATATATTTTCAAGGTTATCTTAATGTTGCATTGAATCGGGATCATTTTGTTGATTGTGTTCATATTCCTCGATTTCTTTCCAAATAAGTTGCCTCCATTGATCGATGGAATACTCGGCTTCATCGTCAAGATGGAGTACCTGAAATGATTATTGAATAAATCCAATAAAGTTTTGAAAAAGTAACTATTTTTCCAGTAAGTCTGGAAAAGACTCAAAGTTTTCACTTACCGCACTTGTTGGCTCATCACTCGGATCGTGATATTGAGAAAGGTATGGATGCTCCATTGCCTGAATATTTTATACTATTGACCGTAATGCTTACATAAATTTACTTTCTCATTTGCTTTTCTATCATTAAAGTTATTAGGCTATCCAGAAAGTTTTTCGGTCCTTTCCGTACTTCCGTTTAAAAACAACAAGCACCAATTGAACTACTGTTTGTTTTATTAGAAAAGTTAATTATTTTACTGCAAAATAACATTAAAACGGGTTTAAAATGTCTTATATCTGCATTTTTTTGAGAGCGTGAAGTCGGGCAGTCAAAAAGGGGGACGGCTCGATGTTACGGTTTAGACACTTTAGCTAAGGAAACCTATATTGGCGGCAATAGATAAAAAATAGAGCACAAAAAGTTAGGTAAATAGCCAAATTTTCAAAGAAATTGATTGAGCCAATTGCTTCGTAGAGGTTTTTATAGAAAAACACTTTTTCACTCTCGAATTTGCTTGAAAGTGAACCCAAATTGACTTTAAAAAGATGGGAAATTGAACAATAAACACTTTTTAGAGAAAATTATAGGTTAATTAGTGAATTTTTTATTTTTCAACGGAAGTACGAAAAGGAACGAAACGACTTTCTGGACAGCTAAATACCTGAGATGCAGTTGGTCTCTTATCCGGATCAAGATTGAGCATTGCTTCAAGCAAATCAATTGCATCTGCAGTGGCTGCTGGGAAAAGGACATTGAAATCTTTTCGAGGCATTCGAGGGAGATTTCTGAAATAGTAATTCAGAAATCTTGCTCTTGTTTATTTAGGATTTTTTTACCTAATGTAACTCCTAGCTTCATCCGATTGAATCTTTCCCAGAAATTCTTCATTTGGCGTTCCAACGACACCCATGATTCTCGTTAATTGATCAATGTCTAAATACGATTCATGAAAAAGTTTTATGAGAAGAAAATCAAAATTAAACGAAAACAAGTAAAAACATACGATCAGCTCCCGGGAACAACGTCTTCCCACTTTGCAACTCTGCAAGAATACATCCAACAGACCAAATATCAACTGAAATTTTCCGCTTACATTGTTTCTGATGACATTTTGATAAAGTTTCTGATATTCTGGCCAAAATAACACACCAGTTTGTGAGTAGTGCATCCAATTGAGCATGATCTCTGGAGCACGATACCATCTAAAAAGGTACAATTAAAAGTCTCTGAATGAATCTCTCACCTTGTAGCCACATAACCAGTCATTTCAGAATCAGTTTGCCTAGCCAAACCAAAATCCAATATCTAAATTTGCTTTTTTTTTAAAGGCCTGACATTTCCTCTTACTTTCAGCTCACAATCCTCATTGACAGCAATATTGCTTGGTTTGAGATCACGATGAATGACACCAGCTGAGTGAATGTACTGAAAGTTATTGTGTTGATCATAAAATTTGATATTCTCTACCTTGAGTCCTCTCAAAATCTGATAGATCAAGAATCGAATATGTTCATCGTTGAGACGCTGGATCTTCAGAATATTTGACAAGTCAGCTCCCATCAAGATTGACACAAAATATCTGAAATCTTTGCTTCATAAAGTAACAAATGATAACACCCACACATCATTGAGACTTTCCATTGTTCGATCAGGAGTGAAGACATCAAGGAGATCGATCACATTCTCATGGTTCATACAACGGAGAAGGCGAATCTCTCTGAAATTATTATATTTTGCTCAGTGTTGTTATTTCCTATCACTTCAAATATATTCTTGTTAATATTCTCAGTATAACTACAATACCTGTGAGTTCTTTTCGCGTGAATTGGAGATTGGAAAGGTCGTGAGAATTTCTTAATGGCCACACGTTGATTTGTTTTCAGACATTCTGCGGCACTGTAAAGTAAATAAATGATTAACTTCTATCAGTCAAATTGTGAGCAAGATCAAGAAAAACAGAAGCAGTTAAAAGTTAGTTGTTAGGGAAGACTTACCAAACAGTTCCATAGGCTCCCGTCCCGATTGGTGTCAGATTTTGATATTGATTCGGGATTACCCAAACCTAGAAATCACTTTCCTTGCTAATATCATATAAATCATAAGTACTTCAATGCAAAGTTTTGCGTAACTCACCGTTCTATTCAATTCGACCGCATAATATCCCGGCTTCAGATCGCTTTGCATTTTTCTAGAAACAAGGTTAGGTGGTAAAATGATCAAAATCAATATAGCAAGTATAATATTTGGCTTTGAATTAAACCAATTCGAGCATTCTGACACTCTTCGAAAAGCTTTATTAAACAAAGGAAAGCATAAAGAAAAACAGTGCAAAACTAGCTGAGAAAGTTTAAAGGAAAAAACTAAATTAGATAGAAGTTTATGAATACTTTAACAAAACCTTAAAAATTCAAAATGATGGGACAATGACAGGGTTTTGGGAAAGAGAAAATGAGATCGTTTTTTCGGTGAGATCACAAAGAAATTGACACTGTGTGAATTCTAAAAAGTGACTAAAAGAGAAGTAGATGTGGAAAAAAGTACAAAAAAGAATAGTATACAAGATAGATAATCTTTTATCAAATGAGTGAGATCATTGTTTCAGTGTTATGGATTGCGAGGAAGCGATGGGAAGCGATGGGAAGCGATGGCCGTAGTCCAAGAGGAAAATATGGCAAATGAACATTGCACTAACAAGCGATGGCAAGTTATAGAAATAAGATAAAATCGATCTCATATACATAAACTATATGAAAAATAACTAACATGAGTGGCACCGAGTAGCAAGTTTAAAGAGGATAAGCCAATTAAAGAATAAATTCTTGAATTTTCAAGTTAAACCATCAATAATTTCTTTTTCTCTGATGTTCTATGAGAAAATTTCTGAGAAAAATTATTTGATCAGAGGCTAGGAAATGATATATTATGAGAGGGGGAAAGGGATCAAAGTAAAGCAAAAAGAAAAGAGTTGGAACAAAGGAATTGGAGAGAAAAGATTCAACAGAATTTTCTGTTTTTCTCCATTTTTCTTTTCAACCTTTTGTCTGATGAGAAGAAAAAAAAACACGAATGCATGTATCACCCAATCATTTTGACTAGATTTTAGAGAAACTTTTGCAGCAAACACTTAACAATTAAAGCTCACTGGGCATTGAATTCTTTCTTGGCTTATAATCCATTATTAAGTTAAGATTTGGGTAAGCTGAGTCAAAGATTTGGGCTTAGATATCTGAGAATATCATTGATGGGTTGGAAGTGGTCGAATTGTCTCTTCAATCTCGCGAACACTCGAGAAACAACTGAGACGACGATTTGATTGAGAAAAGATCGTCATCTCACGCCAAATTAACTCTAAAGAAAGGGCTTGTTAAATTAGAAAAGGCTTTTAATCTTTTTTTCTTCTAATCCTTACCTCTCCAATCATCGAGAGTCACCGCCGATTCCTCTTCGGCATCGGTTGACACCTGAAAATTAACAATTTTCTAACCATTGATTAAGTTTTATATATCAATTAGTATATTGGTAGAATAATTCACAAATCCTACCATTTGATCAGCAACCGGTTCATCCTCGGGTGCCCACCATTCTTTCACATAATCATGGCGTAAAGCCTCAAGTACAGTAATTCTAAACGTGCTTAGGTTATGTAAAATTTATAGTGCTACAGAATAGTCAAAATACCAGTTTACTATCTATTGTTAAGATTTGGGAGAATTAATTTAACATTTAAACTGGTCAGAGTTATTCTGGTCAAGGTAAAATGCTGAATTACGACATCCGGTGAGATCACAGCTAGAACAATTACCCCCAAGAGAACATAAAGTTAAAAAAAGAGAAATAGGTCTAATGCTCAACTGAATACAGCCAAAAATGTCAATAGAGTTATTTGAGCAAATGTCAGTGCAGGTCGTCATCATGAGTGAAGGAGAAAGCAACAGTATAAATATAGTGAACAGTATAAATATAGTGAAGAAATTTCTGTTCTTTTAAAGTCTTGTTGCTATGATCTTTATTAGTCTCTTTAATAAATACTTTAAGCATGAACTTATCTTACTCAATTACAATCAAACTCTCTCTTAAATCACTTCAAAGTCTTTGTCCTAAACAAGTCGCTTAACTGCAGAAGCGACTTGTTTATTCTATACCTGTTATCCGGATCAAGCACAAGCATCCTCTCCAAAAGATCAACCGCATCGGCACTCGCATTTGGGAAAAGCATTCGGAATGATTGACGAGGCATACGAGGAAGATTACTAAAACATATTATTTATTATCTAAATATCTTTCAAGTACCGTATGTAATTCCTAGCTTCATCCGATTGAATCTTTCCCAGAAATTCATCTTTTGGCGTCCCAACGACACCCATGATTCTCGTCAATTGATCAATGTCTAAAAGATTTTCCTTAGGAATATTAGTGTTCAAATTAACTTGACATGCTAAACTAATGCTAAATAATAACTTACGATCGTCTCCAGGAAAAACTGGTTTTCCAGAAACCAGCTCAGCCATGATACAACCGACAGACCAGACATCGACTTAAAAATATGTAAAGTATTGACATTTTTATACATTTTTATCTACCAGTTTGTGAGTAATGCATCCAATTCAGCATGATTTCTGGAGCTCGATACCACCTAAAGAAAAAGATAAAACCTCCAGAGTTCTGTTTACCTTGTAGCCACATATCCTGTCATTTCAATGTCAGCCGGTCTTGCGAGACCAAAGTCGAGGATCTGTAAAAAAAACCCGATAATTTAATAGATAAACGTGGTGTTCGTTTCGAAGTGATCATATTATCAGTTCTATTTGAATCAAAACACAAACTTTGACTTCACAACGCTCATTGACAGCAATGTTGCTCGGTTTGAGATCACGATGAATGATTCCGGCTGAGTGAATGTACTGGAAAAGATTTTAAAATTCTGTAATTATTCCAGCCAACCTTGAGTCCTCGGAGAATCTGATAGATAAGAAGCTGGATTTGTTCGTCATTCAGTCTCTGGATCTTCATAATGTTTTGCAAGTCGGCTCCAATCAGAATACTGACAAAGTATCTGAAAAGCAAAATATTGTTGAACAAATCCTCAATTACTTACACGTCATTCAAACATCGAACATCGGGATCAGGAGAGAAAATATCAATCATATCAATTACATTATCGTGATTGAGCGTTCGCAGGAGTTTCAATTCTCTGTAATTGTATGTGAAGTACAAGATTTTGGTTTTCCATGAATCTATTGATTGCTTGGTGCAATTACACTTACCGAAAAGTTCTCTTTGCGTGAATGGTTGATTGGAATGGACGACAAAACTTCTTTATGGCCACTCGTTCGCCCGTGGATCGATATTCTGCTGTGCTAAACTTTTATTTCCTTTATAATTCCTTTATAGCTCCTTTATAGTTCCTTTATAGTTTCTTTATAGTTCCTATTTTTATGAGTAACTCACCAAACAACTCCATATGCTCCTTCACCCAATGATTGCAGATTGCAGTATCGCTCGGGAACCACCCATCGAGTTTTATTCAATTCAACCTAAATTTTCCACTTTCTCAATAGCTAGCTGTGTTAATGAAATTTAGATATCTTGCTCTAATTACATAGATTGACATAGTACATAGATTGACATAAGACATACCGAATGAAATCCTTCAGGTGTCGGCCTATCGACAGGTGGTGGTCCAAGGTTTGCAAAGAAGACCGAGGACATCCCCTCACTGTCCGCCACACCAATCCGTTTGGCTGAAATGATCACATGATTGAAGATTAAATTGAAGTTAGATTGAAGATTAAGTTAACAATTATAAAGCAATCAGTTATTCAACAGTCTAAAGGATTAATAAAAAAGACTTAAAACCGATAAAATTTCATCGAACAAATCTTTTTATTGTCTAATCTTTTATAGACAAGAAGTGACCAAATTTGGCCCGGCTCATCCGTTCTCCTCATTCCGTTTACTCTGCACAATATTCCTCTCAAAATGTTCGCCGCGTATCTTTTTGTAGTCCAAGACAATTACGCTACTGAAAAGTCTTGGAAAAGATCTGTTCATTGGTTAGCAATTCTAGCATCTGTCTGCAGTCTAATTGTAATTTAGATCGAAGCTTTCAATGACTTCACTGTTTATTTTTAAATTTCATTTTCCCATAGCCTATTTGGTTCTCATCTGATGGATGTGCTCAATTGGAATCCGTCAACAAGCTTCCACAATTGGCAAGGTTTTTTTTACTTTTGAGAGTCGATTTTTTAATGACAATAAGACACTTAAGCAAATAGTATTTGAATTGTTATTTCTTCGTTAAAGCACGCCAATTTAGGAAAAGGATTTGGCTCTCGTGGCAATGTCAAACTCTCGGCATGTCAAGATCTCGTGATCGTTCCCGGTGGCCCCGATTGGGTGATCAGAGGTTAGATTTTTAATATCTTTTTCTTGATAATAATTCTAATATAATCCCTTTTTAGAGTTAGATGAAAAGTTCCCGGAATGCTGCTGGAAATTCGCGGCAACTTCTTCGATTGCTCAATATCACTTCGCCCAGGCAGTGAAACCGGTGAGGCAATGTTTATGGTTAGAATTACCAAAAAGTAGATATTAGAGGCTATTTTGAGATTAGCATAAAATTTACAAATCAAAAATGAAGTGTTGCCTTGATTTAGAATGAGAGACTTTTCTTTCCCAATTTGGCCCCATCGAAACGCTCCACTCCATCGATTCCCGTCTTCTTTGCAACTCTTCCGCATTTCTATTCACCAACCGATTTTAGTGTTCAGGTCAGAGACAATTGAATTTGATGATCACTAACAATAAGAGATTTTAGCCCAAATACTTGGATGAGTTCCGGAATCGAATCTGTGAAGAAATGGAGGACGAATATCGAGAGAAAAGAATGCCAAAAATGGATTATGATCATGTGGGTTTAAAGATAACAGAGAGAAGATTATTTACTATATTTGTAATAATCACTATCCACTTGTAATTAAAACAATTCCAGTTGGTTATTGGAGTCGCTTGTGCAACATTTGATGGTCAACGCTGGGTGAGGACGCGTGTTCTTAAGCATTCTGGACCTGAGAATGTTTTTGTTGAATTTGTTGATTTTGGTAAATCCGTACTTTAATTGCAATAAGCCTTATATTTACAGGAACCACAAAAATCGTCGCAATCTCTGATTTGTATCGACTGAAGAAACGATTCGGAAAAGTGCCTCCAATGGCTTTACGTTGCAGAATTCAAGGTACATATTTGCATTGCAGGAGTAAGTCTTTCGTACCTTTGTTTAAAACCAACAAATGCACCAATTGAACTACTGTTTGTTTTATTAGAAAGCCCAATTATTTTTCCACAAAATAACATTAAAACGGGTTTAAAATGTCTTATGACTGGATTTTTTGGGAGCGTGAAGTTGGGTAGTCAAAAAGGGGGACATCTCGATGTTACGGTTTAGACACTTTAGCTAAGGAAACCTATATTGGCGGCAATAGATAAAAAATAGAGCACAAAAAGTTAGGTAAATAGCCAAATTTTCAAAGAAATTGATTGAGCCAATTGCTTCGTAGAGGTTTTTATAGAAAAACACGTTTTCACTCTCGAATTTGCTTGAAAGTGAACCCAAATTGACTTTAAAAAATGGGAAATTGAACAATAAACACTTTTTATTTAGAGAAAACCATAGGTTAATTGATGAATTTGTTATGTTACGACGGAAGTACGAAAAGAAACGAAAAGACTTATTCACCAGCCTAATAGTTCAGCGTATTCAAGAAAGCTTTAATGTTTTAGATGTTTATGTGAACGATTTGGACGCTCACAAAGTGGATGCATTCCAGAAAATGATTGTTGATTGTGGGAATATTGTGAGAGTCGAATTGGCTGCGCTTGATGAACCTTATGTGGTAACAGATTTTCGAGATTTAGCCTAAAAGCTTATTAGTTGATTAAAAGAAATTAGGTATCTGTCATAAAGTAAATTTCAGGTGAACCTCTATCACCCAACAATTATCGGTATCAACTTGGCTACATCGTTTTATCGAACAGACACAATGGCAGCCAAACAACTATACAAACCTGTCATTGATGATACTCCAAATGATGAAGATGATGACTATACGGATGATGAATCTAGGTATTGTAAAGTAGAAGTTATTAGAAAATGCCAATTTAGTGAGATTGATGGTGATGAACAAGAGATCGCTCAAGTAAAAGTCATTCGCTCTTTACCTAAAGCTCCAAAGATCTTCCGAGCCGCTCTCCAAACATTGATCATCGGTGAGCAATATCAAAGCCTAATGAAACAAACAATCATTACTTTTTTGATTTAGCGAACCTCGAAAATGCAGGCTGTGTGTTTCTTCATGAATCAAATCAAATAGATAGACGAATTCGCATGGAGGCCAAAATGAAGAAAATGGTAAAAAGATTAACAATCTAGTTTAGCAATCAATTAAATCTATTATTAGTTTCTGGAGAAATCTCTCCATGTTCTTCCATCTGAATGGATATCTCTATCAACTGCTTGTGTTTTTGTAGAAGAAAGAAATGAAGACCTTCAAATCCATCGAGCCACAATTGAAAGTGTTGAAGCAAATTATGTTGAAGTTTGTGTTTAGCAGAACTCTTATCAAGTTAAACTAGCAAGTTGGTGCAATCGTTGACCAATTTAGTTGTTCTTCTGTGATCTTGGATTCTGGAAACGTCTCGCTCATGAAGCGACAAGGAAACAACTCTATGCTTTGTCTGAAGAATTTTCCGATGAACCAATGGTTTGTTAAATTTGTCATTGTTAAAAATTAAAAATACTTGAAATTCATTTTACTGTCAAATTTAGGTTTATGTGGTTTCATTGACGGATCGTGGCCGCTATCCACATCCGGATTTGACGGCACAACTAAAACAGCTGACGAGCCATTCTACAAAGGTCAGTTTTAAATATCTATCAAATATCCTCTACAAAAATGCGTTTTGCAATTCCTTTTGCAATTTAAATAGTTTGTACTTTACGTTCACAAATTTAGGTGAAATTTGAACGGGAACAAGAGTCGAAACACATGCCGATCAGAGGGATCCTCTCAAATGATTTGCATAATGATTTGTTGAGAGAAGCAGAGGAAAGGTAAGGGAAATGGCATAGATAAAAGTTTAGCTGAAATATTAATAACTATTAAGTTGATGAATAAGTCTTTTCGTTTCCAAAATATCCAGACATAAGACATTTTAAACCCATTTGAATGTTATTTTGCAGAAAAAAAACCGTAGTTCAATTGGTGCATTAAACGGAAGTATGAAAAGGAACGAAAAGACTTAAGCACAAACCTAATAAAACTTGCTATAAGAAGGAGGTTTTGGAGAGTGGAGTTAAAGAAAAGAATCTCGTGGAACAATATCCTCAAATCATAATGCTCTAGACTTGAATCAAAGCGGATCAACGTGAAGACATGGGCACTTCTTCCTTACAATCAATCGCCTCTTCATAATATCATTTCTCGTTTTATCAATCTTTCATTCATTCATCAACCCCATCCACCGCACTCATTTTGTCGTGGATCTCTCTCCTTTGAAACTTTACCCATGAATGAATAAGCTTTAGCGTCGAAATATCCTTATCATAAACTTATGGGTCCCCTTACTCAATACACGTGTATTTTTCTGTTGTAAAACTTTTTATATCTGTATATGTTAGTAATTTACTGTGTTTAATTTACTATTTTCTTTACTGCTTATGTTTTAAGAGTTGTTCAATAAATGAGTGGATCAAAGAACATCTAAACTCTGACTTCTGCGCTGCAGCAAACTTTTTTTAAATTTCCATCAAAATTCTCTGTTTATAATTCAAAGTTTTTTTGACAAATCACTTTAAAACGATCAAAAAGAAAAAGAAAAACCAAAGGGGAAATTGTTTGCAAATGGATGGGTTGAGAGGGGGAAAAGGAGAAAGGGAAATGGGGAGAGAGACATCCCTCTCACTCACTCACATACAGTTTGTCCCATCAAACAGTGACAAAAAGATAGACCCATCAACTTTTCGATGATTGCTTGACTCATTTGTAAGCTCTGGCAATTACTCAAAGGTTACTCTTGCTTATTTCTTTTTCTTTGCTTTTCATTGCCTTTTCAATAACCCTGGGCTTCCAGCTGTGAGCTTTTGGATTTCAACATTGGGAAACCAAACAGAATCTCTTCAAACCTATCTTGCATGATTCATTTATATACTCAAGTCTGATTTACCCATCTTTATTCAATGATCGATTCTCGATCAAAGCCCACTCGATAAACACCTCAATTTTTGTGTTCTCGATTGATCAAAGAGGAATGTGTGGGAGATTTCTTTTAAAGTAAAGGATAAACTGGAGTTCCCTTTCATAAGAGGCAGCTGTTCGAGTGGGAGGAAGAGAAAGAAAGGAGAAATTTCAACTGAAAAAAATGGGCAAGAAATGAAGCGGAGGAGGGAAGGGAGGAGGGAGGGGATGGACATGGGAATGCCCCATTCACCTCACTCACATATAAACAGCTGGGACCCCGACAAGGAACGCCTTTTGGGGTTTTCATCATTCTGAAATTAACTTACTTTCATGGTTCTATTCTTTTATATTTCAGCAGTGATTGATTTAAATTTGTACCCTATTTTTTCTCTTTTGTTATCATTGTCTGACCTTCCAATTGATTTTCAGTTGAATCCATTATGGCCACTTTCAACACCCAAACCACCTACAATAGAACTTATGAGAAAAAGGTTTTGTTACTGAAATCTGCTTTTGTTATTTTCTTGTTTAGGTAATCGAGGAGAATCCCCGAGTGGTGAGAAGTGGAAGTCCCTTCTCGACACAAACCGTTCTTCAGGTAAATTTAAAAATAGTCTAGCATTTAGCTAGAACTGAAATATTCAAAATGAATATCATTTCAGAATCTCCCATCAATCCCTTCCATTCCTCTTCCCAGCGGTTTCCCTTCATTTCAATCATTTGTTCCATCATATTCTTCTCATCAATCAACCTCGTCGAGAACTGTGGCCACGAATGTTGGTAAGTAAACATGTGAATGTCTATGAAAACCTGTATAACCCTGTAGCCTTATTACAAGTCTTTTTCAGGAACTCTTCAACAATCGGATGACTCAATTCATCTCTCGATTAATGTCAGCGAATACAAGACTGAAGAGCTGAAGGTAGATTATAGAAAGCTTTCAATAGATTGCCTCAACATTATAGAAATGTCAATAGATTGCCTGAAAGATTATTATCAGATGATGTTTAGCTTGTAAAAACAAGCATTGATTACCAATGATGATTACCAATGATTCAATTGGTAATCATCATTGGTAATCAATGATGGTAATCATTGAAGGTAATCATTGAAATTTGTAACCAGAACATATTTAGGTTTCTGTGATTGGCGATTTCATTGTGATTGAAGCAAAGCACGGTGAACGAAGTGATGAATTGGGAACAATTGAGAGGTAAATTGAGTTGGGCTTTGCTAAGAGAAACTACAATTTCATTGCTAAATCAAATCTGAGAGATCAACTTTTAAATTTAGACAATTCACTCGAAAGATTGCATTGCCCAAGGGATGCCCTCCAGAATCAGTGATATCATCTCTCTCATCGGATGGAATTCTCTCTATTTCAGCTGTGGCACCAAGAAAGGTATGAGAAAATGCAAAGTTTAAGCAAATAAAAAATTCAATTGAAGAAGTATTTTCAGGAAGCCTCCCCAGCTCGTTCCATTCCGATCAAAGTTGTCGCCACACCGAGTGCCCAGACTTCTCCCGCTCCTCCCCAACAACAATCATCTCAACCATCTCCAAACCCACAAGTCTAAATTATTAAAGCTTATTATCAAACAATTGAAAGCTTTAATTTTTTTCAAGAAAAATGAATCTTTGACTCCTTTCTTATAAGTAATTCTCTTAAAGAGAACTTTGGTCATTCGTCTTATGATTATTTTTCTCTACTTTCTATCAGAAGTTTCTCAAGCTCCTATTGACTCTGGTATTTACTCTAAACTTAAAATTTCTAGTCTTTTGCTCAATCAATTTTGATTTGGTCTCTCGAAATTTCATTTCTGGTCACTCTTTAATTATCTTCTAGTCTGTATAAAAGTTTCAAAAAAAACAAAGTCGAACACAATTTGAGTACACGTAAAAGAAAGCAAATAATTACCAAAAACTAACCATAAATTATCGCAAAAGTCATTTCTGCTTTATATTTTTAAATGAATATATTGAATGTTACTAGGCAACTAAAATGCAATCAAACTTCAAATTACTATAAATTCAATTAAACAACTTGTAATTCTCTTTTTGTGTATCTTTGAATCAGAAACTGAAAAATTATTAATGAAAGCCACCTGCTTGTCTTTTTCATTTCATGAAAAGGTCACGGGTTTGTCGAGCAAACACACAGCTCAAATTTCATCAAATTTTGTCTGGCTCGCGATCAATCTAGATTTTTACGCTTGATTTTTCAAAATAATACTTTTTGAGAAGAGATTTGCAATTTTTTTCTTTTCGAGAGTTTCGCTTTTTCGCATTTGTTTGTTTGTTTAGTTGTCTGCCATGAAATCTGTCATGAAATCGATCCTCATTGATTTGTTCACTTGTTATTGCTTCTGAAATTCATTAAAATCTAAAAACCGTACAAAAATCAGTGCCTATGATCTGTCAGTGCCTATGATAGAACCGTGTCAACTCAAGATCCAAAAATGGGTATTAACTCTTATTAACTGCTAGCTTTTAGGACTTTTTTTGGCCCAAAGACAGCTGTGAAAAAGCCACTGACAGGCAGACACTGCTCTTTTATATATAGTAGATTCAAATATTCTAAGAAATGTTTGTCATTTTTATCAAAAGGGGTATTGAACGAGCCTCTCCCATCACCCCTTCCTCCGCCCTTGCTTCCCCCCTTCCCCCCTTGCTTCCCCCTTCCTTTCCCCTCCCCTCCAAACTACCCGTTGTGAAGGGTTCTTCTTTCTTCTCTTCCCCTTTCCTTTCCCCCTCTTTCTCTTCCTTTTCTCTGATCTGATTCTCTTTAAATCCTCTGATATTTCTTTTCTTTTTCTTTTCAAATTCCCTTCATTCGTCTACTTTTTGCATAGAAAAGTACTTTTTGGGACCTTTGACTATGCACTTTTTCCCTCTCTCTTATTTGCTTTCTCATCAATGATTTCAAAAGACTTGGTCAATAGATAATAAAAAATAAACGGACTCTTTTGATAACTCTTTTGTTTTGTCTATCAAAATCTATCTTTCATTTTTCAGGAATTGCACTAAATGAAATGTGTTATCAGCTGAGTTATTCTAAGGTTTGACTCTTGATTCTGATTGTAAAAGACCGTGTCACTCAAGGAGTTTAGGAGTGTAGCAAATCTAGGAGGCCCAAAGAACAATCCGATTCGTTCTATTCGTTGTCTTTCTTTATTCCATGCAATGTCCCATGATGTCCTTTCTTATCCTCTCATCTCCATCTATCCCACCTTTGTCACTTCTTTTCTTTTCCCTTCAAGCATTCACCCATTTCCTATTCACCTTCTTCTTTTCCCCATTCCTTCTTTTTTTTCTCCACTCAACACCAGGAGAAAGTCTTATCGATTCCGGGTTTGATTCATACGCATTTTTCATCTTTTTTCTCATGTTTCTATTTTCCGGAATTTTTTTAACGAACACAGTTTGTTTTTCCCTTTTTGATTTGATTGATTATTTACAGTATGAAGCAATCTGTCATTTTCTTTTATAAACCCTACTTTTATTTTTTCTTAAGTTGTCTAAATCATCATCCCACTGATATTGTTCTTTAGATTTTTGATCACCGCGTGATGTAATGGCCGTTTGGATTCTGGCGGCCGCTTGGCTCGCTCTTATTGCTTTTGGTAAGCAAATCAGCTTCAATTAAAGAACTTAAAAGATATTCAGCCATGCTTTGGCAATCCTTATAGAAATTAAGATTCACAACTTGGTTATTTCAGCCTCATCTTTCACTTGTCCATGGCTTCTCTCAAATCGAAAAGGCTTATTGTTACTTCATTGGATCTTCGCCAATCTCATCGACTCTTCATGGAGTAAATTTTATTTTAAAGTTTTCACAGAATATCATATCAAATGAGATTTACAATTTAAACCGTTTAGGTTTTTTCCCGGAGAATGGTCAAATCTCATCTCGATCTCTCCTTTTGCCTCTCGCCACAATTGGACTAATTTTCGAGATCGCAACGATGGCTGGGAAAAAAGGTTAGCAAAAAAAATATGTTTATGATTATGATGAAAAATTATGATTCGTTTTTCAAAATTATTTTCATTTTCATTACCAACTAATGCATTTCAGAAGTCCATTGTCGCGGATCAGAAAGAGTTCTCTTTCTTGTTCTCATTTTCTCCGTCGATCTCTCAGTGATCCTTTGTGCAAGAGCTGCTCCTTTTGAGGTAAAGAAGTACAAAAATACACAATCTGTAAACTCTATTAAACTGTAAACTGTAAACTGTAAAGGATATTTGTGAAATAGTTTGTTATTGGAAAAGGCAAAGTGAGTATCCATTTTAATTGACCATTCTATCTAGGTTCTACTCGCGATTTTCTCTCTTCTCACCTACCTCGGTGTGTATCTCTGCTTCAAAAAAGCGAAATCCCCGCACAAGATGACGATGAAAGTGAGTCTAGAACAGCTTAATAATTAAATTATTAAAGACATCATGTAGATTTCTCTGTGATCTATCTTTTAGGAGAAATATTCACTTCATTCATCCGATCTATTCTATGGATGGGAAGATCCGATGAAATGTTTAGGACTCTTGGGGAGAACTCATTTCTTCACCATTCTTGCGTTACTGTTGGTTCAGGTAAAGACATTAGGTTCTGTGGAAATTAGAAACATTCTTTTTAGATGAATCTTTATCTCTGCAATTCGGATTTCTTCCTAGAACAATTGGGGAGAATCTACATTGAATTACCGAGATACTACAAGGTGACAGGGTTAAATAAAGATAAACAATGAATTCCGATTATGAAACAAGGCTTTCAAAAGCAACCTTTTACAATTCAGAGGCATTTTCAGAAAACCTTCATCTTATGCGCTCCATATTTGTTGTGGCTATTGTTCATCAGTCGGTCATTTTGTACGATCTCGATGCTTGGAATGCCCGGAATACTTGGAGGTGGAGCTGAACAATGTTTAAATATAATCCCAGGCGCCGGGTTTACACTTTCAACTTGAAACTTTCAACTAGCAAACTTACGACTTACAACTAGCAACTAGCAACTAGCAACTAGCAACTAGCAACTAGCAACTAGCAAACGTGCCTAGCAAGTTGCGTCTAGTAACTTGTAACTAGTAATAGCAAACTAGTAACTTTCAACTGAAGAAAGTGTGCTATATCTTTGCTTTAAAGGAAAAATGTTTTAAATCTGTGAAATTCTTGCAAAAATGCAAAAATTCTGTGCTGCTCTGCTGCTGCAAAAAGAGTTAGATCTAGAAAAATTTTGCTAGTTGACTTAAAAAATGAAAAATGCTAGATTTTAAGTGCAAGGTGCTAACTTGCTAGATAGAAGTGTGAATTTCAGCCTGGGTGCACACTCTAAAGACTTTCGGACGTTGGTGGGCGAGTCGAAAAGAGAGAAAATCACAAATGTTAGCACAAGATGCGGATGATCTCATTGCGAATGTTTCCACATAAAATCTGTATACTTTAAAGTGATTCCATCAACACTTGAGCTTTTCTTTTTATTTTGCTCATCGAATCTTTAATCGTTGCTCACAGAACTTCTTACATTTGAATTAAACTGATACCGTATTTTCTGTAATAGTAGTGCAGTCTGTAATAGTAGTGCAGGCTGGAGGGGGGTTGAAAAAACAGTAGTGCGCACTACTATTACAGAAAATACGGTAATTCAATTTTCTACCTGATTCAGCCATCAGCCATAATTCACATTTCGATCGGGTTATTTACAAATGTTTTATCCTAAAGTTTTTTAGCCATCATAACTTTCCGGTTTTCTTGTTTTTTCAACTTTTGCTATGCGTGTTATAAATCTGTGATAAAATGTTTGATTAATGATAAAATTTATGCAATAGTGCGCATAAAGAAATTAACAAAAATAAATATATACAAGAAGTTTAGTTATTCCATAGAGGGGACAAGTTCATAGACAAAAAAGCATAAGAGTTACTAGGGAGTGTTGACTTGCATATAACGTTGTGCCTCTTATTGTAGGTCATTAAGTTAAGTTTCCAGTATACAGGGTGCGTCATAATTATTGCAACAAGAGTTCAAAGACCGTTTGTGATGTCAAGAATGTGATGTCATGGGCGTGTAAAGCCAATAACAATCAAAATTGGACCTTCATGCAAGATGGAGCTCCCGCTCACACGAAGAAGACGGTTCAGGACTGATGTGTGGCCAACTTTCCCTCAGTGATCACCAAGGATGAATGGCCTCCAAACTCACCGGATCTCAATGTGATGGACTTTTCCATTTGGGCAACCTTAGAGACTAATGTCTGCTCTCGAAAACACAAAGGATGGAAGGCGATTCCTCAAGATGACATTCGGGCCGCAGTGGAGGCATATCCGAACCGATTAAGGGCTGTTATCAAGGCAAAAGGCGGTCATATTGAATGATCTCTTGTTTCCTTATTTGTTGCTGTTAAATAAAGCTATTTCTGTTTAAAAATCTTCTTCCAGTGAAACTTCTTGGTGTGCAATGCCTTGAGTATCTTGTTGCAATAATTATGACGCACCCTGTATGTTGCGTCTTATTTTGAAACACAAAGAAAAAGACTTTTCCAGGCAAAAAGAGGTTTCGAAGATAAAATGTTTCAAAATTGGACGTCTTATTTTGAATGTATTCAAATCAAACCTAACCTATATAAAACCCCAACATGAAGTTTTTCTTTTCGTTTTCCCCATTGGCAAGTCTAATCCTAGCATTAATCCGAGTTCTTCTCGCAAAGAATTCTCGATAAATTTTTTCTCTATATACCTAGAAAAGCACTTAAACACACAATCATTTTTTTGTGTTTTCTATGAAAAACGTATGCAGTTCATATTTCTTTCTGTTTCCAAGTTATGCATTTGGTGAAGCAAAGCCTCACGAAATCCTCCCACATATGGTTCGATATTCCATTCCAGATAGACAACCGGAGATTAGTTAGGCGTTTTGTGAAAGAAAATGTCTATCAAAAAGAACGGGACTTTTCTTTGGGAACTGCCTGACAATTGGATGGATCGTATCGTGGTATCACCTTTCACCCATCTCCTCTCCTTCTCCTCCTTTCAGTCTCGGTCAGATCCTCGTTGTGTCACTCCTTTTTTTTCTTCTCGAAACTCTTTTCCTCATCCCTCAAATCAGGTGGTCAGCAGTTTGTCACCCAATCCAGCCATCCAAAGCTTGTTTTGAACAAAATTCCCAAGAAAAATGAAGCCCTTGTGATCATCAACAGCTATTGACAAATAGCCGATGATTACAGGTAGTCAACAAGATTTACATATCTTGAAATCATCTGATTAAAAATTGATGACTTTCGCACTCCTTTATCTTTTTTCAAAGCTATCTAACAACAAGAATATGCCAAGCAACTATCATAAATGATGTTTCTTGCGGTTAAGTTGTTTCCACCAACAGTTTTCTTATATTGTTGATCAAAATCTTAATAAATACAATTTCAATAGTAGATGTTCTTTTCACAATGCTTGTTTTGTTCAATGTTCAACCAGATATCAAGCAAATGTTTGTGTCCTGTGGCAAGATCCATATTTTTTGTGATCAGAAAAAAGAAGTGATGTTGAGAAGGAGAGAGTGAAGAAAAGGAAAGAGATAACGAGGTCCAAATGAGTCTGAGAAAAGAAAAGAAAAAAGAGGATGGGGAGCATGAGGGTCTCAAGAGAGATTTCACCCATCCTTTCCTTTTTCTTCTTTTTGTATCCTCAGGATTGAGCTGAGAGTTCTTCCCTATCCCAAACACCTCCTTCATGTACCTCTCATTCTCTTTCTCAAACTCAATTTCTTTTCTTCAAAGATCCTTTATCTTGAGTAGTAAACTTGAAAAAGTTTTGTCTCAAATTACCCGCACAGAACACCCGTTACGTGCCACCCATTGTTCAGCTCGAAAATCGCTTTGCTTACAGGCTTTGGTCAGTTAACTATGCTCATCCAACACTTTCCATAACTGCTTTTTGTGCTTTTGCTTTTTTTTTGAACTTTGAAATCTTTTATTCTAACATTTTTAACCTTTTCTTTCTAATGCTTCAACTAATAACGACTAAACATTTCAGCTTTCTTTGCTTGTGCCGATTCGCATTTTGACCAGCTTGCTCGAGTTTCTTCTTTCTAATCAAAATGGATAAACCAAGGTAAGCCGTCTAACAATACAATAAAGGTATTTGGTCGGCAGTCAACCGTAAAAGTCTAACAAACTTTTCAAAACAAAACTGCAATTCAAAATGTATTTGTACTTTGAAAGTGAGCTGCCTATTCTACTCAAACCCAAACTGTCTTTCTTGATTCATTTCAAATAAAATTGTGGTCTAAAGCGTGGATCAATCAAAATTCTCTTTCCTTTCCCCTTTTTTTCGTTGAGAGTTTTGATTGAAACATTTCTGCTTTCAATGAAGGAAAGGAGATCTGATCCGAGTAAATAAACCGACTCAAAATTCTCCTCTTTTTACCAACACTTTGAGATCATTTCAAAGTGTCTCCAAACTCGAAAATTTCCTCTTGTTCTCTAAAATTCTCTTCAAAATGCCAGAAAACATAAAATCTTCTCCATCTAGTCAGCCGAGAATGCAGAAGAGACGTTCGTCGATCAGCGAGGTTGCGGAACAACATTTTGACAAGGTGAGTACAGAAAGAAAAGATAAATATGAAATAGAAAGATAATAAGATTTCTATCAAGCTAAGAAAAAGCTTGATGGAAAAATATCTTTTGATTAAATATCCAAATAAAAGGTTTGAAAGCAAGGTTGGTCCAAGTTTAGTCAAAATAATATCCCAGACACCTTGGCTCTATTAAAGCGTAGATAGGTGCCTAGAAGGGAGTGGAACATACTGCATTGTAAATCAATAATTCAAAAAATGAATGTTCATGCCGATAAAGTTGGTGCGTTACCGTCCCTACGTAAGGAACTTGGTAAGAGGTGGGTACTAAATGATCCCTCAACTCAATAAATGACAAAGAAAGAGAAGCAACTTACTGATCGTCAGGATAACACAGGCTCAAACAAAAAATCCTTTTCCCTTTTTCATTTGAAGAGGTCAAAGGTGCCGGGATGAAGGCCCATTTCTCAATCTCCAAAAAGAAAAGAAAAAGGGACTGATCTCCCTCTCTTTTCCTTACTGATTTCCCGTTCCTCTACCGATTTCCCTTCCTTCATTCAAGTCACATTTTGATACCTTCATTCATTGATACTTTCTCGATGAGTGTCCCTACAAAATCTTCTAAATCCCATGGCAATGATCAACCAATTTTGCCAAAAGATCATGTGAGTTTTCAGGGATCCGGTTTCACTTCCATTAAAACCCCACCATCAATTAACCTTTTTAAAAACATTATTTCTCGCTTTCCAGACTAAAATCCCTTTTCAGAACACGATCATTCTTGCGGTGAACTTGATCATTTTGATGGTCTTGATGGCTCTTCTTTACATGGTTGCCACATCGGCAATGGCTGCTCATGCACGAGATGAGACATAAATATTTGATCAACTCATGCAAATCAAGTACCGGTAAGTATAAGTCGCTGTCCGAAGAGTTCTTGTTCTCGAAAAGTCCCAAAAACCTTGTGGGGAAAACTTTTAAAAAATAGCTGCCTAGTAATTTATTCTGACAACTTCTACTTTGTCGCAAACTAGTTTCGAATTACAAGTTCTTTCCTTAATTTTCTAGCAAAACCCCTAAACCAAATCAATTCTTACCCTCCCAGCTCACTCCTAATTGACACAGGTGTTCTTTTCATGGGCATTCTCAATTCTCATGAAAGGTTCCTTCTTTCTCTTTTGTGAACACTTCATTCCATTTTTCCCCAAAAATCTCTATCAGGTCCAATCTCTTCCTTTTCCATTTCATTTTTCTTTTTGAGAAGAAAGAGGAAAAGATGTTGATGAATGTCAATCCATTGAGAGGTCGGCTGTAAAGCGGTAGCTAGTCGCTGAGGAAATAAAAAGAGATCCCTGAGCATGAGACTTTGGTTAGAAATTGGATGAAGAGCGGATTGAAGGGGTTCATACGAGGATTGAGAGTTGGAACAGTTAATGGAATGACATGGATATCAAAAGGAATATTATAAGAGAATGAAGATAGACGTGAAAGTGAGGCAAAAAAAATCCTTTAGCCATTAAAACATTGCCCAATGATTCCGTTAGTAAGCACAGTTAGCCCCTCACTAAAACATGGCCTTTATCCAACCTCACAAAAATGACACTTTTTCAGGTTTCAACAATTCTATGCACCACTTATCACCAAAAAACATCAATCCTTCCATTATTTTTTTTTCTTTATGATTTTCAAATGAAAACGCGTAAGAGAGAACTGAGACGTGTATTTCTTCTCTAATGGCAATAGTTGTTGGAACAAATTTTGAATGTGCTTTCCTTTCAAAGGCAACAACTATTGAACGATTTATCATTTCGTTTCTGAAGCTTTTTGATTTTTATAGGATTTTTGTCCATCAAATTAATCATATTTGTGTTGCTTGGGGTCGAAAAGGCGAACTCCGTGAGCGGCTCGAATTCCCGTTTGTTTATCACAGATTGGACAATTTTCTCGTGAAGTGAGACGAGTCGCAAAACACCTGGTAAATGTACTTTGAAAGGTTTTTTGAGGTGAACAACTTGTTGATGGGTGAAGCGAGAACGTTATTAGCGAGTTAAAAATAGATTGATACTTGTCTCTTAGCATTTTCGGTGATCTTTCATCTCATGATTTGGTCAATCATTTAACTCAATTGGATCGCTTTCTTTTTCACTTACCAATAACAGCAAACATGTCCACATTCAACCATTTCAACCGGTGCCACAAAATCCTTCTCACACATCACACATTTCCCATCAAAACTCGCCGTGTTCGCTTTTCGACTCCATTTTTTCCAGTAGCTTTCCACTAAAATCTTTTTCATTTCATATTTCATCATTCAGATATTTCTTTTCTTTCCATTACCTATTCGATAGATTGGCCATAAAAGCAAGATCAAATCTCTGAATGAATGCCACAACAACTCTCGATTCTGATTGTCCAGATTCACCGTGCCTTAAATACTTATCTTTGCCTTAAATTTAAAATGTATTTAATGAAATAAAGCTTTCTTTTGAACTCTACCAATTGTTGGGGCTTCTCGATTGAAATGTCTTAATGATAGAAAGCGTTCAGTCAACGTGCTGAAACCGCCGAAACGAAGAAAATGAAGGTAGTGGATAACATTGAGTAACTAAAAAACTGGACTTACCGTTGTTAGTTTTCCCATCTAGCAAAAGGCTAACCAAGAAATTTTGTCTGTTTGCGCATTTGGATAAAATTTGCATTCAAGTCAAATTCTGATTGCCAGGTTAGTCTTCCATTTTTTATTCAATTACTCACCGTTAACAAAGCTTCCAATTTCTCAAAAAATCGGTATGTTGTGGGCCGAAAATCAGTGATTCGCCTCATCAAATAAGGTGCTAAACATTGTTCGATTTTCCGTCTAAAATGACTGATCACCTAACACATTGATTCCAAAATGTGCGGAGATCTTAACGGGGCTATAATTTTTATAGAAAACATCCAATAATCGTTGCCCCGGACTTGTTCCTGAATTGGGAATAATCTAGGCATTAAAGTATTGTTTACCAGTATACAATCTTGATGTCCAAATCACAGCATCGATAAGCAGCCGAATTTCTGGTTTGGCACGATCGATCAATCTCTGCATCACTGTTGGCATCGATGAGACACATTCTTCTAGCTGTAATTTATAAACCAGATCAATTGATCACATTTTCATTGGAAATTTTAACAAACTTGAAAATAATGACTCCATTACTTTTACGAATTTTTATTAAGTGTTAGTGTGAAATTCGAGCATCCACGTAATAAAACTGAAAATCAAAACTTACCGTTGAGCCAACGATCTCTCGGATTTCTTTATCTAAAGAATGAGCATCAATTTGTTCCACCCGAAGAGCTTTGATTGAATTCATTGAAGAGTAATTTGATCAAACAAGAGGAAAACCATCGAAATAGGCAACGCCTTTCTCTCCTCTCTTATCTGCCATCAAATACACCAAACTACAAAATTAATTGTTCAGAGGTTGCCATGCTATTCTTTATTATTGAGATGCTTCTTTGTTATGCATTTGAAACATTAAGACTCTGATTTATGTTCACCAACAAACGAGGAAATGAGTAACAACTGAGACCATAGGTAGAAAAAATAGAATCGCAATGTCATAAACTGATATAATAAATAAATTCTAAACTTCTCATTCCTCATACAGGCCTGATAAAGTATTTTTCTCGATAATCGTCCTGGGAATAAAATGATGTTAATATTGTTCTTCCGGCAAAAAACCTCCCACTGAGAACGATGAATGCCTAGAAATGTGTTTAAATTGCCTATCTACAAAGTATCTAATTTGCAGCATACCTTTATCGCTTGAGAAATATTTCCAAATTCCACAAATATTCGAACCTCTTCCTCTTCTGGTGTTCCTTCTGGCATCTAAACTACTTAAAGTTTAAAGTTTAAAAAACTTTACAAACCACGTGTACAGCAACACTCGAAACGGCTCCGTATTTTGCCATTTCTTCTTGAATTTCACTGTCCAAATCGTCATCGACTTCCGACCGCCCGACCATATTCTGGAAAAACTTGTTTCAGTGTTTAAAACTTCGACTTACTCTCAATAAGACGACACGACTCGGGTTTTTCATGGCATCAGACATATTTGTCGTTCCAACTCCTTGGGGAGCCATTTGTTTTCCTTTAAACAATTTTCAACTATTTGACAGTAACCCTACCATCAATAGTTTCACTCATGATTTGCCCACTCCGCATGCCTACTCGCTTCACTGTCAGTGCAGTACTCATCCCTTGCTCCGATTTTCCTAGCCCACTACCTATAATTAGATAAAATGATCTTTATCTTCAAAAATAAAATATCTTTATCTTCAAAAACCAACCTTCTTTGTAGCCCATCTTGCTCATAATGTTTGCAGCGACTCCGAGACCCTTGCTTTTTCCTCCAAATGACGGAGTAAATGCCGGTGCTTTGAAAACAGTAGTCGATGAAGTGGTCGCTGGCACTTCAGGCTAAATTTTTAAGTGGAAAAGATGGTCTCAATCAACATCACAAAACTATTGCTTCTTGCTGCGTTTTAATTCGGGCACTTTCCAATGATGAAGGCAGACAAATAAAAAATACATTTTACTCCTTTTACCTTGCTTTCTTCTTGTAACATCGTCGGTGGTGCAATCGCAGCCCCCTTTCCTCGCTTCTTTTCCTCCTCTTTGTATTCACGTGCAATTCGATCTGCCACATCGCGAGCTGCCTAAAATTGCTACCTAACTTACATGATTCATCCAATTTCACCTTTTCTCTTGCTTCTATTACATCCAATTTCTTTCGCTCCTCGTAGTAATCATTTGGTACAGCAGGTTGATACTCGTTTTCAATAACAACTTCATTAAAAAGCAAGATCTAAAAAATTAAAACGAGGTACTTTAAAAGTGCGTAGAAAAAGTAAACGTACTTTGTCTTCAATGGCCGCATTCGGAAGAAACTTGAGAGGAACTCCGTCATTAATTGGTGAAGCCTAAAATCAAGGAATATTGAAAAAAAATATATAAGGACAGCTTACTCTGACGGGATTAAAAGCTGGCCTTGGTGCGGCTTTGATGTTAAGTTGAGTTTTTGCTCCTCCCTGTCCGGACAAATTGAAAACGCCGGGAACAACTGGCGTTCCACGTGGCGGCTAAATAAAAAAAATAGTTCTATTAAATTCTAAAAATTATATAGAAGATTAAACCTATTTTATGTACCTACGGCGACAACAAAGTAGACTTTTTGAACGGAAAAAGCCGTTTCCAGTATGCAAATATGTAAATTAAGCTACAAAATTACTTACCGGCGGTTGGCTGATATTCGTTTTCTTTTGGGCAAGTTGCTGCTGTAAAAATTTCATGGTGATATTTGCAGCGCCCTTATTTGGTGGAGTTTGCGGAACAGGCTCCTCTCTCTTTGGCGGTTCCTCATCATCATCATCGTACAATGCCATAGACGTCCTAAGATAAAAACATTAGTTTTTCTTGACCGAAATGAATAAACGACTCATTACAACGATAATCCACTGATTTCTGACTCCTTTCGTGAATACCAAACATTTAACTGGCATTTAGTCCGTTAAGCATGTATTGACAACCAAATGAAAGATAACTTGATTTATTCTCTTAGATTCTTATCACAGAGTTGCAGATACAAATTAAAGCACAAACCCCGAAAATATCACAGTAAAATTGACAATTGAATTTAAATTTATGACACTGTGAAGAATAGATAGAGGAGCCCTTTCGCATAGCTCACAATTTCCTGCGCTCCAAGTTTTGACTCACCAAAGAACCGGTCCACAAACGTTATCGGAACCTAAAACAAGCCATTATTTTTGTACTGTTTCATTAAATAACCTCGCCAATTTGATATCCGGCTTTACGTGCACGAAACATCATTTCCATCTAAACAAAGTTTTTAAAAGTTACTATGATAATTGTTTCTGCAAAAACAAACCTGAAACACATATCCTTTCGAAACACTTTCTTTTACTAATCGTGCAAGTACTTCTCTTCTGAATATAAAACATGTATGAAAGTTTAAAGTTTGGTTTACTTGTAAAGACGAAAAGATCCAGTGAGATCGGAGACGCCCGGATTGAGAAGAAACTAAAATGAAAAACTGAAACTACAAAAATAAATTAAATAACCTGAGCTAGAAAATTCGCTCCTTTCGAAATGAGCTTTCTTCGGAAATCCCACCCGGACACACCACCACTTCCAACGTATCGAGTTCCAGTCACAATGTCTAACTAAATAATATCAAGTAAAAAAGGCTGAAGGGTTGAAAACTACGCTATCTTCTTCTCGTAGCTTTATCATGTCCACAATAAACTTTGGGTGATGGGAAAGATCAGCATCCATTATGATAATGTATCTGTAAAAATAGATTTGAACATAGAACATAGAAATGTAAGCCCTACTCTCCACGAGCATGTTTCAATCCATGTATGTAAGCGGTTCCGAGGCCAAGCTTTGCTTCTCGCGGCCGTAAAACGATTTTATCTTCACCATATTCAGCCTAAAGAAAAATTTCATTGCTAAAAGTAACATTTACCTGAAGTTTTTTCGCGACATCCAAAGTCCCGTCTGGACTAGCATCATCAATGATTATAACCTTAAATACACTTTTGTAATTTTAAAACTTTAAAAATCTTACTAACCTCGTATTTGATGTCTCGAAGGTATTTTTCAATCAAGTAGATGCAAATCGGCAAATTTTCCAGCTCATTGTAAGTGGGGAGAAGAATACTGTAGGTTGGTGGCATCTAAAAATGAAGAATTTGATTGGATATTTTGACATTTGACTAAGAGCTTGGCAACTATAACGCAATACATATTTTTAAAAACCGAAGCATGCCTACGCCCCGGACAAAAATCTGAGGATAACTCGCTCATTTTCTAACTCTTTGATTAAGATAGTTTCACACCGCACTATGCATGTCTTCGGAATCGATAATTTTTGAATCGGAATCAAGACCAAAAAAGTTTATATCGATACTTGAGAAACTATTTATTGAAAATTCTGCCGAACTAACGATTCAAATATGTACAAAACAACAAGCAATCTTTAACTATTTGCTTTTCTTCCTCTTGCTTTTTATTTTTGCACTTTGCGATGCCGTTTGGTCGGCGGCTGCCAATGCTGCTCCTTTGTCCACATTATCTCCGGCCCACATGCTCAAATATTCGTTCGAGTCAAAGTTATCGTCAATTTCCTCCTAAAAATCGAGAAAAATAAAAGTCCAAACTTTACAATAGTATGCAAAAATTGTAGAAAGTTATGGCATACAAGGAGAATTCGAAAACTCACTCACCTTTTTAATCTTCTTAGCTTTCGGCTTTCTGGCGGCTAACCGTTGCCTTCGTTCATCCTCGCTCAGTGTCTTGAGGTCAACAGCTAGTTGAATAACCTAAAAGATTTGATTTCAGTAAAATTCACACTAATTTAACCTGTCTCGGTTCCGCTACTCGCGCCTCAACCGTTGAACCATCTGGCCTCAACAATGTCGCCGGATAACGTAGAAGAAATTGTTGCCTTGATATTCTTCCCAGTGAAGCTCGATAGGCATTTGTTCTCACTAAAAATAAAAGAATCGAATATTGTACTAACAAAGCTTAAAATATCTCAATTGATGCTTGGTTTTTCCTAAATACTTCTTAGTTGCTAGAATACAAAATGACTAAACCTTGTGTTTGAAGAGCTTTGACCAAAAGTTGCGACACGTGCGGCCGCGTGGTTGCTCTCTCCACAAACTTTAACCACGGTATCATCTGTAATTTATCAAAGTTACTAAAATTTTTTTTGAAAAACTCACAAAAAAAGTAAAAGCATATTGAACACGTACCCGTACACAAAGAGCAAACTTTACTTATCACAAAAAAGAAACCATACAATTAATTTATTTAAACAATTTAAAGAAACAAAGTTCACTTAAAGCTGCTCGTAGAAGGGCTCGGAATGTTTAGATTTGACGATTCGAGTTATTGTGCCTCCACGAGATGAATTTTGAGAATGTTGCGAAGAACTGGAGATTGACACATTTCGTTCTTGTTCACGTCGCTTTCGCACAACGAGTTCGATGAGCTTTTGAGGGTTGGCGCCGGCTAGGATCATCCTCATTGAAGCAGTCATCTGTTCATCGTTCATCTCGAGTCCAACCATTTCGGCGATTTGCTGCAACATCGTCAGGATCTCCCTCTCCTTTGTTGACAAATTTTGGGTTGACATCTGAAAAAATAAACATTAGAAGAGGTAAACGAAAAATATGGGAAAACACAAAATACCTACCTATGCATCAAAATATCAAACGTTGTACTCCTTCTAACAAAAGGAGAGCCGTTTTTTTAGTTGAAGGCACTTTATTTTTCTAGGCATTTTGAAAAGGCGGGGTACGGTTAATAATGGCTAGTCCACACAATAGAAAGCACTGCGCGAAGAGCAAAAGAACCGTTTTAGTTTGGCAATTCGCCTACTTTTGAAGTTAACGAATGAGACTTGATCAATCATAGTAAAGATTTTAATATTATGCCAAGGTATTGACGGTATTTACGAGTGTCAAAGTAGCGATTAAGTTTAAATAACTCTTTGGAGTTATGCGAGAAGAACATGGGTGTCTCATTATCTTTATTGGCTTTGTGGAAGCGCGTGAGAAACTATCAGACTTTCTCCGGCCAGGAAGGTCACCTTTTCTTCTGTTTTGAAATAAATATTACAAAATAACTGTCGTCTAATATTGCGGCCTGGAGAACGGTACTATTCTGGGTGCAAAATACACAAATCGCTTTGTGAAAAGGCTTCAAAATTTCGGCAAATGTTGATGTCTAGTTTTTGCTGCTTCGGAGAAAAGGTAAGAAATTTTAACAAAACTGAAATTTAACGGAGAAATTATTTTTCAAACTTAAAGATTTTCCAATGGGTACAAAGAGCACCTTTATCGACCCGGCAAAAATTTGGGGAACACGTCGCTATCTTTTTTTGTTCATTTCCCCTCTTCGTGTTATAGACAACCAAACTACTAAAGCAACCCTTTCAATAGACAAATTCGATTTTGCTTTATTTTTGAAGTTTCATAGTTCCTGATCCTAGAAACAAGAAAATGCAAAGAAATGAAACAGGTTTCTCTTTGAGCGTTTCGCTCCTTTCTTTTTGGGTTCAATCTGTTTCCCTTTTTCTTTATCGGCCCATGAAATTACTTTATCTCTAAAAGTTAATTGATCTATTTCAAATTATTTAGAAAATGGGACAAAGTGGGTCAGCACCAGTGCCAGGACAGGTCAGTGATCTCAAAATGTAGGCTCCTCTAATAACGAGAAAAGTGAGACTCAATGAGCTTTTGAAATTGATGAGGTTTATAAGTTAGCAAAAACTCATTGAATGCCGGGCCATGCCAGTCTACTTCAGATAGTAGAAACAACTTCGGGAAAAATTCGCGGCCGTTTGTACACGATTGATGAAGATCGAGTAGTCGAGGGGTTTCTTGGGATTCCCTACGCTGAACCACCAATTGGGGAACTCAGGTTTCAGGTTAGTGAAGAGATACGATCGAGAAATTAAAACACATACATAAATAGGTAGTCTAAACTGACTATCACCTCAGCTATCTTTGTTACCTCGTAGATCTAACCACCTTTGACTTTCAGAAGCCAATTCCAAAGCAGAAATGGAAACATACACTGGATTGTTTCCATTTCGGCCCTCGGTGTCCACAAGCAGACGAGTACTTTTCAGGTTCAAAATACAGTTTTTGCAAATGAATTCCATTTTCAGGTTATTTAAATATTGTTGGAAAAGATGAGGCTAAATGCTTGACATTGAACATTTTTGCTCCACAATGGGAAAGCAAAGAATTTGTGAGGGATTTCAGACTGCATATTTCATTATTCCCATTTTCAGCCAAGCGGTCACCCGGTAATGATTTGGATACACGGTGGCGGATTCCAAATGCATTCCAGTTCCAATTATGGAGATCGCACGTTGGCAAGGTTTTTGACATTTGAGTTATAATAACAAGTTCTCATTGAAAAGCTCTGAAAAAGAGTAAACAACTAAAATACGTTAAAATTTTTCAGAAATTTGTGTGCCAAAGATTTGTTAGTCGTTTCGATCAATTATCGACTCGGTCTTTTTGGCTTCTTTACAACAGGGGATGAAGCCTGTCGAGGTCAGATTTAAATTCTTATCTTTTTCGCAAAGAAAATATTTTAGGCAATATGGGTCTCTGGGATCAAACTTTAGCTCTCGAATGGGTTAGGGATAATATTGGGAAGTTTGGTGGTGATCCAAATAATGTCACAGTGTTTGGTCAGAGTGCGGGTGGAGCATCAAGTGATCTCCTTTCATTGTCACCACACTCGAGAGGTATAAAAGCAACAGAAAATAGAGAAAAGAACAGAACAGACCATTCATAACTAAAACATCTTCAACATCGCAAAAAACCTTTCAGATCTTTTCCATAAAGTAATCCCAATGGCCGGTTGTGGCGAGTGTGATTTTGCGATTCGAAGTTCGGATGAACAAACACAAATCTCCAAAGATTTCGCTAAATTTCTTGGCTACAAACCACATGGTATGGAAACATTGGAATTATAGTTATAGTAATTTGACCTAGAGGAAGAAGGCAACGAGGAAATGCTAGAATGGCTGAGATGCCAATATGCTGAACTTTTAGAGTTGGGGCTTTCCGGGAAAAAGGTAGAAAAATTGAATAGCAAGTTCGATTGGACAACTTTTTTCAGGGTTTTGGTAAACCTGGCCGACTATTGTTTACTCCAAATATCGATGGAGAATTTTTCCCAAAATCTATTGAAGAGCTGAGAAAAGAGGCTCCGAGAAAACCGCGAATGACCGGTGTCACTCAACATGAAGGACTTTTCTTTGGTTATACAATTTTTTTATTTTGCAACAGTTCTATATCTGTAGTTGGGTTAACCGGGCTGAACAAAACTTACGAGGGAATGCAACGATATCTTGAAAGATCTATTACGGATGACTCTTATGAAGGAGCTCAAAAATTACGGTAATTTGATCAGTTATTTTGATCGTTAAGTTTGAAAATTAGTGAACAAACGCTCGAATTCTACTTTTCTGATGTGAATACAAAAGATAAAAAGGAAGTAATCAAGAAAATCGTACAGGTAGAGAATAATTCGAATTGGATTGACTGGATTCATTTCAGATTTGGGGCGATCGAGAGATCAACTATGGAATATGGGAAATGGCAAGAAAAGAAGCTGAGTTAGGATCAAAAGTTTGAAAATTTTAAATGACCTAATAAAGAGCTAATAAACTTAGGTTTATCTCTATCAATTCAACTATTTCAATCCTGATGGGTTTGGCCTTTTGAAGTGGATACTCCCGTTTTTAGGTGAGACAGTAGTTTGTATGGCTATGAATTCAAAAACAAACAAAAGTTTTCTCACTATATTCAATAATAATAACATTGAAAAATGCATACATACTAAAATAATATAGAAGCTTTATCACTCGATTTCAGGTGCCACTCATTGTTCCGAACTCCGCTATATTCTTGGCAAAGGTGTTATCAGTAAATTTCAACCAAATGCTAATGATCACAAAATGATCAAAATTATGACCGATTTCTTTTCGAATTTTGCAAAATATGGGTAAGCCGGAAGAAATTGATTGTTAGAATTGAACCTAGAGATCCAAATGGAAAAACTGAAAAATGTTTGTGGGAGCCGCACGATCACACAAAACCGAACCGACATCTCACGATCACTTTGGAACCATCGATGCAGGTGGGAACTTTTGAAAGCATTCAGTTATCATACCTTTAGAGTAAACTGTATTTGATCATAGCTCAAAATATTCAGAAAAAAAAACCACTGAGGTGCTCAGTTCTTTAGGATAGCTTCATTGAGAACCGAATGGAGTTGTGGAGTAAAGTGTTCCGGGCTCGTTTGTGATCTCAAACAACACCAACTTCTTCATTTGCTCAATTTTATTTATAAAATATCGCTTGATTTCGTGAATAACATTAGCACCAAAAGCATAAAATAAATGGCAACAAAGATGACTCGTAATATTGTGGGGATACGGTAATGGCTAGAGAAAATGAGTATGACTAGAAAAGAGAAAGGCACTAATAAAATTGGATTAATTGAAATGTAATGTAATGAATTTCTGAAGAAAAATTATGATTACATAATTGAACAACAAACTCTTTCTGGTGGACCGCCATTTTGAGAGATTTGTTGGTGTTTCTTTTGTTGAATTGCCCATTGCAAACGTTGAAAACGAGACGGTTCTGGGCATTCAGATTCTGAGAGTTCAAGATCCTGGAAATCGTTTTGACATGAGGTTAAAGTACTTACGAATTTTTACAACTAGTGCTTTATTTTAAATATCTTATTCCCACCTCGTCATCTTCGAAAGCGTTCACTCTAATATGCATTCCTTCAAGTGAATCCTCTACCATTGGAGCCCGAATTTTCATCTAAATATCATTCAACGTATGATATGTATGATAGTTGTAAGCCTCTAGTAATTAACTGTTCTTTTTTTTTGTATGAGCTATTGTCTACCGATTGAATCGATGATGTGACTCCATCGGGATGAAACGAAGTGACATGATGCTTGTCCGAATCAAATTGAGGATAGCCGTATTTCTGAAATAATTTTAAAGTACCAATAAAAATTAAAAATAAGATGAATTATAAGTTGACTATCCGTTACCGATATCTCTGGTCTAAAGGCGAGAGCTTCAAACTCGTCAGACGGACTTTTCTCCCTTGTTTTCGCTGGTTCGAGGCCTTTCGCAAATTTTTCCTAAACTCTTTTGTAGTCTTTCATGATATACTGATTTTAATATAAATTTCAACTTTAAATCCCTCACTTTCAATGATTGAAGAATCATAGATGCTGTCATCAAATTCCCATTGATTTCTTTCTCTTGTTTTCCATAAGCAGAATTCGACATTTCCACGAATTCGTCCGCTTCATTTTTGTTTTTTGGTAATATTTCATAGGCTGGATTGACTAAACCTGAAGTTTCATGATACTTTTTTCCGCAAGTTTTCTCTCTCGCCTGCAATTTGCATATTGGATAGAACTCGTCTCTCTGCACTTGCTCTTCCCCGTCCATTGACCACAGACTCGTACTAACAATATGTAACAATAACAATAACAATAACAATATGTAAATATAATCTTTCTTCTACAAGGCTAAGAGCTAGTTTCTCGTAAGATAGTTCGTAATTTGAGCAGTGCTGTTGCACTTTGATTTCAACTCACCAAGAAGTCGTCCCACATTTCGAGTTGTTGTTGAGAAAGATCTGGACAAGATCCACCTACAGCTTGATCTCGTTGTGATGTTGATTCTCTCTGAAAATAAGGTATGTTTGGCTCAAATAACTTGTTTTTTTTACTTCTAGACTAACCTCATTTCTCTCATCAATATATTCCTCTTCAATCGTTGTTCGATCTCCCGTTGTTTCCCGAGGAAATTCTTTGGGATCCGAAGGAACTGGTGGAGAGCACGATTCACTTTCCTAAATAAATTAAATCAATAATTTGCAAAAAGATTACGAAATTTTCTAAAGAATAAATAAACAAACCCCTTCAAGCAGCATACTTTGCGTCTTTTCTTTATTTCTTCTTCTCCTCTTTTTCTTCAAGACAATCGCCGGGATCGGTGGGCCAAGACCAGCTGGAAAGTCTCATTCTTTTGGTTATGGTTAAAAAAGAACACTTCGGTTTGGGGAAAAAAGATTAACTTATTCTAAAAAGAAGCATTTAAGTAAAGAAAATTAGGTTTGGTTTTTTGAAAATTTGATTTTAAACATTGAATACATGAAAACAGAGTTGGAGAGAGAGCAGTTCCAGGACATGGAATGATGAGTGGAAGAGAGAGGGATGGATTGATGGAAGGAGAGGAAGCCCCTACTGACAGAGGTTGGGTAAAAGATGGGATAAGGGGTCATTTTGGAGGACCTCTTCCCTTTTCCCTTCTCGATCTCTCCTCCTTTTCTCCTTCACTTCTCATTCATGCCATTCCTCACTTTCTCCACCACCCGGCTCTGCCAGCTGTTACAAATTTCTTTTAATCTTGTCACTCCTCTTTTCTTTATCAAGGGTTTTATTTTTATGAAGTTCGATATTGAAATTTGATCCACGCAACAGTTAAACAATACTAACCTTGAACGGCTCACAAAATGGGCTAGTAACCTATTTTTAATGGGAACTCTGAATTCAAAAGGCTATAATCTACGCATAGAAGCCATAGATTCTTCCTAAAACTTACGATTGATATTGGTGACATTAGCTGAATATCCATTTGGCACAAAAGCGAATGGGGGAGGACCGTTTGGGAATCGACCGGGAAATGAAGGCAGCTGAAATTGTATGTCATTAAAAACAACGTGCTTATAAGCTAGGACTACCTATATTTTTTTAAGATTGTCATGTGTACATCTTAAACTCACCATTGGAAACGGAAGATGGGGATTGGGAAGAAGTGGCGGTACAGGTACTCCTCCAATTGAGACTCGCGTTTGATGAATCGGATTGCGGCTCACTTCTGAAGTTTTCATATAAGATGTAAAAACAGTCTTTTGAATCAATAAACTTAAACCACAACGCAAAAAGCTTAACAATCAGCAGAAGTTAAGAGGTTTGGTAATCCCCATTTGAGGAGGGGATTCCCTCGTTACAGAAAAGCAAAAAGAAAGTGAAAAAAGGGAAATGTTGACTCATTCCCAGAGTCCCCAGAGACCCAAAGACAACAAATTCTCCTTTTCTAGCAAAGAATTTCGCAATGTTTTAATTTGAAATCCCGTTATTCGATTTCAATTCAGCTCACCCGGAAAATGGTGCCCAGAAGGAATAAACGGCTGCTCAATTATCGTTTGATGATCCGGCGACTGTTGCTCATCGTAATTATAGAAAGATGCCTAAAATGTAATGGACTTAAACGTTTAAACATGTACGCCAAATCAATCTTCAATTTAAGATTATAATTAAACCAACTTTTTCTAAATCTGGATCAAAAGGCGGAGGGCTGCTTGAAGAGAAAGCATCATGGAGTTGCTTTGATCGAGGCACAAACTCGGGCGCTTGAATCCAAGCTAAAAGCTTACTTATTATAAGACGCAAAATTTGTGTGTGTGTCTGTCTGTTCACCTCATAACTCGAGTCCCAGTGGGAATTTCAGTTCGATTTTTTGAGACAATGTGTAATCGACTACAGCGGTTTGACCTGTCAAATCAGAATTGAAAAATCTTTAACCGTTTTTGAGTAATATTGAACAAGCTTAATTTGGTCGCCTAGGGGTACTTCAAAAAATGAATTTTAGTTTTATTTTCTCAGATTATATTGGGGGAAATATGCTTATATATTGGGACTAGGAACATTTTGAAAATTTTTGATCTATTGGCGAAAACGACAAAGGCGGAAAAGTTCAAAGGGTCGGAAGCGAGGGTCAGAGGGATTTCGGGTAAATGGAAAAGTTTGCCCCTCAAACTCAGTTTAGTTATTGAAATGCAAATTCAGTAGTAAAATAATGAACTGTAGTAAATTGCTAACAATTAATACCAAACTTTGACTCATGTAAACTATGTGTTGGTCCAAGTTAACCGCCGGCGTTCAGCCGGTGTTAACTGCTGGTGTATCGTAAATTAGAATTTAAAAATCTCTAAGCGTCAGACTCAAGCTTGCCTTCGGGGTTTGGTGTCTGAAATGGCAATCTCATTTGTGATGGAGGCGATCGAGAACCCTTTTCATAATAAGATGATGGAGCATGATCTTCCGTGTCAAAACGCAATTTACCCGGTAAAGCCATACTAAAATAAGACATAGAAGAATTTAAATGGGATGGTTGATACACAATAATAATAATAACAACATGAGGGATCCGTTTGAGCAAGCATATTTGAGAAAAAAGTTTAAAATAAAGCAGATATGAGTAGCAGATACGCTCGAGAGCTGAAAATTTTGAACTAAAAATAGCTTTGCTTTGCTACAAAAATCCTTGGGAAAGTATCTATAAAACGATTGATCAAATATCAAACTCTTCTAGAATTCGATTGAATCTCTTCTTCATGTCATCCAAGTCTAACAGACGGATGAATTGAGGATCGGGGGTGTGGGAAGAAGGAAAAAAAAGAAAAAGAATGAACAAGACGGCGTGTGTATTCTCTTTTCTCTTTTGTTTGCAAATTTGTACGAGAGCCCTCTCAAAACTTTCTGCCTTTTTTCCCTTTCTTCTAGCTTTTTTCTTGGTCTTTGAGAAAAAGGTGATGAGTAAAAAGTGGGGGAAAGAACCGGAAATCCCGTGGAACTCTTAAAATATCATGGGAGGATATTATTGAAAGGCATGATTATGTATTGAAAGTACAATAAAAAAAAGCATTATTGGACAGCAAAAAAGCACTTCTGTGACTAATTAATTTCAGGAAACATCAGCGTCACTTTTGAAAAGAGCAGAAATTGGATTGAGAAAATAATGTTAACAGTAACAGTCAAGCTCCTAAGAAGTCCCATTTAAATTGGATCTAGGAAAACAAAAAATAACTGCAAGGGGAGACAGTGAGAAGAGTCAAAAGTGATTGGAAATCTGTAGATAACCACTATTTTTGAAGGGAAATGAGAGGAGTGAAGTGGACACAATGAGGAGGAAAAGAAGGAGAGAGGATTGTTGTAAAGAAGAGCTACGGGAGAAGGACATATGGCTCTCGGGCTCTTTCTTTTCTTCGCATTCACTCAGCAATCAGTCGATAGAGTCGATAGACTCACACTCACAACTCATACACAGACCCAAGTGTATATTTTTGATGTCAAGGACGGACATGATGTAAGGATAGTTTGAATAGGAAAAAGGGCAAAGGCGCCTGGAAAGTATTTATAAAGTAAATGGTGGAATTTGAGTATAGGTTTTGCAGCAGCAAAGATGTTACCGTGTTGCCTCTAATATCAGGCTGTACAGAAAGTCTTTTCGTTCCTTTTCGTACTTCCGTTGAAAAATAACAAATTCACCAATCAACCTATGGTTTTCTCTAAATAAAAAGTGTTTATTGTTCAATTTTCCATCTTTTGAAGTTAATTTCGGTTCACTTTCAAGTAAATTCGAGAGGGGGAAAACGTGTTTTTCGTAAAAATCTATAAAAATCTCTATGAAGAAATTGGCTGAATCAATTTCTTCTGAAAATTTGGGTAAATACAAACTTTTGTGTTCTATCTTTTATCTATTGACACCAAGGTTTTTAGGTTTCCTTAGCTAAAGTGTCTAAACCGCATCATCGAGCCGTCGCCCTCTTTGACTATCCGACTTCACGCTCCCAAAAAAATGCAGACATAAGACATTTTAAACCCGTTTTAACGTTTTTTGCAGAAAAATAATTCGTCTTTATAATGAAAGAAACCGTAGTACAACTAGTGCATTTGTTGATTTTAAAGGGAAGTACAAAAAGGAACGAAAAGACTTTCTGGACAGCCTAATATATCAAAGTGATTTATTCAGGTTCCGTCGGAGCCGGAGGAATCTACGGAACTGGAGCAATCCAAGAAGGATTCCAACAAGGATGCCAAGGAGGACCACAAACCGCCCAGATCCCACAACAAGTCCCAGCTCAAGGCAATTTGGGATAAAAAGGAAGCCAGAACACTATACGATGTAAATGGTTTCAAGAGGTTTTATTCAGGCCTATGGAAAAAATAGAAGCTGCCCTCACCCGCAAGCCGATCGAAAAATAAAAGCCGCGGCTTCTATTAGAGGCAATACGGTAATTCATTTTTCCTGTTTGTTCTTATGGAGTACAAAATTATTTTTTATAAAAAGTTTTCATCTTTGAAGCGGCAGATCTCTGAAAGAGAGTCGCATGCTACAACTAATTAGTGAGATAAACCCACATCCGGGTGTGTTCCAAGAGGAACACCGTTAATGCCTAAAAAGATTCTGTTCAATAGTCATAAAAATTCAAGCAAACATTTATAAAAATAGCTTTTAAGTGTATATTTGTTAGAAGTCATACAACTAGCTACTGGGCCTCTCTATTCTCAACTCATCAGCATTGAACTTTCTGATCAGCAATTTGTTGTAGCTTTGATGGTCTTTTAAGTAAATTTCTTCTAAAATTTTTATCGTTAACTCTTGTTTTTTTTGCTTTAAATCTAACTCAACACCCCACCCCGGCTGGGTAATCATGGATGCGTCCGATTTAGTGGCAAAGAAGGGATCCTCTTCCTCTCCTCTTCTTCTCTTTCTTCCCATTCTTTACTTGACATCCTCCTCATTCCCATCATCCCCCTTTCCCCTCGTGAATCCCTTCTGAATGTCCGTCTCATTTCTTTCATTTTTCTATTCTTTTCCCACTCATCTCTTCCATTTTCAAGTTGTGTGCCGTGATTAGCTTCAAAAAGAAACCCTCTTCCTCTTCCATCCCCAAGAGTTGACTAAAGAGGTTTTTCACCCGAGCGAACACATCGAGGCAATGATTCCGCTTGACGAGGAACTTTTCGTTCTATAAATCGTCATTCTTTCCTGACTTTTAGCTTTTTAGAAATTGTTGGGTATTCCTGGGTCGTTTCTGGTTGAGTTGATTGAGGATAGGTTGTTTATTTGATGGAAAGAAACGAACGGCTGGTTATTTGGAGATTTTACAAGAAACTTGAGTAAATTGTCAAGAAGTACAGCTACTTAGTTCTTTATCATTAAAGTTATTAGGCTGTCCAGAAAGTCTTTTCGTTTCTTTCGTTTCGTACTTCACAATAACAATAATAACAAATTCACCAATTAGCCTATGGTTTGCTCGAGCATCATTGTTCTGTTCAAAGTTCTCCTTGGAATCATTCTCGTCCTGAGAGAGATCCTAGACATAGATGGTTTGTTTTGGAAAGGGATTGAAGATACAAGTTCAAATAGAGAACAAACACCAATTATTAGGTTGGTGAATAAGTCTTTTCGTTTCTTTTCGTACTTCCGTTGAAAAATAACAAATTCACCAATTAACCTATGGTTTTCTCTAAATAAAAAGTGTTTATTGTTCAATTTTCCATCTTTTGAAGTTAATTTCGGTTTACTTTCAAGCAAATTCGAGAGGGAAAACGTGTTTTTCGTAAAATCTATAAAAACCTCTACGAAGAAATTGGCTGAATGAATTTCTCTGAAAATTTGGGTATATACTTAACTTTTTGTGCTATCATTTATCTATTGACACAAAGATAGGTTTCCTTAGCTAAAGTGTGCAGACATAAAAGATCTTAAACCTCTTTTAATGTTATTTTGCAGAAAATAATTCGTCTTTCTAATGAAACAAACCGTAGTACAATTCGTGCATTTGTTGATTTTAAGCGGAAGGACGAAAAGTAACGAAAAAACTTATTCATCAATCTAATAGTTGCAAGAATTGATAAACTTACAGGTACAACGAAAAGGACAGTCTAACACTTTATCTTTGTTTTGAAGAGATTAGGACTTTTATTGTTGAATGGTAAGACTATGGGAAAAGAATTGCAAACAATGATGCTCTAGCTAAAGCTATACAGCTAACATCTGTGACAATATGGTCGCCAAAGTGGTTATTTTCTTTTTCTATTTCTTTTTTGCTCCAAGGAGATCTCTTTGTCAAAATGGTCTCTTTGAATGCATTTTCTCATTGAAATTCTATGCGCCACCTCTTTTCTCAAAGCATTCATTTTTCATCGTTTTGCCTTAACCGGAGGAACTCCCATTCTTTTCTTTTTCCGTTTTTCTGATTAGATATTCCATTTTCACCTTCACTAATTTTCATCTTTCACGTCTATTCGATTATTTTTTATCAAAACCTCTGCAATTTTTGTTTTACAGGAGTTCAATTGAAGATCTTGGTGAACGCTTAACCAAATGCCTCGATATCATGGAAAACGAGCAGGCAAAAAGGTTTGCGAGATGATTTCAATGTGAAACTTTCTGACAATGAACAAATGCTAACTATAATATTTTGTTCATACATTCTCAAAGAAGCCCGTTTGCCTACCTTTGAATATTTGAGTAAAAATGGGGTTAGAACTATGTATTAGGAGAGAGCTCATGTGGTTATAAAGGAACATTAGTAAAACTAGACCATATTCTATTGCAAAGATGACATTCGAACGAATTAAAAAGTTAGAAATTCGAAAAGTTTTCTAATCGAAAGTCAAGTGTAGAATGATTCACTTTACATTTTTCTATTTTTCTTTTCACTTTCGATAATTCATTTCCTATCTATCTATGCTAATCTATTGTTGCAACGAAATGGTTGGGTGTATCGCTTGAAATACAGATATCCAGATAACTTATACTTTGCCCTTGTTTGATTAGGCTCGAAGATTGACAATCGACAACAATCGTTTATCGAAACGCAAACTTGGGTAGTTAAACCAATAAAGAATGAATACAAACAATAGAAACAATAAAACTAACAAACGGGAAGAAACTTGGAACTAATGACCTACAAGATTAGTAAAAACATAATGTGCAAAGGGACTGCTTGAGTCTTTAAAAGGCAATATCTACGGTATTTTGTCCACGCTGTTCAGCTAATAAGCTTTCTACCTTTCACGACAAGTAGTCTATAGTTTGCATGCAAATTGATAAATTGTGCGAATGGGTAGCGGAGTCGCTACACCTATCTGACTCACCCACCAATTTCATCTCCCATCCCAAAAGGCGTCCCAACTATAAGTGATGGCAGATGGCCAGATGAAAGTCTTTCCATCTCTTTTTCTATTTTTCATTTTTCTTCATTTTTCCTCTACTTTTTTCAAACAAAGCCCTCTTTCGATCTCGAAAATCCGCCCATTTCCGCATTCTATTTTTTGATTTACGAGAACGGGGAATTGCATTTTTTTCTGTCTTTTCACTTCAACATTTTCCGCTCATCTTTCATTTTTTCAGAATTCAGATTTTCGACTTTTCAAAGGCAATTTTGATGCCACTCAATTTAATTATGAGTTTTTTTTGTGTGCAGGTTTCTAAATGTTTAACCCCCGTGGGGTTTTTAACAATTTCTTTTGCTTATTCTAGATTTTGATCTCAAGTGCTTTAAAAATACCGACTGGGGCTACCAGTGGTGAATTTATCGCATACACGAAATATATCAATCACAATACAACGACACACACAATACTAGGCTATATCTCAACTTAACCCACGTCATGACAGACGGCTCCCTAACCCTAAGCTCAATGGGGAACTAAATAGCTTTTTTGGTGGTGAAGGGAAGATGACGATGAAGGAGTGGCTTGTCACTTTAAAGAACTGGGGCCACAACCACCAGACTGCCCTCCGGAAAACCTCTCAACCCGAAGGGAAAGGAAATCCGAAGGGGGTGACCATGTCGCATGTGGGGTTCGAACCCTTGACCTTCCGATTAAGATAAAAGACACTTAACCAGTCAGCCACACGTGCTCACTTTAAAATAAAGTTTTGTGCTTCGCTTCGAAAGCTTCATTTCATTACGCTATTTCTACGCTCATAGCACAAAATAGTATTTTATACTCCGAAATTTCAGGGTGATAGTTTATCGAATGAGCAGAATCCAGAATGAAAATTTTTGCTAAATTTTCTCCTTTTATACACTTTCCCAAGCCTATGGTAGTTCATCCACCCCATAATCCAAACACTCCAGCTGAATACTTTTTGTTACAGAACAAAAATGGTGCATCCTGAAAGAGCATAAAATCATATTTCTACCTTTCAGTTCTCAACGACAGTTCTTGTTCTTGATAATTTGGCACATTTAATGCCTACTAATAAGCGAACTTTTGCTTTAAAATTGTATCTCAAACACATATTGTAATCTTGGTTAATAGATCTCTAATTATTAATCTTTTTTTTTTTGTAAAGCAAAAACCCTCGTCTTTATTTTTGCCGTTTCCGATTTTCCATTCCGAAAAACTAATCAAACTTTTGTTCATTTTCACCCGGATTTCCATCTAAAACGGCTCATAATATTCAAGTATTTTCGATCTTTTTTGAGAGATGACGAATTTTTGTATATGCATCTGAATTGCATTTTGAATGTAGTCACAGTAAAACCTTTATAGGAATTGTCAGATTGTCAGAGGCACCACTTATAGAATTGTCAGATTTACGTATAAAAAATGATTTTTAGAATTTTGAGAATGAAATCTTAACTGTAACACGTTTTATTTGCACAACTTCTCGATTTCTTCGTCGATTTTGATATAAAACACCATATTCTATGATATTTCTTCACTCATTTACCATTTATTTTCATTTTCCTCACCTTCTTTTCTACTTCCCGATGAATGCAGGTGCAAATGACCACATCACTTTCTATTCCCCCCACCCACTAACGTAAAAACCTTCCCTTTTTTATTTCACCAAAAACCCTTGTCGTACTTAGAAAACATTTTGTCAATTTGAAGTTTATTTCAGTTTGAAAAACTCACAATAAATATCTTTTATATCTTTTGTTTTCTCGAACGGCAAAGATAAATTTCAGGCAATCATTTCAGGCAAACAAAAATTGAAAAAGAAATTTTCCCATTCTAAAAATGTTTCCCCACATTTCATTTTTCCCCACAATTTTTCGTTTAGAGTCAGAAAGTTAAAAGATTTTTGGATAGATTTTGGTTTCTGTCTAGTGTCTAGAGAAAAGTCGTTAAAGGTTTACCCAAAAATCTAGAAGAACGCAAAAATAAATTGAAATTTGCAGGAAATATAGGAAACGAGAAATTTTAGCCAGTTCCATTTAATAGAATTCGAGATTGATTTTGCTTTCGGAAATGAAATGAAACGGGGAGGGGAGGCAGATGAGATACACGGAGATAGACGTGGTGTATTTTGGGTGATTGGGTGATCCCTTGTAATTAGAATGTTACCATCGTTGTAATCGCACTAATCTGTACGTTTAGTGAATCGAATCTAACCTCACCTCTTTCTCATTTACTTGAGCGCTATCTATTTCAACATTTTTTTTTGGAATTTTCCCTTTTGACATCCCAAAGCTCTTCTCCCCTTTTTGCCTTAGCGGACGCTCCCCATTTGAGTGCTTTGAGTCTCCCTCGTCCGTTCAAACGTGATTTCCTTATTACGAAGTGCTTTCCATTGATAGATAGAAGATCCATTCTTAAGCTTATATTTAAAACCATCGATGCACTTACGTAAAGTGTTGTTTAAGTTGCCTAAATGTTGATACCTAACTATTTGATAGATTGAGCATCAAAACCCCTTTTATTTCCATGTCTTTCCACAATGTTTATCTCTTCCACCACTCATTATTTTCATTCACTCATTCCACTCTCCCTTTCATATCCTTTCCTGAATATTACTGATTTGGTAATGGGTGAAGAGATTCTATGAAATGGAACAAAGATCATCAATTCCAGCGTCACATTTTGCTAGAATCATTTCAAACTTTTGTGTTTTGTTATGCGATGAGCAATTTGTGCATTTCTGTGATTTTTGAAGGTTCAAACATTGACATTAGGCGAATTGAGGGTCGATCTATAATCAAGTATTACTTGATTTCTGGTCAGCCAAATAGATTGCCGTGGCTGATCTATCTCTGCTACTAGTGCGCCAGATTATAAGTTGTACAATATTTTCTTATGGATTCTTAATACTATAAATACCAATGACTAATAATCAAATTGTGCAGCTTGAGGGTATTACTAAAATTGGTTTCAACTAAAATAAGTGAAAGGGAGCATTCTAATTAAGAAGAAAAAACTCCACCCACCCTTTATTAATTTATAAAAAGTCTTTTTATAAACTTTGACAAAGAATACACAGTTCCAATAGCTAGCTTTAACTACAACTCTTTTCTCTTTACATTTCTCAAGTACCAAAGTGGGGGTTCATTCATCCGATAGTTCCCCCGTTGTCTCGACTAATTGCCCGAAAACTCCCCAAGGACACGAAAATTTCATAAAAACAGTCAATAATTATAGAAATATTGAATTCTTTCGCTGTCTCATGACCTTTCTTTCAAAATCAGATTGAAAAAAATGCCGTGAAATGAGGGGGAAAACAAAGTATCATCGAGGGTATAATTAGTCGATGTATATAGGGGAGAGATTTTCAAAGGGAAATACAAACTCATTCTTTCGAATATTTCGGCAATCAAGTACAAAATCTATATCAGGCTAACTTCAAAGCCTTTTCTATTCAAGATCTTCAGCCATAAACTGCGCATAAATTGGTTTTATCCATCCATCCATACACTAAATAATTGCCGTTTTTCACCTTCAGACGAACTGGTAATTATTTCCTGAAAACACATCAATAAAGGGAAAAAGCAGCTCATTCTGCGTCATTATATTCCCTGAATATTATAGCAGACTCTAGCAGCTTCGATTTCAAATTTCCCGAAAATTTTTCTGAACTTGAACCTTGAAGAGCATTTGTGTCCTCTTTATAGAGATAATCTCCTCTATTATTTTGGATTTCAATTAATAGCCACCGTTCCATTTTTTAGACACAATTTACCAAATAGAATCTATTCATTCGTGATTTGGATATTGGATTTCATTTATTCTCACATCATCACTCTGGACAAACCGAATTGCCCGGTTCTGTCTGATTCTATTAACCGAATATCTTATTGTTGACTACTTTCATACTTTGCTATCGTATTACTAATTGTAAAGTCATCATCGACAAACTTTATTTCTCTTTGAAAATGGGTAGTGCCCCAGGTTCTTCTCGTTTCCGAGAAAGAAACGAATTTCGATCATTGAGAGGATATCCATTATCACTAAATACTCAACAACTATTTCTTCAGCTCAAACAGGTGAAATCAATGTTTTCCGTGAATATTTTTGGGGTAAGAGGTACTTCACCTGTCATCGTTCGGATAGATACCCAACAGAGTCGTCGATTGATTTTCCACCATACTTCAAACCTTCTTTAATTCTAAAAATTGTATATCTCACTCTGATTACAAAAAATCTTTCTAAGATAAGTGAAATCATTTGCATCGCTTCTCCCGGTAAGTCTTTGTCAAATCCTATTTTTAACCTATCACAAAGCCAACCCGCTTTCCTTTTTTCCTAAAGTTGATTTCAACTTTTCTTCCCACAAAAGATCTCCGTCCATTTTTGTGGTCTCCATCACGCAAAATTTCATTTTCTCTTTTTGACCGAGAAAGAGAAAAAAGACTCGATTGTTGCAAGAAAAGAGAACATTTCACGACTCGCATCATTCTAAATTTTGATTAGTTTTTGCTTTGGCCAAAGATATTGATGAGTTCATTGAACATCGGGATATTGAATAGGGGAAATATTTGTTATGAAAAGATTTCAGATGCAAGAGCAATGCACGGATGGCCCAAGCTCGGCGAGGGGACAACCGGCACCGAAAAAGTTCCCTGATGGGCCGCCGGCGGAAAGTTATCAAAAGAAGAGATTCTCCGTGCCCGCTAAATTGGCACCAATCGTTAAAGCTGGTAAGGTTCCAAAGTTTGAAGCTATTTGAACAATCCCACGATCGATTTCCTGCAGTAGACATGCATCCTTTTATGTTGTACGGGCTAAGATCTTAAAAATGAATATCTACTTCGATCCGTGGGAGAATTGAATTTTCTCAAGTAGAATTGAGGATGTTCTCCATTTTTGCACTTAATTTTGAGTTAGATTGAGAGAGTCGTAATCTTGGAAATATTGTCCAAATTGAAACTTTTTTAACCAGGACGACGTTGTGAAACGAAAAGTTCTTTTAGGCGGGGAACGACGAGTGACCCTTGTTCGACCGTGTGAATCATTTCGAGAAGCAAAAGAAAAACACGCTATTCATTTTGGATATGCTGCGTTGAACACCGAATTCAATGACTCTGATCCAAGTGAGTTCGACCAAAAATTTCTCGTCTTCATTTTTAAACAGTTGTGCCTTCTTGTATTTGGTTGGTGAATAAGTCTTTTTGTTCCTTTTCGTACTTCCGTTGAAAAATAACAAGTTCACCAATTAACTTATGGTTTTCTTCAAATAAAAAGTGTTTATTGTTCAATTTCCCATCTTTTGAAGTTAATTTCGGTTCACTTTCAAGCAAAATCGAGAGTGAAAAAGTGTTTTTCATAAAATCTATAAGAAACTCTAAGAAATTGGCTGAAGGAGTTTCTTTGAAAATTTGGGTATATACCTAACTTTTTGTGCTATCATTTATCTATTGACACAAAGATAGGTTTCTTTAGCTAAAGTGTCTAAACCACATCATCGAGCCGTCGTCCTTTTTGACTACCCGACTTCATGCTCCCAAAAAATCCATAAGACATTTTAACTCCGTTTTAATGTTATTTCACAAAAAAATGATTAACCTTTCTAATGAAACAAATCGTAGTTCAATAGGTGCATTTGTTGGTTTTAAATAGAAGTATAGAAAGGAACGAAAAGACTTATTCACCAACCTAATAGATGACCATTTAGCTTGCTCAAACGATTCTGGTTGTTCGGTTTTCACGATATTCACGGGAGAAGAACAACGACATACTGTCTGTCAACAACCTGTTGGACCACAAGTAATTATTAGAAACATGTTTAGAAAAAGATAAAAATACACGGGCTAATTGACAATATTTTTTCAGGCTGATCTCTTTATCTCGACACTTTCCGATAAAAGCAAATCTCAATTGAAGAAATTTCTGGATAATACACCAAGACAAGACAACGAATATTTTGTTTGGGTGAGAGAGACGAGCAGTCAAGTGGTGAGTTTATTCTAAAGATCAAAATTACAAATTGGTCTCATCAAGAGAAAATAAGCTAATCAGTCATTTCAGGTGACCGTTTTGTCGATTAAAACCCTCGAGAATCATTTGAAGAGTAAAAGTGGTATAAGAAGAGTTAAATGGAGACATCTATCTGCTGAAAGGTTTGTGAGTATTAGTAAGAATAATAACATATTTATGTCTTTTAGATTATCAATCTACCGTTATTCATTGCCCTCAATTGGTGGGAAAGGGGCACGAGTGCGGGAATGTGTCTTTGGACATCGAAAATTGTGTCTTTTATTCAGTGAGTTACTCAAAAGTCACCCCAAAGCTAGCTTGAGTGTGTTTTCTACTTTCAAATTTCGAAGAAATTTAGCTTAAAATCTTTTTTTTTTAGTTTGGCTTCTTTTCGTATTGCTCATCTGTATAACAGTTGTGATTGGATCAACGAATGGAAATGATTTAGCATTAAATGGAACAAATTATGCACACCAACATCATAATGTATAGTGATTTCGAGATTATTTCAAGCTTTTAATCTCATTTATTTTTGTTTTCTTACTTGAAAAAGCTCATCTTTGTATGTAATAATAAAAGTTTTGTGTGTCAATATAAATACAAAAACAAAGACAAAGATAAAATCAAGAAATCAAGAAATCAATTAAACATACACCATTGATTCTAGATTCTTCCGATCTATCCAACTCCAATATCACAATGTTTCCAGTTTCTGTCTAACCAAAGGTTTTCTTTGCAAAGTTTCGAGCATTTCCCTGTTATTTCTTTGCTTTTGTGTTTTCGAGGATTTCAATTATTCATTCAAAGAGAAAAGTCAAACATCAATTTGAAGTTTTTGAAGAGAAATGAGGACAGTGAAATTCGATGGGGAAACTATGGCGATGAAAGAATTGACAACTTTCACCTTATTCGATTCTTATTTTTTGATCTGAAGGGAAAGATAATTTCAGATCTATGAGAAATTGCATTGGTATTACGGTACTTTTTATTCACAATCTAGGTATGTATCGGTGTTTAAGACCGACTCAATTAACTTTTAGAGCAATTTTTGTTGTAAATTTAGCAGAGCATTTAGCAGATCATTTAGCAGATCAACGTTACATACGTTATTTCACGTTAGGAAACTTGAAAATGAATATTCCATCTTTTTTGCATACGAAATTAACCGTTGAAAAGAAAAACATATTTATGTAACAAGAAAAATGTCCTCTGCTCTATGACAAGCCTTTAGCCAATTGCTCTGTATTTACAAAAAGATTCTACATTCAACCTATATTTGTCAGTTTCAGCTTAATTACCTTCTTTGCTCATACATATGCCAATGTTCATTAATTTCTTCTCGATTTCCTTTCACATGTCATGAGAAAAGGAGAAATCTCGAGATTTTTCGCTTTTGTTTGTGAGTTCATTCAATTAAGATTACGATTAGTGTAAACATCGGTAAAAAGAAGATAGACATTTGTAGATATTTTCATGTCGGGATGCCTACTCGTTTATCTGCATTCGAATACAAGGCGAAAAGGGACTTGCAAGGCAGAAAGAATAGATCAAATCGAAGAAATTCTCAATCCAAAAAGTCCTCCATCATTACCCGAAAATCTCCGAAATATTCCATTTCAAATCCCATTTCAAAGCGAAACGTTCAACTCAACATTTTTGATTTTACCTGAGGTTCTTGCATTCATAAATCAAAACCATTTTTCTTTAGCTAAATAGATGCAATGAGACATTTCTCCTATCTGTCATCCTTTCATCGCCTTCTAATTTTGATATCCGACAAACGATTCGAAATACATGGGCTTCCAGAAATCAAGATGAATTTCGAGTAAGCCTTTCAAATGTAATTGTCAATAAATCAAAATGTATAGAGTGGATCAATTCAAACCATTTTCCTTATTGGATCGGGAGATTTACTTGAAAAACGGCTATTGGAACGAGAAGCTGATGATCACAGGGACATTTTGATGGTCTCATTTCAAGATACATATCGAAATTTGGTTCTAAAAGTAAGCTTTCGAAAACTAGAGATATAAATTTTGGCCTTTGCTAATTCAAAGTCAGTGAGTGGAAAGTAAAATTGCAGTCTCTTTCACTTCTTTATTATCATGAACACTTTTGCCAGGCTCGATTTTTGCTCAAGGTAAGTTGATGTCAAAAAGAACATTGAGGTTTACAATTAGATTGATGATGATGTTGTCTTCTCTTTTCCTCGATTCATGCACTTTTTCAATGACACCACAATTCTTGATCAATCCGCGGCAATATATGGGAAAGTTTGGAATCATTCTCGCCCTGAGAGAGATCCTAGACATAGATGGTTTGTTTTGGAAAGAGATTGAAGATACAAGTTCAAATAGAGAACAAACAACATTTATTAGGTTGGTGAATAAGTCTTTTTGTCCCTTTTCGTACTTTCATTGAAAAATAACAAATTCACCAATTAACCTATGGTTTTCTCTAAATAAAAAGTGTTTATTGTTCAATTTTCCATCTTTTTAAGTTAATTTCGGTTTACTTTCAAGCAAATTCGAGAGGGAAAACGTGTTTTTCGTAAAATCTATAAAAACCTCTACGAAGAAATTGGCTGAATGAATTTCTTATTTCTGAAAATTTGGGTATATACTTAACTTTTTGTGCTATCATTTATCTATTGACACAAAGATAGGTTTCCTTAGCTCAAGTGTCTAAATCGCATCATCGAGCCGTCGCTTTTTTTGACTACCCGACTTCATGATCCCAAAAAAATGCAGACATAAGACATTTTAAACCCGTTTTAACGGTTTTTGCAGAAAAATAATTCGTCTTTATAATGAAAAAAACCGTAGTACAATTAGTGCATTTGTTGATTTTAAACAGAAGCACGAAAAGTAACGAAAAGACTTATTCATCAATCTAATAGTTGCAAGAATTGATAAACTTACAGGTACATTTCACTGTCCGCTTACACTGCTGAGAATCTACCTCCATTTTGCTCAGGTCCTTCATATGTTATGAATCGACAAGCTGTTCATGCTCTTTTGAACAAAACTCAAAGTGTTTCGTTAATATACAATGCAAGTTTAATGTGTTTTTATCTCAAAACCCATTTCAGGTTGAAGATGTTTTCATTACCGGAATCCTTGCTGAATACGTTGGAGTCAAAAGAGTGCAAATGAATCGATCAATTTTTCCGCGAAATTATTCAGGAGTGGTTGGTTTCAAGCTGTTACTCTGATGGTAAGAAAAAAATAAGTAATCAGGATTTTTAAAGCTTTCTCTTCTCGGCGTTCCTTGTGATTCAAAGAAAATTCCCTTTGTTTTTTCAATTCACGGATGGAAGAATTCAGCACAAGTACGAGTAAATAAATAAAATTTTTTTCTTAGGAGTCAGATTTTCCATACAAATTTAGCTTCGACGCGTTTGGATTCGCATGAAAAGTTTGAAATGTCGGAGAACAATGAAAGTGAAAAGATTAAATGAAGGGTATGAGGCACAAATTGAGAAGCTTTTGAAGACATCGCTGAGAATTGGCTAATAAAGATTTTGTTTTTTATGCGCTCTGGTGTGTTTTAATTTTTCCAGATATTTTCAAATTTTATTCACCACAAAGGAAAGGTTTAATTACAAAGTATTGACTGCACATTTCCAATAAAACGCACAAAATATCGACAAGAGAATTGGGAGAGGAGACAGTGTAAAAAGGAAAATACCGTAGTTAACAAAATCAACCAGGAGACGTTAAATTTGCATGCAAAATAGGAAAACAAATAACCCGTGAAACTATATAGAGCTGCCAGTGCTAAATTTTTCGAAAGTTTTCTGGGATCGGTGAAAAGAAACTACAAATGATAGTAGGCTTTCTCTTATTTGGAAACTTATGATATCAAAAAATAAATAACAAAAAAGCCTACCTTAACCTTAAACAGAATGCGAAAATCAATGGGTTTGGCCTAGTACAAAAATCATTTGATTTCACAGAAAATGAGAGAGAAAACTTTTGAGAGAGATCCACATAAATGAACAAGAAAAAGGAAATATTAAGAAGTTTTTGGTGAAACGCGGTAAGCAATATAAAAACGCATTTCATTTAGAGAAACAAGAGAAGAAAAATTGAACTTTGGAGGATAGAAAAGGAAATAAATTATACCGTAATATACACTGTATCGATTTTACAAGTAAATTTTAGAAGAAAATCACAATATTCAGCTTATTTATGCACTTCAGCGGGTAGCAGAGATGTTGTGAAATGGCGATTGAAGTCCAAGAATCGATTGGGTCTATTGACGTCTGTAGAGGGTTCGGGATGGCTGAAAAGTTAGGAATAAGTACATTTAATTGTTGCTACGACATTGCACTATTGTACTATTGTTTTTGTAATTGTTACTCACCTCATTCCATGTAGCCAAATGTGCATTAGGTTGTGGTGATGGTGGCATTCCTTTCGTTTCACCGCGTCTTTGACGGCAAGTTCGTGCGGCCACCTTGTTCTTTCCTAAACCATATTGATAATTTGAGCTTTGACCAATAGATTAAGTACTTCTTAAAATAATATTGCTAATACGCACCTCTTCTGCGAATCTTTCGGATCAAGGCCTTTTGGTCTTCAGAGAGATCCTCACTTCTCAACATTTTCTGCAATTCAGGCAAAGACATATCCGAGATAAGAGCCGCGCTTGCTGGTAAGCGATACGACATGGCCAATTGTTCATCTTTGCTTTGTCTGCCTCTTCTTCGTGGCAAAACGGAACAGCTCATTGAAAGACGGTTCTTTTCATAGAATTTCTCATGTTCTTCTATTGGGTTGGGAATGAGTTTTCCGTAGAATCGGCTTTGATTCGGTGAGTGATTCTCGGCTTCACTGTTGTAACGAGGAGATGTTGAAGAGGAAGTGGATGACGAATCGATCGATGATTCACTGAAAATGATCGATTGAAAATGTGTCTGATTATTGCCGCATAATACAGTAAAAGTTGAATAGACACTCACTTGCTGATTGAAAGTGATCTTCTCGAGCCAAAGTTGTCATAAAGCGCTCCATTGTTGGGAATATATGGGACTTGGAGACTCTGAAATTTAAGTGTAAGAAACTTTAGTAAATGAGTTTGTTTAAACGTGTTAGATCAAAACTTACAGCAACGTTGTGAAGAGGATTGGCTGGATAGGTGGACACAGCTCCAATCTCGGCCAAAACTGGCTCCGAATGGCACATTTGTTGAACGGCCATTGTAAGGTTGTTGATACCTGCAATATGAATTTAATTTCATTTTGGAGATATTCAACTAACCATCAGTTCTGAGATATGGTGGAAGAGGGCCCTCGGTGTGATTATTCCAGAAGTGACTTCCGTTAAAAGCTGCAGACGGGATTGATGGAGTGGCTGGGACAACACCCACTGTCGGCACTCCACATTGAGACTCACATCCAAAGTTCATATGTGGCATCCCTTCTGTCACTAAAAAGGACGACTAGTTAGATCACATTGCCCAACTCTTTCTTTAGATTCTTTAAATAGATCCAACTCTCAATCTATAGATTAAATAACTTACAGTTCGATTGTGTCAATGGTACTCCGAGAGACACATTATGCATGAGTGGATGTTGAGCGAATCCAAGTGAATGTTCAAGTGAAGAATCTTTGTGAAGCATATCGTTAAAAAGGGCGTCCAGCTCTGCCTGAAATACCCAAAGATGATATAAAAAAATGATTAGATGATATATGCAAATCATCTCATCTAGATCAAATACGGTAATTGTCATCAAATTGCCGAGAGTTTAGGTGATGTAACATTAGCTATTTAAACTCACGTCAGTAGGGGTAGTTAGATCAACAGAAGATTTTTGTTGTTGTTGAGGGAGAAGTGGAGAGACTGGATTTGAACAAGAAGGAAGTGAACTCTCCGAATAACAACGACCCTAAATGAGAAAGTTCGTTTGCGTCGTATAGAACCAGTTTTGTTATAGCTAAAACTGATAAGGGTATTTTCTGTAAGGATGCTTTTATATTGCTGGATTGCTTTCAAATCCTTATGCAGAAGTCATCAAAAAGTGATTACGCTGTATTTGCAGCTTTTGGCAAAAGTATCAATGATGATTTTAGCACTATTTTTAGAAAGCGAATTCAATTTGTTTTCAATGTGGCAAAAGTAAAACAAACTGTAGTATAGTGTTTTTTTTTCCATTTGCCTTATCCTCACCTCAAAATCAAGAGACGATTGGCAAGTGGATGGGGTACTTCCCGCGTAGAAATCTTCAAAGTATCCTTTGCTCAACTCTTCGTATCTCAAGGCTTCGTCTTGCGAAAGAGACTAAACATTCTTTTATTTATTTATTATTTACCGTCATGTGCTTCTTGAACTTTTTGATACATTTTTAATAAAAAAGCTAAGAGACAATGTAATTGATATCATGAGGTTTTGACTGTTGGCTGTGTTTATAAAAGGAGTGAAAGGGGTGATGGTTTCATTTTGTTCTTCAAAAATCATGCATTTTTACAAAGCTTGTTTTCTGATTTTTTTACTGAATATTCTAAACTTGAAGACTAATGCTGAATTTCGTGACACTGTGATCCCGACAAATCTACGCGAATCTTACAAAAGTATTTCGGGAAATCGAGCCGAGAATCTCGACAATAACATCAGATTGTTAACTGTCTTGGCCTTACAACAAAATGTAATATATTTAGCTGATTAAACAAAAATTTGCAATTAGGGATGGCATTTGTATGGATCTCATTGGTATCGCCTTTATGAAATGGACTTGCATTGGATTCCTGCTGAGAATTACTGTCGCTCTATGGGAGGTCATCTTGTAAGCATTATGGATAAAGCTGAGAATGATTTTGTTCATCAAATAAGAAGAAGTTTGTCAGCTCAATTATACATTAAGAAATTGCATTCTAGAGAATAACATTTGGATTGGATTGAACAAGATAAACGATACTCATCAAGTCTATAAATGGAGTGATGGATCTGCGGCCGATTATATCAATTGGGATTCGACACAACCCAATGAGCCCCAGGTAAAGAATGTTATGCATTGATAAGTGCATAACAGTTGTAGAAGTTTCAGAGAAAAGAAAACTCTAAGCTTCTAAAGAAAAGCCAAGAAAATTGTATTTTTTGCCCTCTTGAAATGGCAATAATAAAATTTGCGGTTTCTCCGCAAAGAACAAAGAAAGATTATAAAGTGCAGACCCCATCCCTTTTTGTTCACAAACCTCTTCACTGGAAATTTCGAAGATAACACCCATCACAAAATATTGAAAAAGGGGTTGAATGGGGCAAAAGGCACCGTAAAAATGATGTGAGCGTAAAGGATTCAGAGAAAGTGACGTGAGTGATCTAATTAGATACTTTCAAATAGGGAAACTTGACCAGTATATATGTATAACTAAAGATCGAGAGGAAACTCACTGATAGGCGGTACTAAATGTTATTCGGCTTTCTGTTTAAAAACAGGGACTCAGAAGTTGTGACCTCAATGCAGATTCCCCACCAACATGAGGCCAATCGACGGCGAGGGAATTATTGCTATTTTTACCTACAAGAATCCCGGTTTTGCCCACAAGCGGCACGGTTGATCGGCTTTGAGTGGTGTGAAGATCGGGAATCTTGGAGGGAGAAATGAAGGGGGATGAAGGGACTTCGATAGAAAGAGATGAGGCCGAGGAGGGGCACGCGCATCCCTGGTGATCCCTTGAAATCCCCGGGATTCTCTCCTAATGCTTCGAGATCCGTGACGCACTTGCCTATCCATTCAATAAGTATTATGAAATCTCTCATAATTAAGGAACAAGACGGTGGAAAGTTCTCGATGATTTAACCTAATGGGGAAAAGGGTGAAGAGGTAAAATGAGTGTGATTTTAACTGATTGTTATATGTGCAAGTTAAACTTTGGCCGCCCCAATACTTCTTTAAAGTAAAAAAGAAAGTAGAGAAGTTTTCAGGTGAATTGCGTCTACATGGCCTACAACCAGGACCACACCGGTACATGGTTTGACTACGGATGCTGGGAGCACAAGCCACAATTTTTCGTGTGTAAATTATCAACCCCGTGAATAAATGTATCAAGTTCAAGAAACATTACCAATTCAACAAAAAATCAAACTCACCCCAGTGATACTCTTGTGAGTGAGAGCAGCAAGATCGGTTTCTTCTTGTTGCTCGAGAACAGTTCCTTTCTCTGAGATTCCTAAAGAAATTGTTTTTTAACATTTTTTGTTATTTTTATTTATTTATTTTTTATATGTGTATGTATTGTATGATTATATGATATCTATTAAAATAAAAAATAAACACAAACCGCTTAAATCGCTTCTCCAGAGAACGTCGATAAGTTCGATCTCCTGAAATTGAAAAAAAATTAGATGTAGAAAATCAACCCGTATTCAAAAATAAACTCAAAATGTCAATTGGTTGAGTGTTATCTTGAGGGATCATGAGATTGAAACTTGAGATACGGTGTTCAGTGGTGGATCGCTTGAGAAGTGGGAAAGGGAGGGGTGAGAAAATGAATGAAAAAAGAACTAAATAAAAGAAAGGAAAAAGAATCGACTAGTGAAGGGAATGGAAAAAATCGCTTATACAGGGAAGGGCAGTCTTTAGCTGAAATAAAAGAGGGAAAAGGGAAAAGCCGGAAAGTGTCAAAACCACTGATTGACGATCCGAACGAATCCCTTCCAAACCACCCCAAGAATAGTCTACAAAAGAACAAAACAGCTAAAATACTTAGCCAAGCCTTTGCAAGAGGAGATAAATGTTACCGTAATCCTAACTTATCACCAGCTTTTATCTACTTGCTCAAAGATAAGATAGGGCGTTGACCAAGCAGTTAGCGTTAACTGAATTCGATTCCACCACAAGATTGCATAAATAGGCCGGGGAACCCCTCCCTAATGACGAATCTTGATAAAAAGAAAAGAAGTGATATCAGAAAGACCCTTTGAATGAACTTGTTATCGCTTTTTCAATATGGGGAGACAATTCGGAATACCTCTTGCCCATGCACTCGTCATTTTTCTGCAAAGGGCAGAGGTGCAAAAATGATCACTTCTAGAGATTGGGGTCGAAGATCTTTTGAGATGAATCATTGAGGTGAAAGACTGGGAAATAAAATATCGAAATGATAAGGGTAAACGATTGATGAGTAAGGGTCAAAGTGAGAGTTCAGGGTTATTCATTGAAGAGATAAGCTTGGGAAAACTTGGGAAAACTTGAGGTTTCGATGTTGGAATGGGCATCAAATGGAAGAAGAAAGATGCTAGATCTTTGAACTTCTAACGAAAAGTGTCAGCTTACTCAAAAGTAAGCTCACTCACTATTGTAGTTCTTGAACGGTTTCTTATAAAATATGAGAACTATCATATCTAGATATATCTACAGTTTAAAGTTTAATACAATTCTAAGAAAATAAATAGGTAGGCGTTCTCGAAAGGTTAGATGCTGTAATTTTCCCCACCGTGAATTGCAAAGCTGTAAACTTTTGAAGAACCACTATAGAGAAACTAAGAGATCTGAAGAGACTTGGACACTTTTCATTTACTAATACCTAATACTTGAAAATTTCACAGTTTTCATGTCTTTATAGCACAAGTTTTATATACCGGAAAGGTTATCTATAAAACCTCCGAAAAAAACAAAATGATAATGAGCCATTGTCAATTCAGAAGATAAAGATCAAGACCAACCGGAAACGCGTAGGAAGCAATTGTCATCATGTTCACCGAATTGGCAAGATTATGAATAATGAAGAGATGTGCTAATTAGCAACAAATATTTAGACTATGCAAATGACAAAAAGTTACAATGCGAGAGTGATGGTCAAGTCTGAAAATGTTCGCCCTATATACCCCACGAAAAAATGTCTCTACGTAATTTCGAGTAAGATAAGGGAATTGGAAACGTCAGTTTTAGTGTGAAGGTCCTTCAGTCCATGGAAAAATTGTGATAAGAAAGCTTTTTGAAGTGAATGAGGGGAAATACTGAAGAGAGAACAGTACAGCAAGGGGAAACGTCATCTTAGAACGCTCCCTATGGGCATTCGCGGGGGGAAAAGATGAGTCAAATAGGAATGACCAAGAATGAAAAGCAGTGATATCAGGTCTGCGGAAGGTTTGGCACAAACATTGTTTTTAGATTATGTTGCATTCCAAGAGGTCAGGCATTCCTGCTATATTCTGATTGTGACGCTTCCGCATTTTGCGAAAACATTCTTGTCCAACTGCAGTCAGTTTTAGGTGAAAGAGGTAGGGTTTTTATATCATATGTATTTGAAAAGCTAGATCTAAAAGAGGGATGAACTAATAATTCAAATTGTTAAAAGATATAGAAATCCTTTGAGATTTACTAAATGAAAGCACAACGAGAAGTAAAAATTCTCATAGTTAGAAAGAAAACTTCAAGACAAATGGCACGAATCTCTTGAGTTGGCTACACAGTTTGTTGTCCTGAGACCATTATATGGAATGAGGGACTCTTCTCTCATCTTGTCTTCACCTCATCTCATAAACAATCCCCTCTCCCCAAGAATGATGACAGAAATAAGGGGCTTACCAATGGGGACACGCGTCTCTATTGGATCTATTCTTGTCTCATCTCCAAATATAACTATTTTCTTCAGTTTTACCGATATCTTTGTTGTAATCATTCTCCCCAGTAATCCCAAGATTTTCAGCTTTAGGATAGTCAACACTGAAAGGAGAAATCATCAAATTCTTTCAATTTTCTCCCAACCGTCATCACCAGTAGCTCGATTTGGTAAAATCCCCCGTGTAAGAGCTTGATTGCGTAAAACTGTGGGACAAACTAAAAGCTTCGATAAGACTTTCAGATCGGAAATCGTTGATGGAAAATATGAAGTTTATTGGGTTATTAGTGATGGGGAAAAGTACTATTAATTAGTCGAATGAGTAGGGGTAATTACGGGATGATCTCACCTCAAGAGATGGTTCGCTGTCACTTCGGCTTGTTGATGGTAAGTGTTGTCTGAAAGAGTTTGTATGAGCATATTTACAATAGAATATTTAGGTATGTTTTTGTAAAAAGTTTTACCTGTGATGTTGTATATTTGGTGGCTGTTGAACGAGAACGGGCATCAAAGTGACCTCACGTCGACGATTGCGCTGTGCGAGGTACTCAGCGTCGCCTCTCCAACTGAAAAAGATTGTTGGATTTTTGTTCTGACGAGTTTGTTAATACTTGTCAATGGTTCTTCGATACCAATCAAATGACAATTTTCAGGCAGTTTTCGAAAATCCCCTGCTCAATTTTTCGAAGTCATTGGAAAAGAAAATGTCAAAGAAAAGACAAGGAATTCGGCACTCCATCAGATGGATCGAAATTGAATGAAAAAATGGAAAAGAGACAAGGAAAAGAAAGAAGAAGCAACTCTCAGATCTCTCTTTCATTCATTCACTCATTCATTCATTCATTCGTGCGTTCACAGACAGACAGATTTTTATTGGATCGGTTGGCTTGAGATGGGTGATAGGAGGAAAAAAGGATATGATTGTAGAAAAGGGAAGTCATTAAAAAATAAACAGTTACTCTGAGAGTGATTAGCTTAAATAAGGTACTGACAGTTTCATCATCTCGTAGACAGACATTGTTATTAAACTTCTTAACTTATTGGTATGACAGTCACAAGTGTCACATTGCCCTAATTAGTCTGTTCGATTTCCATCTTTACAATTGGCAACCTTAAGCCCTGGAAAAAAATGAAACAAAAGCTGGGTAGGAGGAGATTTGAATGATTTTTTACGAGGGAGCACAACCTCATTTTCGGCATCTGACATCATAATTGAATGCAAAGAAAAAGGAGAACAATATTGGATCTCTCGATAACTTTTACAGTATCAGACACCCCGTAGGCACAGAAACAAATTATCGCCAATTTATGATTAGACCCACGTGTTGTTAGAAAAATTGAATTCAATGCATGATATTTGTGCGATGAATTTTGCCATAGGAGGACCGATTTGGGAAATTGGAGAAGTCATAAACTGGCCACTATGCAAAGAGTGAGGACTATAATGTGTTTGAGGAAAGTCTAATAAACTTTAAAAATACAATGGATAGCTTGCTAAGTGGAACTTTTTTTGAAGATCTTTAGGGTGGACGCTTTCAAACGAATTTTTGTGCCAAACCTGTGTTTCTTCTCAATTAACTTCTCAGCTTCTTTACTTTTCCCAAATCGCCAGAACATCTCTAGATATTCATTCAAAGATTAAGCCCTTTTTTGGAAGAATAAATGAGGGGATTGTGTGGGTGGACAAAGAAGAAAAGATCCACAAGTACAGCATCATTCAAAACGATATTTCATTGAGCTTTAGAGATAATTGAATGCAATAAATGAACTGAAGATTAGAGAAAAGTTGAAATTTGAAAACGAAGAATGTCCTGATGAAAAAAGATCTAGATTAGATGGATTAGGAGACTTAAAGGAAAAGATTTTAGAACAATCAAAGCACACACAACCTAAAGCCAAATCTTTGAGTACTTTACTTTAAATTTTATGGTTAAGAAATAGCCAAAACAAACCGAATTCCAAGCGGTCTTGTTGTTTTGAATGCATCGAAGAAATGCTCATCGCTGTAGTCGGGAGAGAAGAACATTTCTGAATTTAAGAAATATTTATTTACGCATAGATTAATATTTGCATAATATCTAAAATCAATCAATGAAAATAAAAACCAATAATCGGTTTTTCCGAGAGTTGCATCCATCCCACTATCGGGTCATTTCTCAGGCGGTTTAACCCCAAATAGATAAGACAAAAAAATTTTTTGCAAATATTTCATAGATCTGACGTCACTTTTTGAACTTTGAACAGCTAAATTTTATTTTTGTCTTAGTATATTTGAAATTGATTGAATTAAAGATAGAGTTCTGGGTTGTCCACCCGAAATTTTGTGTCTGTTATGTTGAGAGTAGGAGATTTCTCTTTTCCTTTTCTCTTTTCGAGAGAATTTCTTTCTAGTTTCTACTTTTTGTGTCTCTTTCATCACGAGACTTTGAGAAAAACACAAAAAGCACAAAGAGCACACAACCACTAGAATCGCCCGGGTGAAGTCGCGCTTTTTTTCGGAGAAATTTGAGGAGACACCAGAGAGAATTTGAGAAAAATAAAAGGGGACTGTTTTGATGAAAGAATATTGGAGAGTAGGAGACTTAGAGGAGAGATTTGATTGTTGCAGAGAAAAAGATAAACGTTTACGGTTGGAAACGATTAAAAGCCAGTGAAATATGGACAGAGGTCAGTGAAGAGAAAAAATGAGAGAGAATTTTGTCTGAACTGTGTGATCATTGAAGTACCCAAAAAATGACCCTGAAAACAGCACTGATAGTTGGAGGAATGATCTCCAATCGATGATATCACGAGAACTATCGGATTGTTACAGGCATTCGAGAATCGGACTAGTAAAAAGCTATCAAATGCGCAAAATGGTAACACCAAGGTAAAAGATCTGAACAGGCACAGTACTCCTTAACTTCAGTACTAATGAATGAGTATTCGTAAAAACTAGCCAGTCAGATAAAAATAATAAATGAAATTTGATATGAAATTCATTTAATATTTGTAAATTTAAGGGATATGAAGTTTGAAGCCCAAAATCAAGATTTCTTTAACGATTTGAAACTTTCACAAACTTGTGCTATAAACCCATTCAAAAATAAAATCGAGCAAAGAACATTTCAACTTTAAGAGCAACTTGAGTGGTGAATCATTTGTGGTGCAATCGAAAGATTGACCTAAACGGATCAGTGCTCCTTTCTCTTTTTCTTTTCAACTCCGAAACAAACCACAAATTCTCCAGTTGGTTCTCCTATTTCTTCTCACTCAAAGAGCAAAAAGAGATCTTGCTGTTTACCGACTCATTTTCCCCGTTTCCATCACTTTTTCAGCGCGTTTTCGCGGGACTGAAAAGCCAAAGAGTGATCGGGAATTCTCTTTTTGGCACAAAGCACAACATTTTTGATCAACATTGGGTAACTCCGCTAATTTTAGAAAACGTGTCTCTCAATGATTTTCGAGCCAATCCAATTTAGGAGTCTTTTTCGGGTGGAAAATATTTTTTGACTGTAGCGCAAGTTTTTGTGAACATGTACAAGAAAGTCAAGGATCGGTAACCAAAAAGTGCGGACATTTTTGGAAAATGATCTCATTTTGATCAACGTAAAAAGTGGAAATCACATGTAAAGACTAGAAAATTTTGGTGACTTAACCCCACAATTGGTAGAGATTTGAAGATTGTTTTGGACCGATAATCAAATTTTAAGCGTGTGGCATACGAAAGCCGAGTACGAAAAAGTTTTTTGGGAAAATTACGTTTAAGAGGTGAGTAGCAAGAATAATAGCATGAGAAATGTTTTAAGGGTTTTATAAATACCTTTCTAGTTGGGTGATGAGCTATTAATGCAAGGAAATCGAGGAGAAATTTACTATTGGATTGGTGAATTGAATTGAATTCACCAACCCAATACTTACTTAAGCAAGATTTTTTGGGATTGACAGTCTTGCTACCTTAAATTTTTAATTTCTACTTGAAAATCACTTAGTGTTCCGGCATACTGTAGGGAGATAAGGAATTTGGGATTTGAGTTTCTCTCAAGCTCGCTTTCACACATAAAAACTCCCTTAAACGAATGTTTATTAAAAATCTACAACACACTTTAAGCTCTCACATGATTTGTTTCCTTTTTAAAATCTAGAGATCCTTAGTTGGGTCCTTAGTAAATTTACCTGTAGAAAGCATAACGATCAACCACCGAAAAATATTTGCGTTAGGCTATAAAGCAGAAATGAGAAGTTGTCTCCTTTGAAGAAAAAGCCCTATAGCAACGAGCCGTTCTATAAGATCTCGTGGTTAGAAACCACAGAAAAGAAATTGCCCCATTGACGAGACGACAAATTAAGAATACAACCTAATTTTTTACTCTCCAAAAATTTTCAGGCGTCTCCATGGTAAAATGTCGGCGGCTGTCCTCTGAGAATTGCACACCCTCAACCATATTTTCTGATTGGAAAAAAGAAAAGGTAAATTGGAGGATTTTAGAGGAAAATAAGATGAAAGATTCGGAGAACAATAGACACCTTTTGTAATAGGGAATTTGAACATTGTTTACTGCCAAACTCTTTTGAGTGTACTTAAAGTGCTTTTGTAGATATGTAGCTGTTTAATAGAAGAAATGGCAAAGAAGGAATGCTAAATAAGGTCACCAAAGTAAATCTAGACTAGCATATGTCAATCTTGTTTAAATCTGTCTCGCTAACTAGTAAGCATAAAGCTTCTGCAAAAAATTGGCTGCATTGACCATATGCTAGCCCGCGTGTTTCGAAAAATAAGCAAAATTTAAAGAACAACCCGGTTTTCGAGGCATTTAAATGCTAATCGAACATGATGCAACTCGTTGAAAAACGAACCTTCAGGTGATGGTGGAGTGTATTTGAGAGAAACTCCTGTAGTCGATCCCTTTTCTCCCAATGGTGATGGCAATAAAAGACAACCGATCAATGCGAGAAACCACAAATGATTATGGTGATGAGCATCCTGAAAAGAATTCAAATTCTATATATGTTACGATTTGAATTTTGTCCGATTCAGAACCGGACGCCCGTTACCGAATCGTCCAATCTACACTTTGATTTTTTTGTATTTTTTTTAATAATCTGTGGCTTTTGCGAGTTACCAAGTATAATTTCTATTTCTATTCATAAAACTTTAAAGTCATAATTTTGAGTCCTAGCTAACTTGCGCGTTCCGCATTTCTATTTTATTTTTCCTTTATTTAAACTGTGCTATGTTTGTTTTCGATCATTTATATTTTTGATCGTTTGTTACCAATAAATTTTGAAGTTTGATGATGGATTTTCAATAATCAAAAGAAAAAATGCATTATTTTCGAGGATTTGGTAGTAAAGTTTGAAAATTGTTGAAATATAGGTTGGACGATCAAAAACAGGCTTCCGATTCAGAACCGAACGTCCGTTATTGAATAGATTCAATAACTGACGTAACATATAGATTGATGTAATTGGATTTGCATAGATAAATCGATGGGGACAAAGAACGAGGAGAAGGATTGTGGCTTTTGGGCAGGTTTGAAATATTGTAAAGGTTTCTTGGGTTAGAGTTTAGTGTCACACTTATTAAGTCTAAGCATTTGATCATATAGTTTAAGTGAATCTTGTTGGGTTTTTGGGTTTCAGTTTAGATCTACAGTAGCGCTCAAAAAGATTTGTACACCCCACGTTCTGCATAATTTCATGGCTTTGCTATTATTTGTGGTATTTACTTTTAAATAAACTGTTAAATGAAAAGAGTCCTTTTTTTAACTTGTATACACTAGTTTTAAACTATTTTTGACTTATCTGCAAAGTTTTAGGATCATTGGTTGAGTTCTTCATGGCTAAATCCAAAAGGCGGGGTGTACGAATCATTTTGAGCGCTACCGTATTCTAATACAACCCAAACCTGAGATTTTTTCAACAGCCCACCAATTTTAAACTATCACCCAACCTGTTGTTGATCCTTTTTGAATAGAAACGGTGAGTATCCCCTTCTGAGAGTGACAGTAGATGATTGTCTTGCTCTTCTCCTCGATTCTCTCTCCGAGCTACTACTACTTCCACTATCTCGTCTTCTAAAAAAATCTTATTTCCGTTAGCTTCACTGTTTTTGACATATTAATCGCAAGTAAATATCTTTTACAAACCTTCTTGGTTCTGCGTTCTCTCTCATCACGCAACTCGTTCAATCTCTATGATTTCCCGTCTTTTGGCAGTGATTCTGTAATGAACATAAAACTTATGAGAGAAAAATAACATCGAAGACCGTTAGAAAAGTTATTGAAATATGCTGGTTGTTCAAAGACTAATGCCAAAAGTCAAAAACTTTCTAAAATTGAAAAAGGTATTGAAAGGAAGCTTTGAACACTCAACTACCTTAGCATCAAAAACAGTTGTGTTCTCTTACAAATAGCAGTTCTTCTCAAAAAGTAGTTGAAAACAATCAACAAATCTGCTCGAGGGAGAAACGGATCAGACAAAAACAAACAACTCCGACCCATTCAATCATCGATCGGAAAAAAAGGCGAGACCCGATATTTCACGGGAAAAGAGAAAGGAAGACTTCTTTGAGTCTATAATTTTGCATTTATGGAAGAACTTGTTTTGATTAAATATAAGTTTATAGTTTCCTACAAAAACAATCTTCAGACGGACTATTCGGTGAGACTGTTCGAAGCAAACTTTGAATCTGACTCAAAAAGCTCTCAAAGAAGCAAGGTTTGAAGAAATAAGTCAATGATTAGACTATGAAGTTCCTGTTTCAAAATAATTACATAAGTTTTCGAGAACTTTCAAATGGAGAAATCGATCGATCAAAAACAGCCGATTCGAAAAGAAACGTTTCAAGATTGTGAAATAAAAATGAAGAAACAAAGAAAATCGAAGAAATCCAAAGAAGTTTTGTTAGGAAAATGTTTGAGCTGCTTAAAATTAAAGAGCTTATGAACAGGTAAACAACTTTGTTTTTTGTCAGAAAAACAAAGGAAAAACAACTGTTCCTGGGAAATGGATCGAAACTTTGAGAATCGAGGATCAAAAGCCAAATGTTTTTAAAAGTATTGTTAATGAATGAAGTTGCATATAAAAGTTATATATTGTGATGAATTTACAAGTTTCTCTCTATTTTGTGTCTCTTATGTGAGCAAAAGGGAACGATGAGATAGTGAGTGAAGTGTTTGTGAAATGAACGAAAGAGTCCTTTGGACACGTTTCCTTCCAGAAAAGAGACACCATTTCAAATTCTGAATCGATTCTTTTCATGATGCAAACGACTTTTTGATATGAAAAGATTTAGAAATTAGGAGCAGATGGAACAGATTGGAGTGAAAGATCGGGATACAAGTTTCCAGAAAAAGTTAAGTATGAATCAGTCAGGAAGTGGAATGATAATTTTGCGGCAAGTTGGATATTCTGCAAGAGATTTGGGAAAACTTAACTGTTGGGAAAATAGCGTCTTATACTTCCCACAAAATTATCGTTTTCTAAAGTGCCCTTTCACTTCTGTCTAGGTTGTCACTAGGAACGTCCCATAGTTTGTGCTATTTTATTTCGTTTTCGCTCCCTCGGTTCTACATTTTTGTATACGAATCGATTGTGTTTCTTTTATTCTGGATAAACGCTAAACGTTATTCCGCAATCACGTTACAACAGTCACGAGGATCTACTACTACAAAATTAACCAAGTAAAACTAGCAGTTGCATAAGTAACGTAATAAGCTGTTTTCGGAAACAAGTATTGCAGTATTGAAATATCGTTCTGGGTAAATTAGAACTATTACCTTTATGCAAAAATATTCAACATCTATCATATTGAAAACTAGGTTGAATAGGATTACACTAGACACTACCATCCTTTCATTTCCCTTGTGTGAAACCGGTTCGAATTCAAATTTCATATCGATTTTCTTCGGCGCAGCTGTGCCTCGACTCGTTTTCTTTCGATGAATGAACGTTCCCCTTTCCTTTACAGAAAGTGAATCCATTTTGTGCACAAAGGAACCGCTAAAGCTTGCGGAGATTTTATGGATGGAATTTAAAAAGGGAAAAGCACTAATAAAGTTTTACCTTGAGTCGCCTTTAGCGTTTTAATAAGAGCTCCACTCTAACAATACGAGCCTATTCAATAAACTTGAATAAAGAATAAAATGAGAGACAAAGAAAACTTATTTTGGGAAACATCTAAGAAAAGTTGTTGTTATAGAAAGTAATACAGAGTGATTTGTATTTTTGGCTTAAGAACTTGGAAAATATTGTTGAAAACAGTCAGATAGCCCGATGAAACAAAAAATGAATGAAGATTGGCCTTCAAATGGATGAGCTCTGTTGAATGAAAGACCCTTGTGACTGACCTTGTGTTTGAGTCAGAAAAAGAACAAAAAGAGGGAAGTCTGTTAGATGAGAAAAAGACCAAAAGGACATAAGGGGTCAAACCTTGTTTTGACACCTGATCTCCCGGGGAGAGATGGGTATTTGGAGGATTTGAGTAGAGTATTTGAAAGATCACTAGGCAAGTTAAGCCAGCAAAAATCATCAATATCTTTTCAAAAACTTTTGCAACCAAAAACTCAATAAGATTAAATAATTTTAAACTGATTTACAGTTCTCAAAGTAAAAAAAGTGATTCGTCAAATGATTTTGGTAAGGAAGCACAAAAATCAGGTGAGTTCTTGTTTGAAATGGTCAAATTTAAAAGCAGAAATTGTTAGGTTGGCGAGAAAGTTTTCGGAAAAAGTTTGCATGGTGATTTCTCCAAAACCAAGCCATGAATTCTTCCCAGATTTTTTGATAAACTTGACTATATTTCAAAAAGTTTTTGACAAAAAAACCAGATTGGGCTTCAGGTAAAAAATAAGAGATTTCTTCAGTTGAATTGACTTGGTCACTTTTTCAGTGACCAGCCTTTAGACAAGTTTTTAATGGGTTAATGAATAGGCAATGGGTCCTATTCAAACCTAAAATGAAGTACTTAAGTACTTAAAATAGGGAAAATTTGTGATTAAGGCAAATTTTATCTAATGCTTTAACTTTTCAGAATCACCTATTTTATCAAACACTCAGTGCCAAGAAGATGACACGAAAAAACTATTTTTTTAAATTCAGCTTCTCTGTCAAAAATTTTTGGCTAAAAATAGAGATTATAGAGCTTATTGCTCATTTATGCTAGCTTTACCTCATAAGGAATCCTTTTTCTCATGCAAAAAGTGAGCTGAATTTAAGCTGGAAAATAATCATTTTTCAAAAATAGCTAAAATTTAAAGGGAAAGTTGCACTCATTTTTTTACGAGTAATTTCTTGGAGTCGACTTGTAAATAATAGAACAAAATGTTCTTGAATTAGTGGTTTTGTTTTTAAGAAATTCTAGTCAAACTTTTTCCGAAAACTTTCTTTTCAATCTAATATTTGATTGATTCACAATTTATGAGTCTATTAATTAAAGTATCTAAAAACGTTGAAACTGTTCAAAATGAGCCACTTTTTCCAGAGGAGATTTTCTGAAAAGATTGTGTCAAGGCAAATGGGGAAAATAAATTTGAAACTTTAAACTTCAAGGTTCTCCATCAAGAAACAACAACGAGAAAGTTGGGTTTTGTTTAAAACAATCATGCCAACAGTTTTTTATCAAAGTATTTCACAAAGCTTTTAAAAGTTGCTTTTCTAAAGAGCCGCTTGAAGATTGTACAGGATAAATAGGATATTTTATGAATTCGCCCGAAGGATTGTTGTTGAGCAAATTCTTTTCTCCTAATGTATAAAATTTAAAAATAACGAATAATTCATCAGAAAACTCCTACAAGTCAATAGAAAAAGCGCTAAAAATCACACATTTCGTCAGCTATTTTCCCCTCCCCAATTCCTTATCAACACAAATTTTTTTTATTGAACAGAAATCATAAGAAAAGCGAACAGAAAAATAAGCTGTAACCCTATAAAACTACAGAAAAAATAGAAAAGAAAGAAAATAAAGTGATGACGATTTTCTGGAATCTGGTTTGTCATAAGACTTTTGTACTAATCAAGCAAGTTGAATGAGTACTGTTGAGGAAAGTACAGTAAAGTAAAGTAGAAAAAAGAACCAACAACAACATGAAATTGAAGTGTGTGATGATGTCCTAAAGAGTTCTCTATCAAATATCAAACGTAATTTCGTTCTTGCATGGCTTCTTTGGTGGCAATGGTTATTATTTTACTTCATACCAGTTTCTTTGTTCAAATATTGCCAATCTGTTCTATGTCTTCTCCTTCCCTTTATTTTCTTCCGTTCCTCCCGCTTATTCATTTCCTTATCAACTTCTCCCCGTTTTTCTCTTCCAATTCTTTTCTTCACTAATCAATGTTTATTGAATCTTTTCTCAAAAATATTCTTTTCTCGAATGTTTCTTTATTTTCGATTTGTTTGTACTATATCCCAAAAATTGTCCATAGCTTTTTCTCTTCGTCTCCGTAACAACGCCCGCTTTCTTACACGAAAACCCTTTTGAGGCATTTTGCATTTTTCTCGTATTTCCCCGTTCTCTTTCTGCCGAAAAATCAGAAACTTTTTCTGTTTACGACGTATAATGCACACACAGGCTTGAATTCACATTTTAATATAATATTTTTGTATGTCAGTACAGATGCTCTTGTGTAAAAATCACAAATAGTAAGAGTAACAAAAGTTTTAAAATTTCCTAAATTTCTGCTTATTTTGCAAAATCAGCCACTTTTCCTCATGCCAAAAAGTGTAGCAAGACCAGTTTCGTACACAAAAAACAGTCAGAAAGTGAGAGTATTCAATCAATGAAATAAGGCTCACAAATACGCAGCTCTATAAATATTGGAAAATGGATTTTGTGTAAATGGTTATTTTTAAGTTTTTTTTTGCCTAAAATAGCCTAAAATAGCTCTTGCTACCGCATTTATCAAATCATTCTTTCCCAGCTTAATTCATGAAGTCTTTCTCTTCTTGGATTAGTCAACCCCGTTTATGTTTACTTTTCCCTCTTTCTGATCAATTTAAATTGAAGAAATTTTATGAGCATTGGTTGACTAATCTTCCTTTTCTTTTTTCTTATTCATTCTTTTTTATAGGTCGGCAGGAGAAATTGAATGCCTGCCCAAGTATTACTCACCCCTTTTGCCTGTATTGAAAATCTCCCTTTGAACCTGTAAACGTATTGGGTTGACCCATAAGTAATGAGTCAATTTCAAACAGAAATATTTATTCAATAAAGGCATCTAAATCAATCAAAATAGTTTTCATCTGTTCCAATAACCTGTGTCCATTTTACTAGTAGAAGGCAAATTCCGCTCTCTTAAAAAGTCTTTGGTTTTGAGTTAAAGTAGCTCATTTTTAATCTACCCATCTACCCATTTTTAACTACAAAGCGGTCAAAGACTAGGGTATTTTTCAGTGGCTGAAATAAATGATAATCTCATTACTTATGGATCAACACAATAGAATACTGTACAACGCCTATATCACTTTGGGGGCACTATTTTCTGCTGTAGTTATATTTCTACGAATTATACAATTCACTTTTTTGGTGTTACTCATCCCAATCATTCCATTCAAATAAAGCGTGATCTCCCCCATTTCAACTATCCCCTCAACCCGATGGGCAATAACCCAAAAATCACATTATTCACCCTTTTTTGTATTTTTTCTCTTTTTAGGGTCTGCTTTCTTCTGTGCTGAGTTTTGTCGTGTAAATATTTGCCCTTTGAAAGAAAAGAGAGAGTCTGGTGAAGGAGGGAGATGGGGGAGTCCCCTCGAAGTACCCCTCCCTTTCTCTATTCTTTACCCTCTAGAATTTACGCTAGGTTTACTATTTATTGAATTGAGATCTTATTACAAACAATAATTTCAATACATTAGGCTGTCCAGAAAGTCTTTTCGTTCCTTTTCGTACTTCCGAAAAATAACAAATTCACCAATTAACTTATTGCTAAAAGGTTTGCTCTAAATAAAAAGAGTGAAAACGTGTTTTTCGTAAAGATCTATAAAAAGCTCAACGAAGAAATTGGCTGAATGGATTTCTCTGATAATTTGTCGATATACCAAACTTTTTGTGCTCCATCTTTTATCGATTGACACCAAGATAGGCTTCCTTAGCTAAAGTGTTTAAACCGCATCATCGAGCCGTCGCCTTTTTTGACTACCCGACTTTACGCTCTCAAAAAAATGCTGACATAAGACATTTAAAAACCGCAGAAAAATAATTGGCCTTTCTAATGAAACAAACCGTAGTTCAATTGGTGAATTTGTTATTTTTCAACGGAAGTATGAAAAGGAACGAAAAGACTTACTCACCAACCTAATAACATAGCGATACAATAATTTGTTTGAACTTTTTCTAATCCCTAGAAATGAACCCAATTTTCAATTTCAGAATTGGTTCGTTGGTTTTGTGGTTTTAAAGTACCAAAAGGAATAAAAAGACTTCCTGGACAGACTAATAAATTTGGTTTTTTTTGACTAGGGAATTTTCGATCTGCCCTTTCAACTAGCCTTATTCGTACTGACATTTTGGACTGTCTTCAGACAGACAAGCAACAATTGCATTCGTTCAGAAAAATGCCTGTTCTTCCATCGGCACCCCTTCCAGCCGATGTGGTTGTACCATTGCTTGAACTCGGTGATGCTAATGATTACACGGCAAAAGCTGGTATGTTGACGCTTAAAATAATTTAAGAAAAACAACCAAATAACCATCAGCCAAAAGCTCTAGATAGTTAAAACTTTTCAAAAAGTAATTTCCCCGATCTATGCAAATCATAACATCGGGAAAGTTACCTTTTTTATTTTTTCCCCAATTTGCTCCGTTTCCTTTTTTCTAATGCTTTTCATTTTCAGGGTCATTGAAAGTGAGTGTTTCTTAGCTTTGATAAGAAATTCGGTCACATTTTCAGTAGTTAATTTTTCTACTAGCTTTTATATGGTTAAATATTGAAATTTATATTTTTAATAAATGAATAAAGAAGTCGAAATCCCCATTGAGCAACCAAGGCCAAAATTCAGTGAGTTCACTTGTAAATAATATGATTCTTTTGAATTCAAATTAGAATTGTAAGTCAATCTATGTAATTTTCCAAATAAACATTAATTCAGATGTCGAAATTGCCCGTCCTCGAGTACAAACCCCAGTCAATCACAATTTGGAAAATTGGGTATCAATTGGTGAGTGCTTAATTTTCAATGAACCCATTTTTGATCAATTCCTCTCCATATCTTTTAGATCCACTTCTTTTCTCCATTGGTAAGTGATAACTTTTGTCGAGTCGAACATTTTATAGTCTGGTGTCCCTTGGTTTGATTTGAGCAAATTTGTAAATGATTGCTTCTCTGCAAGAAATTCCTTTTAACTTTCATAAAAGTTTCTTATTTTAAATATCATTTTTAGTGCATCAATATGCAAGAGATGGAAATCTGGATGGATTACGAAAAATGTTGCAAGAACATGAAGTCCTTTTGAATTTAAAGGATACCGATGGAGTAGGTTTTTGAAATTAGACTACAAACAAATAATATTGAGAGGTTTTCAATATTGAGGCTTTATTTATGATAGTTTAGTTAACCGCTCTCCACTACGCAGCTCGTTATCGAAATTATGACGTAGTGAAAATGCTACTTGACTGGTAAGTGAGAAAAATTGCGTTACTGCATAATTCTTATATAAGATTTTTTTATTATAGATAACACTTTGTTTTTGATATAATCTTAAAATACCTAATTTAGGAATCTTGATGAAAAGATTGAAAAGGTTGAAATCAAGCCAAACATTGAGAAAACTTCATCGTCAAGCAGTGGACCCTCAACCCCATTCTCAACCCGAGGACCTCGTGTGGATGTGAATGCTGAATCAAGCGAAAAATTCACTCCAATACATTTTGCTGCCCGATATTACAGAAAAGATCCGTTAACGGATAGTAAGTCTTCCGTATATTGATCCAGACCGAATTTCTTTCAGATTATACTCCAACGGGTGAAGATGAGTGCAGTCTTGTTGGCGTTGTTACAACTGATCCCACTTATAAGATCATAAAATTATTGCATGAGAGAGGAGGGTGAGTGCTTTATCTTTGTAGACATTTTATTTAACTAATTTTATTATTTAAACATTCTAGGAAAATCAATGCAATGGACAAATATTATTTGACTCCATTGCATTATGCTGCTATGAGAGGATCGGCTTGTGCAACGCAAGCATTGCTTGAATGTCGATGTGCTATTGATGTAAGGAGAAATCAGGCTCATAAACAACTTATCTAGCTGAATGCTGGGTTGTTAAGAATTGTTCAGAATCTGATTCACATATATCTGGAATATTTTTCAGCCAGTCGATATGATGAACATGTCTCCATTGATGACAGCTTGCGTACACGGATCGAGCTCTGTTGTTCGTTTTTAAAACTTACGAGTCAACAAATTACTATTTCAAACTATCTTTGACGAAATGCAAAATTTAGGTTCAAATTCTAATCAATTATGGGGCACGAGTTGATTTGAGAGACAAAAGAGATAACACAGTCCTGCATCTTGCCGCACAATATGGACATCGACAAGTACTCGATATTCTCCTCAAAGCTGGTGAGATAACTTGAAAAAAATTGGGATCTATTAGGTTGATGCATAAGTCTTTTTGTTCCTTTTCGTCTGCCGTTTCAAGCCAACAAATGCACCAATTAAACTACGGTTGATTTCATTAGAAAAACCAATTATTTTTCTGCAAAATAACATTAAAACGGGTTTAAAAATATTTTATGCCTGGATTTTCTTGAGAGTATGAAGTCGGGTAGTCAAAAAGGGCTAACTCGATGATGCGGTTTAGACACCTTAGCTAAAGAAAACCTATCTTCGTGCCAATAGATAAAAGATAGAGAAAAAAAACGTTTGATATTTCGCCAAAATTTCAGAGAAATTCATTCAGCCAATTTTTCCGTAGAGTTTTTTATAGATTTTTACGAAAAAGGCGTTTTTCACTCTCGAATTTGCTTGAAAGTGAACCGAAATTCATTTAAAAAGATGCAATTGAACACATGCACATGCAAATTGAACAAAAAAACACTTTTTTTATAAAGCAAACTATAGATTAATTGGTGAATTTGTCACTTTTTAACAGAAGTACGAAAAAAACGAAAAGACTTATGCATCAACCTATTACATGACTAGATTTCTAGGTATAAGAAAAAGTTCAAATAAATTATTGTATCGCCATGTTATTAGGTTCGTTCCTTTTCGTAATTCCGTTTAAAACCAACAAACCAACAAAAAATTTAAAACCAATTGAACTACGGTGTGTTTCATTAGAAACGCCAATTATTTTTTCTGCTTGAAAGTGAACCGAAATTAACTTCAAAAGATGGGAAATTGAACAATAAACACTTCTGATTTAGAGAAAACCATAGGTTAATTGGTGAATTTGTTATTTTTCAACGGAAGTACGAAAAGGAACGAAAAGACTTATTCACCAGCCCAATAGAGACTCAAATTTCGGTGTAAACCTACACGGGACTCACACAGCTCACTTACTTAAGGCAAGTAAAACATCAGAATATTTAGTGCAGCAGTATGCTCACGAAGATAAAGAGGAGGTTTCTTGTAAAAAGTTATTAACCGATCTTGTGTCACCAAAATATCCAGCACACGTTGAAACATTTCGATTTATTGATCAAACACCATTAATGTTAACTGTGGCTGCTGTTGCACAGTTATCCACAGCTGCCACAATTACCACAAAACATTTTGGTGAGATATCGGGAAACAAATTGATCAATGGTTTTGTGTTGTTCAAGTTTTATTAGTTGTGAAACTTTGCATGTGACTTCTTCTTGGTTACTTTTTGTTCAAGTTGTCCATTACATTCAGATCTCTCTGGCCAAAAAAGACACGGTTGTCGAGAGATCGGATGTTGCTGCAAAAAGAAAACTAAAGTAAAATTTTTTAGGAGGAGAAACGACAAGAAGCATGCTTCGAAAACCGAATATTGAAGGCAATACCCCACTGCAATTAGCTGTGGAAAGAAATCATATTGAAGTTGTCGAAAAGTGAGTTCTATTTAACAACATAAAAGCTTTCAACTTCTGAATAAAAAAAATATTCAATTCGAATCACCCACTTTTCCTGTAACAAAGCCAATAATTTTTCAGAATGCTTGAGTTGATCACAAAAGAAACCGGAGGTGTAATCACCGGAATGACAAGGTAATTTTTGTGACCGCAATTTCTTCTTTGATTTCCTTATAGAGATGAGAGCTTGTTCCCACATATTGCTGCCTCAAAAGGATATCTCCAAATACTTCAGGCGCTGAAAATGGTAACTGATCAAGATTCTAGTCATATCTTTGTTTTCATACATATAAGGGATAAGGATTTTGCAAAATGCTTTGGTTTGATATCTCGGTTTTAGAAAGGATTCTCTCTTGAGTTTGAAAACGATCTTCTGGAGATTCCATTACATTTGGCGGCAGAGAATAATCATACAGATGTTGTTCGATTTCTTCTTTCAGAAGCTCTCGGAAAACCAAGAAGGGTAAATGTTTGTAAGCTCTTCAAGCCAGGTTTGCAATAGCTACAATATTCATCGACTTTAGACAACAGCTGATGATCATCCTGACCTCGAAGTTTATGCAGATGACATTCGAGTGAGAACTATTGAGAAATGTGACAAGAAAGGCATGACTCCATTGTTGAGAACAGCTCCAAGTCAAGCACACAGTGCGGCAGAGGTTTGTGGTTCAGAACAAAGCTAAAAAAGAAGTTCAGCAGAGATCAGAAGTATTTTTATTTGCAAAATTTCAGGTATTACTCGAGTACAATGCAAACAGTTTTGCTTGTGACAGTGAAGGAAGGTCAGCTGTATTTCTTGCAGCAAAATACAATAAAACATCATTTCTTGAGGTTTGTTATTCGCAAGTATGTAGTATTGCTTGAAGATTTGCTAAAAGATTGAAATAAAAATCATTTTCAGTGGTTTCTTGCCTGGGTGAAGCGAACTGATGAAGATACTCGACAAGAAAGAGAACGAGAACGAGAATCATCGGAAAGAAGACCGGGAAGGGGAAGGATGTTTATGAGGAGAACGCTTCGAACATTTGCTGTCCAAAAACCAATGGTTGAGCAGTTAGTGAATCGGTGAGATTTCAGAGAATTTTGTATAACTCTTGCTCTTGTGTCTGGCTTTGAGATACTGGAAAAACAAGATTTAGTACGAATCTTGATCAAGACACACCGTTGCATGCAGCAGCTGTTAATGGTTATCTTGAAGCGTGTATTGTAAGTTTTTTTTAAATAAAAATCTACACAATTTTGAAAACTTTTTATTGAGCAATATTAACAATTTAACGAAGCAAATATCACAAAGATTTTAGGTATTGAAAAAGTATAACGCAAATGTGGACGCTTTGAATGAAGACAAGCAAACAGCTCTGCATCTTGCATCGATCACTGGACATGTACCTGTTGTGAGTTACTCTGAAAATTGAATACATGACATGACCTTGAAAATTGAACGTCTTTTATGCATTCTTGGCCTATTTAGGTGAATATCTTACTGAATTGGTCAGCCTCTCTGGCCAAAGCGAAAGATGATGATGGAAACTCGCCGCTACATGAAGCTGCAAAAAACGGGAAGCTAAGATGAAAATATTTACTATATAGATAAAAGGAAAGTGTCTGCCCTCCGTTTGTCTGTACGCGCGGGTTCTCGGATCCCTGTGGGCCGATTTACATGATTTTTAGTTTGTTAGGCTTCGAATTCTATGTAGTTGTGCATCTCATATTTCGTTTTTTTTAAAAGCAACACCCAGGAGTTAGGCGGGTCTTTCGGCTGGTAGTTAAGATAAAGCTCATTATGCATATACACCTTGCTCCTTTTTCCATTTTTACTTCTTTCCAAAATTCCCCCTCATTTCTCAGTCTATTCGACGAATGACTTTGTGAGGGGAGACCCATTCCCTCCCCATCCCCATCCACCCCTCCCCCTTCCCCCCATCAGCCATGGGCATAGCGCCTTTCACTGCAACTAATCTAATAAGGCGGAAGGAGGTCTGTCCTCTCTTTTTCTTTTCATTTCTTTTCTTTCTTGCTCAAACAGCAAGAACCACGGATCGAGAATGAAATTCGGATGAGAAAAGGTGAAAAAATGCAAAGAGAAGAGCAGGATGGAGATAGGCTTTGTCCACTAGTGTCCAAGATCGAGATTGAGGACGACAGAAGGAGTAGCCGATTTTTATCCTCTATTTGAATTGTGGTTTGTCTAAAATGACGTTAGAACGTGTTCTTGTTATAGCAATTGTTGGACAGGCTACTATGGTTTACATTAGAATGCGATGAGTCGGAATTCATCAAACAAAAGAATATACCCTTACCCTTTATAACCAAGCAGCTACCAACTAATAGTACGTCCGATATGGCGCCTCAATATGATACCCTGCTGGCAAGTGATACCCAATTTTTGGGATCGGTTTCTTTTTCAGATTGAATTCCTTTCAAAGATTGCACTGTCCATATATAGGGGATCAGGCCACCTGTCATGGCCTGCAGGGAAAAAGGAAACAAAACCACAGATGGCGCCACAGACCCCGCGGCAAATAGTGAAAAGAGAAAAGACACAAGGAAAAGTTGACCTGATCACAACCAATCAACAACATACAAAGATCTGATAGTAAGACAAGCAACAGGGCTACCGTTTAGTTTGATAAAGAGGATGTAAATGACAAGAAAGGATCGAGAGGAAAGGAAGAAATGGTAAAAACCATGAAACTAGTAAATAATTAATTTGGGATTTTGGTATAAAATCGGATGCTCTTGGCATTCACCGCGTGCCTTAGTTCACCGAATATCCGACCAAGTCACCGATGAAAGCTGAGAGTGACAACCGAATGAAAAGGAAAGGGATATCGATAAAACACTTAAAAAAAGATGTGGGACACTTGAATTACAGAAAAAGTAATGAAATTTTGAAACGAAGAAGATTCAATCAAAAGACTACTTCAATGATGCTAAAAAGTTTAAGTGAGTGATAACTTGCTGCATAGCAAATGATATAGAAACGAAGTCTAATCGAAGAAATGAAAATCTCTAATCAAAATAGTTAACTAATCGTAGGTCAAAGGAAAAAGGTACCAAATTAAGCAACGATGTGAGTTAAAGACTCATTGAGTCAATCGGTACCCATAGATGGAAAGGGATAGTCCCTTGAAAGGGGCGGAGTCTCTTGGAGGGATCAAGGGGGACACATGGATGAACCAAGAGGATACACAGAGATCCTACTGAAAATGGAAAGGGAATGAGGAAGGGGTGACAGATGGCACCAAGCAGTCGGAGGTCAAGGGGTACGGGGGAATGGGGATGGGGTACAGACCCCAACATGGATATCGTGTAGGAGACACCACCACCTCGGATCCGATCCCCTTCAGGGTGCAGGTGTTCATTGGGAATATCGGGGGCATACAGCCTCCCTTTTCCTCTTTCTTCTCACTTTTCTCCGGCCTAGAGGGGATTAGATGCACCTGCCACAGCCATCCACTGAATATCTAGACCAAATTTGTGCCGAGAGCTCACCCATTCATTCTCTTAAACCCCATCTCACTGAATTCGTAATTTATTACCGTTTATTGGAATGTGCCACGGCAAACCAATGGGATGAATTGATTAGCTAGAAAGGCTAGAAACGTCATTGAAAAACGTTCAACGGCTCAATGAATTAAAGTTATCAGACTGCACATAAAATGCACAAGCAGGCTAATAGTAAGTACAGGAATCGATGAACCACTAAATTTCCCAAAGCATTTTTTAAAAATCCGCGAAAAAACGAGCGGCAAAAAGTGTGAATAGGTTTTGGTTGTGAAAGAATGAAAGAAAAAAAGAAATGGATAGACTTAGGGTTGTCTCAAGGACATTTAAATACCCTTAGCAAGCATTTCCGAAATTTTTACACGCAGACTGTTAGCAGATAAATGTTTTTTTAAATTTTATTATAGACACTGTCTAAATTGTTAAGTAAGATTATTTGTTTTGTATTGGAATGCGGCTGAGAGGCCGAGCACCTATCGAGAATATTTCGTCATAGATGGGAAGGTTGTAGAATAAGTGGAATGCCAAAAAGAGACTTTGGAACGGAGGGGAAATGATATCGATTGTGAGAAGAAAATGAGGGACAGAAAAGGGGAAAAGAGGAGAACCAAACGGATGAAAGGAAGGAGGAGGGGACCCCCAGGGCCCCCACTCCTTCTCCCTTTCCGTCATTTCTCTCATGTTCTACCAAGGCTCTTCAATATGTGCGTCCAGGCATGAATGTAAATGAAAAGAAATAACAAAACTTTTGGTTGTTGATGCAAGAACGACTTTTTGAAGTAAAGGTTCTAGTAGTGGTAAAGTTGTTCTTTCTTTCTAACTATCAGTAAAACGGAAGTCTCACTCTAAAATAGAAGTATTTATTTAAAAATAATTTTCTGAACACTGTGCTCTTTTAGTGGTTAATGTATACTAAACAGAACTAACTGTAAGATTTGCATATTTAGAAATCGATTTTTGGAAAAAAATGCATATAGATAGGTCTAGAAAAGGCAGGAAGGAAAGGTCTTAGAAAGGGACGTCAAGTGCAAAGTGATTCTTCGTGCTTGGGTGGGCTCTCTTGTGCCCCCCGTTCACCCCGGCCTTGAAGGGGCCAAAAAGAAAAAAAGAAGAGGAGAGGCCCCAGGAGGCGGGACTTTTCCTTCCCTTCTACAGGGGATCTTGCTAAAGGAATATGAGAGAAAAGGGTGGTGGAAGGGGTCCATCACAGCTCCTTCCCCATCCTCCTTCCCCTCTATATCTACTAGTACATACCTAGTATGAGAAGGATTATCTCCCTTTCTGCATACTCAGACAAAGATCTTTCTTTTAGAAGAGATTTCCATGAAAAGGAGAGATTTCCATGTCCAGAAAAAGTTGTGTTGAATCTAATTCTGAAGTATTAGTGGAAAATGTGTCTCAATACATGAGCTATACATCAAATCTTGAGCTAGATCCATTCTAAAGTTGTGCAAATAGCTGAAGTAATTTTTCTGCACTTCACAAGACGATAAACGCTATTTTGAACGCTCAATATAATTTCGAATGATCTAAAACATTCGATAAATTCTAGCTGTTATTTTATGAATCTTTCCCATCTTTTTTTTCCTCTCTATAACCGTTTCTCTTCGTTTTGTCTCGTTCCCTCCCAGACTCCTCCTAACGAAGCCAATCGGATGTGTGGAAACACTGCGAATGGCATTACGGACAACACAGAACATAGAAAAATTTCTCTATCACTTTTTCATGAATTTTACTGACAAAACGTTGGCGCAGATATGACTCGATATTTCGGAATGCTCATTTCCACTGTTATAACTCACTTGATCACAGCGGGTAGACAATTGTCGCTGGAGGGCTTAGGAAAAGAAACTCTTGACACTCGCAAAAGAACCAATGGCATTTTGAGGACAATGAAACTTTGGGGGATTTCTCGAAACCGTGAAAAACTTGAGAAAATGTCCTTAGGCTATGTCGAAATCGACTTTGAAGACAATACAGACAAAGCCGTAGTCTAGCACCTGATTCAAAAACGTAAGCCATGCCAAAAACAATACAACTCATTAAATGAAATGCAATTTTTGATAAGCAAGTTTTACAATGGCTCATTATCTAGAACATTCTAAAGCATTTCTTTTTGTTGTTCTCATTTCGATACATGTTGAGTGAGTGCCCATAATGGGACAGGTGCTCGATGATTCGAAAAGGAAAAGAGAAAAAAAAGAAGATCGAACACCTGGACAACTCAACCATTTCCACAGAGTACTCTCTTTTTGAGATCTTTCACTTCAGCATTACAGATCTCCACATCATTGAGTCCAGAAAGAGGAAATTACCGGCCACGCAACGCAACGCGCCAAATTGCCCATCTCACACTCAATTATCTCTTCTAGAAGAATTTTTCCTTTTTCTCTTCAGTCACTCTCAGCTTACCTCTTGCAAACCTGAGGATTATTCCAAATGAAAGGAATTAAAGGGGAAATGTCTTCAAAAGTCTTGATTCCCGCTTAACGTCATGACAGGTGGTGATGAGGTCTGAGATTACCAAGTCAGAAGGGAGATATCCATCCGATTGTAGATTACTTACTGGATAGTAGAAAACCAGAGAATATGATTCTGGTTAGACATAGAATAGCCTTAACCAATTGTAACTATTTCTGTTTTCAATTCCACCCATAACATTCTAGCCCACACTAAAATGAAGCTCATTAAAGTTTACGGGATCGAAACCCGGATGAAATGGTGCAAACATTGACGGGGTTTCTCTCTGAAAAGTAGATTGGGCCTAAAGTGAATGGATGATGAGTAGAAAGACCTCAATCCATCCATTTCTTTCTTTCTCTCTTTATCCCATTTGGGTTTCGGGGTGCGCTTTATTGGGTCTTTAATTAAAATGTGTGTGTGCTTGTGTGATGAAGCTGCTCAAGTATGGATCTCTTTGCTTGTGAGAAGAAATGGAGCTAAACAGATCGGTCAGTCTTTGAAGAGGGCTGATGGAAAAAAGAAAAGAAGAGTCATTTTATGGATCAGAATATTAGAGATGGAAGAAAAGATGGATTACTTGCATCAACACGAGGCCCTAATTAAGAATATCACCTAATGAGAATTACTTTGAAAGAGGATATAACCTAATAGAGCGCAGAGCATTGAAATTGGGTATTTAATAAGTTTTTGTACTTCATAAGAAATACTGTAAAAGCTGTTTATGCTAAGATCCACGACAAAGCAATTTTTGACTTGGCTGTCGTTTTGGACAGCCAAGCCATCTTTGCTGCTAGCTGTAAACCTAAAAACTTTGTAATCGGGGGCTTTCAAGGATGAGGAATTCGAATACGTCGTGACTTTTTGAACAACTATAGTCAATATGGTCATCACAAAACTCTCTAAAAACTTGGGTCATTAAACCGAAATGGAGAAAAAAAAGAACGAAGCCGAGTCGTATTTTTGTCCGATATCTTTAACGGTTGTGCGTCAGAAGGCGCGTGATTACGCATTAAGGTTTTTGTAATCGCGCGCCTTCTGGCACACTGCCCTGGATGTGGGTCGCACTTGAGTAATTAAACCGGATGAAATATCTAAAAATAGAGCAGCTTTCTTAAGAACTAATGACGGATTCGCATTCCCCACCCTCGAAAACCCTCGATTGCAAATTTTCAGCTCAATCGGCCGCAAAAAAGTGCTAGATTTGCGTATGGCCAACCGGTGGGTCATATTGTCGTGAATGTCTTAAGCAAGCATGATGACACGATTAATTCCTCTTTGGATCTTTAGAATTCAGTTAAGATAACTCGAAATGTCTGTGTATCAGAAGAACAAGACAAAACTGCGCATATTAGATATGCTTAATACTTGATCTATTCAGGTCATGATGAAGTTTGTTCTGTTCTCCTTCAACACAACGCCGATCTAAATTCGCGTAATGTCTTTGAAGAGACAGCTTTAGATCTTGCGGCTTCAGTAAGTTTCCCTTTAAATATTCCCTATGACAATTTGTCCTAATTGAAGCGGGGTCATCTGTCGTGTGTCCGTGTTCTGATCAGTCATGGAAGCAATGTGAATGGCGACAAGTTTGTAAGGTAACAAAAATTTTCCTAACTTTTCCTCAAAGTAACCAGTAATAAGCATTTGATCTACGCTTAACCTTTAAGTACCACTCCTCTACATCATGCAGCCGAGAAGGGACACGATAAAGTTGTGCAATTTCTTCTGGATAAAGAAGCTAATATAGGTAAGTGATAGTTTTTGAATGTAAATACAAGGATTTTGCCTTTTTCTCCAGATAGGACTACTTGTAGGCTGATTTTTTTTAGCCGCCATTAATCCAAAAGGCCAAAGCGCTCTCGAACTTGCATTGGATTGCAATGAAAGGTTTTTGCCACAAACAAAATGAAATTCATTGTTATTTCAGAGAAGTTGCTCGGGTACTTTTGATGGATAAAAATTGGGAAATGTTAATGAAACGATCAAAGGAAATGCCAAATGGAAGACATAAAGTGAGGATATAAATTCACAGAATTTAAAGATTTTAAGTAAATGAAGTACTGGGTTACTATATATAAAAGAGCAGTGTCTGTCTGTCCATCTGTACGGGCTTTTGCTCAGCCGTCTTTGGGCTAAAAAACTAAATTCTTTTAAATTCTTAAAATATAATATAGTTGTTCCCTTTAAAATAAAAATAAAAAAGCCAAAATCGAGTAGCACCCGGGTCGTGTGGGCCGTAGACAAGCGCGCTCCTGACTGCGCCACGGGGATAATCGAAAACTTTAGGAAGAGCGAATCACGCCAATGCGACAATTGCTGGCAAAATTTCCAGAAATTGCCTCTCTTGCCATGGATCGTTGTATTAGGTTGTTCTTTTGCTTTAAATTTTCAAGTATCCAATTTAGTCACGGAAACACGGGTCCCTTGGCCGTTGTGAACTATAATTTTGAATACATTGATGACACTTTTATGATGCCAGCTGGCCAAGGACAAAGTAAGCAAAATTGGAATAATAGAATCGATAATGGAATAATGTGCAACTAATTGTCTGAAATGGAATGATTTAGTTCTAAAAGCGTGTGATGACGAGGGACTTTATCCATTTAATGAAGATGGGCACGTGAGAAAAGAAGCTGAACCATATAACAGAAATATGGATCGAATTTATTTGGAACATCCATTGAAATTAATGGTATTCAATTGAAGAATCATTTCGTTGATTAGCCGTCTTTTCTAGGCAAACTCGGAACGAATCCAACTTCTTTCTCATCCATTGGTTGTCGCCTTGTTGAAGTACAAATGGAATCATTTAGGAAGATATGTCTATTATTCAGGTGATTAAATCAATTTCTATGCAAGTTGACTCTCATAAACTTTCAGCTTCATTTGTCTATTTGATCTTTTTGATATCATTGACAACTTTTCTCGCTCTTATCCCGGCTCCATTCAATGTAAAAATGCCTGATGGAAATGGAACATTAATGGATGTGATGGATCATTTAAAGACTACATGTGATCAAATCGTAAGTTTGCTAGATTTAAACTAACTAACTTGCTCTTTCTATACATCTTCGGCACTTCTTTTTCAGGATAACTATTACACACCTCTTGCTCATTTTTGTAAAACGATAGTGGTTTTACTGGCTGCAGCACAAATCATCAAAGAGGTATGAAGAAAAAAAGCGCCGAAACATATTTTATATTTAGATGTATCAATTATGGACAAGAAGATGGGCATATCTTTCGGGTATTCAAAAAGAAAAACTAAAACTTTTCAATTTTAGTGGAGAATCTGCTAGAGATTTTCATCTATGTATCTGCATTAATCACAATGATTGATTGGTCACCTTGCACTGAGCATTCGGCTATTAGATTGGTGAGTAATGTTTTTAAAAAACTGTTGGCGACTTTGATATGCCTTTGTGTACAATTTTACCATTCAGAACTGGCAATGGATGCTTGCAACTCTTGGGACTTTCATCGCTTGGATCAATCTTGTACTTGGTTCTCCAAGTATCTTTCAAAGAAACTTTTCAGCTTCTGCTCATTCGAAAGCTTCCCCGTTTTGGTATCTTTGTTCTGATGTTCTTCGATGTCTTCAAAACATTCTCCAAATTTGCCATTATTTTCATTTTATTCATTTTGGCTTTCTCCGTGACTTTCTTCTTAATGATGCAAAATAGGGTACGTCGAAATTGAATGGCTAAAATATTTTTGCAAACCCAGTGCATAAATTCTGAATTCTAAATTTTAGCCCGAATTTTCTTCGATTCCTCTTTCTGTCATAAAAACAACGGTTATGACAATCGGTGAAATGGAATACAATGGAATATTTCATGGAGCATTGGATAATCATGAAGAAGGGTTAATTATAATTGAAAAAAGATATTCAATATCAAATACATTATCTTTTCTAACTGATACTTTTTAGATTATTTACAAAAGAGATTGCTTTCCCGGTTTTCTTTATTTTCTGTATTGTGATGACAATTCTCTTGATGAATCTTCTTGTCGGTTTGGCCGTTGATGATATCAAATCTGTTCAAGAAAAAGCTGAAATCAAGAGACTCTCAATGCAGGTTAGGCACTTCATCTGTTAAAAGCAAATTGTGTTAGTTAATTTTTGAATTGAAAATGTTTTCTTTTTAGTTTATATGCATTTAAACTTGCAGGTAGATCTTGTTCTCCAAGTCGAGCGATCGATGTCATTTTTAAGAAGACGAATTACAAGATCTCATTATGCGTTGTATCCGAACAAAATGAGTTTGTGGAAAAAGTAAAATTTTAGCTAATTAAACATTTAGCTAATACTTGAATATCCTTTCAGATTCCGTCGTCTTTTCGGTTCGGATCAATTGGGATCATTGAGTGAGATCATCTCCCAGCACTCAGCTGAGGTAAGGCTGGTTGCAATAGCTACTTGCAATGTAACATTCCAGGAAGAAAGCAGTGAAATGAGACGAGAATTTGCGATGCAACGAGAAGCTCTCAATCATTTACAAAGCAATATCGACTATTTGTATGAAAGACAAGTTCGCCTAAATCTTTGCTTAAATTAAATCCGGTTTAGGTCAAATTTGAAGGAATTCTGGAAATGATTCTCCAAAAACTCGACAATATTGAAAACAAAGCAAATGAACAACAAAGAACACAAGTTGTCGAGGAGAAAACGCAAGGTTAAAAAAGTTAAAACTATTTTTGATTAAGATTAACATTGAATTTGATTGGTTTATCTATTTTGTACTACTACTAAAAACTAAAAATATGAAAAGACATAAATTCTAGATGATGAAGTCTCTCAACCCGTTGAACCCGACCAAGAACCCAATGAATCACTCCAATCAGAAGAACCATCGCAACCTCAACCATTTTCCATCCGAGGTCGACGAGGGAGATTTTAATTGTTAGCAAAATTTTTAAGCCAAACGGGTGTTTTTACGCGTTTATATGTTATGGGACTTTGTTTGCCTTAAAATATTTGATTGTTGTTATGTGATGGAAGATAAATGTTAAGCTTTTAATGACATGTTTATCATGCACTTTGCCGCAGTACAGTGCTAATTTTTAATGGTAATATCAAAATAAAGGAGTACAGAAAGGGTGATCAAAAAAAGAATGGAAGAGAGATGATCAGAAATATGCTGAATGACAGAAAAATGATGAAAAAAGAAGAAAAGATCTATTTGCAAGAAATGGGGGCCCGAGACTCGCAAAGAAAAGGGCGGACAGGTCGGTTTGCCCGTCGAAGACACACATCCACCCAGCCCTCCCTGCCCCATCTCAGTCTCTCATTCACTTTTCCATTTCTTCTTTTCGCTTTCTTTTTGATGAAGGTCGAGTCCCCGTGAAGTCCCGCCATTCATTTTTCTTCTTTCCTGACTGACTCATAATTGACATCAATACCCCATTCATTCACTATTGTCATTTTTTTTCAAGCATTACCAATAACTAGATATGGGAACCGTTATGTTGAGCATTTTATTAGTTGCATATACAATTGTTTTTGATTTAGAGGGTTTGACATCGAAAAGAACATCAGAACATTTTGTCGATTATATTTGTCACCATCGTAACAACTATTCCTTCTAAAATTCATGGAATTCACTGTAACTTTTGACTTGAGTATTATACTTTTGCTTATTTGATAAAAATAGACGCGCAAGAGTTAAATTTCTCTTGCTTTAATCATCCATTGAATCACAATAACATTTTGCAGATGATTATTTTTTGATTTTCTGTAAGTTTCGTTTTGTTTCAAAGCTAGTTTCAGTTACACTCGTTTTTACCTCGTCCTTCCCTCTTTCTCTCTTTTTATAATTGGGATTAACCCCGATCAAAGCGGATTTTTATGGTTGTTTTGTAAAGCTTTCAAACTAAGCATATATTTGTCACCATCGTAATAACTATTCCTTCTAAAATTCATGGAATTCTCATTCTCCAAAAGAGAACTAGATGAAGTGACAGTGAAAATACGATGGCTTGAGTTCGTTGTTGTCTATTTTACTGTAATTGGTTATCTTGCCTTTGATGAGCTTTGGTTTGTATTGAAAATTTGTACGCAAATCTTCAACAACATGTGTTCTTTGCAGTGAGTGCGAATCGCCAACGATGGGTTCGGTCCGTGGGACCTCGACACTCCCAAAACGATGTTGTGCGGATGTTTTTGCGGCGGTGAGTGTTAGAATAAGAGATTTAGATTTAATTTCTAAAAAGATATATACTTTATTGTGTAATTTAATCGGCTCTAGGTCGAAGAAAAGCATGAACAATGTTTGGAGGGAATGACGAGAGATGAAATGAAAAAACGAGATCCCCATGGTCAGACTGGGCTGCATATTGCTGCGAAAATCGATAATTTCGAGGCGATTAAGTAAGTTTTAAAGGCGGTTCACGACTAAAAAGCTAGCGGCAACTTGAAATCCATTTGAGCTTAAGAAAGGAATAAGCAAAATATTCAAGATGGATTGGTCTTATAATGTTTTTGATAGAAAATTAGTTCAATAATTCATTCTCCTGTTCCAATCAATCTCCGGTGTATCTGTTAAGTCCGATTTTGAAACATTTTATCTTTGAAACCTCTTTTTACCTAGAAAAATGATTTTACAAAGGATTTTATCAAATTTTTCGACCAAATCAAGTCAAATCAAACGCAGTTCTAGCTTTTTTATCACTTTAGTACCTTAACAAAAGGTTTATCTTAAAAACTATCGATATTATGCCTTTTTATTTATTAACCAAATTTTAAACAATATTTTTTGAAAGATATTACAAAAGAAATGCATCTTTTTTCACTTTTAAAGGAACTTGGGCAAAAACTATAATTTGTTTAGTAATTTAGTGATTCTAATGTAAAAAATGATTCTATTAAAAAGGTTTCAAAATCGGATGTAGCATATCCATTTTTGGATGGCAACATGAATGAAGTTCCTCTTCATTCATGGTGAAAAATGGTGAAAAATGAAGAAAGAATTGAAGTGAAACATGATCGTTTCTTTCGAAAGAGGATGCGTGAAGGGACACTGTCTTTTTCTTTTCTTTTCCTCTTCTTTTCCTCTTCTTTTTCTCTCTTTCAGCTATCGATGACAACGATACTCGAATCTTTTGTATCCATGGTCATCAAGCTGACGTCATTTCAGCTGATTGCTTACAATTAGAAAAATAACAGGATTCTTAGGATTCATTTTAGAATTGCGCACATGGCCACTTTGCTTACTTTTCATTGTATGTAGTACACATTAGTTGTTTGCAAAAGCTTTTTGAGAGAAGATCGGCAAAGGCGTCTCTGTATTTGATTTTAGGTTTCATAGAGATTCTCTTTTGACTGATTATCACAAAAGCAAACATTCATCTTTCTCGCATTTTATTGTGGCGAATTTCATTGTGATGAAGGAAGAATTCTTTTCAAGATTATCACCAAAAAAACTAGTCCCGTTTCGATGGATTGGAACTGATTGGCACATAGGAAGTTACCGATTGGGAAAGAAAGTTTCGGCTTAAAGGAGAAGAGTTCCGAAGCAAGATTTGTGGCATAAAAAAGTTAACAATTAAAAAACCGAATTTGTTTTTGTTAACTCTTTGGGCATATGAAAATTAGTTTACTACTTCATTATTAATGCACAGCCAGTCAAATTCTGACTTCTTACAACAACTCAGGTTTTTTGTCCTTACTTTGTAATGTTTACCTACCAAAATAACTTTTCAGAAATAAGTCAATGATAGATTTGACTAATTGTAAGTAATGTGGACTGTTTGAGTCGTGTCTCTCTTTTTATTTTAGCAAAGAATCTTTTGTTGAAAGAGTCGAACATTACTTACTTAGCCCTTTTCCTTTCTTTTCCTTTTCTTCTCTCAAATATTTCATGACTGTCCGCCCATCTATTTACTCTCATACACAACCAAGAGTCAAATTCCGAAATTTTGACAGGCTTTTGTAATTGGGGCAAAGGATTAAGAACTTAACTTAAAATTGATAAACAAGGATTTAACAAAATAAACGCAAAACTTTAAAAAGAGACAAGCTTGCAAATTTTTAAACAATGGTTTCATCTTTTCTTTTAGATATTTCTGTTCAGCTCTTCCCGAACTTCGCGATGTCTCATCGAATATTGGTGAGTTTAAAGTTGCAAGTAAATTACTATAAAGTAAAACTTTCTTTTGAAAAAAATCCTCATAACTTCAGGAGAAATCCCAGCTCTCATTTCTGCGGGTGTTGGAAGTCTGCGAAGCATGGAAACGATTTTGCAAGGAAACTCGAAAGAAGCGACAAAAATGGCCATGCATAGGTAGGCAAAGTAAAAGAGTAGTATCTAGCATGAACATCGTGATAATTAAAAACATTTTAGGGATATCAACGGCACATCAAGTTTAATGGCAGCTGTGGCTCGCGGTGACAATGAAATGGCTTTTTTGTTGTTGAAAAGATTTGGAAAGGTTTGTTTTAGAAAAGCACTAGAACATTTAATAGAAAAATAGTAAACATGCTGACTTTTTAGCCATTGGCAATGCTTCCGAACAAGGCTCAAATGATCCCATTACACGTGGCTGCTGCTCAAGGTTTAAAAAACTTTTATTGGGCAATTTTAAGACTTCTATCTATTACAATAATAACCTAGCTATTTAGGCAACATTGAGTTCATTCGGATCGCAACAAAATATGGAAGTGAGATGGTACATTCGAGAGATGAATTTGGTCAGTTACCTAGCATACATATTCAGATTGATCACAAGAAAACAAGAAATTCAAAAAATCGAAATAATTTTTCAGGTTGCACCCCATGTGTCTACGCTGTTCAGGGTGGATGTCTAAGCAGTGTGAGATATTTGGTGGAAAAGGCGCATTCTGAAGTCGGATCGGTTTCCAATAGAGGTATCTTTGTACAAATCAAGTCAAGTCAGCAAATATTTTCTGCCCAGGCCAATCTCTTCTTCACATTTCATGTCTCTCTGGTCATGAACACATTACTCGTTGGCTTTTGGTGAGAATGGGATCTGACGCGGCATTGTGGACAACAAATGATCAAGCAAATGCTATTCATTGTGCTTCTTGTGGGTTCATCCAAAAGTTTCCTTACTTTCGCGTTTCTAGTTGCCGGATCAGTTCCTGTGTTAACTGTTCTTCTCTCGGAATGGTCTCGCCGTAAACGATCCCATGTTTTATCATTGAGAGACTCTCGTGGTAACACTCCTCTTCATCTCACCGCCATCAACAATCATATGGATTCGGCCTTATATTTGGTATCTTGTTTTGCTTAGAACAGCTTTGTAATGTATAATTTTCTAGCTTTTATAACTTCAAACTAAATGTTTTAGCTGGAGAACGGGGCTGATCCAGTTCTCGTGAATGGGGCTGGTCATGCCGCACAAGCAATCGCCAATCTGCGAGGGCATCATGATATGGCTAGATTGTTAGCAGAACATTCGGGTAGTTGTGAAGCTTAGAATTTGAACTAAATGAAGAAATTAGATTTGAATAGAAGCAAAAAACGATCTGCAAAGAAGTCAAAGTCAGCTGCAGACCTTCGCGTTGTCAGCCCGACAAGCTCTACACTTCCAAGTCCGATCGACATGGGTAAGTTTTTGTGTAAAGAAAAAACTTTTGAGCCATGCGTTATGTATTTTTGTAGCATTTTTAGAGACAATTGTTTCAGATAGAACTGCTCGCCGAGAGCCAAAGAGAATAAGTCAACGAATGAACAGCCCACTTCAAATGAGCAGCGGATATGACAGTAGCGGAGCAAGTGAAGCTGGGTATATTCGGAAATAATTTTGTCAGATAATGCTAATTTTCAGAGTGGATATTGTTGAGAGAAGACCAATGAAATATATTGAAGATGACGAAGGAATTCATAGCTCATCACCATCATTGGAAGCAAAAAAGGATCAAGAGGCACAGACTGAAATTGATCATCTCACTGATCATATTAAGGTTTGAATATTACTTAGAGTTCTCAATTATTTAACGGTCATTACAAAATTTTCTTCGCCTTTAAGGTTCTTGATGATCGTGAATGGAGTGATGCTGTGGCTCATATTGATCGTGTATTGGAAGAAGTGGGACAATCACATGTCACTGTCTAAAGAAAAACGAAATTTCGTTGCGTTCTGAATTTTTTTTGCTTTTGCGATCGATGACTGTATGCAATCAACTTTGTATAAAGCTTTTTGGCTTGGCTTTTTCGACAAAAAATCAAAAATATAGAAAACCGGGAGCAAGAGTAGAACATTAAAACATCTAAATTTTGAAGTGTACAACAATTTGGAATTTCTTCCCTGAAGACTCTCAAAAACAAAATAGATAACCTTTAGGTGGATAGAGATCGATTCAACTCTTGAATTGTCTCGAGAACTAGATATTGGTAGATTGGTTATTCTCTGAATTCCTGTCAATCTCCATTGTTGGTTAGACGTGTGAAATCGAGTTCTCGGCTCGATTTCTTTTTCTTTTTCCCCCCGCATTCTCCTTTTCAAGTATTGCTACTTTGTGCACAACCAAGAAAAATGGAAAGTACTTGAAATTGGAAGGAGATTTTGATGGAACATATCCGTTTTTTTTGAGATTCCGCCGATGAAACAGAAGGACAAGAAAAAGTTCATTGATCGACGCTCAATTCAAAGACAAAAATAGTTTCAACTAATATTTTCATTCATACTTGGATTATCCAATCCAACCAATTAATTGTTGTTCTTAAAAATGACTTGTATTTTGTTCTTTCACTCTCTTTCAGTGTTCATACAGCAACTTACTGTCCTCTTTCATTCTTTCTTCTTTTCTAAAGTGCATGAGCACAACTCTCCTGTCTCTTTTCTCTGCTTTCTTTCTTTTACATCATTCTCACTTCAAAATTGCAACATTTGTTGTGAATATTTGTTTAGCATCTGTTCTACCGGTTTTGATCGTCTTTATATATGGATTCATTGCCTAATGCAAAGGGGGCTACCGTATTTATTCTAATGAAAGCGCAGCTTCCAAAAGAAGCAATTTTGTGGAATGATTGAGAAATAGAAGCGCTTGCGCTTTCATTAGAATAAATATTTTATTTTAGATGTTTTGTTATTGCTATCCCTTAATTAAAAGAACATTTTTGAAACAACTAAAACTTGAACAATTTTCAATGTCGTATTCAAAAGGACCCCTTGTCATATTTTTCATGAATGGTTCATTATTTTGAGTATTTCTCAAAGTTCAAGTTGTTTTCTTCAATTTTTTTGTGAACATCTCTTTTCTCATTGAATGATTCTTTCCAGTTATGTCAAGGTAACCGTTCTTCGATCATACAAAAAAGGTTTCCACAAATTTTACTTTGAAATTTCTTTCCTAAAATTTCTCTCATATTTTCGAGTTCACCATCCATTTTCTTATAAGGGTTCACATATTTTCACGTTCGACGAACATTTTTTTACCAAAATTTTTTATGCGACAATTCAATGGTCGAAAAAGAAAGGAAAATTTTGAACGAAATAAAAAGAATCAAAATCATTTGACTGGAAATTTCACATACAATATCAATTGGGCTTTTATAATTTTTTAAGGCAAACTCCTTTCCAGTTTTAATTTGCATTTGTCTAATAATAAGAAAAGCCTCCATTTTCTCTCAAATTTTCCTGTTTCCCTACCCTTTGTTGCTTTGTTTTTTGTGAATTTGGTTGTTCAAAATTTTCACCATTTAACCATTTGTTATTTTTAACGTAAAAACTTGTTTTCAAATCAAATCAACTGTCGACTAAGTAGCTATTTTTGGTCTTTATTTTAGTTACGTTCTTTGAAAAAATTAATTTAATCAATCATTTTTGGGGAGGAAAAATATTTTGCTTTGTTTCGTTATCCAGACAAAAAAAGTCACGCTTTTTAGTACTTTTATGCAGGAGTTTTTTTAAAAATAGTTTCATTTTTTATGAACATTTTTGAATAAGTCATTCTAATGCGGATGATTCTTCTATTTGGCGAAAAACTTGTTTCTTTTCATTGTTGCCTAGTCATTCAAAATGAGACAGAACTCTTCATTTCCGATTTCTTCTCTGGGCTAAATTTAAACTTCTCCCTAATATTATTCATCTCATTTTCTTTTCTTTCTTTTATTTAAAAGGTTTCCTTCCAGTTTTTCCGTCTTTTTTGTTATTTCTACCAAGAAATCGTTCAATATTTTTCCAATTTTCTTTTTACTTCGTCATCCCTTGAATTCCCTTTTTGACTCAAAAAGACCTACAATTTCCCTGGACGAAACCAATATTTCCGAGATCTTTCCGGCGATTTTCCTTCTAAAGAAAAAATAGCTTTCATTGTATTATTTTTTTATAGGTTTTGCGTTGATTGAATCGAGCTAACGATAATCAACAAATTACACCATGCACAGTACCGGTCAAAATTATATCTCCTCCAAAAAGTGTCCCTTCTTTGGAGGCTTGTAATCTTTTGTCTAGTCATCATACAAGCATGTGCCATGCAGATTCTGAACGCTCTTTTTTAGCTCTACAAGATGCACTATAAGACTTTTAAAAATGCAAAAATTTGAGACAATTTTTAATGGCTTGAATCAGAGGTAAAAATTTGTGTGCTTTTCAGAGCGATTTTTATCTATCTTAGACCCGTCGAATCAATTTTACACTGTTTTTTTGAAAAGAGCGCAAAAAATTGGCCTTAGAAAAGTGTTTTTTAACGTCCTTTTAAAGTTTTTAAAAGTGAATTTTTTAACGGTTCTCACTAGACAAACAACGCCGAAATGGAAATCTCCGCCTTAAGAAGTCATGTAGCTTTGGGTTAACCACCGAATACGTTAGATGTTTCTCAGACCGTTTTTTGTGTTAGTAGTGTTGGACTTTGGACGATTAAAATTTTAATTGATTAATGCATCTTTTAAAACGCGCCCTCGCATTGGCCAGCTATTTAGTTAAGTTAAATTTGTATTAAAGTATTAAAGGCTAGTACTAAAGGCCGAGGCAAAATTTTATGCTTATTTTTTATATTTATAAATTTTGTCTGATTTTGTTCTCTATTTTTGTATTTGCATTATATTGAATTTCGCTTTTTTTCTCGACGAGATTACGGTACTTTTTCTTGGGGGTGCGTTTTAGAAAACATATTCATCGCAAGGAACGCACTCTATTTGTGAGTGTATAAGTCTACCATTGCATCAAAAATCTTTTTCAGAGAAACAAACCCCTAAATCTATTCAAAATCACATTTGAAAAACATTTTTGTTAAAGCTTTGTTGGCTATAAGAGCTCACCTGTCCTCACCGATTTTCGACGACGTCGAAGACGTGAAAAACCCGAAAATTGTCGGGCTTTTCCAGCTATGAAAAGAAAAATGGGGGATTTTTGTTGCTAGGAGGGCCATTTCTTGTCTCTCTCCAAATTCTTTTTTTATGTCTTTTCCCTCTTTTGGACTCACTTTTCCGATCCCACGTGAATTGCCCCTTTCCTTTTCAATTCTCTTTTCTGCTTGAATAATTTGCATTTCTAATATCTCATAAATCTCAAAATAAAAACTAATTTTTCTCTACTTTTTTTTGTCTCTACAGCTTTTGTCTAGTGTTATATTTCAAACAGAAGCACCTATTTGAGTTAAACTTCGCGGATTCACCTTAAATTCCCAAACTAACGATTCTTAAAATTGGAGATCAAAAATAAAACTAATGATACTTTAACTCAAAGCAAATTGAAGTACCATTATGATTTCTGACTCAAAATTTCCGTCAGCACATCTTGATTGGAAACTTTTCCAAATGTTTTAAACCAATTTTGCTATAATATCTCTTCATAACGTTAATTGCACTTTTTATAAGAAGCTTGCATATTTTTGCTCTCAAACCAGCGTTAAAGCAAATCTTTGCAACAATAAAAAAACAAATAAAACTCTGATCCGATGGAAGTACCAATTTTGAAGCCGACCACTCAAAAGCGGCACAGAAAAGGTACTGCCATTGGACATTTCAGAGGAAAAGGAAAGAATATTCTAGAAAAAAAGGGAATTTAGAAGATCTTTTTAGTTTCATTTTATTCACAATCATGTAATATTCAATCTGAGCCCCTATCTAGAAACTTGGCATACCCATTATTTTGGAGATTATTTAATGAGCCTGTCCAGAGAGTCTTTTCGCTCCTTTTCCGTTTAAAACCAACAAATGCACCAACTGTTTGTTTCATTAGAAAGGTCAATTATTCTTCTGCAAAATAACATTAAAAAGGGTTTAAAATTTATTATTAATTGGTGAATTTGTTATTTTTCAACGGAAGTACGAAAAGAAACGAAAAAACTTTCTGGACAGCCTAATCTTAACATTTAGGGTGGTACCGATAACTTCTCAAATTTTCTGTCGCTTCTCTTTTTTTACGATTTAAATCCACTACCAATTTGGTGAATTATGGAAACGCTTTGAATTTCAAAAAAAGAAAACACGTTCATTTGGTGAATAAATAAGTATCATCATTGACAGTTTTGAATTGTTAGTCTTTGGCTGAATAAATCAATTTTTTATGAACGGAAAGACGAAGAAAATGAATGCCCATCAACGGGTTTGCGACGGACTCCATTTTTCCTTTTTATTTTTTCTTTTTAAAAATCTCCATGCCAACAGTTATTCATGGAAATGTTGACGATAAAAAACAGAAAGATATGACAAAAGCTTGTCATGAAATTTTGATCAACTTTTCTACAATAAATTGAAGAGGTAAACAAGCTTCGACCTGCAGAGAGGAACTTAGAGACAAAATATTGTATTAGAATGATCTATTTACAATGCACTTGGACTCTTCTTTAAACGATTATAAAAATTGCATTTTCCAACCAAAGATCGACTCGCAATCAGACATTGTGCTAATATAGCTCCCATTTTTTGTCCAATAATGATTTGCTGCTTCCAAATCGACTAGTTCCTATGGCGATTGAGTAGTTTTTTTTTCACTTAAAACAATAAAATGGGCAAGGGTTTCCCCGTAGAAGTGAAAAATAAAATTGACATAATAGAAACTTCTGCATCAGCATATGAAAGTCATTTCTTTCATATTGTTTCCTAATCATAATTAGCTTATCATTTTCCATGCAACACCAATAGTCTTAATGCTAAATTGTCTGACGTTAATCATTTTTTAATTCTGACCCTACAAACGTCACCCGGTTGAAAAAGCATAGCTGTATCTCACAGATTTTTTTCCATACAAAAGAATTTTTCGCATACCGAAAAATATTATACAAATATCGTAAATATTCCTTGACTCCAACACTAATTCCAACTCGAGATTTGCATTTATTAAATAAATACCCTCTGGGATAAAGGTGGAATTATTTTTGGTTTATTTGGGTTTTCATTATTGGTGATAAGCTAGATTTGGATACGGTAATCGGGCATGGTTTCCATGTGGTTTTTGAAATTTAATTAGAGAAAATGGAGTGCTTTGATGAGAATTTATGGGAAATTTGGAGAGAAGTTGAATGTAAACGCCGCACAAACAACGGTAATTTTGATGAAAAAGAGAAAGGAGATAATACCTACAAAATCGAAACTTGACAAGTGTCTGTAGTATATTTGTCACTGATTGTTTTATTTCCTATGGATCTCGTACCCTACAACGTGCTTACAATTAATCTATTAATTTAGTGGTAAGGTGCAGCAACATGGATCTAGAACCAGTGAATGATCTTCTATTGTGTTAATTACGATGACTAGGTACCAAATAATTCTTTGCTTTTATCACCCCTTCCCATTTTTTCCTTTTTTTTCATATTCAATTTCCACGCTCATTTCCTTGCCTCTTCTCGGCTACAAAAATGTGTGCTACTTTAGTGGAAATTTCTTGGTTTTCACCTTATCCATCCAAAAAAGAAAAGCAGCCCACCAGAAGAGGGTTTTTGCTGACGTCCAAAGAAGAAAAAAGGCGGCTGATCGGGGATCAGCTCACAGATTGCACCTCATCTCATCCCATCCATACTGCTCCATCTACAGCCTATTTTTCCATAAATTTATCTTCGCTTCTATGTTTCTATCTATATTTGGCAATCTCTTGTTCTCATCAAGAACTAATCATTCAGATTGCCCATCCACACTCATCCATTCCCTCACTCAGCAAACGGATTCTCACAGCCGCCCCTGAGACGAGCGGCCACTCACAGGTTTGCAAATTACTGTGCTTTTTGGGGATATTTAACTGAAAATTTGATATTTTGGAGCTGATGATAGTTACTAATTATTGTAATGATCACTCAATTATTGTAAGGTTCTAGTATACGTCAACCATGATTTATTCAAAAAGTGTTTCTATTTAAAAACAACTCTTTCTTATTATCCACGAGATCCTTTTCAGAACTGGACCCATCCTCGTCGTCATTCACTCAAAAGCCGCTGGTCGAGACGACAGTCACCAACGGCCCTCGAAATGGCACCGAGTCGGGGGGAGTTATCGAATTTGGGCAAGAAGTATGTTGTTATGTTAAAACTATGTAGAACTTTATGTTTATCTCGTGTTAATAGTTATTATGGCTCAAAAACGCAATTGAAAAACGAATTCCAGACGGTGTCAATTCTCGCAATTGTCGGTGTTTGTATTTTTCTTGCAATCGCCAATGTGATCGTCTGGTTGTGTGGTTGTAGAAGACATTCAAAAAGAAATGAAGAAGAAAGACAAGATCGACAATTGGAAAGAGATAGATTCAATGAGTAAGTTTAAAGAAAGAAAAAGAAAAGAATCGCTTTGTGATTAAGTGCTGATAGACTTCATAGCAGCCATTTTGTCCACTAATTAAACTAACATTCATTGTAAAGTATTGCAAAGCAGTTCTCCAAAAGCTGAAAAACTTTCAGTAAACAACAACGTGGAGGAGGAACACCCTATTCAAAGCAGAAAAAAGTTGCCGATAAAACGAGTATTATGAAGAAAGGAGACACCGGAAAAGATGGAAAAGTTTGTTTAAAATCAGTTCAAAAAAAAAGAGTTAAAGCCCTAGTGAATATATCGGAAATCTTGGTTCTAGGTGATAGAAGATGGCGAAAGAGATCATCCACGTTTGGAGACTAAAATCAATGCGTCTGAAACGATTGAAGAGGTGAAACTATCGAAATATAATTTGTTAAATTATCAATCAAATCACGCTAATTTGGCAAAGAATATTATCCATTCTAACGCCTTTTAAAAACCAGAATTTTTCAGTTTGAAGCTCGTGTCCGGGATCAATTCTCACGAGCCAATGTCCTTAATGAAATAAAAGAAGAGGAAATTCAGCCATCGATTCAATCGGGGAAAAATGTTCGTCAAATTTTATTTTTGCTTCATTTTCTATTTTTAGAAACGAGTTGAAGAAATTGCTCTCGAATTATCTGTAGAAAATCTGCAAAGAAGTGAATCAAAAGCCGGACAAATAGACGATAAATCATTGAATGAAAAGAATCACAATCAGTCAGAAAAAGGATCATTTCATAGAAACGATTCAAAAGTGAGTTCAGATAGAAAGTCTTTCAACAATTCATTTTGAACTAATAGTAAGCCTAGCTTCATTCTCTCAGAAATGAAAGTTGTTTAGGTAAATGTTTTCAACACGGATCGAATTGAGGAAATCGATCTCAATCCAGCTCTTAACAATTCAATAAATCTTGAAACTATCTAATATTTATGATTCGCGTGATTCGTAAGCTAGTCATCCTTCAAAATAAATTTATTCACCATTTCGCAAATTTTTCCATTACTCGATCTCACATCGTATGATTCCACGATTACCATTCTCGTTCTCATTCTCAGCTCATTCTTTTTCATTTCATTTGCTCCTTTTCTTTGATGCATATCCGATTGAATGGTATTTGTGGTAATAAGGTATAAATTTTATGCAAAATTAATTCCTCACAAACACAAAAATATGTTAAGCTCAATAGTATCGCTTAAAAGTCAAAAGCTTACTCCAATCTGGCCAGCGATCATTTCAAAATTCCGAAACACATAAAAAATAGTTAGCAGGAAAGACGAAAGTGAGTGGACGCGGGAAACACGAGCCGATGCACACATCCAGACACACATGAATGGCAAACAACGGGGCAAAACGACCCCCGATGGATGGATGGATTGAAGGGGGAAAGGAGTAGAAAGAAAAGGAGAGAGCCCCAAAAAGGACCCTGATGGACTCTACTTTTTTCATGGGAAATTCCGTGAGAATTTCCCGAACCTCTCACGTAGTCTTTGCCTTGTCACACCGATTACCTAGTTTTTTTTTCTGGGAAAGAACAATTGAAAACTCACTTAAAGACTTGGCGAAACAAAAACCAAGTTTTTAGAAGATTTTCAATTTTAATTTACTCACCTAACTATAAGTGCAATTTATAAAAGAGCAGTGTCTGTCTGTCCATCTGTACGGGCTTTTTTTCAACCGTCTTTGAGCCAAAAAACTAAAATTTTTTTAAAGACTTAAAATTTAATATAGTTGTGCCACTTAAAATAAAAAAATTTTAAAAGTCAAAATTGCGTGGCACTTCGGGGGTCGAACCCGAGTTGTGTGGGCCGTAGACAAGCACGCTCCCGACTGCGCCACAGTGACAAAATTTGAATTTAGCTAGAAATTAGTATATGAGAAACGCATCCGCGTAGCGGGTGACCAGCGAAGCTGCATGTTATATGCTATTTTATAAAATTCATTGTCAGGTCATATCATTTCTTTGGAATCTACAGGCTAACCTCCTCATGTAGCTGTTTTCCCTTGGCAAACTCGAAAATAATAGCTCTATTGTTCACCCGAGAAGAAGTAAAGGATGAAAGACTCAAAAAAGAAAAAAATGAGTCGCATGTTGACTTGAAATTTGTTCTTAACTCTCTTATTGTTATTGCTATCAATAAGTTTTTTAGTGTTTTGTTTTTCCTTTAATGTAATAAGTTTCACGGATGATTACAATAAAACTCTCCCAACAGTTATTCAACTTTTTCCATGGGGCTCAAATTCTAGCTAGTCTATCAGAAATAATGGGCTGTCCATGTTAATTTAGTATTCATGAAGATTCGCTGTTCTCTCATTCTCCATTTTCTTTAACCATTCTTCATTCTATATTTTTAAATTTCCTATCTTATCTTATTTGCATAGGTTATAGGCTTCAAAAACAGTATATTGGGTTATATAAAAATCTAGTAAAGCCTTATAACTTAATGTTATAACTTAAACCGTTTTCTTCAAAAACATCATTTACCTATCGCTTTCATAACGCTTCTTTGTCTCCTTCTTCGTTTTCTCTCCAAGCATCTTGCCTCTTTTTTTCTTTATTTTGAGCCCGTTTAGGCTATTCTAATCTCAGTCAAGTATCTTATTCTCTTTTACTTTTTTCTTATCCTTCTCGGACATGATCCTCCATATGGCATTAGCTGCCTAATAGTAAGCTTAAAGGCTCTGCATTTTGTTTTAGAATTACTCTACATATCTACGCAAAGTATAATAGATAAGCTAAAACTTCATTAAATGAGCTCAATTTCCTCCGTTTCATCCAATCAAAGACACACACGAGCTAAAGCTCATCTCTTTCAAAAGCAGTAAAATCCTGAAGCTCCTGGCCAGAAGGTCCTTAGAAATCTATTATTAGTTAATCTTAAGTTTCTGCTGAAATATTATTAATTTGTTTGTTCTTATTACAGACGTGCACAAATGAATGGTTTGAATCCAAAGCGAACCGATGAATTCATCACCTTCATGCGCCAATTGCCCGTTCTCTGGATACCGTACGCATCTATTTTATTTTCAGATTTAAATAAACATTTAGTGAATCGAAAATCGACAATCATAACTCAAAAGAAGTGAATCTTGCAAAAGCTGAGGCGTGGAGATTTGTATCCAATCACTTTTCAATTTCAGGTTCCTAATCAAAAAATCAAAATTCGATTTTTATATTCTAGTCCGTGAAGCAAAAGATCAATGGAACCTTCTCCTTCTTGTACATCGAAAAATTTATGAGCGATTTCCTGATACAGCATTCAGGTAAGTTGGACCAAAAAAAGGCTTCCAGCTGCACATCTAGCAAAGCTAAATCGATAATCAATCATTTTTTCAGATACGAGCGTCCTGAATGTTGGGATCCCCGATGGAATTCAGCAATCGATCACCTTGCAATGCTATATGCTAATTTTTTTCAAGAAGATATGAAATTTTTGTTTTCTTAATATGTTAATTGAAATTTTGACCGCTAGTTAATACCTAGTTAAGATTGTGTTCTGAAGGTTTTGTTTCTATTGATGTGTACAGGTTTGTTTGTCTCTTTGTGTATAATTCTAATCTTTTTGCTCTTAAACTTTGTCGGTATGAATAAATTTTACGTCAATTTAATAAATATCTAACAATGAACACAGCGCCTAGAAAGAGAAGAAAAAAATAAAAATAAAACTCTTCTTAAAACTATACTCCTATAAGCTACGGTGTTCCTTAAAAAAGTTTTCCTCTAACAAGATGACTCTCTACTGTCTAGCATTTACTGAAAGCCATGTGAAATTTTTCCAACAAAACTTCGTTGGTGAGATGGCTGTAGATGTGAGTGTGTTTGACTCTCAACTCTCCGTACCTCAGTAAAAGTCGGGTTTGTATTGGGGAAATAGTGAGCAAAGAGAAATGGAAGAGTGAGAGATGGAAAGGGCTCATCCAAAAGGGAATCATGGGGCAGCCGCGTGCGACCTCCGCTCTCCCCATTCTTTTTTTTCATTCTTTTCCCCATCCATCCCATCACCACTATTACTCTTTTCCTACTTCCACCGTCTCCACCATTTCCCCAATCTCTCTTCACGTTTTGTGTGGCTCCGAATGGCGTCCGGTGTCTGTTCTGTGTTTGTGTGTTTGCGTTTCCGCGCTCCTCTCCTCTCCCGCTTTCTCTATATCTTTTTCATTTCTTTTCTTTGCTTTTAATTCTTCCGTCTCTCCTATGTGACCCCGGTCGGAAACCTCACGCAGAACACGCCACCCCTTTCCTCTCCTTTCCATCCTCTTTTCCCTCTACATGTCCAAACCCAACCCTTTCACCTCGAATAGATTTTGATTGAAAATTTGTGCTTCTAATTTGTTTTAGCCTTTAATTTTTATTTTTGGGTAGCAATACTCAAATAAATTTTTTGGTTTGCGGCTTTACGGCACTTTAAATGGTGTAACTAGTTGTCACTCGTTGGAGGGTTGTATTCATTTAAGCACTTTTACACGCTTTCTAATAGTTTATGAATCTTTTTTGTTAAAAGTAAAAAAACACTAGGCTTTTTACATACTGTTTTCATATTCCCATCTCTATCAATTTTTGAAAGCTGAAATATTGGTTAGACTTCGGAGCTCTTTCACTTATTCATTCTTTTTCCCTCTTCCCGCTTCCAAGACTACGCATCCGGTGTGGATGAGGACGAGAGGACGAGGAGTCATTCCACCCTTCTCCTCTCATTCTCTCTCTTGTCCATTTCCCATCTCTTCATCCTTTCTTTCTTTTTAATCTCCGACTCACAGAGTTCTCCGCCTCATTGGATACGCCGACTCCGCATCGTGATCGTCAATCGGGAAACCAAAAGAATGAAGAGAAAATAGAAGCCTTTTAAAACTCATCCATCTATCCTTTTCTTCTTTTCTTTGTTTTTCTATATTTTCTCTTGATTTTCTTTTCACTCTCTCCCATCAATCTCCAACCGCCCACCGAGGCCGCTTGCGCACACGCAACCCGCCTCCTTTTTTCCAAAAGCCAGTATTTTTCCTTTTGCCTTTTCAGTTTTATGAGCAATTTTCCATTTCCTTTATTTTTTGCTTCAATTAACCTGAAATATTTACTTTTCTCTATTTTGCTTAGCAGTTGCTTTTGACAATAAAGAAGTACTTATTTTAGACATGATGTCATTGAAATTGGAAGAAGGTGGGGCAACAGCTGAAGCAACAGAAGTTGACAATGAGACGCTTAATCAGGTTGGTTTTAATTGGAAATACATATATCATATTGAAATTCTTACATTTTAACTTATGTCTACTTTCAGCTGAATGCCGCTTTTCTTGCAAGCGTTGTCAAGGCAGTTCCTGAAATAAAGGTAACATTGAAATACTTTTGCTTGATCAAATGCATTTATAATCTTTTTAAAAATCAGCATTTTTTAGACAGATCCAGAATGTTTGGACTTTAACTATCAATTGATACAAGAAGTGAAGAGACGGCCATGTTTATACAATATGAATGATGATACATATAATAACAATCAAATGAGAGCTGCAATGTGGATCGAGATTGCTCAAAAGTTTAACACTTCATGTAGGTTGTAAAACATTGAGAGCTTGAGGAAAGAAGAAACCATTTATAACATTAACAGTTTTAATTTTAGCAGAATTTGTGAAAACTCGATGGAAGACAATGAGAGATCGATACAAAAAAGAAGAAAAAAGATGGAAAGCCGGAAAACACACGAGTTGGAGCTTCTTCCCTCAATTACATTTCATCTCACCATATTTGCGAGCGAGATAGTTCGTTTCATTAATTTCTTTTCTTTAAGTATAATAGAACTTACAAAAATAATTTTATTTTCTAAACTCAAACATTCAAATTTTAGTCCCCATGACCCGGTGGATTGCCAACAATCAGATGAGGAAGGATCACCTCAACCTACAATTACTTTAGGTAATCAAAATACAAATGATGATAAAGAGTAGATGCTAAATCTGAGGTATTCGATGGCAAAGTTTTCAGAAACCCTATTGGCCACAGCTAAAGCATCAGAAGAAGTCAGAGTTGAGGCTTCATCAAGAAAAAGGCAAAGGCCAGCTGATGACAAAGAGGAGTTGGCAAGGTGAGGAATAGCTATGGTAGAAGATATTACAAATGTAAGATATAGCCATAACACCCCTTCAATTTCAGAGTGGAACCCTCAGTGCCTTCTCCACTTTCAATCAACACAGCCTCATCTCCATTGGGGCTTCTCGGTGGTCAATCCACCCCGATTTCTCTTGGTTCAACGGCTTCGTCATCTCATCCAATGTTAAATCCTCGTGTTGACCAAATTCAACGAGATTGTGGCATTCCCCAATTAGCTCCACCTGTTTGGAATAGATTACAAGATGAAGAGGTCAGTTTAATATGAAATCACAAAGTAAAGTGCAAACTAATAATAAGAATAGGCGGCTCTTATAAAAAGATATAGCGTTGTATAAAATAAAATTGCAACTTTTTCAGGCTGAAATCTTTGGGCATATGATTGCTATGAAAATCTCGAAGTTGCCGCCAAAGCTGAAAGAAAAAGCAAAGGTACAATAACACATTTTACAAGTTTAGAAAAAAATTGTCATTGAATATGTCTCTTTTTAGATTCGTCTATGGACTGTGCTTTTTGATATTGAATTCGGCTCAGAAAATGGCGGAGGATCAAATTGTTGAGATAATCACGTGCTCCTCATTGCAACTCAAATTGATTATCAGCACTTCACAACAATCTTTTTATCGACTTTAATCATGTTCTTGATCAAACCGGTTATTGTTTTATCAGAGGTTTTTATACCTCCTTGCCTTTGATGCGGGATAAATAAAAGTTCAAATTGATAATTTAAAGAAACAACTCTCACGTAGAAAAGAAGGCAAACTCATAAAAAGTGCATACCGTATTCTCTCTAATAGTAGTGCACTCTTTAATAGTAGTGCACTCTCTAATAGTATTGCGGTTCAAGAGGGGGTTAAAAAAATAGTAGTGCACCCTCGAAAATTTGAATTTCTGGTGCTTCTTTTTCATCTAAACCTTTTTGACTTTATGTTTATGTAACATTCTAAAGCTATTCAAGCAAGCAAACGTGAGGATTTTTTTACTCATTCATTAACTATTCTTCACATGAAAAAGTTAGCAAGAATCTAAAATTGTTGTGCAAAGTGCAAAAACATCTTTTTGTTGTTTGTCAAGACACAAATTGTCAACTCGCCGGCCCACAACTGTATGTCAAAAGGAGCCAAAGGAGTACGTGAAAGAATTGCAAAAATTTTTGGAACAAAGATCTGTCTTACTTTGGTAAATGATAAAACTCTTTGATAGTAGTGCACTATCTAATAGTATTGCAGTTCGAGAGGCGGTTGAAAAAATAGTAGTGCGCACTACTATTAGAGAGAATACGGTAGGTGTCAATGTCTGAAGTATTCGGAGTAACACAGCAAGTTTTGGTCATCCCATTCAAGATACGAAGTACTTTTAGGGCTTTTCATTGATTCATTTATTCATTCATTCAAGGGAGTTAGCTTTATCTCACATCTTTTAAAAGTATTATAGTTAATAGTAGATTAAAAAGTCCAAATTCTGATTGAAATAATACCAAAATAAGCAACCATAGCTATGAGAACCCTTGAGCAATAACCAAAAACTTTTCTTTCACCATTCGCATGTAAATTTAAAGTCAACAAAAGCAACTGTGCAAATATGTGATTCATTGTCAACGTTTAGTTCAAAGTCAAATCAACCAATTCAATTTTCTCAAATCGATGATTCAGAAGTCAATGTCTAACCTTCCCCTAATCTTTCTGATTTGTCATCCATCCGATCCATTTTATTTTTTTCCTTTTCAAATATTTCTTGTCGTCGATGTTTGCCTTTGAGAAACGTTTTATCAATGCTGATTTTTAGGGCTTTGCACTGACTCAACGAAAAATTCAGAAAAAACCAAAAGCCAAATTCTCGGTATTCCTTATCTTTTGAAGATTTTTCTCTCTTTTTGAGGATTTTTTGATAGTGAAATGTGTACGCCCACTTTAAAATTTTATGTATTTTAAGGAGACGTTTCCCTTATTCGGCTATTGGACTCCAAACTTGACTTGACGATGCATTCGATTCATGATCCCGTAAGTTAATTGAATTACTCCTGGGTAACTTCACACATTAAAAGTAGCTACTAATTCATAACTGCGTATAAGTGTTATTAAATACTGAAAGCATAACTAACTTTAGATATAAAAAAGCTATTTTCTCTTATTTAGCATGTCCCTTTTGCCCTCCCACTCAACGAGCCTCCAATTCCCGGATCAGTGATCGAGGTTCACGGAAAACACCATCATCATGAGTTTGTTTTATGTTCTTTGTTTTTATAGGTTTTATAATTAATGATCTATATTAAACTTTCAATAAATCTTCTTCTAATCCAAGTCATTCAATTCATTTTCAGTACCTTTGTCGTTGAGCTCCTTGCCGGTCCACACATTCCGCTTCATCTCTCATTCCGTTTCCATCATGAACATGACCTCGTTTTAAACGCTGCCGCTCATGGACAATGGGGCTGTGAGGTGAGCAATCTAACAGACTTACTTAAAGACTTAATTTCCTATCTTACATTTCAGCAACGAGTGCACAACCCGATCCCCAAGCATGATCATCATTTTACCATCCGCATCAAAGTCCACGACTCGCATTATGATGTAAGTTGGTTATACTTGTGAAAAAAGTAGATAATATCCAAATTTCTACAATTTTCTTTAGGTCGAGGTGGATGGACATCATATTGCCACATTCAACCATCGTTTCCCCTATGCCTCAGTTCAAGCTATTGGATGCCATGGCGATGTCCACATTAAACACATTCATTTTCAAGGATTCCATTTCCACAACGGTTAGTTTATTAAAAACAATGTTTTCAAGCATTTTTACAAACAAAAACCGTTAAATATAAAAATGAGTTTTAGGCTAATTGTAAGTAAGGGCTAAATGAGGAGAAGCTGCCAGTCTGATTTTGAGTGAAGATCGTTTCAGCAAAAGAAATTTCAGCATGGAACCACCAGGGACATGACTTTGGACACGGGGGATACATTGGATATGGAACTTCAGCCTATCAGCCACCAGTTGTCCCTCAAGCTCATCCAATCAACCAACATTACGGTAATTTCTCAAAACTGTTTACAAGTTGATGAGTTTTAATTAGCACATTATTCTCAAACCTAAACACTTTTTGGTACTTGTCGGTTATGTCCTCAAATTGCTTGATTTGCTATTTTAAATACAGATTTTGGAAGCTATCACTAAATTAATTGCAGTTTTCCAATCCTAATTTCAAAAAAATGTAAATTTGGGAGAACATAACCGACTGATGCAATGGGAGATATAACCAACAAATACCCACTCTTTTTTATTTTTAGATCCATACCGCTAAATACTACCTCATCACAGCGACCTGCCGGTTTACATCAAAACTTTATCTCTGTTAAACTGACTTTGAAAATAAAACTTTTGTAAAAACAAACAATTACTTTAAAAAAATAGAAAATCCAAAGCAAAGATTGTGAGTAAATAAAAAATGGAAATTGGCAAAAAGGAATTTTCCTGAGTGATGGCCAATAAAGTAAAAGTCATGAAACAATGCGGGTTTCATAAGTGATCATTTCTTTTCTGAAATATTCATGTCGTCTTTTCAATCATTTGTCTCGTTTCTGCGGCTCTCGTTGATGCAGCTGCATGGGGACATTGTTTCGTTCTTCTGAAAAATAACGTGTGATATCAGAGAGTAATTTTGGTTTAGACAATTTCAAGTGAATTTAATAATATGATTTCACCTTTCTCTAATGTAAAGTACAGCAAGAATGATGAGAAGAACGAGAAGACAAAGTGCCAAAGCCCATCCACCGTTACCAAGTGTTTTTGCGGTGTGTACTGAATGGTCCTGTGATACTTTATAGCTATTTGGCTCACTTACAAAGACATCCATCCTCACAAAAATCTCCATCAAATCCTCGTGGACATCTGAATTTAGTTTTACAAGTTTTGCTAGATAAATTCATTTGATTAATTCTACTTATAGTTATCAAAACTGTTAATTTATCGTAAGATATTCCAACTTACATGCACGTTTCATTTCCATGTGGGGGCATCAAAATACACACACCCCCATTGAAGCAATTGTTGACCTCACAAAATGACATCTAAAAAAAAAATTGTTTCACTTGCTATGCATTTGCTTCAACACGAAAAAGCAATCATACAAAAAGGCCTTAAGAAAATAGAAATAGATAAAATTCCTTGATGAGATTCTGTTGCCCAATCAAGTGAATCATAAAAGGCTAGAGGTTTCAAATTTGGTCTGTAAAGTTAACCCTAGTGTTATAACTTAAATCTTATGAACCAAGAAAGCAAAAACCGTTCGGAAACTCAAATGACAAAATTGACAGAAAAGATTGAACACGAGCGAAAAAATTCGGATAACGAGCAACGATCGGAAAAGAGGAAAATGATGGTGTCAAAAGCCGCGTGTGTTACAGAAAGATTTACCTCACCTGACCACGAGAATTGTCTCCGAGAGTCTCTTCTCTTCTCTCAAGTCTCATACTTCTTGAAACTCTAGCATTTTCTTTGATCTTCTCTAGAAGTCTTTTCTTGCTGTGCTTCTTGGTAAAATGCTTTGTTCTAAACATTTCTTCTTTCTCTTCACATTCTAGCCTCCTCTTTTTTCATTTTCTCGTCTTCTATTTTTATTTCTCTTCATTTTCTTCTTTTTTTCCATTCATCGGTAGGCTTTTCATGTCTTCTTTTTTCTATCGCAAACGGTGCCGCCATGTCGAAAACAAATACCATCGTGCAACCAACTTCATCGTCGGATCTCTCTTTACCTTCTTCTTTTTGACTTCTCCTCTCACCCTTCCCTATTCTCATTTTCTCTTAGCTTTTCCTTTTCCCGATTCTATTGAATTTTGGGAGTTTCCATTTTTTTACGTTGTGTGGCCTGACTTGCGACCATGACACTCAAAAGTTGGCTCACCCAAAAATCGGAGAAAGCGGGGATTTTTGTTCAGTGATTCGAAAATTAGAAGGATGAACAGATTGTATCAGACCCGTAGCGAGGGTGGGGCAGAGGGGGCAACTGTCCCTCCCTTGCCACTCGGATGCAAGCTATAGATGGGTAGACCTCACTAATAGTAAAACCAGGTTAAAAATGGCTAGCTTGCCTCTCACTTAAAAATTTTCTGGGTATGGGTCTGGATTGTCTTGACATGCTTTTGAAAATACAACTTAAGACGAAACAGACCTGTGCTAATAGTAGATTGCTTGTTTTAGTGGTGCTTCGTTTCTAATCAAAAGTTTATCGAATAGGATTAAACAAAACAAACAGGAGTAAACAAAAGTTATAAAGAATTACTCAAAGATTGCAGATGATTTAAAGAAGAGTAACCCGTAAAGCACAAAAATATTATGCACGATCAAGAATAAAGCTTTCATTTCAGAATTGTACCATTATCTTAAAAATTTCTTTCTCTTTTTGCAGAGAAATGAGATTCGTTCACAAGAGAACAAAAACAAACCTAACAACAAAAACAAAGTTTCTACAGTTTAAGAATGTTTTAAAATTGGAAAACTTTAAGATAAAGGTGGTTGTGGAGGGGAGGGATCGATCATCATTTTCCCTTCTGCACGATTCCCATTTTGATGAGGCTAAAATTTGATTATGACTTGTTATTATTAGATTTTACCACAGCTCTTCAATTTATTATCATCGTACAAACACAACATAAGTGACACCAAGAAACTACCCGATTTTATGCATTCTTAGATATCTCAATAATATCGAAATCACTTACTCTAAATCCTCCTCTCAATCTTTTCATACTTCTTCTCCACCACGAATCACTTGTCACTTCTTCTGAACGAACTGGCGGCTTTCGTTTTGGGGCTTTTTGTGGGGTACATGTTTCCTGAAATTTAAAGCCATTTCTTACTTATTTTGTTCTATTCGCATTTAGTGTTCCATTCATATTTATTGTGCTATTTACATATGATGAAACTTGCTTTACTGTTGTTTAGCCTCATTTCTCACAATAATAAACAAAACATGTGTCAGAAAGAGTTCATTTCGAGGTAGTTCTCTATTTACCTTATATGGATTCTCAATACTGAAGTTGAATACATCAGATTGTGATTCTTCTTGTATTGGTGACAATGGAGAATCTGGGGGAGATCGATCCATATAATCCAAAAGTTCTCTTCTTTTTCTCCTAAAACTAAAAAATTTGAAAATTTTATAAATGATCTAAAAACACACTTAATAAACAAAACAAAATTCAAATATTCGAATAATTTTTGACCTTTCTTTGAGGAAAAGAAATCCGAGGGCTACGGATAAGGCGAGAAGTGCGAAAAGGAAAACACCTGATCCACCAAGGGCGACTTGAGCTGCACGATCTCAAATAACACTTGTCTCATTAGCATTCAAATTTCAAATAACACTTGTATTTGTTATATTTAATTAACTTACAAATGAAATCGGAAACCACTGGGTCGGCGCATCTCTCGCCACCAAAGGCATGAGGACAGCTAAAGTTTAAATTATTACTCATACACTAGCCAGCTATAAAATTTTACCTCTGTTCTCTTGTATATGTTGTATCCGATTTGGATTGAATCCAAATCGGATACAACATATACGGTATTTCTTCGAATAGAAGACCGGTCTAGAATCAAAAGCCGCCTCGAATAGAGGACGAGGTCTAGGGGGTGATCAAAAAAATAGAAGACCGCCTCGAATATAAGATCGAATATAAGACCGGTCTTTTATTCAAGGTATCACTTATTTTCTTTTTTGCACCAAAATTATCGTATCCGAAATCAGAAAAGTAAGTCCGAAAGTGTAGTCTTTTTTTCTGGTGTTTTTCATATTTTATTGCGTTACTAGTTTTTCTTTTTTGGGTGATGTCGAATTCAACAGTTCTGGGAGCAAAAGTCAAACGATAGGCCTACGCATTTTCATCTAAACTCAAAGCTGTTCGTTTTTCAAAGGAGAAATCAAAGGAAGCGGCTGCACGACAGTTCAATGTTACCCCGAAGATGATTCGAGATTAGAGAGCAAAAGAAGAATTGCTACAAAAAGGAGTAAAACGGCTTAAGAGAAGAGACTGTGCACCTCCATTTTGCGCCGTTGAGGAGGTGACTTATCAATGGAGCGAAAAGAAGGGAGAAGAAAAATGAAAGTCTCTCGTCGGATGGTTCAAAATAAAGCAAAGGACTTCTTTCGCGAGTTGAACCTGAATTTCACAAAGGCATTTTCTGCAAACAATGGATGGCTTTCAAATCTTTTGAGGCGACAAAAATTGACGATAAGGGAACCTACAACGAGATGTCAACGGCCTCCAAATTTCAACGCTCCAAAGAACAAACTTGTCGTCTTCGTGAAGTTCATTATTTTGTTACAGATTGTTGTTGCATACATAGGTGTTGTTGTTAAATTTTGTCGTTAACATGTTACAATAAATTTTTATAAAGAAGGCTGTTTTTTTTAAAATGTTGGTTACTTTCCTGAAAATTTTCTTGAATGCAAAAAAATAGAAGACCGTCTTGAATAGAAGACCGACCTCGAATAAAAGACGGGGTCTAGGGGGGTGATCGAAAAAATAGAAAAAAATAGTCTTTTATTCGTAGAAATATGGTACTGATTCTTTTTCAAAGACTTACAAGCATTTCTCGATTTTCGCCTCGACTCCACAGACACCTCCATTGTGACAAATATTTACTTCACAAGGAATAACGTGCATTGGAAGAACTTGCTAAAGTTTTGTTGAATGTGTATGTAGATAAGCCTATTCTTTTACTGATAACTTCAATACTAAAGCTGTTTATTGAAGTTATTTACCTGATGTGCAAAATTGATTCTCTTTGTGATCGATCGATTTTTTTCCTTTTTATATTTCACCGAGCATTCAACGATTCCTGCATGTTTCTTTAGATTGAAACCTTCAATTGGGACAGAGATTCTAAATATTCCTTATTATTGACGTATTGTATCTTTTTTATTTACCCTTTGTCGATTTTCTCTTCTTTTTCAAATTGAAGCTCTTTGTTGAGAGTGGTGAAATGCATCGAATCAGCATCAAGAGAACCATCCTCTGTTAGACATCTTAAAGTGGATATTGCTTATGCATGTCAAAGGAAAAATAGTCATCGAAAGTTAGGTTAATAGTTTCAACATGAACTTCTTTAAAATTTAATTTAACACCTTTTAAACCCAAAGTTTTTGTAAAACCTGCTTTTTGGTTTATGGATTCTGCTCTACGAGAACAAAAATGTGTAGTGTATTCACCTCAATTCGAGTTTTTGTCCAATCTCAACTGATAGTTGTTCGGGTGCCTCATCCGGTGGAGTTTCTAATTAAATTGGTAATTATTATTATCAACAGTATTGATATGTATTATCCATTCATTAAACTTACTTTCATCAAAGAGAACTTCATAAATGAGATTCACTTTTGAATCAGCTCTTGAGCTTCGCCGTATTCTTATCGAATTACTCATCGACATTCTGATCGAGCCTAGAATTTAATGGTTTTTCCTTAGGAAAAACGAAAACCAAAGGAAAGTTGAGGACGGAAAACCGAGAATTCGTCAAAAGCTTATCAAAACTCATAAAACTTTGAAAGGTTCGTCGAGCTTCAAAGATTAGATCAACTTTAGGCATTTAAACCAAAGGAAAATCTTCAGTTTAAGCTTTTGATCTGTGAAATTTTCAACGGCAAATTGAAAAAGACAACTGAAAAGACAAAAAGAATGAAGCTATTTCCTTTTCGCAAATGGATGGCTCAGCTGGAGTCATACTTTCGGATAATTTTGTCTCGCAAATTGCAATTCTCGGCTCCAAAAATGGGATGTTCAATGAAAAAAGAGGTCGCTTAGGGCATTAGTGAGTGTGGTGGTCAGCGATCAAATAATGGATTTCTAACAAGAAAATTAGATTTTAAATAGATCTGAAAATAGATTGGATGATTCATTAAATGAAGGGATAGAGAAAAACAAGTGAGTAGATTTGAACAGCGAAGTCATGCTAAAGAAAGTTACAAAGAGTTGCAAAGATCTTGAGATTTCCAAGAAACTCTAAAGATTTTATCTTAATGCTAAAAAGTTGAAGCAATATAAGAGGGAAATCCTTTCTCGAATTTCTCAATCGATCGCAATGTGGACAGCAAATAGACTCTCTCGAGAAGAGACTCTCTCAGCCAAAATGCAACAGTTTCTTGTGATCGAAAAGTGAAGAAAAGGAGTAAGATTTCTTGATGATTTGTTTTGATATCAGAAAAGATAAAACTAATTCTCATTGTTGATATCGATAACTTGACACGGTAGCATAATGAAAGTGATATGATCCAGCTAGTAGTAAGATCTACAGCAAACAAATGTTCTAAAATAATATCTTTAAGTAAGAGCTTCAATGTTTATTTAAAAGCCATAAAACGCACAGCGTAGAAAAAAAGTTATGACAAGGCTGAGAAATGCAAGGACAAAAACTCTGCTGAGGAATTCGGAAGCACGCCCTATCTTTGGAAAAAATGAGACTAGTGAATGAAAAGGACAGGGTTGACTTTGAACTGAATGTGGAGATGAAATGAAAGGGAATGGAAGAGAAAGAATGGGGAATGGGGAGCGATGGAAAGAAGGTGATCGGGTGAGTCATCCCCTTACATACCCCCCCCCTACAAACCACTTGTGCTTTTTCATCCTTTTGACTTCACCGACGATTCTACCTTTTCTCCTTTCTCTTTCCAGAAGTGATGACCAAAGTCCCTAGGACATTCTCAGCCCATTTTCCTCTCTTTTTCCTTTCCTTTTTCGAGAATTCTGGACGCGATCAAATGCAAATAGGCGATCGTAAACTGAGCCGAATGAGCCTGACACATACAGAATTGGAATCTCTTCAAGGAATTTCAATGATTCGTCAGATTTTTTTTCTCTACAAACGTCTTCTCCCACGCCCTCACTTTCTCAAGTTGATAATCGATCAGGATTATTGAGATGTGTTTGGGTTTCTGATTTGTGAGGTAGAGTAGGTTGAGTTGAAAAGTTGAAGAAGTGCCAATAGTCAAAAATAGAAAGGCCTCGTTCTTTAGAATGACGCAAAAAATAAGGCAGATTCACAGAATGTGTGCCAAACACGCACAAAAAAATAGTGAAATAACCGAAATGTTTTAAAAACTTAAAGGGACGGTCATTCAAGGCTTCGCTATTTGTTATTTTCTTTTATGTTATTCCATTCGTTACCGGAGACTGGCACGACCATCCTCCAAACCTCTTGAATGGGATTTTCGAAATATTGCGCATTTTTTTATAAATGCTGCAATTTCATGAGTTAAAGTAAACCAACATTGACAAAAAGGGGATGATTTGTGAAGAGAAAAGGTTTAGGGGAAAGAACCACAAAAGTAAGTCTGAAATGTTCAAAGGGAAATTGGATCGGACAAATATTGAAGAAGAGAAGGGATGATGATGAAATAAAACATTCTAAAAGGAGAATGTGCAAGCTAGATAAGTAAAACCGTTTCGATGATGTGCAATAAATGATTTATAAAGTTTAGGACCTCAAAACAATAAATGCAAAACATTTAAATGCCAAGTTATGTAACAAACTTAAATCCAGCAATCATAACACAAAATTTTTGACGCAAATGGAGGAATGGAATTGAGTGAATTCCCCAATACTCATAGTCGGCGAATAAACTCGCGAAAATTGAGTAAAAAGAGCTGAGTAGAAAAAATGAAAGCAAAAACTTTTCCAACAAACATTTCCATTTTGATCACAGATTGATTTTCCTGTCATTTCTCGTTCAAGGACAACGTGGATGTTCACTAGATTTTAATGACTGATTGGGTGCGAGAGAATGTTTTAAAATAATTGGATTAAATAGCTGTAAAGATTATGTTAGAACTGCCGACAATATTAATATTTGAAATATTTGAGCTTTGTCTTCAAAATAGACAAAGGATTTTGTGGTCAGACCACCGTTTTGCTTTTCTTTTCTTTTGCTTTTCTTTTCTTTTGCATTTTTTTTGCTTTTCTTTTCTTTTGCCCCTTTTTTTCCACCTTTTAGTGATGAAATCATAAACTGGACTTTTGGAGGAAATGGAAAAAGAAAAACGAAAGATCAAATTTCAATGCTCTCAATAGATTTTTAATAGAATTTAATAGAATAGAAAGAATATTTCGATAATAAATTTTTCCTATCGGAAACCCTTTTTCAAGGGCTTATCTTTTTGTTTGATGCCACTTTTCGTCAATCTTTTGTTTATTTCGTGACTAAATTTGAACGATTGCCAAGTGGTCCCAGTGAACTCGCAAATAAAAAATAAACAACGACAATACAGTGCAAATCTACTATATATAAAAGAGCAGTGTCTGTCTGTTCGTCTGTAAGGGCTTTTTCTCAGCCGTCTTTGGGCCAAAAAAACTGAAATTTTTTTAAAAGTCTAAAAATATAATATAATTGTGCCATCTGAAATTAAAAAATTTTAAAGTCAAAATTGAGTGGGACCACGGGGTTTTAATCACGGTTGTGCGGGCCGTCGACTTCACCGTTTATAAATATAAAACGAAGACAAAATCAAATCTAAAAAGGCGTACTTGCCATTTTGTTGTGAGATAGGAAAAAGGGAAAGCCTAAGCCAAAGCTTTGAATATTGACCCCAAATGTTTTAAGTAAGCCCCAAATTTTTCCATTTACATCAAGAGATTAAAATATCTATTCAAAACATTTCTAGGAAAATTTCAGATAAATGAACGAATACTTTTGAGGCAAAAGCTTTGATAGATTGAATGGAGATACTCACTTTTCATTCAATGAAAACCTTTCGCCATCGAGCAAAAAAAGAATTTATCCAATATTATTTCCTTGCCGATATTTACATTCTGAGAAAAATTTATTAAATTTATTCTCTATAAATTTCGAACAAAGAGTAACAGTTTTCAAACTTAAAAATGAAATAAATACTAAGGATTCACAGTTGATAAAAACACTCGGAGAAAAAGACTAGGAAAAAACAAATAAAAAGATCTTCGTGGAATGGCAAAAATAAATTACCTAGCGAGCAAAAATTGTCATGATTTTGAGGTACAAAAATAAGGTTATTTTGAAGTATTAGGCGATGATGAACTTGTTGGGAAGCTTGAGGAGACAAACATTGTAACCACATCTAAAATAAGTATTTTTCCTATGTATCTCTACGATAAATAAATTGTCAAAATGGTTATCTGGTCTAGTTACAATTCTTGAAAATCAAGTATCCCAGAAGTGTTTTAAAATACGCTTATTAGTTATTTATTCTTTCAACGAGCAAACCTTGTCGGACAGCAAAGCCGAGTGTGCATAGATGTTTGACGACACTCATTGTGGGAATTGCACCATGAGGTTCCACTATTTGATGGATTTCGACACCAAATTGGAACTTCATCCAATGGTGGGCATTGCGTTGGAACGATGCTCAATGATGACACTAAAAAATGATTATTTTTTCATCATAATCTACATTCTGGCCTTTTATCATAATCTGCATTCTGGCTGGATTTTTTGGGGTTAACGCATAGTTTTCGTCACCGTGACGATGAAAATTTTAAGGCTTCTTAAAAAATGTTTTTTCCAAAAATTTCCAAAGACGGCTGAGAAAGAGCTCGTACAGACGGGCGGACAGACATTGCTCTTTTATATATAGTAGATCTTAGTCGTTCTAACTCTTTACGGATTCAAAAAGTTTAGCTTTGTTAATTTCCATTTCCTCAACTCACTTCTCGTTATTAAATCAACGGGTTGTCTTGATGGGACACACATATTATATCCACACGGAGTTGGACAGCATCTAAAGTTGATATCAAAAATGGGAACGATGCTGACACTGACTTGTGCATTGTGCTCGTCATGTGGCAGTCCCGGTCAAGATTGCACCAACTTACTGTTGTCTGAAATAAACCGTTTTGGCATTGCGTATTTATTAGTTCCAAACTCACTTTTTGCCGGCATACTACATTGAGATCATCAGGCGCCGGACATTGTCCACCATTCATTAAACCTGGAGCACCCACTTGCTGTAACAATAAGGTATTGATGTGTCAGATTCGATTTTGAAAACTTTTATCTTCGAAACCTCTTTTTACCTAGAAAAGTCGTTTCACAAAGAATTTTATTAAATTTTTCAACCAAATCTAGTTAAATCAAACACAATTTTAGTTTTGTTCAGCAATTTATTGGGTTGTCCAGTTATGAATGCGCGTTTTTTACTATTTTCTAAATTTCTCAAGATACCGAAATCAAGAAAAAGATATATATGAGTATTATTCGAAAGCTGAAGATCTCCTCTACATTTTGATATGAAAAGTTTTTGAATTTGTCCAGCTTTTGGGCAAATTGACTGCACAGAAGAAGAGGTGGCCAAAAAATGGAAGGGTGCCTTTGGATCAGGTTTTGGCTCCGCTCAAATTGAGTTAACCGTTTGATGTTTGGCCAATAGATATATCAATACAACTTTTTTTAAAAATATAACAATTTCAGAGCATCTTTACTTTTCTTTTCTTTTCTGGGCGGTTATTTTACACCATAAAACTTGAGGAATAGCTAAGCTGGAATGGGTTTTTTCGAAAAGGACCTCTCCCTTTGTGGAGTCAATTTCCCAAAAAGTTGAATGAATTCAAAAACTTTTTTATTCCAAAATGTAGAGGAGATCTTCAGCTTTCGAATGATATATAACACTCATATACCTCTGTCCGATATCTTGAGAAATTTACAAAATAGTAAAAACGCGCATTCATAACTGGACAACCCAATAGTATCTCAACGAAAGGTTTATCTTAAAACTATCGAAATTACGCCCTTTTTATTCATTAATCAAAATCCAAACAATAGTTTATCAAAAACATGACAAAAGAAATGCATCTTTTTTATTTTTAAGGGAACTTGTGCAAAAGCTATAATTTATTTAGTAATTTATTGATTCTAATACAAAAACATTATTCTGTTAAAAAGGTTTCAAAAATAGAGTCCGATTTGAATGTATTCAAAATCGGAAGTAACATATGTACGCATATTTAAGATATTTCACATAAAAAAATTCTCACCCGATTCTGCAATTTCTGATTGGCGCAACACGGTTGTCCACCCACCCAACACAACAAACCCGAAGCACAGAAACCCGTCTTTGCACATTGGGATACTCTTGTTACAACATGACATAAGGGAATTGACGCAGCTGAATAGAATATGTATCTATTCAAAACTACATTTTCTTCATCAAAACAAACCATGGGATTCAATTGGTTGTCGATGCTGATAATTCTTTTGTATACTCCACTGAAGTGGTATACATTCAGAACGAGACACTCCTCTCAGTCTCCAATAATCACACCATTCCATTGTTGCTCCTGAAAATGAAGTCTCTTTTTGTTTTCAAATAAACAAACCTTGTACTGTTATGGTAATTGTTGATATCAAGATGGCGATATTGGAGATCATTGTAAGATTATCTGTAGTTTTCTTCTGCTAAAAACTGAACAAAGCTAAAGAAATTGGCTGCCAATGGGCAAAATGTGTAAACTGTAAAATTAAAACAGGTGACGTGGGACCGTGGGACGTGGAAAAGTGGACCTACAATGCTCAACCACACAGTCTATGAGTGAAAAATGAAAGGAAAGGTGTGAACGGCATTCAATGCACTTCAATTATTGTAGAGAAAAGGGACATGGTCGGTCAAAAAAGAGAAAAGAACAATCACTTCAACATACTGTTGTCTTTTTCTCTTTTTTCCACTCAATGTCCATTGATGGGATGAATGAGAGCCCCAATGGTCCGTTTTTCTTATTCTCTTCATACGGTGTTCACCCTCTCTTTCCCCCTCTTCACATCTTAATCCTACACGTTTTTGTGACGTCGCTAAGTGATTGGAGTCTGAAAGAGTTTGGGATAATGATAAGCTGCTAAATGTTGTTATTAATTGGTGATATAATTCGGAGGAAATAATGGATTTGACATTACAACGGTGGCGATCTTTAAAAAGAACTTTAATTCTATTGTTGAAAAAAATATTCTTATTTATGGCATGTCAAAAAGTTGAAATCAAAAAGACTAGAGTCCAAAAAATAAAGCCCATTTTGTTTGGATGGTTCTCTCATCCTCTCAGGGCACACGGAGACTCTCATAAGTGTCCAGAATTGGATGAGAGGGGAAGAAAGACAAAGAAAAAAAGGCTTTCACACACAAACAGTCACTCTTTTAGACTTCCCATTCTGTTCATGGATTGTGAAAAGCGGAAAAGAAACGGGTGATGAGATATGCAAATCACTCGATCATTTCATTGAGTGCATCTGAATTCACGCCGATCTTGGGCCTTCCATCACGCAAAAAGCTTGAGATTGAAACGCGTGGGATTGCCAACGATCATAAATGGCAAAGGAAATGGCAAAGCCGTCTTGATTTATAGCGAAAAAAATATTTTAAACTAAGGTTTATGCATTAGACAACTTTTGCTTCTAAACTTCTTTTGCTCTGTATTCCCTTGATTTCTTTCGAATGCGTTCAATTGACAAATTTTTTTAATAAATAACTTTAATCCCGTTTGATCACATAAAGAAGACATTGCAAAAATATACAATCAACTTGCTAACAATAGAAAAAGCAAAAATGGACTCTTTAACACAGAAAAGAGATTCGATTTAGTTCTTGGAAGTCGAGATGAAAGCAACAACACCGGCAGCTCCGACAATTGAGAAAAATGAGTTGAAGAGAGGATTGAAATTGGCAAAGAAGAAGAATGAAAGAACGAGAAGAAGAGAAATGAAAAGAACATTGTTGAAGAAGATTGACAACCACGTTGACTCACTGTCAGCAACCTCGTTACGGCGGAAGAGGGCACGTTCCTGCAATTTTTTTGATATTGATATTTTGGATATGTTTTTTGTTTTTAGTAACGAAGATAATGAGCTGACAAAGCATAACTAAACTAACCTCTTTCTCTTTGCGACTGATCTTCTTGTCGTCGGCGTACTTTTTGTTGATTTCTCTCTCAACGGCTTGTGTCCTCTTTTGAACCAATCTGAATAGGGTTACATTTAAAAATTTCAAAAATAATATCTTTAAATTTTCTTTCCAAACAAACTAACTTGTGTTTGAGCTGATGTTTTTGGTTCTTTGACGCCCAAGTGAGGAGATAAGTGGCAGCAAGAACAGCCACAGTCCACACAATCCATCCATCAGATACCTTAATATTAATGTTAATGAAGGGATTAATATAATAAACATTATTTGGTTTATTCTTATCTGTTTGTTTATTTTATTTAATACCTCCAATTGATGAACTCCATAGAAGAGATAGACGGGAGCCACAGCCGTGACGAAAGAGTTCACCAAGAAGAGAGCTGAACCCTAAAAAGAGAAACATTTTTTATGTTGTATCTATAAGTTATAATTTCCTTTTCTTTGGTTATTAATTAAACGCTTAAAATGTTTATTCATCAAAGAATTCAATCCTTTTACGAACGTTAGCTGCTCTTTGTATCACTTCTCGAAAATTAACTGTTTAAAATAAGAAATAAAAGTTTACAATTACAAACATTTTGGTACTAAATTTTTTCTGTACCTGAGCTGAGACATCGGCCGAGAATGAATTGAGCAAGATTTCCTCCTCTTTCGAGAATTTTGTCGTTGCCTTCGACATTTCCTGAAAATGGAGACTTAATGTGAAACAACTTCAGATAAAAGTGTATAAGCTAAAAGAAAACTGTGTTAAATGAAGTAGAAGTAGAATGAAGTTATCTATGAGAAGGGGAAAGGGGAAATCTCTTTTACAGTAATCGAGATACAAAGAGCTGCAAATGAAAGAGGGCACCAAATAGAATGACACGAAATGAGTGGGACAACGCTAAAAATTGATCCGTTTCATCTTTTACTGGGTGTTTCTGAAAGTAAGAAGGTTTCTGAGACCGTTCCAAAAGTAATAACGTTAGCACGGTTAGTACTGGTAAGTTAGTAAGTCTGCAATCTTTTATGTACGAGTTAAAACATAGTATACATAATATAAATACTTTATTCAAGACATGAAGTAAAGTGAGAAAAAGAAAAAAATTTTCAATGTACAGAGGTAGTAACACCATTAATTTATAAGAAACATATAAATTAATGGCAAACAAGGTTTGCAAGATTACATAAAAAATAAAATCCAATCAATTACCCACAAGAGAAGAGAGATCTAGGTTATCTACTGAATTTTTTTAAAGGACTCAAGGCTTTTGCATTCTCTTAAGTTGTTCGGTAGTAAATTCCACAATCTAGCAAACCTCATTGGGAAAGAATTAGACACAAAGTTAGGAAGGCAACAGGAAACAGGAACTTTCAAGAGAAATGAACCTCTCCTTGAATCTACTCAACCTAGTGGTCGCCCTAGATTAAATTTTAAAAAATTACAAAAAAGAGGACTAGGATGTTTGCTTTTAACGCTTTTGAAGCATTAAACTAAATCTGTAACCAAGCGCCCGGTGCCTAAGTGTTTAAGATTTTAAGATTTTAAGAGTAGTATATTATAAATAAATTATTAGATACAACTTGAAAATTGGTACACTTTTTCGTATTTTCCAAAAAAAATATTTAATACGTCAATTGAATTAGACTTCTCTAAATAAAAGTTATATATTATCTAATTTAAGACACGCTTAAGCAAATTTGGGCAACTTTTGAAACGAATTTGAGCAGAAATTCAAGTTTTTCTGGAAATTCTTCAAACAGGCATATAGCTAAAGCAATTAGACAAATCGAGCTGAAAATTCGGCTATACGCCTAAAATTGTGTCTGGAGAATAACTTTTAATAACCACGTTAAAACGTTAATAACCACGTTTGTGTCTGGAGAATAACTTTTACTTACCACTGGTTAGTCTTCGAGGGAGGATCAAACGGGATTAAAGTTTTTTATTAAGAAAATTCGGTATAATCATTGTCAGGTATCACCGTATAATTTGGTATAACCACCATTGTAATCATTGCTGAATCTAACTTCAGATTCGGCATCAGCATAGTCGAAAGCTACCGGGTATCATTTTCCAGCCCGAAAAATCCATTCCCTGGTTTTTTTGGGCACACAAAAATTCCACAGTTATGTAATATTAAGTTTAATAATTTGAATATTAGAAAAATTGTAAGATTGTGCGCTTTTTTTACTGGGTGTTTCTGAAAGTAAGGAGGTTTTAGAGATTGTTCCAAAAGTTAGTGCGGTAGTATCAAGTTAACTGTCTGAACTCTTTTATGTACGCCTCAAATTTGTCTCATTCATCGATCGATCTACGGATTTTGTACATATTTATTATCACCGGTGAAAATCACAACAATCAAAAAAATATTCAATTGAGCATTTTTGAGGCAGATTCGGTTAAAAAGAGATAAACTTTAAAGAATAACAAGCAAAATCGATAACAATATTTACAGAAATATGATGGGGTTGAATGAAATTTCAAGAATCTGTATCACTTTGGCGTTGTTTCCATTTGATGAAAGCCTCTGCTGGGAGAGCTTTTCGAAAGTGTTCTTCGACTGAAAATTCTTTTTAAAAATCTTTTCAGTTTTTATTTTAAATAGAATTCTTTTGCTGTTTATTTGCTTAATAACTATAGCGTCATAAAAATCTTGTAAAATTTACTGCTTGGATTGGAATGTTCGATAATTTTGTGCTCTCGAAGTGATGCTCTTCTAGGGAAAGGAGAGGCTCGACTCTAAAATTTCAAAAAGCATTATGAGAAGCAAATCTTACTGCAAAATGTAAAAACCTCTAGCATTTATGATTAAAATTGAAGCTAACCTTTTCATCAGTTTTTTGTCTCCTGGGCCATTTTCCACCTAAAAATGACTGCGTGAGGAATTTATTTTGTATATCAATAGTTTCAATTATTTGAAATGTGTTATCTGTAATTATAAACTCGTTAACCTACTAAGTGATCGACGAAAGTGTTCTTGAACTGAAGAAGAACTCGTTGAAACACCAACAGATGAAGCTGATCGACGAACTGAGGGAAATCCACTCACTAAAACTTATTCGTTCGTTTACCACTTCTTGGAACAGTAAAAATTATGTTCAAAGTGATTTTCGGGAAATTCCTTGTACCGCAAAACTTTCAATGAGCTGGAAACTCACTTTCAACAATTACAGATGGTCTCTCATTATCATTCGATATTGAGGGGGAAGGTGAATGAATTGCCGGTGAGACACACAAATTATGACTTGAAGTTGACGGAGATGGAGATGGATGTCTCATCGATAAATCAAGAGGCTAAATTTATTTCTTTTTAATATTCAGTCCTAAATTGATTTTTTTTTTCTTTTTTTTGCTTCAAATGTGTCACCTTATCATCATCTTCCTCATCATCATTTTCTTCTTCACTAATTCTCACTTCCCGAGTCGTTTCTGTAATCGACGCAACATCCATATCAACCTAACAAGGGATTGCTTGTACTTGATATAAAAATAGTTACAAACCTGCAAAGTCTTTTCATTGTGCAATTTCCATAAGGGAGCGTTCGTGGGAAAGTGTGGAAGATGAGCATATGGATGAGGAATTGAAAGATATGAAGTGTGATTCATTGGAAGTGCTGCCGTTGGAGAGTTTAACAATCCTGAAACGTTGCTTTTTAAACTTCCCACTTTCACACATGGTTAAGTATTTCAGCTTAACTATTTTACCTGAAGAAATTGAAGTGGAAAAAGAAGCGGGGAAATGATTTGGAACAGTTGATGTAGTGAGGGCTGTTGTTGGTGTCGCGGTGGGTAATAGAGACATCTCACCAAGACTGCAAATATTACAAAATGAAGCCAATGCGTCACATTATTTTATGTTTTTCTACACGAATTTAGCTTTTTTCGATCAACTAAAGAGACTCAATGTTTACAACATTTACATCTCTTTCATTGATGAATTTCACATGTTGATAGCTGTGAAAATAATGTGTCATCTTCTGGAAATATGACCTTTTTCAAAAGAAGGACTCATTGATTTCACGTGATAGAAGTGAACAAAAATTAGTTGTTTTTCAAAGAGCTTAGTGCTAATTTTTTTTTTATTGACAACGTTTCTATTGTCACCGATTGAAGGAATGCACAGCATTTCGTGAAAAGGAGTACTCTAGAGACTAACACATATAAAAAATCTACCTAAAAACATTGAAATGATATCTTAGTAGGGAAATCGTGGAATGACAATCCATCGATCAATGAAATGACAAACTAACAGAAAGGAAAGGGACAAAAGGAACCCCTTTCTCAAAGAAATGAATGAACGACAAAAATGCGCAAACAAAAGCCTCACAGGGTTGCACAAAATGCGAATGCATAAACTATAAAATCAGCGTTTGTCTTTTCTAGTAGTAAAACATTTGCCGGATCTCTTAATGAGGCGTAACAGATTTGTATTGGTGGTATTTGGCAAAGATGAAGTTCATTTAGCTAATCTATCGTTGACCAAATGCAGCATTGGTTACCTAGGTGTTTAATTTAAATCAAAAATGAGATCAAGGTGTGGGAATGTGTGGATGAGATGAAAGAAATGAGATGAAAAAGGATGGAGAAGCCCCTCCCATCGATCTCCTCTATATAGATGTGAAGGAGAGAAATGGAGGAGAAAGATTCCCTTCCAAACACATACGTACAGACTGTGGAATGTTGGGGAAACGCGCAAGGAATGCCTGTCCTGTCTTTTCTGTCTTCCCTGCCTTTCCTGTCTCTTCCCCGTCTTCCCTTCTCTTCTCCTTCCATCTACCACTTCTCTATTTCTTTCGCTTTTCCTTTTCTTTATCACATCCTCAACCTATTTCTCTTCGTGAGTGATCCACCCAAATCTCAACTTCTATATTCAAATTGACTTTGAAATACATCAAGCCATATACACGGTGCGTCATAATTTGCCGTGCCAGTCGCGTATCCTTCAGATTTTTAAGAACATTTTAAAGAAAGTATTACTTCTCTGGGTACAAGTACACTTTGGAAATTGACATTGGACATTCCAACCGAATGGGGCTCCTGCCCATAAGGCTCGTTTTGTCCAAGACTGGTGCCGATAGAACTTCCCGGACTTCATCGCGTTTGATTTATGGCCCCCGAGCTCCCCGGATCTCAATTGGATGGGTTTTTCTGTTTGGTCAGTCCTTGAGACAAAAGCTTGCGAGAAGCCCCATAAAAGCGTCGATTCTTAGAAGAAAGCCCCGCAGAAAGTTTGGGCAGACCTTGACCTTGTATCAAATACATATTGTTATCAAAAAAATATTAAGATTTTAACGACTCGGAAAAATTTTCCATTTTGTTTTCGACTATGAGTAATTATGACGCACCCTTAACCTTAACAATAACCTTACAAGCTTACCGATAGAAATATTCAAAATTAAACTACCTAGAAAAGTTAACTTGACACATACATATAATATTATATATAGTGCACTTTGTTGATCCACCCACATCACATAAAAATATCACGAATACCCAAAGATCCTAATTCATTACTTAACAAAACCCTATTTTTTTTCTTTTAATACAGTCGCCCAAGTTAGTCTAAATTTTTTCATTGATTCAAAACAAAAACCTTTCATCAATTGTATTTGGTTAGGTCAATCAAAAAGAAACAACACTTTTTTGTTTGGTACGCCAATCGGAAAGGAATTTCAGCAATGCTTTTTCACGTTTTTTCAATTTCCCCATCACAAACCGACCTTTCATCAATAACGGTGAGAAAGTTGAGCAACATCTCTGCCAAAATAGAATTGATATTGAGAGAGTCGATCAGAGAAATGAGCACAGGAAATGAAATGAGAATCTCAAATAGGTGATTGGTGAAGAGTTGAGAAGAGTATTTATGATCTTTTCGTTGTCGAAGAACTTTGGGGATTTGTAGAGAATCGATAAAAGAACGCTGGCTAGAATAGGTGAGAGTATTGGTGTTGACTTGACTTTATCAAGAAGTATAGATAAACTCAATGAATAAGCCGAGTTTGCTGATTACCCCTTTAAGTCAAAACTGAATGGACTTTCAGAGAATGTGAGTGGTGGATTGCAAAGAATGTGAACCCAAAAATAATCGTGAAAACAAAAAAAAATGCCGAGAAAACGCCATTACAAAGAGAAAATAAAAAATATAGCACCAAAAATGAGAGTGAACAGAGAAAACGAGAAACAAATGAACGAAGTGAAGGATGAACGAGGGGGAAACAGTTGTCTCACATTCCAAACGTTCCTCTAGACCGATTCCCCTTATTCTTCTTTCACATTCCATTTCACAAAGGGTATTTCCCTTCACAGATTCACACCTCTTTGTGTGCTTGGACTCCAAAAATTCCTTTTTAAATTTCTCGTAACAGTTGTTCAAATTTTAGCCCCGAAAATATCTTGCATTGAAAATATTTGCTCAGTGCTTTTTGAAAAAGAATAAGAGGGTTGCGTAGCTTTTATATTATATTTAAATCAATCATGAATTTTTATTACAATAAAACTCAAAATCCTTGATCAGATAAACGGGGTGGTCGATCGAAATTCTCCAAAACGATCTCTTCGATTAAATAATAGGCAAATTGAACAAGAAATGAGCCGGAATAAGTAGACAGGAGAATTAAATGAGCGATTTGATTAATCATTTAAGAGAGTTTATTATGGAGTTATTCTGTTTGAGTCGAAGAATTGTGAAAGAATCAATCAATTCGAAGGGAAATTGGCTGCTTGAGGCAGTATGAAAAGAAGAAGAAATTGAAAGGGAAAGTTTTCTTCTTCGTTTTTGTGGAACAATGGGGAGATCCATTTTAGTCTTTTGAAAGATCAAGCTCTAACAATCATTCTGCGAAAATTTACACAGACTTAAAAGTCTTTGAAAGATGAATTTTGAACTGTGCGAAGAAATTGCAAATTTCTAGGATTTAAAAAATGAAGTCAAAGCGATTCAGAGCAAAATGCGAAATGCACGCAGCCTAATGGAAGGTTGATTCATAAAAATCGGGTTTCTATGTAAATTTATTTAAGTTATTCACTAACCTGACATCAATTGTATCAAACGTTGCTTGTGAGGCGCCCATTGAGAAAGCTCCCGAATCGATTGAAGTCTCCTAGAAAAAGTTGTACTATTACCTATATTTGGACACTTTTCTTAAAGCTCCCAAGATTTCCAAATTGTGAATCCAATCCAAATTGCTAGCATGCATTGGCCTAAATAATGTCATACTCACCGCACTGGCTTCGGAGCTGTATGTGTGATTGTGATTGGGAAGATGATGACCGTTACGCCATAGGTTGATTAGAAGGTGTCGATGATCCATTTCTGGAGTTTTTCGTGACATTTCCACTTCTGAAATTTAAGTTTAACTCGTTTGAAACGTCTATGATAAAGCAAAAATCAAGATAAAATAATCAAGCTATCGATTTTATGTTGCCTAACAGGATTTTTGGAGATGCAAAGCTTTAGTTACTTGGACCATTTACTTCTTTAGACTACTCCAAGGCCTAATAGTTGACTAACGTACGGGTTTGAAAGTTAAAATCATATGTAGAAATTTCAAATGAGGAGCCTACAGATCAAATGGCATTTCGCAAGCCTTCCCCTCATTGTGGCGTCTCTGTTGGAAATTGACTCATTTTTGTGACGGTGCTTATTGAAAAGAGAAAAAAGACAACTCAGGAAGGGGAAAATTCCACAAATTCCATCATACAATTAACAAAAAAAAATATCTTCGAGCGAAAAAATTTTAGTTATTCTCTGATGAGAAATTCGCCCAAAAATTGAAGATTTTTCCAGAAAAATGGCGCCCCTTAAACGCTTATCTCATTGGATTCGAGGGGTCGCACCGTAAACAGAACAGAAGCCAGCCAGATGTTAGTATCCGGAATGTGGAAAAACGAGAGGAAAAGGGTGGTAAATGAAGGATCAAAGTTTCATTTTAATTTAATTGTAACTTCAATTTTTTTTGATATTTCAAATGCCTCCACATTTTAGTTCAAAATTTTAATCTTCCATACAATTCAACTAATTGTAAGGATCAATTCAGGATTTGCATTGAAAATAAAACAACGGTTTAAACAACCAAAAACCTAGCTACATAGAGATTCGCAATTTAGCATGAGCGCAATGTCGCAATGCTTAAATATTTGCCTCGATTAACCGTGTTTACTTTTTAGAATTAAGGTAAAACAAATTACGTAACTCCAATGGTCAAAAAAACATTTTAGGGCGTGCGCCGAAAACGGCTGACCGAGCAACTGCGTCGGAAATTGCTTGAATGGCCTTATCGCTTTTGACTGGAGGGGAAAGACGGCCAGTTTATGAGTATCAAAATTCATATCAGTCCAATCAAAATTTTTTTGCCAAATTTTGAGAATTGTTCAAAATGGAATTTCTAGCATGTTTATAACTTTCAAAAATGCTCTTTGTGTGAGCTAGAAAATTGTTTAAAAAGTTTTATTAGAGAAATCATAAATCGAATCTGTCACTTTACTTTCATTCTCGTTCGCCAATTGTTTTCGATGATAAAGAAGTGTATTCCTAAAAATCGAAATATTATATTTTCCGGCAAATATGATTATATTTCAAGCAAAGCATATGAACCTGAATTATCACGGAAAACTCTCAGGTCCTTCGCGAAAAAGATGGTATCAGATTCCATGCACTATAGCGGGGCTTCTAAAACAAAATTTAAGAGCAATAAAATAAACACAAACAATCCATAAAACTTACAATCAAATTTAAATGCACATTTGCATCTGACGTCGTTTCATATATTTCTTGGCCAAATTTTCCGAAGGTAGAAATGAACTCCGTAATTGTTGTTAAAGTCGTCGGCGAATGTTCGATTACCCATTGAGAGAAGACAGTCTAAATGCATTAGTAGCAAAGGCTTGTATCAAAAGAAAACTGACCACAATCATTTTTTGGAGAGTTTTTGCTTGATTAATCTCCGTCTCATCCATTGAATTATTCGTAATATGATCGAACCGTTTTGACAAAGTTTCCAAATATGGCAGGCAGAGTTGACTCATTGTCTGAAAATCTCAAGAGTTAATCGGCATGATACGCTATTGATCTTCTACAAAACGTAAAAGCCTAATGCAAATGGCAAAGATCCATTTTGAATTCAACAATTGAAAATTTAACACAGTCAACCGCATCTCATGGATTGGTCGTTAAGAATAATCAGCTTTAAAAAACTTGCCTGCGTCCCTAAAAGCGAGAGTGTATACAAAGATCCATACAAAGTGGGCAACGGGACATCATTTGAATTTTTCCATTGATCGCCCAACAAGTGAGTAAGGCGGGTAAGATTATCGTTTTCTTCATATTTCCTAAAAAACGTCATAATTTTCATTCTTTTTGCATACTTATTTTTGGCCAAATCAAGACTTACTGGCACAGATCGACCAATATATTTGCAGAAACTTGTCGCAGTGCCCAATGCTCCTCATTAAGCAGGTCATCAGAAAGACGTGAAGCAAGAATACAAGAAATCATAGCTGGCATTAGATCACATAACTTAAAAACAATTTTTAATCGAAAAAAGAATATTTTATGTTTGTTGAGTACCAATCAAATTCTAAATACTAACCATTTTGCTGAGATCATTGCTTCGATTTGCTATAATTGCCTCCGCAACTCTCAAAAGACGAGTTGTCTGCCATATAGCTCCATTACTGATATGATATCGCATCGGAAAAAATATATCAAAGTTTAAAAACAACTAATAAAAATACCCCTTCCGAAATGTAAACGATAAGTCGTGGAATCAAAAGTTGCAGTCCAGTACTTGTCGCCAAAATTTGAAGAACCTCCCAAAAAGAAATTGATGCTGATATGTAAAGAGTTAAGAAAACCTTTTGTTCATCTTCGTCGTCGCCATTGAGCATCGACAAAATTAAATGGTACAGTACCTTTTGTGACTAAAAAATTCCTATTCTCTCAAACTAACTCTTAAATCAAAACAACCGCTGGTGGGTGATTGACGAGTTGGGTTTTGGTGTATGAACTTTTTCCTGATTCATTCGCCCGTTCTCGATCGTCTTTAACCGGAGAAGTTTCGATTGACTTAAATAATGCTGGAATCCAAGGCAAAGATTTCAGATGCGATGTAGGCTCTAAATTTAGCGGAATTAAAGCTACCTATATTTAAGAAACTACCTTTCAGGCTGCTAGAACTTTGACTTAATTCCAGTAAACCATTCGGCGTGGGCAAAAGATATTTTGTCGCTCCCATATGATAAATTGTATCAAGCGATCGATTCGTTTCCTCAAGAGTTAAAGAATTTTTTGATTCACTGATTTCCTCCTAAAATAATTTCAACAGCAAAAGGATGCTTTCTACTAACTGGGCTTCGGAAAACGCAAGTTTTTTCGATTGTGGGATTGTCTTGGATGCATGGCTGGATTCCTTCAATCACCAACCAATGTCCTAAAAAATAACCAAGACAATTAAAAACACTTTTTAAAATTATAATATAAGTACAACTACTTTATAGTACCAACGTTTAAGTTGTAGTTTAGATGGCAGCTTAATTCCAGGAGATTGAAAATGGGAAAGAAGATCCACGCAATATGATGGGTTTATTTGTGTGTCATTTGAAGGAAACACGAGACCAGACGATAGTGGCGCATTCCATTTCTGCTTTCGCCCTAGTGGTTCCTAAAAAAAACAAGCGTGTTTCTTGAGAGAGAAATGTTTATACCTGGTCTCCCTCGTTTCCACGTACCAAACTGAAATCTTCCACTGTCAATTGCGAGCGCCTTGCATGAATTGCAAACACCTTTGCCATCGATACGACCGATCTAAACAAGTTTGGAAATTACCTGGATAGGCTGGTAAAAAATAACCTTAGCCGAGTTTTGATCAATTGACTTGTTTCTTCTAAAACATCGTTCTCAAACTAAAAAATACTTTAACAACAGTTTAGGTAAAAATTTTAAGAAAACGAACCCTTGTTCCAACATGGACCCGCTGGTCACTTAAAATTGTTTCCAACCATATCGAATCAAAATCTTTAAAGCGTTTCATTTTTTTAAAAAACGCACTATTACCAGACACTAAAGATGAAGTGCTCGGCTGATCAATTTGACGTTCATCTCTACTTGGTATTTCCATCAACTAAAAAGGTTATTAACTGGGACAGAAAGTCCAATCTCAATTGCCAACAGTGCCTGGTTTTTAAAACAAAACGATAGTGCTTTGCTTTGACCAATGAGCAATTAGTAGAAGTTGCAAGTATTCAGTACGATTTATCACAAAAATTATTAAGTAACAACGATTTTAAATTAACAAAAACCAGACTAAAGTATTTACATGCTAAACATGTATCAAAATATGTTCATTCTTCTGGTGTGTTCAACGGGATACGTTATAATTCCAGGTCGCATCGAACGCATCATCGGTTCCATTTGTTTCTGTAAGATTTCTATAGAATGATCAAATGAAGAAGTTTTAGGTTCCTGTGACTCTTACGTCGTCCACTTTGCCTAGTATAATTTCCGTTCAAAAGAGGTAATTTCCATTTAATTTTCTTATCTTATCGCAAAGAATAAATAGAAAATGAGTCAGACCCGAAAGCATGTAGTGGTATGATAATAGCGGCATCCAAAATGAGTTATAAAATCCAAAATAGTCTCAAGTAACAACTTTTGATCTTAATTTACTTTTTCACGTGTATAAATTTCTAAAAAAAGGCTGTACATCAAGTTGGTTAAATAGATCATTTTTTACTGCGCAAAAAAGGTCTTGCATTAGGTCGGTTATATAGACACAAAACTTGAATTTTCAATTTAAAAACTTTTGCATTGATTCCTTTTCGCTTTCTGAGCAAATGCAGGTTTATATGCAACTTACTAAAATTCAAATTGTTTGTCCACTTCACCGACTTGATGCAAGACGGTAATTTTTTTAAGGTTCAAATTTTATGTTCATATAACCCACTTGACGCCAGACAGTTCTCTGTGTCTATATAATCGACAAGTCCCAAAAAGAGAAACATACCATCAAAACCGAAAGTAACCTCCCGGCTTCTTCCCGACTTCCCGGCATGAATCGAAGCTCATGTGGATCAATCTGTTGCCCGGAGCTTATCAGTCGACACTCCTCGATAAGCTCGTTGAATCGAGGATAAAGTTCGGCTTTCTAAAAATTTTGGGTTAAAAATAGAAAGTAAGATCAATTCACCTCTTTAGCCGACATAAGATCACTTAGAGGTAATACGGTTCCGTAGATCATGGCATACGAACAATTTTTGTCTTCAAAGACCCGTCTCAGACTTCGAATCACTCGCTGTCGTGTTGATGGAAGATCTTTCACGTGGCCACTAAATAAAAGCCAGTATTTGAAATATTGTGTGATAGGTTTTGGATTTTTTTACAAAAAACGTACTTCACGAGTATAACCAGCGTTTTCGAGGCAAAATCACGCAAAGCCCAATGATTATCGGTCTCGGGACGACCACATAATGATTGCCCAATGCAACACGTCAATAATGAAGGAAGCAATTGATGTAACTGAAAAAATGAACACATATAGGCATGTCGTTCAAAAACTCTGACCACAGGTTCCAACACCAGAGATTTGTTGAGAGAAAGTGAACGTATCACTCGAACTAAGTAGATAAGCAATGAAAGACAGCGTTGCACAACATTAGCTGCAATCTAAACATTCAAATGCACAATATTTCCCGCTGAGTTGCGCTTATGAATTCTAAGAAATTCTTTTCGTGCGTTTTTATTTAGAAAATGTTAAATTATTACCCCCGTTTTGATAATATTTGAAAGTATTGGTAATGCGTCCTGAAGGCCGGTGTCTGTTTCCAAGGAATGAAGTGCTGCTACCCGAAGAGGATCATGCGCGCCAACACAAGCTTCCATTACACTTTTAAGGTAGGCTTGTTTTTCCTATGAAGATAAAATCATGAAAGTTCATACTACCAAGTTTTTACCACTGAAAGAGATGCCGGTGGTAGTGGACGAATAGCTACATTTTCTTGATGAGGGATGTCTCTAGACAGAGTACAATATAAGGACCAAGGCCCATTTCCTTGCAGAACTAAATAAAAGTTGAGTAGCTTAACGCACGCAACAAACTTTTTGCAGTATCCCGTCTTGCAATAATCTTTTTCGCGGGCTTTTGATCCTCAACTTCGATGGACACATCCTATATATGCAGTATTTTGTGAATCATTGGCACTTTTGATTACAAACCTTGTACGGTACCAAATTTTCTGAAACAGGATGAATTTCTCCCTCATGTGCGAGCCAGTGACATCGGAAGCGGACGGGTGGCGGAAACTTGCTAGTTGATTGTAGTACTTGCTAAAATTTTTACTGCAAGCAAATCCATTGAAAAAAATACGTTAATTTCGATGTCAGATTCCTCGTGAACATATAAATCACTGCCGCTTGAATTTGTTATGGCTCTCAGCTCTTTCTCTTCGTGTAAAACATATCCCATCGGTAGCTAAATATGTGATACTGAAATTAACCCATCACGGCCATCATTTTTGAAAATAGGTACCTTAATTGTTCTATCGATGCAAGCTTGCTCTAAATCCGCGACTTTCATCATTGAATGCCTTCCTAGTACAAACATTAGTGCTGTTTTTTAGATAATGTATAAAACTTACCGTGTATTTGGTATTTGTTCGCATCAATGATAATTTTTTTCATGATCTCTGTCAGCTCCTCAGCGAGAAGATTATAAGCCTAAAAAGAAAAGCATTTGCAAGCAAATTTGCTTTACCTGATGGGTAATCTTTTCCTCACTACTTCCGCCGGCGATGCCAATTGTTTCCGCGAATAACTAAAACACAGTTTAGCTTGTTTGAGCGGATAACATTAACTTTTATTCGATCCACGTCATAAATTGCATCAGCACTAACAGACGGGCCATGAAAAACCGCCATTAAAAAGTTACTAAATAAGTCAAAGGATTTTAATTTTTTTTAAACATTGATATATGTAAGGCGATGCGATACTGACGTCTTTACTCAGAGACGATTGACAATAAATTTATTTAAATCATTAGAATACCGAGACAAAAAACCCCAGAAAAGACAACCACAAAATAAGTAAAGAAAAAAGAAAGAAAGAAATTGGAAAAGTAGGTAAACCATAAAACAATGAATGAGAGCAAGCTTTTTTATTCATTACGGAGAAGATCCTTGTAGAGTTTTTCAATTTCAACCTCAAGCAAGCGTTTCACGATTTCTCCATCTTCCGTAATGTACGCCGAAATCGATTTTGTGTTGTTTCCTAAAACTATTTACTCTTACCGGTTAATTTTCTGTATTTTGAGAATGTTTCTCGCCGATCTTATTTATTATAAGACGCAAAGTATGTGTGCCCGTTTACTTCTTGTTATGAAGTGAACAGCAGTAGAGATTTTTGGGAACAATATGTAATCGACTATAGCAGTTTGGCTTACCAAATCAGAATTTAAAAATCTCTCACTGTCTTCGAGCAAAGTTGTAACTTAATTCGGCGGCCAGATTAAAGGTCGCCTAGGAATACCTCAAAAGTGAATTTTATGTTTATTTACTCAGCATCTATTGGGGAAAATATGCTTATGATTTGGCGCTAGAGATATTTTGAAAATTTTTGGTCTTTTGCGAAAACGGCAAAGGCGAAAAAGGATCGAAAGCGACTGTCAAAGGATTTCAATGGAAACGGGAAAATTTGCTTCTCAAAGTCAGTTTCGTTCTTGAAATGCAATTTTGGTAGCAAATTAGTAAACTTGTCAACAATTAATACTACAGTTTTACTCATGTAAACTTTGCGTCGGTCCAATTCAGCCGGCAGTTATAGACTTGCTTGAGTTAAATTATAACAACTAGAAAATTTAGACCTTGTGCGAATCGATTATCCTGCGAGTAGGATGCAGTCAGCATGTATTTGTCGTCATAACTAAAAAAAAATACCTGCCAGAACTCTCAAATATAACCTTTTCATTTCGCTACTCCATTTCCATGAGCGCTTAACTTTTCCATCGTTCTCAATCGCCTTAAGAAAATTATCTTGGGAGGCAGATTTAAGTAAATACCTGATAAAAGCAGCCTTTCTCCACATACCATTGATAAAGTTGCAGAATGCCAACCGTGACAAAATATCCGACTGAACACACAATTAACACCTAAGCAGCTGATTCGATTAATTTTTGAAAATTTAATTTACCGGCTTGACCTCTTCAAATGAAACAATATAGTGCCAGGCTGCAGCAAAACTTGAAAAGCAAACGGCAATGAAAGATATCAAAAGACGACCATCAAATAAGGAGTGATATTCGTTCCAGCCAATCTTCTTGTTGAGAATCTGGAACGCAAAAAGAAACTACACTGGTCAAAACTAACGACTTAATGAACAAATGAACTACCGTAGGTACTTTACAACGAACTAATGAGAATATTAAATTTTAATGTCCCAGTTAAGTCCTAGATAGATCCAAAATTTATACACCTAATCAACTTTGAAACGTATCTTACCTCTTTAACTGTGTCATCAAGGCTATTTCGAACTGTAACTTGGTCCCATTTGTTGATTCGAATCACCTTCCCTTCTTCAGGCATCCTGAATCAAAAATTAAAGCATATTCAACTTGTAAAAGATACAAGTTAAACGGGAAAACTTAAAGCAATAATAAACAAGTGCTATTTTACGATGAGCCAATCGGCAAATGTGGATCTTACAATCGGCGTTTGCAATTTTGGACGTAAAGCAAAAGCGTGTAATCTTTGACGAACTTCGACCCAAATTAGCTTGGTTATGGCTAAAAATAAAACATCACCAAAATTCGAATTTTGTAAAAAAACTATAATACGCCGACATAAACGACTTCTAAAAACGGTTAAGAGAAGAGAAAATTTACTTCATCAGCAAGTACAAAAAAGACCAAATAACGCCCGAAAAGAGAATTATCAAGCGCAATGTTTTCAGCCTGAGAATACAACACGTGGACTAAAGGAAAGAAACTTGCAAAAATAAATACATACCGTAAAAACTCTAATAGAACGGCCTCTTATGGGATTATCGCGTAGTCTAAATTTACTCTCAAACAAACGCCCATCTCTCGACGCCAGTACGTTTGTTTCTGCGTGCTTTGGTATCAAATTAAAGTAGAGAGGATGGGTGATTTTTTGAGATATTTTAGCAATAACCAGCGCCTAGACAAAAAAGTGGCAAAAAAGAGCCGATTTTTGCCACTTTTCAAACATTTTTTCTAGGCGCTGGTTAATGCTAAAAATGTGTTATATCCAAAAAAAAATCAACCATCCCCTCTACTTTAATTTGGTACCCAAGCGCGCAGAAACAAACGTATCGGCGTCGAGATATACGCGTTTTTTTGAGAGTAAACTTAGACTACGCGACGCTCCAATAGGGGGCTATTCTTTTATAGCTTTTACGGTATCTGTTCATTTAGCCGCAAAACTATATAATAAGCAACATTTGAAACCCACGTTTTACACCAAATGAGAGAACTTAATTAGATTAGAGGAAAAATTAGAGAATATTCAGAAAGACATACAAATTTTAAAAGCAGCTCATTATCGGCGTAACTTTTGTTGATACGGATAAAAAAAGAGTTTAAACTTATTATTAGACAACATTGTAAAAACAAATCAAAAAGCACTCGTATAACGAAGATTTCGGTCTTGGAAGAATTGATGGCGAACAGTGGGTAGATCATTGCTCTCTGTTCGCAAAAAATTCTTTAATGATGATTGTGTAGTTTCTTCTTCCCTAAATTTAATGAACAATATTTTTATACAAGTCCGAGAAAATGGGCCCAATTTATGCTAAAACTCGCCAGCTAGCTTTTATGCACTTTTTGTCCACAATAACGTCGGCCGTCTTCCAGCTGAAGCGAACCAATGAGCTAAAACCAAACACTGGATCGGCACCTCCAGCCAAAAACTTTTTGGTGTTGGGATCTGGAAAAGCAACATCGTTAAGATTTCGATATTTATAATCACCCCCAGGGTATCCGCTTCCAAAACCGTCATTTGATACTAAAATATTGTTTTCCCGAAATTGCCAAGCCCGTAAACGACGATCACGTGTTACCTAAATGTTAATTGAATGTTAGTTAATTGACGTTCTCTTAAAGCTTTTTACACAATCGTTATATGTTATTTCACGGAAATATTTTATTTAACTGTTATTATTTCTTTGTTTATAAATTCCTCATTTCTTTACACTTCAACACTGCAAAATAAATTAATTTAAATGTGCATAAAACATAACTACATGATATAACAAATACCTTTGCCGCAATTGATGCCGCTGAAACAATTGCAAACTTTGAGTCAGCTTTTTCGGAAACAACGATCGATATTCCAGGAAAAATTCGCTCAAGTTTGGCTTGATAGGAAGCTTTGGGACCGACTGTATCAACAAAAATCTGAAATACTTCTAAGATTCCAAAGCAAATTTTTAAAAACCTCAACGATATTAATTTTTGCCGCCAGAGCATCATGTATCAGTTGAATCGCTGCATTATGTGAGAGCTCGTTCAGTGATATCTAAAAGAAAAATTGATATGGGTTGAAAGACGAAATAATCTAGGTAGGGGCCTACCTTGTTTCTCCGAAGCATTGAAACACTGATGTATTGTGCTGACAAACTTCTGACTGCCCAAGCAACGACCTTGATAGTAAAAAAACTAAATTAGTTAAGTAAATGCGTACTTTTTTTGTTTCTTCGTTTTGGTTCATGTGATCAAAAAGCTCTTCACGCCTCTCTTCGGTCAAAACTTTCGAATCCGCAAAACCTAGAAACCTCTTGCGTAAAAATAAGTCAATAGAACGGCACCTAAATTTCCTAGCTCTTCGTCGCGATCTAAAGGTGATACCGCGCACCCATAAACCATTGGTCCAAGAACGGGACCTCGTCCTGCCTCATCGATTCCTAAAACTGCAAAATTTAAACATTAAAAGAACCAAACCAAATTTACACGGACGGCCTTCTCCAAAATTGTCCCAGGTTTCGCTCACCTCAGTGTTGCAAAGCATATCTTGAAAAACGATTAACCGCAAAACAGCCATTGATCCAAGAAATCTTTAGAATACTATGAGAATTCATAATTATCAATTTTCTTATGCATAATCTTTATATATCATTTATAAAACATGCATAACAAAATAAATTCATGACAACGAAGAATAAATAATGACTTAGAGATACCCAAAAACAATTTGAAAAAATATGTATGTAGAGACCCACAAAAAAACGACTATCTTTTACTAGGTTCTATACTTTGAGCTGGTTTGCTAGGTTGAGTTAAAGGCAATCCTTCGATAATTATCTAAACAAATTCCATTCGAGAACCAAAGACTTATTTACCTTCACTAAAGCTTCAAGTTGTTCCTCGGTTCTTATTCGTTCTTCGCATTCTTCAACTACTAACTGAACCTCAACACCGCTGGACGGTCGTAAATTCAGTATTTGTACTGTTTCAGCCATTGTTAACTGAAACGAATTAATGAAGACTTTTTAAATTGAGAACCTTGTACTGTTGCAACTCTTGACTAAGCTTAATGACGTGTTCATCTTCTTGAGCCGATGCGGGAGTATCCTTCAAATATGTCTCTGTCTAGACATAAAATATTTACAAAATAAATTCCGAAAACCTACTTCGTGGAGCAATGTGTTCAAGTTTTCGCTTTGGTCATTCTTTGGACGTCTGCCTTCTAATGTCTTGGTTTCCTTTACTACCTAAAAAATATTGCAAAAATCAAAATCAAACAACCAACCTTCAATACTTGCATATTTGGCAATATTGTTACCATCTTGTTGATCACTTCCATTCTTGAAAAAAATTGCGGTTTCAATAAAAGTCACAATCATAAAAGCAACTTTGGTAAGAGTCAAAACGCAAAAACTTTCTATAAAATTCAGATATTCAGAAAACGCAAAAACTATAAAATTTGCATTTTTGAAGCGTGTTTCGCGTGTTTGAAGCAAATTAAAGTTTAAATTTGGGGGAATGTTTCAGTAGTCGGTTAATTTTTGAAATTTCGTCTTCGCAGCAAACACTGTTTCTTTATTTTGCACCTAATTGAAGTCCCGCCTTTTTACTCTTTGTCCCAACAGTGAGGAGGGGGAATAGGTGGATTTTTAGGCGAATATGGGAACCTTCAAAAAACATGTTTTTTTGGAATCGATTTATACTTTCAAAGTTTGCCCACTCAGCTGAATATCTTCTAGTTTTGTGGGAAATTTCAAACAAAAGGAGCAGCTACGAAAAATCTGGGCAGAAAAGGGGCGGGGCTTTGTAGCTTTCATAGCTGCCCCATTTGTTTGAATTTTCCCACAAAATTAAAAGATATTCAACTAGAGCTAGGGGGACACTTTAAAAATATAAATCGATTGGATATTAGCTTAGAAGCATATAAAACAAAAAAACAATGGTCTTTTTGGGGGTGGGACAAAGGTGCACCTTTTTTTTGCGCACCCGACCAAAAGCGCACCTTTTTTTTCGCTGGAAAAGGCCTTAGAAAAGGCCGTAGAGCTTTAAAAATGTTTCCACATAGGGGAATCACATGCGTAGATTCCGAATTTCGACAAATCAGACCACGCTGACACGTCAAATTTGGACTAAAAGGCAAAAACTACGCAACTTAACGCTTTTCCGCAGTTTTTGCCTTTTAGTCCAAATTTGACGTGTCAGCGTGGTCTGATTTGTCGAAATTCGGAATCTACGCATGTGATTCCCCTATGTGGAAACATTTTTAAAGCTCTACGGCCTTTTCTAAGGCCTTTTCCAGCGAAAAAAAAAAGGTGCGCTTTTGGTCGGGTGCGCAAAAAAAAGGTGCACCTTTGTCCCACCCCCGTCTTTTTTCAACAAAATTTTTTTGAAGTTTGAAAATTCATATGATCCCTCTATGATCTCATGAATTTTGTCAAAATATGCAGCCAATGTCATAGACTGACAGCAGTAACGCATTTGCGTCGGCCAACATCGAGAGGCGTCACTTACGCAAAAAATCACAACAAGTCCGCTACTTTTCGTCTTTAACAACCATCACGTTCCGGGGTGCTGCAGTTCGAAGACCCGTTTGCCTTCGGCGAGATTAGGGTTCGGAGCCATAGCCTAAGTAAATAATAGTGCATATAAGGGGGGGGGGGGTACGGCAAGGTGGGATATGTTTTCATGTTGATGCAAATTATTTTTGTAAAAAAAGTATCGAGCTGTCATTATTTTTCTGTTTTATGTGCTTCTAAGCTAATATCCAATTGATTCCAATAGAAAAAACGCGTTTTTGGAACATTCCCGTATTTGCCTAATTAGCCAAATAGGCAGTAAGATATTCGTAAGATACGCTCGAATTTGCGGTTAATTTGTTACAAATTTTGCTTTTCATAGAAAAAGAAGCTTCTTCGATTCAAACTTTTCATAGAAACATGAAATTCACGTCCGGAACACAACAAGTGCGAAAGTTGTGGGGATTCCTGAGTATTTATTTTTTTGCAAAACTCCCACAAATTATAAAAATTTTTAGGAGAAAAAGTCCGCAAATGAGGTCCAATTCAGAGAGCCCCGAAATTTCGTCGGCGTATCAGCGTATGCCCCCAGTGGGGTTAGAAAATTAACTGCAAATTGATTTTGTTCTTTTGCAACATGAGCACCTAATTTATTCAGATATGTAATGTGCACTATGTTAAAATTTCTTTATTGCATAGGATAGATGCCAAAAAGGAACGTCGAAAAACGAAAAAATTTGAGAAGTTTTATCATAGTTTCAAAGCCCAGTAAGTACCAACGTAAATAATGAAATCAAGTCGGAAAAAATAAATATAGAGATAACCCGAATGTCCCCTGATGACCACATAATCACAGAAGTAACTCATTTACTCATTTATTTAAAAAGGCCGCTTATTCGTCTTTTTTCAATCGTTGAGATTTTGGTTTTTCTATTTGTGTACCAGCATTGTTACTCTGAAAAGTGATTGAATAAAATGTACAATTTCTACTTTTTTTACCGTGTTTGGGGCATTGCTATTCCCTTTCTCTCCATATTCATTGACTCGAGTGTAGTCAATCGGATATAACCAGCGCTAAGAAAACAATAATCATTAATATCATGCTTAATATTTACCTGATAGAGATAGATAACAAAGACAACATCATCCCGGAAACAGGCAACCCGGTGTGCAGTTGGCATTGTTATGATGAAAGCAAAGAGATCATCAATAAATGTATTAAATGCCTGAGCTTTCATTTGAAAAGAATTGCCAATATTCGACTCACTTTATACATGAAAGCTCGCCATGGTAGATGAGCTACACTCTTCAATTTGTAGTTAACAAAAAGTTGGGGCAACATAAACAAAAATCCAAACGCGTAAACTCCATTAGCAAGCGACTCAATACACCATGAATACCATGATTTGTGTGGAACATACGCAAGACTAAACGGTTGACTTGGGTCTAACTATAAGTGACAGCCTACAAAGTGTAACAAAGTGAAAATGTATTTTACAAATTTGTGCAATATCTCACCTATAAACAGCTCCACCAATACATAGAGGCAACATCAACCATGCCAACCATCGCATTGCTTGAGCATCGAAAGCATCTGTCTCTGCTTCTGCTGCTGTTGGAGCGCCAATATTAATCGATGGAAATCCATTTCGAAAAGAGATTGTTATCTGAAATATTCAAAGATAGCGGCTAGGTATCAAATTCCGTAACGAAGGCTTTTGCAAATTTTTACCCGTAATGCCTTCGTGCATTTCCAATATTCGATTAAAACTGAAATTCCCGATGGGACAAGAACTAGAAGTGATGTTTGTTGATCGAATAGGTAGAAAAAGACAATTGTATATGAGAATGCTCTCCATAACAAAGCTCTAAGTTTGAATCATTGACGAAATAACCCATGCAAACTTAGTGCTAAGGCCCTCCATTGTTTTCCTTTGTCTCCAAAATGAAATATCATTCTTGAACGAGAGAACATCAAAGAGAAGATGAAGGGCCGATACAAGAAATGTCAATCCAAGTAGATACAGATTTGTATCAACAAAAATCCCTTTTACCTACAAATATGCGTGTATTTTTTTAAATTGTAGTACAATTATTATATGTAGGTATCTAACATCCCACCTCATCTAGATCTTTTTCGTTGAATCCCATATTTCGAAGTTGTTGCATGGATAGCGATGCGCTAAATTTTTATGCTTCTAAATGCTGTTTTTATGTTTTATTTTTTGAAAGCGTATGAAAACTATTAAAACTCACGTAATCATCAAACGTAATTTACCGATTCCTGAAGGTCTGTAATCAAATGTTAAGGGGTATTCGCTTTGCTCAAGGGTAATCTAAAAAGAGCTTTACAAGAGATCGGAAGCTCATAAATAAACCTCTGACAAATCTTTCGACCGAAATCCTAGTGTATTAAAATAGAGTAACGGATAGTATACAAGATGTTCATCCACTTCTGCCGTTTCCAAAAATCTGCATGCCAAATGTATCAAAGCCATAAATTTTGCTCACCGATAGATCTCATGTGGAATTGCTTTTATTTTGAAGCTGAGTGGATCAGCAAGGCCTGTGAGCGGGATTGATGTTCGAAGATGGGCTACTGTCTAGAGAAACAAGAACAATTCACTATACTGCATTTAAAATTTAAAAAGACCTTAATTGGTGATTTGTTCTTTTTTGTGGATTGTTGTTGATTTGTGTTCTCACTGCCCATTAAATTAAACGCTTTCGGAATTGGTTCAGAATAAGTTGTTATCAAACCACTCTGAATAACTCGCCATGCAGCCTAAATAAGGTACGATTACATTCTAGTTACAAGTAAACTTACAGCATTTGGATTAGATCCTTTAAAATCACTTGGAAACAAAAATATGTGAACATAAAGAGATCCATTTTTGACCATGTTATCCGGTAATGAAATATTCATCTAGATGATTTGAAATAATGTTTTAGAAAAAATGCGTGGCTACTTTTCTTTCATAATACTCTCCCAAGAAGAAAGCCTCTTCTTGAAGAATGAGATTTCCGATTGGAATTGGTCGAGATGATACTGATGTGTAAACTCGCAATAAATATGAAGGACTACTCGTCTTCGTCGCATAGTCTATTGGCTAAAGATTTTGTTAATTATTTGTCATAAGTCATTTTTATATCACCTTGATATTACTTACCTCTAAACATTCGCCAGCCTCTTTTTCAACATCGCAAAGCTCCGGTGTAAAAAGTTGGTAAAATTGATAGATTGAATTTGCTATGTAGATGATAAATAAACTACTAACAATCGAGGTCAAATTGAACCCAAACATTAATCTGAAAATGATTTGCCTGATCCGTCTTTTCAAAAATCCAAAAATGAAACAAACATTGAAGCCGAATAGTAGGCCGAGGGGAAAAGAAAATACAAGATTTTCAAAAATATTTATTGTTGCATATTATTATATTTCTTTTAGCACCCATTTTTGAATCAATGAATAAGCAATCGCTCCATGTGGTGGAATGTAACGAAGAGTTTGTCGATCATCGGGACTTTTGCTTATTCCCTGAAAATGAGTACAAAAATGGGTCAATTGTTACAAATGATGCAAACTTTTAAGAATGGATCTTTTTCCGTCCGCTTTAAGGCTTCAGCTACTTGGTCTCTTGTAAACCATTGAGCATTTTCAAGCTCATCGGGTGCTATTTTAATCTGTAAAATTGATAATAGGATATGTGATAAGCTTTTAACTTTTTGAGATCGATCAGCCATTGCTTTGAATCCAATCATCAGACTGCTGTCTGGCATTGGCCAAGGTTGAGATAATCCCAATTGAGAAATTTCCATTGTTTCGATTCCAACCTAAATATGACTTTTATTTGATTTTGTCATACACTATTTACCTCTTCGGCAATTTCTCGACGACAAGTCTCATTCAGTGGTTCACCTGCCTGAAATGCAATGATTCATTCAAAACCAATGAAGTAAAATACTGTTGCAAAGCCAGCCACACAAGTATAAATGCCATTTGCTGATCCACGATGCCGTACTAGAAGGGCATGTTCATTTGTTGGATCGGATATTAAACAGATGGTTACTGGAGAATACTGTAATTTGTTTGTGAGATTACAAGATCGGGTAAACCAACCGTTGGATAGTATACTTTTTTACAAGGTATGCATTCGGCTCCAGACTTACTGAAAATCGTTTTGCTTTGATGCGTTTCTTCTCTGACCTGGTTCGTATCCGCAAGACTGTCGCGCATTTTGAACATTGACGGTACGTTCGAGCAAATCTCGAAAGTGATTGCATCTAAAATATCAAATTTTATGGGCTGCACCATTGTTCCTTTTTTGTTGTTAAAACCGCAAGTATCATACAATAATTTAAATTTAGCATGTGCTGTAGTAGACCAACCCGAGCCAACCAGTTTCTTTCTTTTTCGTGCAAAAGAGTAAGCATCGCCATTCGTAGATCAATAAATCTCCCACCAAGTGATTTCGCTAATTTATTACGAATCTAATTTTTTTGTAATGCTAATTGATGAAACGAGTTATTCTAACATCATCATGTGAAATTGGAGAATCTTCTGGTGGCGTTATTGTTTCAAACGATGTCCCAAAAAGTGCCATCTAGAGTTGTTTTTGAAGTTTTATAAAAGTACAAATGTAACTGGATATCCTTCATCAGTTTGATGGCTTTGTGATGAATCAATAACATCAACCAGGCAAGAATTCTCAAGCGTCACACCCAATCCATATTCTCCCAATTTCGATCGCAAATCTGAACGACTGCTCTGGGAAATCAGAATGAAAATGCTTACCTTTAAAAGAATGAGTAATTAAATGTACATCGTTATTTATTTTTTTAATCAAGGGCTTTTTGTCCACCATCAATAAAAAAGCACCACGAGGAAACTCCCTGAAATTACTAAAGTATATAATATGACATATCTCATTTCGAAAAGTATGCGTCAAGTATTGTATTCAACTCGCCCCGTTAAAGCTTCATCATGTAGTTGCCAATGATCGAAAAGTCGCACTCTTTCCACGTATGAGCCAATACCGCGTTGTATTATAAGGTATGGAAATAGTTGGCGCATACCTGGAAGAAAATAAAAGCTGTGTTTTTTTCTAGTGGATAAGGATTTCGTGTACGAACTAGGAACGACCTTACTTTCATTTTGAACAAAAGCTAGTTTTCAAAACTAAATCTTTCTTCACTTTTTTCGTTACAACTTCAAAAATACATCTGTCTAAGAAAAAGACTGTTCTTGAGAAGAAGTCATAGGCATAACTATTTATTAAAAGCACTATAGTTTTACCCGAAAATCGAAGGAAATATGAATAAGGCAAAGATAGTTGAATCACAGTATGGAGATGGAGCTCTATAGACATAAGTAAGAAACAGACAAGCACCAAAATATGGCAAAAACGAGAGAAGAAAAAGCACAGATTACACCTGTATTTGAGAATAGGCGCTTTGACGTTAGATAAGAAATTGCGCCAAAAGATTGGCAACACCAATGAGAATAATAAGAATATGAGCTATTTTCTCAAGTTTCGATACAGAGCCGACAAGGAATTGTTTTCGCCAAAGATGGACCAAACATGGAAGAGCGAAGACATACACCAATCCTGATAGAGAACCCACATATCTAAAAGATTTTTTTGTGTTGTAAGGCTTAAGTCAACTGAATAATGCATTGACAAGCTACACTCAATTTCTCAATTCAATTGTCCTAAAAACATTTGTTAGCTTTATCCTCTGAATCATTGAAGTAGTTTGATTAGATGGGTTATGTGGAAATGTGCACATTCTTAAATGGAATTTTGAAACATCATTCAAACAAGATGCAAAGCTTAAAGCTAGATTCGTCTATAAGTTTTGTTAATATTACCTTAAAATACTTCCGACATGTGGGTAGAAGATAGCCACCAATACAGCAATTCCCACCACGCACGCATTCAACACGAGTACAGCCGTGAATCTGAAATTTGATTCACATTGAGCTTTTCAATTGTTTTTGCTTACCCTGGCCACGGTTTGCCAAAAACATAATAGAAGATTTGGGACCTAATCAAGTACATCAAAAGTGGCAGAACGGTAATCATCTGAATGAGATATTTGTTGGCCAGCACTTTTCTTCAAAAACCTGGAATAAAAGAAAAAGGCGGGCAGTTGAACTGAGTACGTCTCCACTCCCGAAATTGTTCAAGAAATTCTAATTTTCTACATTTTGCAGATTTTTTTCTTTGTACTCACGTCCGAAATGCAACTTCGTTGAACTGGGAATGCGGCAAAGAAAGTAAAACCAATGAAGACATAACAGAAACAAGCCAATAAATATCCGATCGATAAATCTCTTGCCTAAGTTGATTGTTTAACATCTTTTCATGGAAACCAACATTATTTTCCGGATTCTTTTGATTTCTCAGGATTGTTAGCACAGCATTGTGAATGAAATAAGAAAGAGTGAGAGTTCCCGTCAGAGCCGGAAATTTCCAACTGAATACTGGAAAACGACTTTCGTTGTTACTTTACTAAAAAAACCAACACTTGACATAATGCTCAGATGTAGGATTCTTAAAATCCATGTTGATGCCACATTCAAATAGCTTTGATGCCGTGAAAATAAGCAGGTAAAGCACAGAAATGGTTCCTGAATTGGATAAGTGGTGAATAACATTTAACCAATAATACCCAAAACGTTGAACTTTGTGAAAAACGTGGGTGACTTGAAGTTCATCAATGGAAAGGTGAGAAAGGCGAGATAGATCGGCACAGTTCCCTAGAAAATTAACATTTGAATAAAAATTTGGCAATTTTTTATCAAACCTGTAACTTCCAAAATTTATCAAAACTCCAAGCTCCGCTTGTTTCTTCCAGTAATGAATTGTACTCTTCTGGCCATAATTTCTCGTTAAAATTCTCAGGGCAATATACTGTAAATATTTTTTAATATTGTTGATGAGTCAATGTTGTTGAGTTACCGTCACAAGTGAAGGTCTTATTTTCCATGATTGGAATTGTAGTGCTGTTTGGCTGTAGAGCTTCTGAAAGTGCGTCATTACTGAAGTGATTTGACGAATTCTTATTACCATATACAACATTTCCTGTATAATAGAGGAAATTACTCATAAGTACCCAATAAACCATGACACCACCAAGTAGAACAGCGATTGAAAATGACTGGAAAATGGTATTTGATCGCTTTAATTTGAAAACTTTCATACCACCGAGATGATTTCACCGGGTTTTCCAAAAAGATATTTGCAAACATCACTGAATTCGGCCATTGTAGAGTCAACCCCTAACGCTGAAAACTGAATGTTATGTGAAATCAATTGTCTGTACATACGTAAATGTTTCGGACTTTGGACAACTCGATATGCTGTATACAGTGATAAGCCAGCTATTGAAATCATCAAAAAGATTCCCAAAGCAAGACCGGCCTAAATTAGCGTATTTGCCTCATAGGTTGTCCGATACGTATTAGGTATTAGGTTGTCCAGAAAGTTTCTCGTACTTCAGTTTAAAACCAACAAATGCACCAATTGTTTCATTAGAAAGGTCAATTATTTTCTTGCAAAATAACATTAAAACAGATTTAAAATGTCTTATGTCTGGATTTTTTTTGGAGTCTGAAGTCGGGTAGTCAAAAAGGGCGACGGCTCGATGTTACGGTTTAGACACTTTAGCTACGGAAACCTATCTTGGTGTCTATAGATAAAAGATAGAGCACAAAAAGTTAGGCCTATAACCAAATTTTCAGAGAAATTCGTTCAGCCAATTTCTTCGTAGATGTTTTTATAGATCTTTACGAAAAACACGTTTTCATTCTCGAATTTGCTTGAAAGTGAACTCAAATTGACTTAAAAAGATGGAAAATTGAAAAATAGACACTTTTTAGTGAGAGCAAATCATAGGTTAATTGGTGAATTTGTGATTTTGCAACGGAAGTACGAAAAGGAACGAAAAGACTTTCTGGACAGCCTAATAGAAAACTTTTGACAGACTTGTTGCATTGCCCATGGCATGGCTAGCAAAGATGTTCCCATCATTGTGTTCCAAATAGAAAAACTAAAAATGTTTTTTAAAAATAATGGTTAATGGCACATACATTGTGACTAGACTGTTCTGTTTTCCAGAATTATCTTTGAAATCATCAAAAGGAAGAACAGAGAAGAGATCTGGAGGCACAACATGGTCAGGCATTCTCTATAAAATTTGATTAATCATATTTGTTATGAAGTGTTTAACCAATGTATGACCACCAGGGTCAAGTCTATTGAATAAACGATATCTAATAGCCATAGCATGATCTCGATGTTCATCTTCCGTTGTCAATGATTGAGTACTTCCATCTCGAGATAACCCCAATCCACCTAAAACCGAGAGGGTATTATTCACTCGATTTTAACTCACCCGTGTAAAGATATGGTCTTCTCTCGCCTCGACTGTCCGCTCGAGTACGAGCAGGTTCACCTAGAAATTACAGAATCAATTTTTTTCACTGCCTAACTTACTTGCACTTGTGGTTAGTATTCGGGACGAAGATGCAACACGTCGAATTCCCGGACGATCACCCGATAACAATGTGTCTATGCTAAAATTTACCCATTTTCGGTAGCATAGATTTATCTTTTATCAAAATGCTTTGTTTCGCAAACGGCGTTTCTGTCAGTAAGACTTACTCATCATTTTCAGCACCAATCGCCCCATACGATGACATTTTCTTCCGACCGTCAAGGCGAAAACGTTTTTTCTTCAAAAGCGGATTCTAAAATAGAAAGTTTGTGAAAATAAAGAAGTTAGGAGTTATTATAATTTAAAAGAAAAAGGAGATATTAGAGGGATTGCTTTTCGGAGAATTCGGAGAAAAGCAATTCCAATGAATGCTATCTTTTGCTTGAGGGGGCGATTCGAGAATTTTCGTTTTTGACTGATAATGGCCTATCTGTCTAGTGGGATCATCTTGTTCTCTCAAATGCGTAAGCAGGTTTTGCCTACTAACGATAATTTATTCTTCTTTATATTTGATTTGTGATACTATTCAAATTATTTTCTCAAATACCAACCCTTCCATATGAAGATGGGGATTGTTTTATTGGGGCCATTTCTACTGGGGAGAAAATATTGATTGCATCAAAGATTAAAATCACATGTAATCCAAATAATTGAACCAAAAAATTAGAAAACAATCCATTGAAAGTCTGGGGTTTTAGGGAAAAGAATTGCATGCCTCTTTGAAACTCTCTTTGATAAGAAAAAGACAAAGATGTCTGGTTCAATTTTTCATTTTTTTCTTCTCTGCGTTTTAATTTTTTTTTAACATTTTAAAGCTTTGTTTACTATCAATTTTAAATTTAAACTATTTCTTTTTGAAAAAAACTTTGGTTTGAAACAAAAAAGCAAACGCCTAAATTTTAACGCATAGAGAACATTTTTGTTTATTATTATTCTTTTTTCAAAGAATTGTTGATTAAAAGTTTAATAAAATTTAAAAAGAAAAATGTAATGACTTTTAAACAAAAGGCTATTTTGCTATGGTATTTTTGGAGAGCAAAAGTATGTGTGTTTTTGCCGCAAAAGTGACGGTTTATTTATTTTGTGTCCCTTCTTGAGCGTCGCGTTTTCTTCCAAAGGCAAATTTATTACCAAATTTTGGTATCTTACGCTTGTGATAGACTTTTTCATTTTTTTGTGGCGGTTTTTATCCATCAATTTGAAAGTAAACATCTGTATACAATTTTTGAGCGCTTTTAATTGGAAATATTTGAACGTAAGTGTACAATACATGCTTTTGGCAATTATTCAGCTTGTAGCAGATGGTAGCTGTCTAAAATACCGTAGTTTCTTTTACATTAAATTAACCACGGGGAAATTACATCTGAAATCATCTGTCAGAGGAAAGTATCTAAAGGAAAGCTTTTACAATGCAAATTCAGTTCTCATATCATTTTGATTTACTTTATTTCACTGTTCTCTTGTTCTCTTTTTCTTGTTCTCTTTTTCTTCTTTAACTATAATCAGTTCTCTCATTTAGTCAACTCAACGATGCCCCAAAGTGAGACAAACGAGATTGCTCCTGAAGAGGATATCAGGGATGAAATTGTGAGTTTAATGAAAAGTGTTTTTATGAGAATAATTACTTATGTTGCTGTCAAAACCAAAAAATCAATGTGAAGTTATTTTTTGAACAAATATGAACAATAATTTCATTAGATTTTTTCCTCAGCTATGCTATTCAATTTTAAGCTATTTGGTTTAGTTTGTAATCTGAATTCAATAATACAATTATAGGATAACGAAGATGGAGATTACGAAGAAGAAGCCGAAAATGGAACAATGACTCTGGAAGAATACTATTCATCGATTGGGGGAGATCCAAAAAAATTAGAATTGGCCCGGTGAGTTCAAAAGATTTCATTTCATTTACACTGCAAAAATGACTTATCGAAAAACAAAAGTTAATGTATTATAGAGGGAAAAGTCTCTAAATCATACTACCTATTTATCTTTAAGCCATTTTTTATTACCTTATATAATCTTTTTCATCATTTTTTAACTTCAGGACAATTCTCGTCTCAAAGCTACCCTCTGAATTTCTCGAAGATCCCTATGAGGTATTCTGTGAAGCCATTTTGGAGATGCTCTGCACGGATTTCAAGGTAATTCTTTAGGATTTGAATGCAACGTTATTTTTATTACAGGTCTCGAGAGATTCAATCGACCAAGTGATTCGCGTTCCTCGATTACAAGCTGCTGCTCCCGATCAGGTACCCATTTAAACATCTGTGCCTAACATAGCTTTTATAGACATTCAGCACTAACAACAAGTATGCATAAGAGTTATTGGAACGATAACGTTTCAAGTTTAAAGAACAAAAAATACAACAATATAGAAAATACATCATCAGAAAGAAGTTAGTAGTTTGAAAATAAATGGACAGTTTTTAAAATGGAAAGATTGTGAGTCCCTTTAGACCAAGATATCTACATTAGTAAATCAACGACTAGAAAGTTGAAAAACATATTATATTGATTGGATGAAGTTTAACGAGACGGGGCTTGTATTTTCTAATGTTTCTTTCAGGGTAACGCTCTTGCTGCTCTTGTCTCATTTAAGAGCAAAGTTCACAAACATCGAATGATCGCACAGAAAAAAGTGGCCGAAGAAAAACCGTCACTCTCTGTTTCAACAATTGATGAAATTCCTTCTGAATGGTTTGATCAGGCAGGAGAATTGGCTGTATCTGAAGTCGGTGAAGGAGAAGAAGAAGAAGAACATGAAGAAACAAACAAAGGATCATCGAAAGACAGCCAAAAGAAGAGAGGTAGAAATGAATGAAATAAAAAGAATGAATATATAGAAAAAGTGCAATGGAAAATTGTCGAGAGAGAAATGAAAACAACAAAAATGAGAACCCGTTCAAAAGAAAGCTGGGGCTGTAAAGCTTTTGAAGCGAGCGAACAAGGAAAGGCACGCTAATGAAACAAAATGAAAGGTTTTTGATGAACACGCCAAAATAAAGGCCGAAATAAAGTTATGGCCAAAAGCAAAAAACGAAGAGCAGCAATATGTCACCGGATTTTTCTTGAATTTCTTTTGCGTCAACATTTTTTAAAGTTTAGTATGAAAGTTTGAAGATGAAGAGAGTGTGCTACAAATGACACTTTACCCCGTCCAATAAGACTGCTTTTATGCGCACTTAGAACTTTTCAACAAATAATTTTTTTAGAGAAAACGAAGGAAGAAATCGAAGATGCAAAAGAACGTGAAAGAAAAGAAAAAGAAGAATACATTAAACGATATCAAGAAGACAATGATGACGATATCCCATATGTAACAGATTGGGATGGAGCACCCGAATTTCAATGGAAAAGTCAGTTATCGATGACGAATTTGACCAGTAAATGCCCCATCTTTTTTCGGTACCATAACAGTAAACAAATTTTGTTTAGAAAAAATTCTATTAACCTCAGTACATAGAATTTTGCTGTGCAAACCAAATACTTCCTTTTAGTTTGTACGACAAAAATCGATCATCGAAAGATCATTCTCGACAATATTCATTTTTCGGATCTCCGCGATCCTTTCCTCTATAGAGCGACTGTAAAAGTGGGTTCTTTTTACTTTATCAACAATCACAAGCATGCAACATATTTACCTAGTTTAAGTGCAATAAATCACATAAATAAACCATTTTAAAGTTTTGAATCAAATATCGGTAAATTTAGGCCGAATCAACTGAAATCGAATTCCCGCAAAGATATTCATTTGATGGATCAAAAGCACAGAAAGGGTAAGCATTTATATTTGTTCGACAAAAGCCAAAAGATTAATAAGGTACAGCAAAGAATAATTGCAACTTTTACAGAAAAATCACGTTGACTTTTGCTCGTGATGTCTACTTGATGCCAACTGCAATAAGAAGTCTTATCTACATCAGAAGCCCAAACCAGCGCCGAATCAAGATCTATTTACCACAACGTTTGTTTAAGCTAATAAATTTGAAAACATTTTTATATTTTTACAGATGAAGTTACGGTGAAGGCAAAGGATGATTTTGAGAAAAAATTGGGAAGAGTGATTGAACAGACAGAAATGATGAAACAATTGGTGGTCAAGGTAAGAACTTGTACAGTCATGTGCAAAAGTCTTTTCTCATTCAATTTCCTAAAAAGTTTCATCAATTTTCTTTGATAAAGTTCATGGCTATCTTTAAACTATTAATTGTTTTAGTTACATAAATATATGTCCAATTGATTTACACAAACGTTATCGCTATACAAAACTTATTCATCGAGAAAAAAATATAATTGTCAAAATACCCCTGAAAATTGTGGTGCAAAAGTCTTTTAACACAAGAAGAAATTAAGCTATAATCAATATTTTCTCGATCCTCCTTTTGACAAAAGTACTTCTTTAAGGCATCGATGGCATCGATGTAATTAATTCATCAGAAATTCTTGCAAAAAATTCAAACATTTTTGCAAATGTGAAAAGACTTTTAAGACCACGATTTTCAGGGGTGTTTTGACAATTATATTTTTTCTCGATGGATAAGTGTTGTAAAGCGATAACGTTTGTGTAAATAAATTGTACATATATTTATGTAACTAAAAGATTAATAGATTAAAGATTAAAGATTAAAGGTTGACTAAGCTTTGAAAGTATAGTCCAATTCAGGTTTTGCCTGCTGAATGCATCCCGACGATTGAGAAAGGGATTGAATGGTTTCCTGGTCATAATATTTCATCAGTTGAGCATAAAGTGGATGGACGAGGGTAAGTTATTCTATTGACCGAATAAATATCAGGTTGGAAAGAAAGTTCTCGGAAGAAGTTTGACTGGAACTTCTTAAAAACGAATCCACTAATTCAAGAACATTTTGTTCTATTATTAGGTTGGCGGGAAAATAATGCTAATTTTTAACTTGTGCTCTAGGGAAATTAACTCATTAAAAACTTGTCTAAAGGCTGGTCACTCAAAAAGTGACCAAGCCATTTCAGCTGAAGAAATCTCTTATTTTTTACCTGAAGCCCACTCTGATTTTTTTGTCAAAACTTTTTGAAATATAGTCAAGTTTATCAAAAAATCTGGGAAGAATTCATGGCTTAGTTTTGGAGAAATCGCTATGCAAAATTTTTCCGAGAATTTTGTTTCCAGCCTAATAGATGATTACTTGCTTGATTTCATTACTTTTTCAGGCAACCAGTTGCTTTGATCACTTTTTCCTCGCCAGCCGATGCAATAAATGCTCATTCAGAGACTCCTTTTGTGACAATTGACAAACACAAGTGCCAAGTGTTTTTGATGAGCAGTGAGTTTTTTTCTCAAAAATTGATTTCTAATTGTCTAGAATATGCTTTAGAAGCCACTGATAAAGGAAAAATCACTTATAATAAAATCAAAACAACCTTTTTTGTAGTGGAAGTCAACAAATACTATCTGTCCGTGTTTGACAAAGCGGCCGAAAAGGAGGCATTCCGAGCCAAAATGGACAGAAAACACGAAGAGGAGAGAAAAGACAAAGATCGGTTGAAGATTCGAGCATCAACGTACAAAAGAAAAGTGAGATTTATCTAATGCAACAAATGGATGCATAAGAGTCTAATTAAACAAATAACAAATGTTTCTCGCAACACTTTTAACTTCCTTTCAGGTTGAGCCAACTGAGTACACTGAAAAGAGAGGAAGATGGGAAGTGCCTCGTAACCGAGGGGTGGCTCGAGGATTTAGAGCGTTAGTTATCTCTTCTCCAATTTCTAAAAAATAAATTTTAGTGGCTTCCGTGGCACTCGTGGATTCCGTGGTGGCCCAAGATTGGCACCTTCATCGCGAACAATCGGACGTCTTCCTATCAGGTTTGTCTGAAATGAATTCATTGACTAAGTTTTACATTTAGCCGTTATGACTCTTCATCCACATTTGTTCGACGTGAAAACTATAGAGGGTAAAATTTTCTCCAAAAAAATCAATTCGAATCACAAATTTTCAGTTCTGATCGTTATCGTGATTCATCAAGGGATTCATTTCCAATGAGTGGTCGATCAAGTTTTGGGCATCAAGGACACGACTCTGGTTCAAGGTAGATAATATAATTTTATAGGAATTTATAGAAACTTCTTGAAAAGTCAATCTATTTTTTCAACTATTTTTTTTCATTTAGCTATGCAACGGTCTCTCAATCAGCCTTTGATTATTCATCTCGGCCAAGCAGTTACTTCAGGTATCAAATTTTCTCTATATCACAAAAACAACTCTACGTTTGAATTCAGTGGCGAGAAGCGCCGAACCTACTATTAAAAGGAATGAATTGGAATGAAATGATCTTTTTGTTTTTGTCGAGTCCCTATTTTTAAGGTGTTATTTGCTGTTATTTATGTACTCTTTCTCATAAATGGTTAGTCATATCAAGAATACGCACTACAAAAGCTATTTTATTTTTATCTGATTAAACAGCGACAGTTTCCCGAATCTAATTATAAACTATTTCAAAGCATACATAGCAAAGTTCGTCCCACGTGGTGTCAGCCGTGGTGACGTCATCAAAATTGGCGTTTTGCCAGAGAGAATTTTGGATGAAGATTTTGGGAAGAACGGTGATTGGCTGAGAGCGTGCCAACCAATGAGGAGAGATTGGCTATGAGCCAGCAATGAAAGAAGAGAAGAGAGATGGAAAGGGGCGGAGGGGGATGGGGTAGACAGGCCGTTCCCTTCACCCCTTCTTGCCACCAGCCTATCCCTCCCTTTCCTTCTCCGCTCCTCCGATTTCTCTTCAATCTTTTCTTTTCTCTGTGCGAGTTGGGCGCGCACTGTCCCGCTAAACTGCATTGATTGCTCTAATTGGCGATTCATTTACAATTATTCTGTTGCATTCTTTGTCAAGAAATGTCTCACTATGAGCAAATTTTTGAGTAAATGCTCTTGTTGCGCGTAAACTGTTCAATACATAATCGACAGATTGTTGAAATGCATTTTCTATTGTCTGTCCATGACTTTCTGTGGCTGAAATGTCTGTGCTATTTTTTATGTCATCGATTGCATTCTTTTGCTTGGAGTTTTCTTGCCAATCTGACCAACTGACACATTCACACACTCGGCTTTTTTTGTGAGTGCTGTTCCCGGAAAAGAGAACCGATAAAACGAATGCTACTACTATTTTGTTGAAAATAGTTAAACTGACTTTGTAAATTTGTCCACTAGAACTCTCTTATGTAACAAAGTGTTTAATTCTCACAATCAGAACCTTTTCTTGTTTACAAAAGGTTTCTTCATTTTCGCTTTCGCTGCAATTATGCATATTAACTATTGTTTTTGCTTTTTATTATCAATAAAATTTTAACTTTAAGCTAATTGGTTAGCAGTAGAATAATAATGATTAGTAGCAAGTTTCAACCTGCCTAAGGCTGATAAAAGCAAAGAAACCTGTAACTTTTGGCCACAAAGTTTTTACTTTTAGTTCAATGGTTTTTGACAGATAGCATGCATGCACCGATTCATTTAATTTTTAAATCTTTCACGTTTCGAGAGTCACGTGTTTATGGAAGGAGAAGATGTTCCTCGTGCTGTATTTTCTTCTTCTTATTCATCACCTCTATCCACTCTTTGATTCTCTTCTCTCTCTTTTTTATTCTTCTAGTATCCCTCCGAATCTCACGTGACTCCCGAGGAATGACTGCGCATCCCGTTTTCCTCGTCTCTTTTCCTTTCCTCCATTTTCTTCTCTCGAATTCCCACTTTTTACGACCAGCTGATCCACTTTTGCTGCTAACTCTAAAGTTTGTTGCAGACCTACTTTCTCGAAAATTTTTACCCAAAGGAAACACTCTTATTTCATTGCACTGGACTCGGGGGCTCGACTCTTGTCTGACATGAACTGTTTGCCTGAACTTTTGATGAACTGTTTGCATTTGGTGACATGGATGTAGTGTTCTTTCAATGTAGAGAAATAGAACAAAGCAAAAGAATAGACAGAACAGTTATAATAGACTATAAATTTGAGTGTTCATGGGTGCCTGTTCTTTTGCCTTTATTTGTCTGCCCACTCTCGAAAAGCTCCCAAAGGATTTTTGGCCAAGACCATCACATTTTGTTTCAAACCACGTTTTGCCGCATGTACATAATCATTGCTTTATTTTGTAAAATTTTTCAAAAGTGTTTTCAAATAGTTCAAATACAAACACAATTCAAATACATTCATGAAGCTCTTTCATCTGTTTTGTTCTGAGCCCCAGTTTCTAACTTTTGTTTTTTTTATCTTTGCAGACTACATGTTTTTTGCAAAATCAAATTTTCGCGTTTCGATTAGTTTCGTTTTTCGAAAGTGATTATTTCAAAATGCAACATGAAAAATCTCCAACCTCCCCTAATCTCAGATTTTATACTGGATTAACAAGGTCAACTCTCAATGAACACATCACAGTGAGCTTTTCATGAAATATTTCTCTTCGCAACTTTTCATCGAAATGCAAATTTTTGACAGCTCGTGATTGTTCGTTCAGTTAAAACTCTCCTGTATTGGCCCAGACAGTGCTCAGCACAGTCAGTTATGATTGGAGAAGAGAATGGAATGGGAAAGTGAAGGTGTGGAGGGGTCGATTGACGCGGAAAAAAGAAGAAGAGTCAATTTTACACGATCAGTCACTCTCGACATAACAAAAAACAACGAGATATGAAAAGACTACCGACAGGAGAAATGGCAAATGAAAGGATAGAAGGAGAAGAAATGAATCGAGAGGGGAAAGAACGGGTAGACAAAACAAGCATTTGTCTGTCGATATGTCTATGTTCCGTCTGTTTTTCTATATGTCAATGTTCTCTCATTTTTCTCTTTTCATGCCTTTGATTGCCAGTGGCGTTATCGAATGTCATCGCGATACGCGACCCGAGCGCCTCTCGATTAAAAAAGAATCTTTTTGCTATCGAAATTCTTGGTTTTGATCCATTTTCTAAAGCATTTATTCAAAATTCGCTAGATTTTGTAACGATTTTCTGGTTTTTAGGAGTACGAGATTATTATTTTTAACCACTCTGCCATAGGCACGAATCAGTTTTTTGAAACCGAGTTGGTTCTGGTTTTGATAGCCCATCCATATCACAGCAAGCTCTAACTTTGAAAGTCATAGGTCGGAAAGAAAGTTCTCGGAAAAATTTTGCATGGTGATTTCTCCAAAACCAAGCCATGAATTCTTCCCAGATTTTTTGATAAACTTGACTATATTTCAAAAAGTTCTTGACAAAAAATCAGAGTGGGCTTCAGGTAAAAATAAGAGATTTCTTCAGCTGAATTGACTTGGTCACTTTTTGAGTGACCAGCCTATAGACAAGTTTTTAATGGGTCCCATTCAAACCTAAAATTAAGTACTTAAAATAGGGAACATTTGTGATTAAGGCAAATTTTATCTAATGCTTTAACCTTTCAGAATGACCTATTTTATCAAACACTCAGTGCCAAGAAGGTGGCATCAAAAAGTTATTTTTTGAAATACAGCTTCTTTGTAAAAAATTTTTGACCAAAAATAGCGATTATAGAGCGGATTGCTCATTTATGCTAGCGATCTCATAAGGAATAGTTTTTCTGGTGCAAAAAGTGAGCTGAATTTAAGCTGGAAAATAATCATTTTTCAAAAATAGCTAAAATTTAAAGGGAAAGCTGCACTCATTTTTTTTACGAGTAATTTCTTGGAGTCGACTTGTAAATAATAGAACAAAATGTTCTTGAATTAGTGGATTCGTTTTTAAGAAATTCCAATCAAACTTTTTTCGAGAACTTTTTTTCCAACCTAATAGCAGGGAGGTATTATATAAGTAGTATTTTGTATCTGTTTTTGTTTTTGATTGTTGACTCCTGTGCTTCTAAATGTCTTCCTTTTTCTCAATCATCACAGATTTTGTTTATCAGTCAAATATATTTTTGTTGTTTGGAGTAGAATCTAAAAAGGTTCAAGGAAATATTTTTGACTTCTTTCATCATTGCATCTTTTGATTACAGTGAAGTACATATTGGCTAATATTAAAATAGCATTTTTGTGAGGTCTGTGAAGCGTCAATTCCCACGCGTCACAAAAAAAGAATTTCCACAAATAGCGTGTGATAATTATTCTGTATTGGACAGAAAGTGCCAAATGATTTTATCTTAAAAATATAAAAATACTTTTTTTTGACATAAAATGATTTCATTCAATTTCACATGAAGATGTCTAGTTACAGTAGTGGACAATGAAATATCATATTTGAAAAACGATCGTCACTTTCGAGCGTCTGTAACTCCCTTGTCTTTGAGTTTAATTTTCTGAAAGCTCTTTTCAAGGGCTACACAATGGTAATATTAATATTTAGAAATACGGTAAAGACAAGGGAGTTATAGACGCGCGAAAGTGACGATCTTTTTTCAAATATGATATTTCATTGTCCAGTAGTGTACTTGTCCACATATGCTTGTACTCGTTGATTTATTTTTTTTTGGGAATAAATCGGTGTAAAAAAGCGATACCCTGAAAGTCAAAATAACAAACATCAAGTCATTCCCTCATTCACACTCTCAGCTGACAATTTCTCTTTTCTTCTCTGTTCTCAAATATTTTGACAGCTAAACGCTTTTTGACCCTCAAATATTTTGTGTGTATATAAAATGGTTTATCTTTTCTTTTCTTTCTTTCATCTGATTGTCGCGTGCTCGTTTCGTTGACGCGTGTCTATGCGTCTATATGCCCCTTTTCTAGAGATAAGAATATCTCAGGCGATCACCACACTCATTTAATTAATGCTTTTTAACAATTCGACAACATTTACTTTTTTAAATTTTCCTTTCACTTTTCATGCAAGATATTTTTCCAGGAGTTCACTTAAAGTGATGGTTGCGTAACTTCGCACGTTAACACCATAAAACTCACAAGGTAATCAAAATTATTTAAATTATATCGCTTGCTACAAGAAATATTCAAATTTAGTTTGAACGATATGTCGTTTGTTCGTTCAATTTTTGCTTCAAAGAGGCCACGAGTAACAGAAACGAGAGAAGAAAGACAGCGAAATGGACAAAATTTTGATCCATTCAGACCCTCAACTTCTGCTACATCATCATTCATCGATACAATATGGTTTGTTAAAATCTCCTGGCAAAAGTAGAAACAACAAACCAGCATTTGATTTTTCAAAGATTAGCTTTGTTTCCGACTGCTTTAGATCAAAAAGGTTTGCAAACCATTATGGTACATCATTCAAAAAATCTCAAAATCTTACTGCTTAAAAACTTATGGTTTCAGTGAACGTGTCCCTCGAGAGCTGGATGAAGAAGCAATGAGGATTGTGATTGTCCGAGAAGAAGATAGAATGGTGAGGGGTGACTTGAATATAAGAAACACTATGTACCTAATCAGTCTGTTAATCTGTACCTAAATTATAATATGATTAAATTAAATTAAAATATGATTAATATGTAAATAGATTGTGCTAAACAGTACACTAATTCTTCAGGTGCTTTTCGATTCGAAAACTATAATTCCAAACGTTGTCGTACCTCCATCACCTCGCTTATCGATAACCAAACAACAAAATGGACCCACGCCAAAAAGTGGAACACAGGAAAAGAAAAGGATTAGTCCGTGTGGACGTTTTTTGGTATCAGATTTCTTAAGCAAATCTCGCAAAAATGTTGACATTTTCAGCTGAAAAGACACTCAAATGATGTGAAACAAATATCGGAAATGCTTTTTGGAGCAATGATGGCTTCAACCGGAAGTGATTCACTAAAAATCCACACTATTGGGTTAGATATTTTCATTTTCTACTAAAAAAGTTTTTTTTCTTTTAGAGAAACACATTCAATTATGACAAGCCGCATTTTCTTCATGCCGAGAGCGAGGTAATAAATGAAAAAAATTTGCATAAAATGAGTATACGACAAACTTTTTATCTTTAACCAGCTACGCGGCTGCTTTGCCAAAATTTATTTAACCTTGAAAATCACTATTTGAAAATTTACATCTTAAAGTCCTCTTTCTCCTTCATACTTTCCAAAACTCCGGTCGGTTACCCCTAGTTCTATGCTTTCCCCTCTGCAAAGCGAACTGGTGAAGTGAAATCGCGGTAACAGACACACAAACCGACAGACAATTTTTCAAAATGATAGCTTATTAGGTTGTTCGGATATAAACGAGCTTTTTAGTAGTCGACAAAATTTATTTTAAAAACAGAAACAACACAGTTTAATCCAAAATATATGCACCATTATTATTGATTACTTCTTGCCATCTTTTGCGCAAAGAATTGATACCGCTCTTGAAAAACTCAGCCGGCTATGACTCGAAAAACTTGGCGACCCAATTTGGGATATCTTCACGGGTTTTGAATTTCTCATTAACCAAAAGGTTTTGCATCGACCGGAATAAATGGTAATCTGAGGGAGCCAAATCGGTAGAATACGGCGGATGTGGTAGAAATTCTCATTCTAGATTCTCCAGTTTTTGCTGAGTGATTTTTGAAACGTGAGGTCTAGCTTTGTCATAGATGAACCTTATCTAAAGCAAGAAAAAACATCTTAAAAATAAGAAATTATCCGTTTAAAAAGATTCCAAATATGCACAAGATAACGTACTTTTAAATACAGAAAGACATGTTTTAAAAGCTCCTCTCACAGCAAAAAGTTTAGCAACGCTTGTTTATATCCGAACAACCGAATAGTAGATGAAGCATGAAAAAAATAAAATATCTAATAGTAAGCAAAATTTGACTAAAAAGCTTTAGAACATCAAATTTGATGACGGATAGTGCAACAATGATATCTGATACAGAAAGTCAATTTGATGTGATGAATCAATCAATTGATGGGATCCCATCCATGACTGCACCACCAGAAAGTTCGTATTTATTGTAAAAATTTACCATGAGAGTTTTAGAGTTTTGCCGTTTTCGGAATTGTTCTCTGCAAGAAGGTGATGCTAAAGAAGAGGTTCCTTATAAGAGAAATTATTGAAAAATTGGGGTTTTCTAGATGCGACCGTTTTCTCCTCCATCAAGAATTAGTCGAGTCACGAGAAGAATGCTTAGTTATCGATCTGATTTAACACATGAAGGTTTGTTGAACAGATGTTGCAGGTTGTAGGGCTGTAGAACAAATACTATAACAGTTTAAAGTATGCGTTTTGTGGTTTTCAATAATAGGAAAATGTGATTCAAATAGGTTCTTTCAAGTTTCGATCAAAAACAAAAACTTACTATTAGGCTCAGCCGTGAGATGGAAATCAAGATCTCGACTCTCATCCTGTGGATCATCACATACTGATGATGAATTTGTGAGGAAGGTTAGAAAAGTTAGTAAAGCAAAACTTGAATAGCTCAGGCTGCACAAAGTATTCCTTGAGTGCATATCTTTTATTTTAGGTGGCACTTGGTGTGTTATGGGATGAAGGAGAGAAAGCCTTTGTGTTCGGTCATATGGCACTTTTGGAAGGAGAATTAGTGAAATTGGAATCACGAATTGAAACTGCCGCAACCGCACCGAAAGATTTTCTTTTTTCTGTTCATCAGGTGATAATTCACAAAATGGACTTCAAAGATTTATATTTGTAAGATACCGTGAATACTGTAATTGAAGGGGATGCCCTTCTATTTTTTCCCTATCCTTTTTTGGACTCCCCGAAAAATCACATATAAAATTTTAAAAAAATCTTTTAAAATCACTCTAACTCGATTGGAAATGCTCTAAAACGGACGAAAAACATGGTTAAAGCAAGAAAATTTTTTTAGCCTTGACCGCTGGATCGGACTCTCGAAAAAGATAAGGTCCTCCCTTACAATTTTTTGAAAGATTTTTTCCAGAATTTTCTCTAGATCCTTTTAAATTTTACTGCCAACCCTTCTAGGTTATGCATACGAGCCATATACATCATTCTAAGCACTTTTCAGCCCAACTCTTTTTCAAAAGTAGTGACTTTTGGGCGACCAATTTTGTCTGGGGAAGGGTGCCCTCCTATTAGAGGTGTCCTTCTATTACAGTATTTACGGTATCTAATTTACCGTTACCATATTTTTCACCATCATAAAACATACTCGTACTTTTTAGGCATGGAGAGAATTCATTGAAACAGTTCGAATCCTCGTGAACACACCTCGTTTGAAGCATCCAGTATGGTTATCAATGGTTGATGGAAATGAAGGATTGGTAGCTTCATTCTTTTGTGACACTTTGGCTTCATTGGCACGAGATCTTGACAAGAAGGAGACACATTTGTATAAAAGAAATATGTTTCACAGTTCTATCTGAATTTAGTTTCCTCTCAAATTTGATCTCAGCTGTGTTAATGCATCATATGTCATGGGTGGCATCTGTAGCTCCTCCTGTCTCAAAACAATCAACTTCACTTTCTGGATCACGAAGGTCTCTTGTTATTGGATCGGTGGGTGAATTTGAGAAAGCCTTCAATAAAGTTTACATGGTTTCAATAATTTAGGACAAGCTGGTAAAATCTAATACAGATCCTTTTAAAAAAGCTTTCCCGTAGGTTATCAAAAAGCGGGTCTTATTTTCTCAATAACTCAAAAGAAGCTTCTTTCAATAGGGCTACTTATTGTTAATAAATTTCTTCTTCTAGACGGTGAATGAAGAGGCTCCATTTGCCCCTTACAATATTCATATGGCTCAATATCTTGAAGTTGTTGGTAATATTGGAGCCAAAGGAAGGACTGCACGAACACTTGTCATCGGAGAAAAAGAGAAAAGTGAAATGGTAAGGAATTTGATGAATCAGATTTGTGAAACGGAAGTGATTTTCCGGAGCGTTGCTAACAAGTTCGCAAAAAAAAAATATAAAAATGTGTATTTATACAGGTGGGTCATCTCCTCCACGTGCTGTCATATTTTGTGCGTTGTTCAGCCATCAAACGACAATCCGGTGGGCGTTTATTTGAGTTGAAAGAGGAAGGTGCTTACCTAGCTATAGCAGTTGTAGGGTATCCCTAATAGAAAAATATCAGATCAAAATTGGCTCTTTTTTTCTTTCAGGCTTGATTACATAAACTTTCATAGTGAAGAATGTTTTTTTTATGCTGGCACGAATTGGGGAAGTACGGGGGTGTTTGTGGAAAAGAGATGTGAGAAAATAAGGAAAAAAGGAAATTCTTTAGTCTATCATTTTGAAAAGAGAAAAGAAAGAAACCTTTTCCTCTTTTCCCCTATCATTTTTTTCCATCATTTCAGCGTTTCAAGAAAAAAGACCACGGTGTTCGTGTTTGTCGTGATCTTTTTTCCCATTCCTCTTTTCCAACAGTCATTTGGTGACCCCAAAAGTCTTTTGAGAGCGTGGGTTCCTCAGTCTGGGGATCACCGGAAATTTGACCAATCTTGAAACTTTGCCAAATTAGTAGTATTTTTTCAGAAAAGGGAACAAATCCTAAAGACATAAGAAAAGTAGCAAGGAAATATTCGAAAGAAACGTCATTCAGAGGACGTTGAAACTGATTTCAGAAAATGATCACCATCATAATCATCGTTTTTTTTCAGAAGAATCAACGGGACTCTATGATCTAGCGGTAGAAGAAGCCTTTTCTCCTCCAATCGTTTCTCCATGTGATTCAGTGATGGCCATTTCACCACGCAGCAACAATCTCGAGAGTTCATCGCCCGATAAAGGTTATTTTCATCAAAAATAAAGCAGACTAGTTAGTTCTATAATAAAGCAATGGTACTTTCCCATTATACCACCCCAAAAAAGACAGGTTCACTAGGATCCCCATTCTCATTATACCCCCCCATTCCAAGCGCATCACTACCCTTATACTACCGCAAATAGGGGTGGTATCATGGAATAGTACCAAAACAAAAAAATTTAGTTCGAGATGATGATGGAATGTCATCCTCATCGGCTGATTCAATTGGTCCTCCACCCGCAATTCGACCAAGAGTTGGATCAGGCACCCCAGCTATCACAATCCCACTTGAAAAGAAATTTGATCGACGCAAGAGTAGAGGAACTCTTCTTGAAAGTGACGGAAGCGAAAGTGAGAACGATATGGTCAGTTTTGGAGAAATAATTTTGAGGGATATTTGTTGAGAGTTGAGAAACACCTTCACATTTCCAAACAGTTTAAGCTTGAGATTTCGAGTTATATAGAGTTATCAAGTAAATAATTTCAGGCAAGATCACTTGGACGATCACTTCTCGTCGGTCCATCTTCATCCTATTCACCACATTTTGTTCTCTCAGGAATTCTCAAGAATGAATCAAATACAGACATTGAGATCCTCAACAGGTAATCAACTGTATTTTTCGGAAAACTCTTTCAATTATTCAGATTGAAAGAAGATTTGCGGAGTAGTTCATTATCCGAAGATTTACTTTGTCCTCAACAATCAATTTCTTCGTCTTCATCAACAGATTCCCCTCAAATCACTGAAAGTGTTGTCGTTTTTGCAGATGTCACGGATTGGAGTGTGAAGGCTAGCTACCATACAATATTTTTTTCACAATTTCACAATTTCAGATTGTAAGCACAAATAATGGAGTCGAAAGTGTGGCATCCCCATCAGAAGCTGTTGTTTCGATGATCGAGCAGTTTGTCGATTTTCACTCTGCCGGTTTTGCTCCGAAATTTCTTTTGTCACACCTTGAGGATTGTCTACAAGAACTCTTGGCAAAAAGTCAAGCTTTGGTGAGTTAGAAGACAACATAAACTTAAATCTTTAAGGGCATTGATTGATAGCATCAAATTATCTGATTTCATTAGTTATTCATTATTCATCAAACGTTATTCATTTTTTTCAGGTAGAAATGGTTCAATCTCGTTCAAGTGCCAATCATTCAACACTTCTCAGCCCTGAACGAGTTGGAAAAGTTGTTGATTGTGATGTCTCTGATTTGCGACTTCTTTTAAATGTTGCTGCTGTTTATTCGCCATCAATTCTCGAGAGTGCTACATAAATAGATACTGTTCAGTACACAAACTTTTTATGCAAAGCACAACGTGGAATAGCATCGAACTTGGGTTTCGTTAATTTCAAGTACGAAAAAATGGTTTGTGTAATGTACAAGTACTCCTAACTGTTTGTCTTTTAAGCGCCGCCATTTCCAATTTGTTTTCATTGTTTACCTGAAGTACGGTTTCCTTTTTGTTTATCCCTTTTCGTTTTTATATCCCGTTCGTTGTTTTGCACATAAATTTATTCATAATTTATTTATTTTCTTTTTAGAGATTTTAAAGATTTCTATAATTTCCCCCATTATTGCTCATTGTTTTCATTGGTCTAATAGCAAAAATTTCTTATAAAATATGCAAATATTTTCTATTTTTGCCGAAATTCTATGAGAATTCCCCATAATGAAACCGGTTAAAATGAAACAAAATAACTCCATGACAAAAAGAATATTTCCTTATCTATGATGATTCTCACACAATTGATCAAAAAATATTTAAAAGAATATCCCAAAATTTCTATAGCTTTTTGCGACCATTTCCGAAGTGTCCTTCCCTTTATTTTTTTCCGATCACATCAAGAATGCTCCTGTATTTATTTGTTTGATTTGCTCATACAAATGTTACAAATTATCCCATTTTATCCCAACAATATCCAGAAAAAGATTTGAATTAAAATTGAATAAATTTGATGACAAATCTTTTCGATTTTATGAGAAGATTTTTGATGGCCTTTGTGAATAAAAGATGTTTGAATAAACAAGTTTTAATCAGTTTTATTAACACATAGACGGCCGCAGGACTCGATGCCGAGCCACGGCTGTTTCTTGTGAATGGCTGCAACCAAATGAGCTGAAAATTTGTCTGGACATGTAATTCTGGGCTCTCTTTTTGCATCCAGCATTAGTTTTATTAGGAAATTGTGCGATTTTTTGTAAAAAGCGGAAAAGCTAGGCGTTACCTCGGATTCCATGACCGAGTGATCTAAGGCATGCGAGACCAGTCTGAGGCTCCAATAGGGGGTTGTTGGTTTGACTCCCCCAAAGTGAGAACGCTTTGAAAAAAATATTTTCTAATAGTTTCGGGTACTTTAATGGAGTTGCTGCAAACATCAAATGTTAGAACTCAAAGAAGTTTTGAAAAATGAGTCTTTTTGAATTTTCTGAAAAAAGCTTTTTGTAAAGGAGATTTTATGTGCGTCCTTTTCGTGTCGTTCGCAGGAAAAAACGGGGGTATGGGGTCGGGACTTGGGTAATTAAACGGGCTTCAAAAAATTGCGTTTTTCTAAGATAACCAATAATTTTTGAAGGCTCAAAACAATTCTGAAGGATATTCTGACCTGGGAACATACCGTATTTTCTGTAATCTGTAATAGTAGTGCAGTCTATAATAGTAGTGCGATCTGTAATAGTAGTTCAGTCTGTAATAGTAGTGCAGGCTGGAGGGCGGTTGAAAAAAATAGTAGTGCGCACTACTATTACAGAAAATACGGTAAATACATTTATCGAGAAGTTAACTACTAGAAATTAGCGTAAAAGTAAAATAATTAAAACTGTGAAAATAAACTATATGGAGTTTATTGGCCTAAATTTAAGGCCGGATTCGGATTCTAGAGTCTTTTAAGGCCTCAGGTGCAAATTTCTGGGACTTGGTGATTCATTTTGATCCCTGACCCAAATCGGCCGTCTCGCGAAAGGTGCGCGGTCGTCGATGTGTTAAAAAAATCACAAAACAGTTGAGTGATCTGTTGTTTATTTTCTCAATAAGAATTGTGTTTTGAAAATCTGCATAAGCAAAACAGGTTTTCGTTTTTTGTTCTACGAATTGCAATACTACATTTTATTGAAAACAGCTTCCATTAGATATTTTTGTCAGAATTTCGAAGAAGAAAATTGCGAATTCCCGTCCAGATCTCACTTTCGTGATAGAGATAAGTCATTGATTTTTGGAGAGAAAGTTGAAGAACATCCTAAAATATTTGAAATGATTTTCTCTTGAATGCCTTTATTGTGCACAGCTCAATTGTCAACTCATTTTATTTTACCTTGTGATGCTCGAAAAGCCACAAGACAATTCCCCAAACTAATGCGGCAAACCACGGGAAGATGGGGCGTTCTGAAAACGAGTTCTTGAATAAAATATTTGAATATACATATTCAAGTATTTTGTTGTTTTTCAGTATACCGGGTTGTGTGATCACTTCTTTTTGTGCGGCCAATTTCGCGAGACCGATCGCAATTCTCGAGAGCAAATAGAGATTGATCTGAATTCGGTCAAATTCGCTGAATACCATGAATGGATGTTTTGATGTTTTTCAGAATTTGTTTTCGTTATTGTAGGACAATCTTTTTCTTTCCATTTTACCAACCTGCATATTGACAGCATTATTCTCGCCAAAAACATAATATCCCATTAAAAAAGCAGCAACAAATGAATGCCATTCTTCCACTTTTCCTTAATAAATTTGGATAATGGTGTGTTGAGTATTGTATTCCGAAGTAAAGATTTTCAAAGATAAAAGTACCTTTTTCAACTCCACTCTTATATTGGCTGTTCAGAAAGTCTTTTCGTTCCTTTTCGTAATTCCGTTGCAAAATCGTAAATTCACCAATTAACCTATGATTTGCTCTTACTAAAAAGTGTCTATTGTTCAATTTCCCATCTTTCTAAGTCAATTTGAGTTCACTTTCAAGCAAATTCGAGAGGGAAAAACGTGTTTTTCGTAAAGATCTATAAAAACATCTACGAAGAAATTGGCTGCACGAATTTCTCTGAAAATTTGTCTATATACCTAGCTTTTTGTGCTATCTTTTATCTATAGACACCAAGATAGGTTTCCCCAGCTAAAGTGTCTAAGCCGCATCATCGAGCCGTCGCCCTTTTTGATTACCCGACTTCACACTCCCCAGAAAATTTAGACATAAGACATTTTAAACCTGTTTTAATGTTATTTTGCAAGAAAATAATTGACCTTTCTAATGCAACAAACCGTAGTTCAATTGGTGCATTTGTTGTTTTTAAACGGAAATACGAAAAGGAACGAAAAGTTTCTCTTGACAGCCTAATAAATTCACACCAAAAACAAAAATAAACTAAATCTCGCACATACCTGTAAATTTCTCAAGACCTCCTTTAATGAGTTTGTAGCTGAAAACAAATTTTGCCAAATTTGTTGCGTGGGTTTTTGTTAGCCGAAGAATTGTTTGGAACTTTTGAAGGATTCTAAAAAGTTTGTTGTTAACTTCAGCAGACAGCAAATTTACAAGTTTAATTCAACAGATGTCCAATAAATTTCTCTCCCAAAACTTACGTTCCTTCTTGAAAAAGAAAAACCATGACGAGTGCATGAGGAAAACGAACTTTACATCCATAACTAAATCTCCCATTACTTCACTAGACATATTATTTTTACACAATCCCATTTCGAAGTCCTTTCAATGCAGCCAACAACCAATGATGATGACGATATTTTGAAAGCAAATAGTTACCGATAAGTTCCCAATTTTGCATGATAAAGAGAGCTTTATCGATCATGGTCTAAAGAAATAAAAGTAAATGAAAAGAAATAATGAGGTGCGGTCTGATTGAATGAAATCGATAAGAATGAAGTGAATTGGGAAGAATGAGAAAAAGAGAAGAGAGAATAAGAGAAAAAATGGGAAAATCTTTTCCTTTTCTCTCGCTTATCTTCATTTTTGGCGGGTTCAAAATATAGTTGATTTGAAGGCTCTCTTGTATTTTAACGGAAGATTGACAGATATCGCAAAAATTGAACAGGAAAGATGGCTGTGAAAGGCTGTGATAGATTTTGAAAGGCAGTATTTTAAAAGCTACTTTTTAAAACCAGCCAGAATTAAACGGGCAATAAATGGCGAGTGATGCAATCTATAGTACATCGGTTGACAAACACTAATCGATGTTTTAACGTAACACTCCAAATTGCAAATAAAGTATAATATAAGGTAGTAATAAAGTGCAAACCGTAGTTTAATTGGTGCATTTGTTGGTTTTAAACGGAAGTACGAAAAGGAACGAAAAGACTTTCTGGACAACTTAATATTTAAAAAATGCCTGTGTATTCTACGAAAAATTCTATGGAAGAATTTCTGTGTTTAGTTGAATACTTACACGTCTGATCTAGTATCCATTTGTCATTCGTTCGGTCCTTTTTAATGATGATAGACTTATCCATCCTGATTATGAATTTTCCAATCTTTTCCAGGTGGTTTCTGCTTTCATGGTTTTCATATGAACTATTGCATTTTTCAGGTTCCATACCTGCCTCGAATTTTCATTGTTTTGTTGGCCGCTCTGCTGATCCTTCACATTTTTTGAACAGTAACAATTGGTAAGGTAAGAAGATCCATTGAAGCTATACTAGTAAAGACCACTATTTAGCTGCTCAACCATTTTTTCAAGGTGAGTGAATATTGAAAAGTTAACCATGCATGTATTTACAGTCGCAAAAGTTACAAGTAACTGCATAAGTTTTACGTTTCAGATAGTAACCTGGACAATTCGTGACAGTGAAGCAGAAGATATTCGATCAGATGATGAAAATGGAGAGAAAATGAACAAAAAATTGTAAGTTGAAACAAACTACTCAATCTCAAAATATGAAATTGATTAAATGGGGTTTTACTCAAACCCAAATTAGTTTCTTTAGAAAATGCGTTCAAGGAAAAGTGTGCAAAAGTCGATTGAAGGAATGAGGTGACAATGAATGAGCTAGAGGAAATTATTTGAAAGGTCATCGTTCGGTTTTTGTGTACTCATTGTTGATTTTCTGTAATTTTTTGTCTAATAATGAGTGAAAGTGAATTGATTTGTTTATTTGAGGCTTCAAACTGTTTATTTCTGATTTTAAATTGTGTGTAAAAGTTTTTCTTTTCTTTCTTTTCAAACTTCCCGACCATCATTGGTAATAAAATTATATAAATCCAAGAACACCGTTGTCACAGTTAAACTGCAATGCACAAAAATGAATAAAATGGAATTATCGCCCGTGGTCAGCAGTCTGATATTTGTGCAAAGAAGAAATCTCTATGTGGGTCTCTCAAGAAGAGGTTAGGAGAAAAGAGAAAAAGAGACTATTTGGGGCTTCCTATGAAAAGAGGGAATAAGGAGAAGAGAGTATCGGGTCAGTCTATGGTTTGTTGAGGGATGGAAGGATGTGGACAGACTGTCCCACACCTTCCCCTTCTTCCACCTCCCCACCTCCACCATCTCTTTCCACCTCCCCACCTCCACCATCTCTTTTCTCTCTTCCATTGTGGCTTCTTCTTTTCGCGTTCCGCTCTCTACCTGCGAGTGTGTAGAAACGAGAAGAGAAAAAGACTCCAAATATAAACAGTATAGACTCTTAGACCGTCAATAATATCTGCAAATTTATTTTTCTCTTGATTCCTACGTTGTACTTGCAACAAGTTAAACAGTGACAGTCTGCCCTTTTAAATATGGTTGATCGTCACGTGTAAAAGCTAACTGTAAATACATATTTTCTGTATTTGCTTAACAAACTCATTTCGTCTATTTCTTATTGTAGCTTTCTCGTGCTGTTTTTACGTTCTTTCTTTTCTGTCCAAAAATCGTCTTATCGTTTTGCCATCAAAAGGTGAAACGAGAAAAGGCAAAGAAGAGATCATTTCTTTTCTTCTTTTCTTTCGTTGACTTTATCCTCGCTCATTTCTACCTCTTCTCGCCAAACGTTGCTTTTAGATTAGCAACATTTACTAGATTCTGTTTATTTAATATTTCCAAATGGACGTCTGGGATCCATCCTTATGGCTGCCCAGAAATATTTCATGGGATCAAGTACCCGCCAAAACCGAAGATCTCATTTATCCATTTTATTTTGCTCTGCCATTTGTTTTTTTTCGAATTCTCTGGGAGGGTTTAGTCGGTAAGTCAGATATTTGCAACGGAATTCGAAAATCGTTTTAATAATAATCCAATTCAATGATTGGTTCTTATGCATAGTTATAAAATAAAATCGATTGAGCTTTGAAATATCACAGGCATAAAATAACTTCATTTCAGGTATCCCAGCTAGTCATCTATGCGGTTATAACAGCGGTCCATTAATACCCAATGCACTTCAGCACATTTTTGGCGGATTTACTAGGTACGATGCTAGCTAAAATGCTTTCATTTTAAAAATATTGTGAAATGCAAACAATATTGATAAGAAATTTGGTCGAATTTTTTGGTGAATCATCAACAAATTTCGATTCATTCTTTAGGTTTTATCAAAGAAGCCTATAAAAGTTGATGTCAATTGCTTCAAATTGAGAATTGTGGAAATACGGATAAAATTTGACACTAATTTTAGAAATACCAGACAAAAACGAATATTGGAATGTTTCTGGCGTTTTAGCTTCTATACATTTTCTTGGATTTATGGACTTTACGTGCTATGGGTTAGTTTTCAAAGATCTTTTTCGTTTCATAGAAATGCATCCTATTTCCAAATGCAGGACAAATCTTGGTTCTGGGATGTGAAAAATTGTTGGATTGACTATCCATTTCATCCAATCGATCAATCGATTTGGTGAGTCATTCAAACTTGAATTCAACCAGTAAGCAGTTGTTAAATTTACGATCTACTCCCACGATCCACATCGATGAGATATTGAAGTATTGTTCCTTTTTCTAATAACAACTATTTCCAAAAAGAGAACTGAATTGACTGACAATGAGAACCCCGGAAAGGGCGAGGAGAGTCAGTGGGTTGCTAGTTGAAAAGAAACGTATTTCAGTTCTTTCAATAGCCCCACCGATATGTGTCACAGTAAAAATGGATTGGTAATTGAGGCGAAATGGAGAAAGAAAATAGAGCGAGTGCATTTGCCCTAGTGTATGTATGGAAAAGTATGAGGGTGGATAGGATTCGTAGCACAAACCAATAAAAGAAGAAAATTTTGTATTAAAAGTTAATGGACGTCGCAAATAAATGACGAACAAAGGCAAAATCCATAAATGAAATGTGTTGTGTTATGTTATGTTAAATCCATAAATTTCAGGTGGTATTACATGTTGGAAACATCTTTTTACTACTCACTTCTTCTCGGGGCATTCTTTGATGTGAGACGATCAGATTTTTGGGAACTAATGACTCACCATTTTGTCACCATCGGACTTTTGTCGGTTTCTTGGACGATCAATTTTGTTCGAGTAAGTCTTTCAATGGAAAACAAATGTAGTAAACATGTTTACCAACTCACATTGACTAGAGTAAGTATCTAACAAAGCGAAAAGCAAAAAAGAAACGACCTGAAAGTCGGGTAGAACAAAATTCAACGTGATTTGGCTTAGTTCGTTTCAACTAATAGTAAGCATATACTTGCTTTGGTTGTTTTGCTTTGCTTATGCCAATTTCCTTGCAAATCGAGTAGGCTCGATATCAAGAAGAAAAAAATTGGTAAATATGTCTCAAACAAAGTGCTTTTCGGGTTATTCACTTAAAGAGAATGATTTTTAGGTTGGAACTCTAGTACTGGTTTCTCATGATGTCTCTGATATTTTCTTGGAAGGCGGAAAACTTGTCCGATATTCGGGTGTCCACAAAACCCTTACCAACATTTGCTTTGTCTTTTTTATGTCAAGGCATTTTGAAGATTTTGAGTTTAAAAATGGTTTTCGTTTAGCTGGATACTCACAAGGCTTACCTATTACCCATTTGTGGTGATTCGATCTGCGATTTTTGAAGCTGCAAATCTCATTCAACCCGATTATGAGCTATATAACCCTTTTCAGGTTTGTAATCAACGGTTATCATTAGAGTGTGCTCCTCGTGATTAAATAATTAATTGAATAAGTTTGCATAAACAAATTTTTAATAGATTGTCAATTGATGATACTTTATTCAGATAATAAAGGGAAACTCAATAAATCATAGAGAAATGCACAGCGTAGAGCACAGCAAATTTTTGTCTCTACATTTATAAATGTAGAGACAAAAAAAAGGTACGAAGATACAAGATAGAGTGAAAATGCAAATAACCAGATTACCTACGAGAGAGAGCCATGAGATCTAGAGCCTCTATTTGTTTCTTGAAAATGGAAAGTGACTGAATTTCTCGTATGTAATTTGGGAGCAAGTTCCATAACCTAACGGCTCTAACGGGAAATGTGTTTGATAAAGAAGCGCTAAACGCAAAGGGAATCTGCACTTCTGAACTCTGATCTTGGGTTAAATCTGAAAAAGTCAACAAAAAAGGGCTAATCTGTTTGCGAATTTTGAAAATTAATCAAGTTTTGTCACAATTAATGCATCAATTAAACAAATTAAAGCAAATTAAATGAGCTGAATTAAGTCTTCTACGTTTGAATCGCACTATCATAGGGAGTGCGTTAACGCTTTTTCACTTTAAGTCTTTCTTAACGCTTCTTACTATTAGTTTGTTTTCTCTATGCTTCTTTCTTTTAATCTTTCTTTTCAATCCAATAAATTTAATTTTAGATTAACTTCTGGTCCAAAAAACAGCTGCGATTACTTTATTATAAATAAGATTTACCTAAGTCATTACACTGACTGTAAATAGTTTATCCCGCGAATTTTCTCGGATCTAAATCTAAATGCGAAAAAATATTTAGCAAGAATGTTAAAAAGATGCGGATATTTCGCACTACTGGAAAACACCTGCAAATGATGAATGGAAAGTTTGAATCAGTATATAAATACATTTTTGAAGGCTTTAGAAGGCGTGTTAATTACGAGGAACACGTTCTAGTTATCATAGATACTTAACAAAATGCGTTGGTTAAAATAAAAAAATTGGGTTAGTAAGTAGTAACGAATGAATGATTCACCCGTTCTAGAGAGTATTCCAGCATTACTTTAGGTCCCATATGTTCCTCGTTTGATCATTCTGCTATTGGCTGCTTTGCTCGTTCTACACATTTTCTGGACAGTAATCATTGGAAGAGTATGTATTTCAAAACAATTTTATCTAAAAGCTCGTTGATAAAAACAATAAATTTCTTTATCAGATAGTCGCTCGAACAATCACCGAGGGAGAAGCAGCTGATGTTCGATCAGATGATGAAGATGAAGAAGAAGAACAAAAAGTGGTCAGTTTGTGTAAAGATTGAGTTATTGTATTTTGTCGTTTGTGATACTACCGAAAAAACTCTAAAATCAATAATAATATTTAGCGCCAATTGCGAGCAGCAAAAACGAGGACTAGAAAGGCTGATTAGAGGAACAATCTCAATTTATCAAAAAAGTTTTCAATTTGCATTTTTTAAAAAGAAGCTCTATATGTCCACAACCTGCAACTGAGTTTAGATACTCAATCAAAATTATTCACCTTCCGTATTACTCATTGAGCAAAACATTAATTTTTGTCGGAGATTTCTAGTGCTTCTTTGATCCAAGCCCAACAGCCAACCCCACATCCTTCTTATTTTTTCAAACTCTATTTTGATTTGTTTGTTTGATCTCTCAATTTCTAGAGAAACTCATCATTTTATCATAAAGTTTAATAAAATAATCGACGCGTTAAAAATTATATAAAAAACAATCAAATAGCACAGAAAAATGAAAGCAAGTAACCTGAGGTACCCGTTAAGCATAAATGAGAAAAGATAAAACAACGGGATAAAGAAAATCTATTGTGAAAAATCGATAGGTTTTCCCACTGAAACAGTTTTTACACCCATTTGTGTTCGATGAGGAAGAGGGAAAAGTTCTTGATTTGTTGAATATTTTGGAGTTGAGATTTGATCCAGTGAGGCATCATTGAAATCTTTAAATGGAGTCTTGAGAGAAAATGTTAATCGTGGTTCATCCTTTGCTGTTGTTCTGACTGTTGTGAATTTTGATTGTGAAGTATTGGTCTCTTTTGAATTTGAGCCATCCTCTGTTTGCAATGTTCCAAAAGGTAAAAGGTTGAGATCCGACAAAGTCGATGTATCGGGAATGTGCCTGAAAGCTTATTGGGTGGTTGCTTTTTCCCAGAAATTTATATTTCGTGACTGTATAGGATGTAGCATGAGTTAACTGAGCTAGTATACATATATTAGCTAAATATAAAATGCTTTCAAAACCTTTACTGGAGTTTCAAAAGCTAGATTGATTAGTTAAAGTTAAAACCTTAAATTCACTTACAATGTCGTTCTCTGAGCAACACTCCTTTCCTCGATAAATTGATTGAGTACATTCTCATTGATTGGCTGAATTTCCGGTGATAAGGTAACAAGTTCTCTTGGATCATAAACTATTCTCTGTGGAAATTCTATCTTGCCATTTTCCTAAAAGTATTAACTTCAGAACAGTAAAATCTTCCTAAATGACCGGTGTGGCTGTAGCATAAGCAGTCACAAATCGTCCATCTTGTTCAATTTTACATGTCAAATCAGCCACAAAATGAGCTCGTAGCGCAAAATCGGCCCCGCCGACAACAGTTTCGAATGGAAGACCAAACCTGATCAAAAGAATTTCAATGGATTTTCTCAATTATTGTATTGAGCTCATATCTAATAATATATATTTTCACTCACATCACTTCAGCATCTTTTTGTATTTGATTGGCTATCAATTGAACTGTGCATCCATGATCTCCTAAGCGTCGTCTCAATTTTGAGAAACTCTTTCTCATGATCATTTCCAATCTTTCGTTGCAACACATATAACCTAGAAGTTTATCATTATTTTTGCACTTCAATTAAATATTAATAATAAAATAACCATCACGATTTGTGTAACAACTTTGTGATGGAAAGTTGCCATTGAGAGAAGAAGAACGCTAAATGATATCGTTAATAAAACTCATTTTTTTCTTACTTTGTCTATTTGTGTTCCGTTGTAGATATCTTTTTGTGCATCATTTTCATCAAATCGATTCTGTTGTTGATCAGAAATATGAGAGATTGAAGGAGCAATTGGAGGAAATAATGGGGCTCTTGGTCTGCTAAAGAGTTTCCAGCTCTTTCTTATATTAAGAGTGTTAGTCTATTTGAGTGATAATGTAATTTGAGTCTATTTGAGTGATTTCACTTGCGTAAACAAATAGCTCACATAAAGTTTCCAGGTAATGGGAATGGCTCAACAAGGAAAGAATATAATCGTTGAGTGTCAGTGGTTGTAGGAGAAAATGTCGATGAAGTGATAGCTCCTTTGTAGAAAGAAGCTGTTGGAATAGGGATTGGTGGATAGTTGAGACCGATTGGGAACTGCATGTTATTATATTTGAATAGCTTAAGCCAAACTTTGAAAACCCACCATAAATCCACGTTGTTGCTTGTTGAATATTGATTCGCTATTTAGATTCCCTATTCTTTTTGCATAACCAGAATTTTCCTCATTACTTGTTTCCCATTGTATTTCAGCCACTAAAGGAGACGATTCCTAAAAAATATTTCCATCTTTGGATTTCTTGTTGGCAACAAACAATCTTATTAGCATAATGAAACTTTTTTGTGAAAGTAAACAAAAAGGTTTGTGAATACTTTTCTTACCACTCGACTCTTTGGCCCAATAAAGTTTCCCTCTCGACTGATGACCGGAATGGCTCGATCTTGAGTGGAAACACCAGCCACACTAAAATTTAAATTATGAGAGCGTAATAAAGACGTTTGCAACGTTTGCAAGAATGATGATTACATATTTTATAATGTAATATTGTACCATACCGTCTGCCTTGCATTCTTTCATAGACAATCCCATCTTTTACATAATATTTCAATGGATTCCATGTCCCATTATCACTTATTGTCGTTGGTTCCATAAAAGGTCTTGAAGTCGATTCTGTTAATTCCTCGATAGCTTGCTAAATATACATAACTATTTGCCTTTTCTTTAATTTATTTTCCTTTCGCCACTTTAGTCCTTTAACTGGTACCTGATATTTCTTTTTAAGCTCTCTTTGTTCATTCAATTCAATTCGATCTCCAATACTTTGCTCAGTACTTTCATCTGTTTCTTTTAGTCGCTAAAGATTGCCCATTCGAACACATACAATAAATTTTCTTACATTTTCAATACTTTTCAATTCTTCATTCAATTTATCAATCTCGAATTCCAAAACCGTTCTCCTCTCATTTATTTCATTTGGAATGGGTCGCAAAGGAAGACTCGGAATCTAAAAAGTAGTTTTGCGAAGCGATTTCCAACATTCCAACATTGTCATTAATATATTAGTAAGACAAAGTGGTCTAATTTCATTTTTTCAATTTTCACTTACCTAATTAGTTTTTTACTTTTCTTTCTTTGCTAAATATCATAACTCCGGTCTAATTGTGAGAAGTGATTCACATCTGTTACCGACAAAACTTTAAAAAGCTCCACAATTATACAACATCTTTTTCTGTGATATAAATACTTTTCCTGATTATGAGCTATACTTTACAAATACAAAAAGCTAAATTCAAACCTTTTGTCGCGAATCACTAAGATTTTTTGAATTCTTAGCTTTATATTTGAATTCTTTCGGGAATCGACGCGAAAGTGGTGGAGGTCTTCTTGGAATGACGGGAGGATTCTCTGGAAAGTTTATCATATGATGGTGTGTTATAAATACTTGCATATACTGCACAAAATTAACAATAAAAATCAGTTCTTTAAAGCCAATAGCTTTTGACACTTAAGACTTGAGTTCTTATAGAGCAAACCTACCTATGTAGCATATATTAGGTTGATGCATAAGTCTTTTCGTTCCTTTTCGTCTGCCGTTTCAAGCCAACAAATGCACCAATTAAACTACGGTTGATTTCATTAGAAAAACCAATTATTTTTCTGCAAAATAACATTAAAACGGGTTTAAAAATATTTTATGCCTGGATTTTCTTGAGAGTATGAAGTCGGGTAGTCAAAAAGGGCTAACTCGATGATGCGGTTTAGACACCTTAGCTAAAGAAAATCTATCTTCGTGTCAATAGATAAAAGATAGAGAAAAAAAGTTTGATATTTCGCCAAAATTTCAGAGAAATTCATTCAGCCAATTTTTCCGTAGAGTTTTTTATAGATTTTTACGAGAAAGGCGTTTTTCACTCTCGAATTTGCTTGAAAGTGAACCGAAATTGATTTAAAAAGATGGAAATTGAACAAAAAAACACTTTTTTTATAGAGCAAACTATAGATTAATTGGTGAATTTGTTACTTTTTAACAGAAGTACGAAAAAAACGAAAAGACTTATGCATCAACCTATTAGAAGTAAAAAACTAACCAGCATGCTGCTTTTTGATCTTTTTCTTCCATAATCGTTTCGCGGAACGTTTTCTAAAAAACTATGTTAAGTGAAATTATAAAAACTCTACTTGTATTTTCTTTTCCTTTTAGGCAAAGGACCCTCTGATCGATGCTAAAACAACGGCTTTCTTGTTTAATTTGGCTCCAAACCTTCTCGACAATCGTGTTTGCTCCAAACTCTTTTGATTTTGCAGCAGCAAGGATTTTTGTTATTGAAAGATTTTTCTATTATTATTTATTATTATTTATTATGATCGATTATTAAAACTTACGGAACGAATAAATCTTGTATTTGAAGGGATTGCTTGCAAGATAGGAAGTGATTGATTTGAATCGAGCGACTAAGCAAAAAATACTTCGCGAATATGTATATGTCATTCTAATGAGACCACAAATTTACCTCCAGAACGAGCTTTTTTGTTAGCGCAATTGGTTGAATGGCTAATTCAGTAAATGATCGTTTCCATGTCGGCGGGATCTTTGCTTGTGGAGGAGTGATCCTTTGTGGAGATCTTCTGTAACTCTTATGTCAGGCAATCTGTTTACTTACTCGTTTAAACCTGATTTCTTGTTGATTTTGCTCAGATTCATCAAGAGAAGATTGAGAGAAAGAAATCTAAAATTTGATGCTTTCAAATTACGGCAAGTTATTTCAAACCAGCGTGGGTATTGACGGCTCCAAAAGTTTTTCATCGTTAAATGTATTTGGGATTTCTTCGCTGCTAAAAACAATGCAATGTGCTTATTACTTTTTCAAACCTCAATACGACATATTCTTTTGGTAATCTGCTTTTGAATCTAAATTTTTGCATTGTTTTTTTTCAAAAGCAAGAAATACCGATGATGATAAGGAGGCTCGTAATAGGAGTTTACTCCCTTGTTTGAACCTAAAAACTGGAAATTGATGCAAAGTTTTTACTTTAGCTGATATTGAATTCTTTTTCGACCTAGAATGCTTTTAAAAATCTCTTGATAAAGCACTACATTTGAATTCGCTTTATATATATGTGATTTATTGTTAATCTAGAGTCTATTTTTAGTTCTTGATGAGCGTTTCTTTTATTTCCCGAGCGTCAAAATCTCGAATCTTTGTGCTGTTGGATGCCTATTGCCTATATTACCTTTTTTATGGATAATTGAGAGATCTCGTTGGATACACAAAAGATTTCGACAGCTATTAGAAGAACTAAAAAGGAAAAGAGAAGAAAGGAGAAGAATTAAATGAAAGAAGGTTCAGCTAATTGTCTTGACTCTTCGCTTCACTGTCCACTTCACTCACCGAGATCCATTCAAAAAGACTAATCTCTTTTGAGACTTATAAAAACCCTAGCAGTTTTTGTATTCGTTTTTAAAAAAGACAAAACGAGCAAATGAAATATCGATACAATTTTTGAGGCAGTTCACTTCTGGAATTGATGTGAAAGTATGAAATAAATAACCAAAATATGGATCGTTTCTTGGTAATTTAAATATTAACAATCGATCTGTAAAATTTCTGCAAACAAACCTTGAGCAAAATGCGAGAATATTGTAATGAAGAGAATATTTTGAGTTAAGGACATCTATGGAAAAGTGGAGACCTGTCGTCAGTGGGCAGTAGAATAAAATAAAACTTAAGCTAAACAAAATAGTATAAAATAGAAAACAGGAAAGAAATATGGAAAGAAAAAACGAATCAAAGTATATAAAATTACTTACTTGTATATTCTTTGGAAGTAGAAAATCTCAGTACTTTTGTTTAGGCACACAAAGGTGCACCAATGTAAAGTGCCTAATTTGTATTTAGGTCCATGCAAGTCTCATAGGAACTAAAAAAAAGGGTTTATAATTCCTAGTACCAAACAACATAAGATTTTTGGGTTGAGAAGAAACTCGGACTGTTACCGTTCCCAAGCTTCACTTAGAAACGAGAAAAGAAGAGGAGAAAAGAAGAGAAGAGAAGACCAGAATGGGAAAAGAGAAGTCCTCATTTTCAGAGAAACCACCCTCATCCTCCTCTTTCTTTCCACCCACATCTGACGCATCTAACCGTTTCTCCTCTTTTCTTTTCTACTCTACTCTTTTCTTAAGTGAATGCCACCAATTGAACTCGCTTAGCCAATCCTCAAAATCTCCCTTCCCTCTCTCATGAAAGCTTTTTTGTTACTTTTACGGGACAGACAATACTCAATTGAGCGAATGGTTAAAGGTTGATCAAAGTACAGTTTTGAGGCATTTTTCACGGTAATGGACACGGAGAATGCAAGCAGAATGAATGAATAGGTAGGCAAAAAACCAGAAACAAACAGTTTTTGATGATTTATCAACTTTTCGACTTATCAATTTGTTTGGCAGACTCCCAGGAATTAATTTTCATAATTAGAACTTTTTGAAAGGGGAAAGAATATCAAACTGTAAACTAAAACGCAGGTCGTCAATCTACATTGCTTTTTGTAGCACAGCACCGGTTTTTTCAATGATTCGTGAACTGGAAATAAGTGAATGTATATCAAGTGATGATTTCCGTTATCCCCTTCTCTCTTCAACATTTCCCCATTGACCCCTCTTCAAATCTTATTTTTCTCTTCAATTCTACTTGAAATATTTCTTCAGTCACTTTCCTTTCACCGGATCAAAACCCTGTTTGTTAAGAAGTTTTCATCTATTTCTTTATTGTGCACTTGCGTATCTCCGAAGAAACATGTATTGTGTGAATGAAAACATTCTACGGATTTCACTAAGCATAAAAAGTCATTGCGAAAATATGGTTTAAAACACCTTTAAATCTAGACCTTATCTTGGTGAATAATGGGGGAAACGGAAAACAAATGGCTTCTTGAAGATTTTTGAACTCACAATCAGAAAGATTCTTTATTCATTGGGTCCATTGGGTATCTATGAATTATAGTTTTTACAAAAGAACATACATAATTAGCATTTTTATCTTCATTTACATTTTAATGGAACATTTGTATTTGTACCAATGGCTATTCCAATTTGGAAAGGGCTTGAGTTGAATGAAAAAAAATCGAGACACTTAATCTTTTCCCCTCATTTTTTAGTTTTTCTCTATTCTCGTTGCCATGGAGAAAAATTGTTGGTGTGGGGGAAGCTCTCCTTTAAAAAAGAAGCTAAACATTTCGAAACGTTTCTCTTCGAACTCTTGAATTCTCAAAAATACTTTTCTGCATCAATTTGAAAAAATTGTTTGTTTGATGTAAACTTCTCCATTGACAACCCATCCACCCACAATTTCATTCAAAAGTTCTGAAGAATGCATCGAAAGATTATCTACATGGATCCTCAAGGTTAGTATATAAAGATGGGAAACAAAATTGCAATTTTGTAATTTATAAAGTCTTTTGAATCTTGTTCCAATATATCATTACCTTTAAAAACAACATTCAAGTTTTTAACCTGGAACACTTTCCAAAGTTTCAACGAATTGTAGTTTAATAGTTTGCTTTTCATAACCGCTAACGCTAGTTGAAACATTTGTGATGCAATTGAAAGTTTTTGTATGTTTTTATGATGCGTTGTTCAAGACCTCAATTTAACTTTGCCCAAGAAACAACTTTTATAAAGCAGTGTGTATTTTTCAGTGATGGAACGAAGCGTAGGGCGGGCACTTGAGAGAAACCCTGAAATGGAAGAGACGGTAAGGAAAAATCAAGAAAAAGCATAAGCTTATGAACTTTTTTAGACCAAGTAAATATGTTATAATCTCTTATAAAATTTCTTAAGGTATCCCCATCAGTGAGTCTTCAACCGTCGCTTGCTCCACAATATTCGTTGCCATCGAAATCGGTCTCTCCATCGAAAAGAACCCCAACTAGGTTACCCACTCTCCCCATTGAGGTGAATGACTATCGCAAATTAAAATCGTGATTAAACCTTTTAATTAACACTAAATTGTAAGACAAAATAATTCATTTTGCATTTAGAAAAGAAAACCCCTTCGATTACAACGTATGGAACGGCCAAATGGAAGACCGCTCACCGCAACGAATTCCATTGCTGGTAAAATCTAAATGTATGATAATCTTTACAGTAGAAGCTGTATATGTAGCAAACTTTTCGTCGGATTTACAGATGTAAACTTGGTTTCTGATTTTCATTCATCAGAAAGTGATTCATCTAAGAACGCTTACCAAGGTCAATATACATACAATAAGGCCAAGGCAAAACAAGATAAAAAAGGATTAACGTGGAATATCTTTGGATGTTTTATATCTATATCAAAGCCGGACATAGAATAAGCTCTTTCTCGAGAACATAGTTAACTTTGTTGTTCCCAAGGTTTGCAACAAAGGCAACCATGTTCTCAATGTGAAGCTCCAAGGGATGGGGAGTTTTTATGCTTGAATTTTTTAGACTGAAACAAAACATTTCGGGTTTGAATAGAAATTTATGATATGCAGTGGATCGCTTCGATCGACATATTTATGAGACGTGAGAAGAGAGGGAAAGAATAGAAAGAAAGTATTCGTTTTTGGGGACAAAAGCGGGAAACCTCTAAGGACTCTAAAGACTTTTTGTCGACAAAAGCTGTATGGTTGATTCAGAAGAGTTAATAATAGAAAAAAGAATGGGAGAGAATATTTGCGAAAATGATATTGAAGGAAAGAATAGGGAATATACAAACTGTATGAAAATCGAAAAAAGATGATTCGGGGATATGATTCAGCATTGAATCCTGAGAAAAGTCGATGGAAATGAATTAAAACAGTTGATGCATCTATAATAAACCTTCTATTTTTAGAAAATTTATTCTGATCCTGTTTTATGAATTGTAGAATAGCATTTTGGAACAAGTGTCGATTCGACCAACTTGTCATTTATGCATTTGTCCCTTGAAAAGACGATTGTTCACAATCAGCAAAAGAATCCCTGCTGTACAATACTGTTCCGATGTTCTTTATATACATTTGATTAGACGTTGAATAAAGAAAAAGTGACAGATAACTAAAGAAAAGAGAAGCGAGGAATCGACTGGTATGCGGAAATCGTATGGAATGAAAAACGAAGGAATGGGGAGATGGGGAGGACAGTCACTCTTACTCTTTCCCTTCTATTCCCCTGCATACTGCAGCTATAATGATTGTTGGGGAAAAATATAAGGAGAAAAACTGACTGAGAAGCAAAAAAGATGAACAGAAAGAAGAAAGCTATTTGACGGGAAAATACGATGAAATGTGTGTGGTACATGATAATACCTGTTCCTCTTTTCATTCTTCCCCATTATATTTGAGCAGTTCATGGTAGCTAGAGAACGGCCGAATAATGTGCTCGTGATTACATTCATACTAAATTCCTGACGGGGCAGCGCACGATTGCCTGCCTACTCTAGTTTTTTGGAATCGAAAAAGATGAAAACATACTAAAAACTTGCCTTTTTAATTACAAGTAAGTAATCAGAAAAAATCTCTTGCAGGCAAATCGACAGCATCAAGACAATCAACAGTTGATTCTTTTCTTGTGAAATCCGCCGATTCTGTTGAGCTGAGTATGCTAAGAAGCATTGCTCGATTGAGGTATTCACGGAAAAGGCAAACTTTGATTTCACTTTAGATTGGGAAGTCGACAAACAACTCGCTCATTCGACGAATCCCTCCGAGAACACGAATATGAAGATCTTTCAGATGAGGAACTTCTTGAAAAACCGTCAGTACATCAACCAGATATCGGTGGAAAGAAAGTAATGGGAAGAAATGCGATCAGTGCACACCCAAATAGCCGTCTCATCAAACAAAATGTGGGTGTTGCTAGATATTCTGGCGTTCAATAAAGTGACTATTTCAAAAATCTAAAGCTTTAAACTGCAAAGATTTACACCTGGTATTTCCTATGAAAAATAAGTATCAAATTTCTTATAGGAAATTGAAGGAACCCCACAAGCGGTTCGTCGGCGAGCTCATTCAGCCCAAAGCACAAATGATCGACATCTCATTCGAGAAATGTTAGTTTATCCATTCTATCACAACTTTATTCTCTATATAATCTTATATAGAGGATAAAGTTCTCGCAATAAATTCTGGAGTAAAAAAAGCCAAACGTTGATTGGCCTAAAAAAGCCGATTTAAAGACTCACCTGTGTAGGTAAGATAAGGCGAAGCTGGTAAAATATTAAAGCATTGTCTTTGTGAAAAAAGATTCAGGGAGGATCGACTACAAGGCTTTCGACACGAAAAAACGTCATCAACTCAGCGATCACAGGTTTTCTTACTGTCAAGCTTGATTTCAGCTAGGCATTAGATAAATAACTATTAAAATTTCTTAACAATTCCTTCCAAAAGTTATTTCAGAAATCCACTGATTTCTCGTCAGAATTGACAGCCGGTTTGATCTATGATGCCGATTTTGATTGTTATTATTGCCCGGACGATGACACATATTATCGACTTGTACCTGATTGATTTAGTTTGTTTGAAAGTTTCGTTTCTTTGAAAAACAATAGATATCATTAACTTATTGTGTTTTTCTTTTGTGCAAGCTTCTGGTCACTGAGCCAATTTCTTCTCATCAGTTAACCACTTATTTTGTTATGGACGCAATTTTCAACTAGGTGTATAAAACATTCGTTTTTAGTTGAAATTCTTTTATTGATACAGCGCAATAAAAACATTTGAGATCAACTGAAAGGAAAAGAAAATTTGTTGAAAGAAATGAAGTTATGCCTTAAGACTGGATACTTTAATGAATGTTAAAACTAAAACTAAAACTTAACGCTTCCTCTACAGACCTACAGAGGCTCTTCAAAACATTTGGCATTTCTTTCTCGAATTCTTTCAATCATTTGATCAGTATTTTGATCCGAATAAATGTGAGTTTCATCTGTGCCCAAAACGTTCAATGTCACTTCATGGAGCGGAACATCTTCGCCGTTGAATTTTTTACTCTGAATTTGATAGTAGCTTTTATTTGCAATTTTAGAAAGCGTCTTCCCAATATATACGGTATGACACATACACTTATCAACTCAAGTTTTGGCAAATTGGTTGTTTGTTCTGATCTTCCAAATCATTTGCTTTGATTAGGTTCAAAGTTATCAATCAACTCACCGCATATCCCACAGCAAACAATTCCCATCCTTTTGCATGTGCTTCTTTTGCTGCCATTTCCGGATCAGGTCCTTTGTTGTTCCATCCGTCTGTGAATATCACCATTACCTATTTTCCTTTTTTGTTAAATCTACGTATTCTCAAAAAAGTAATACTTTTGTTGCCAAATCGGGCCTTGCTCCTTCGAGTTTTTCACCTTGTTTCATCGCTTCTTGAATTCCGGTTCCTGAAAATTTTACTCTGTTAATACTTGTATCTGTATGTACAATTTCATTTTTATTTATCTACCTATAGCAGTCAATCCACCGGCACTTTGCAATTCAGCAATGGCCGGGATCACTTGGTCAGACCATTTGAACTTCTTCAAATTGAATACCGTCCTTGTTCGACCAATTGAAGAAAAGCCAACCAAAGCCACTGAAAACTTTACAACAACAAAAATTTTGTTTCACTTACCTCTTGTGTGTCTAGGACTGATGATCAACGCTTTGACGATCTTTTCAGCCATTTCTTTGTAAAATGAATAAATATGACTGGTGGTTGTTGAAAGATCCATCACAAAAACCAAATCAAGTTCACAACCTGGGTTTAAAATGAAAAGTGGAATGGGAAAACCCAAGTATACCTGTTATTGGATTGGTGGTGGTAGTAGTAGTAGTAGTCGTGGTTGTTGTGGTGGTTGTAGTAGTGGTAGTCGTGGTTGTTGTGGTAGTAGTGGTGGTAGTGGTGGTTGTAGTGGTGGTTGTAGTGGTGGTTGTAGTAGTGGTTGTCGTTGTTGTACGGCACTTCTCTTGGGCCTAGACCATTTTCAGTATGCTCAAATTGATAGACCCGAAAAACTTGAAAAGTTCCGTGAAAAGGGAACTTTTCAAGGGAACCCCTGAAAACCTTTCTTAAAATTCGCTTTGCAATATCAGTAGCCAATTCTCTTCCTCGATGAGTAACAATTTTATTTTCATCTCCTGTAATGTCCATCAATTCAGTCCTGAAAAAAGTTATTAAGTAATTTTGAAATAACAAACATGTCTACTTTCTCTGGATCACCAGTTGATGCAGCAAAAAGCCACGTGTTTGGATAGGACCTAAAGTTTTACTTGCAATAAGGATTGTCTATTTATTGTGCAAATTTAGGAAAAACTACATACTTCCTCACAACTATTTTTTAATCACCTCAATTTTATTGCTGGCTGTTTAGGATCATCAGCTGATCGTCCGTCTGTTACAACCATAATTAAAGTTGCCACCGTTTGATCCCTTGTCTCCATTAAATTATTTGCTATTTCAAGAGCCTAAAATGGTATATTTTTGCAAAATGGCCATGTCACTTGCCCTTTTTGTTGATGTGGTTCCACCAATCGCCCGCAAGCTTGACAAAATCTGATGAAACTCCTCATTGTTTTTGGCAAAGTTCCATTTGAACACTTCACGGCGATATGTGGGACCAGAATAAACAATCATTGCCACCTGAAGAGTGCAAAAATCCGGGCAAAAATGTTAGAATCTACTTGATAAAAAATAAAGTACCCTATGCTTTTCAGGTCCAATTTGGAGTTCTTGTGAGACATCAAGAACAAAATTTCTCGATTTGTTGAAGCCACCTTTCACCGAATCTAGGTATAGGTTTTGGTAATAGTTGCTCCTCAAATTCGCATTCACCAGATCGATCAAGTACAACAAGAATATTGAGCTCGCAAGCAACGGGGAAAAGAGGAGTTGTTTGTGATGAAACCAAGCAAGGTGGAGCTAACAAAACTGCCTAAATCGAAGACAATTTGTGGCTGTGAGAAATTATTTATTTACTTTAGCAGAAAAACCTTATCCTTGGTCTTGATAAAAATTTTAGGTAGGTATGAGTCTAGAAGCGGAAAAGTTATTTTAGCTGCGGATTTAGACAAATTTCATCAAGTATTCAACTCATAATCATTGACAATGTTTTCTCAAAAATCCACTGATTTCTCCTAATTTATCACTGCACATAGTACCAGGTTTAAGACTCGAGATTTTAAAAGGAACAAAAATCACTGACCGTGATGGCAGCACATAGAAGTTGGCTCATATTATAATTAAAGAGAGTTCAGGTATAGGAGAAGACTCAATAGGCAATAACAGACATGAATAACTTTCAGGAAAAGGTTTTCTCGATTGAGTGTTGAGTGAAGGCAATCCAAAAGGGTCAAAGAAAAAAGGAAAGGAGACAATAAATCTCTCTTTTCTTTGGATTCTTTGTAAATTTCTTTCTTTCTATTTTCTGGTTGATTGACATATGTGTTTAAATCAATGATTACATATAATATCTCTCAAATATGCCTTTTCTAGGTATTTTCCTAAAAATTGATAGAGAAATTTCTTCCTTTTCCTAACGTTGAGACCTCATGGAAAACAACAAAAAAGAGACAGGAATGACCTTCCGAAAAATCAAGCACAATAGCCCATTCTTTCATTTGATTCGGCGCATGAAAAAAAGTAAAAAAAGGTTTGTCATGATATTACGCTTGATCCTGCAAATCTTACTATGGTCTGCTTATTTGTCAAAAAAAATAACTCCTTTAATCTTTGAAAATTCCAAAAAAGATAATTTTTGGCGGAACTAACCTTACAGAAACTAATCCTAAACTTACCCATTAAGGATAGTTTTCAGATCACATCAATATCTCAATCTCTGAGGCAACTTGCATAAAAGTGATGGAGCAGAGCTGTTTGCGCAGAGATTATTGCAAATATTGTAATCCATTGTAAGTAAAAGCCCTCTATTAAAAATTTAGTATATCTTCGACCTTGAAAAATAGTATGCAAATGGATTAGGCTTTAGCACAGTTCACAAAGTCAGAGGGAGAGATAGTGATGTGATCTGAAAACTATCCTTAATGAGTAAATTTCCATCGGAGACTAGTTTTGCCAAAATTTACGCATAATCTTATCCTGTTCCAAAACATTAATGTCGTCGTTGATACTGTTTTCATCGTAAGAAACATCATTCATCAGAAATCAACCCAAAGGAGGAATTCTATCGTCATCAACCAAAATCACGGTCAGGATTCGGCTTTGTGAAAAGTCAGGATTCGCGGTCAGGATTCAGAGTCGGGATTCGTCTTTCTCATCAGCCAGGATCGCAATCAGGATTCGGCTTCGTTAACAGCCAAGATCCGACGTCGGGATCCGCCTTTGTTAATAGTCCTGTTTCCCAGTCCGGATTCGGCTTGACTAATAGACAGGATTCGCAGTCAGTAATCGCCTTGTTAATAATTAGGATTCGCAGTCGGACTCGCAGTCATTCGCCTTTATGAACGGTCGCGATTTGCACTAAAAATCAATAAGGAAAGCAGAATTTTCAGGATTCTCCCAGAAAAAGAAAGATTTTTGAGAGGTAATGGCAATGTGCTCTTAAATAGTATAACGCAGGTGTTTTCATTCCCATTTTAAGGCATATCAAAGTTGTTTAAATCTCAAAAGTTTTCTCTGCATATCTAGATCTCTTTATTCATATGTTTATGTCTTTGGAAATTATTTTGGAAAAAAAGACTTGAGAAACTAAGAGGCAAAGCAATGCAGCAATCCACAGGGTTTGAAGGTTGTTTTTCGCTTTCAAAATCAAAAATCGGTTTATGCAAAAACATTAAGAAAGCACTGAATTACAGAGTTGAAACAAACATGAAATGCTTACTTATTTTTACTGTTTACTCAATTTGATGCAAAAAACTGATTTATTGCAATTACATCTGTGGGGTCAGCTATTATTCTATTTCAAGATAAGAAATTCTGGCTCTTGTGTAGTTTCCGGGTATTTCGAACGGATCGTCTCGCTTTGAAGGCCTATGACTTGTCCGATGATCATTTTTTGTTAACTTTTATATCATTGTACAGAGGAGATTTGAATGGAATGAATGGGTGACTGAATGGGGGAATAAATGGAGAATACTCTTGCTCCAAAGACAATCACCGTTTACTATGTTACTCCATTGGCTGGCGACTAGGAAACGTCGGATTTTTCAAAGGGTTCAATTCTTGAATCTCCTTTTTCTGCTGCCCCTGCGGACCGAAATCCTGGGATGAATCCGAAAATCACAGCGGCTCCCTTCAGCACCTTTTACAGGCACTTGGGATCCCATTTCAACTGGCGGAGAACCCAACACTGTGGCTAAATGAGCCGGAACTGGGTTAGGCCAATCTCTACAGCCTAAGTTAGTTTTAGAAGAATGGCCATTGGATTAGACAGACAACGGATGTACCGATAGAATGGCCTGATTGTAAGCGTGAAAACCATATCTGCCAACCTGTATGCCAGATCGAGGATTGTGCCTAGCGCACAGTGAACGCACTGGCTCTCGTTTTGCATTTTAAAGTTTAAAAACATCAAAATTTTTGAAATTTAGTTATAATGTATTTCATAACATTGTCAATCGACTTCTAACCCTGGAAAGCCCTGGTGCAATTTCTCTGTTCAAAATCCCAGTTTTGAACTTTAAAATGCAAAAACGAGGATCCCGCTGTGTCAAGAGGAGATCAAGGGAATTTGTAGATAAAAGGAATCAAATTTGTAGATGAAAGGAATCAAATTTTTGAACAGAGAAATTGCACCCGGGTTTAGGGAGGCTGGGAATCTTGATTGACAGTGTTATAAGAAATACATTATAACTAAATTTCAAAAAAGTCATATT